TATAGAATTACTAACGAAGTTAACTATAAATAGTCCTATCTAGGGTAATAAGCGTATATATATAATACTTAAAGTGCTACTTTAGTGTATTACTATAATGCTCTAATATATTAATGTACTAATGTATTCCCCGGTTACGTAATGTAGCCTCGTTCTCCATCGGCTAACTTTCCTTAACTGTCCCTTGGAACGTGGGGCGCCTATCCCGGCGACCTCATCTATGACCTAGTTCGTAATATTCTTATAGAATTATAAGAGTATAAGTAACTTAACGAAAATACTAAGATAATCGATTAATTACTATATAGTCCTTAGAATATCGACTATAAGAACTTAAGGAGTCTAAAAACTTCGTATACGATTCGTATAGCCCCTAAGGTCTTATATACTATACTCCTTAGTGTTTTAGGACTAGTCTTAGTATAGGATGGGTGCTTCTAGGGTCTACCGTAGTCCTATCCCGTAATAAGCGTAGACTATAGACTATCCTAGATTATCTCTATAGTTTATAGTCTATTATAGTCTAAGGTTACGTAATATAGCCTTATTCTTTATCGGCTAACTTCCCTATACTCTTCTATAGGTATAGGTAGCTTGTCCTTAGCTACGCTTCTAGTGACCTAGTTCGTAACAGCTAGCCGCCTATTTATAAAGTTAGTACCTCTATATATTGATACGCTCTTTGTTACTGTAGATAGGAAGGGTCACCAATCCTATGCCCGGAATCAAGATGCGCCTCACACCACCGTCGACAAATGCTACCACCAGGGGTGAGGGCGTGACAAGTAAAGCATTGGCTGCTGCAAACAATCCACTAATTTTGTCAGCACGAGTGCTACACAGCACCCCGCTGCACTTAGTACGGAGACTTGTGCAGAGATACATCTCAGATGTGATGTCCATGTACTCTTTCTTGTGAGAATTCGAGGTCTGGCAGCAAATGACACATGTATTGAATGCTGTCCAAGGCCTCGAGGCCAATATACCTTTCGTGGAACCTAGCTTCGCTTTTCTGGTCATTACAGTCATCATTGCCATCTCCCTGACACTTCAGAGTGCCAAAGGCGGACGTGGAGTTCGTTGCAACGCTGTGGCCGCTTCATTATTGAAGAAGGTATCCAACATCTATCACACAAAATGCGAATTCCCAATGATATCACCAACGTGCACATCACTCTGCTAGCTCTAGTCTACACCGCAATTCAATCCCCTTCAGCGGATGTTTGGATCTCGAGCGGTGCCGCGATGCGGTCCTGTCTAGAGCTTGAACTTCATCCAGAGTTTAGAGCAATTCTCCTCGACCGCTCTCAATGCAAGCTCTATCGTCGAGTGTTTTGGGCAGCATATTGTATGGGCAGATCCGTCTGTTCGGCGCTCCGCAGGCGAGTACCTGAAGCCGCTGGAAGCGGTGGGCTCCCTAATCGGTAGATCGATGATGGGATCGCCGTTCTGTCTCGCCTTCCGTCCATGCACCTATTTCGATATCATCAGATTCAGTCGTCCATCATACAGGTCCATTTTCGGCGTATGAGTCTGTCAGAGGGTTTGAGTTGGGAGCAAAGTGACGTGGGGAGAAAACTGCAAGCCTGGTGCGAACCTGGTATGAAGACTACCACGCTGTGGCTGATTGAGGCTAGTTGATATATATGCGTCTTTTGCTTTGACACAAGGCTTAATTAGCTTGCACCGGTCATCTCCATGCCAGTGGATCCTGCGGACGTGGACGTGGTATGACATCGTCGATTCTACTAACGCTGGTAGCAACCGGTGTCGTCCTGGACACTGGAGCCTCAAAACCATCGTCACTTTCGAAGTCAGGCTGAATGGCGTCTTTGGGAGAGGAGTTCTGACTGATCTTTGGCCACTTTGGCCGTTTCGAGCAGGGCCGTTTGATTTCCTAGATGCTAAACAAAGCTTCGAGGGACGTTCAAATCTGGGGCGGGCATTGCGAACCCCCTGCAATTTGTCCCGGCCCGGCGGCACCTGGAACAAGATCGCAAGCTTCGGTCACACTAACGATGAAGTAACAAACATTGCGATATACGCTCTACGGTCCACATCGCTCACCCTGACCTTCTTCAAGCGACAGCGCGCACACGAAAGTACACTTCGCTGGCAGTCTCAGGCCATGGATGTCAAGAAAAGCGCGAAAGGATAGACAGTATAAGATGCTGGCCATGGAGGAGTGCGCTGGTGGGGTGTCCGCAAAGAACGTGGGAAAAAGTTAGCGCCCTGAAGTGAGAAGTGTCGAAGGACGGGTTGGCCATGAGAACCTAGAATGGGATTTCGCAGGGCTGGATAAAGCTTTGACTACTGCGGTGTACTACTCGTTCTCCTATTGTTCATATCCACTCGGGTCGGTGGACCAGTCAATATATGCTCAGAACGACGCCCAACACCCTATCTACTGGGCGACGCGCAGGGGCACTGCTCCATTCTTGCAAGCAATTCGTGATCCCCATACAAGGCCGGGGCGAGGCTCACGCGGCCCGGAACCTTGAACAACTATACTAGACAATAGCAATCCTGGCTGAGAAAGAGTAGGACCAACAATTTCCAACCACCAGAAGGCTTTTCTTCAGGTTCGGAAACTATTGATAAATTCAAGTGCCAGAATTGGCCAAGTTCCTGCGAAAGCCTAACTTTCGTAGAGGCTAATTTAAGCATGGATGGATCGAACCCCTCCCTGAAATATCGTCACCCTATCAGCTGAGATTTCCCTGACGCGATTGTGCCCAACTCAGTATAGTAAGACGTGTATAAGGCACATCTTTTGTCTATTGTCGCAGGAAAGATGTCAACCTCGATGGCCTTCCCTGGTGAGCCCAGTGCTGCGATGTTCGGCACTTGTTTCCACCCAGGCCCATTGGTGGGGTCTTTGGCAAAGGCTGCCCAAGCACCCTGCATGTATTTGTTCGTCTGGACCTCCAAAGCGGTGTCATTTGCGACAGGATACGTGCCAAATACTATGCCGATTTCAGAGCTGTGGTACACTTCGGACCCGGCGAAAAGCGCCAGATTCTCAAAAGTAGCATTGTAGTAGTAGCGCCAAGTAGGGATTCCCAGATTCTGGGTGTCCTGAGCTACGATGGCGGAAGGACACTGAAATCTCACCTCGGTCTCGATGGCGGCAATCTGATCTTGAGTCGATCCGATACCTGGGGATCTAATTAGATATGCTTCAAGGATCGCCGGGTAGAGACTTGGCTGATTCGGAATCACCTCCTCAAGGTATGCTTGTGTGTCATTCTCCCCGAGGACAAAGAGAAGCCCGTCGTTGGCAACTGTCCCGATGAGAATAGGTACACGAGCAATGTTACCGGCCCTGCGAGCCGTTTCAGAACGGTACACAGCCGTTACATTATCCAGCTGGACAAAAGTCAGCTTTGTCATACAATGCAAAGGCAGCAATTTGCATGCTCACAGTATACTCAAACACAACTTCAAGATGCTCGATCGTGTTCATCAGGGTGGCGAGATCGACTCTTCTCATACATTTCAAGATATCGATACTGGTGGTACAGTTGAGAGCTTGAACAGTGGTGTTCCAGGGTCCGGATAAATCTCCCATGGGAAAGTTGTAGTTAGCCACACCGGACTCCATAATTGCCGCTCGGAAAGGTGGGTTGTGCGGCATAGACGTCACGAGGATGTCGACGCTATAGAGTCGCTGTTAGTGACCCTCCAGCAAAAAAGCTGCGGGAGAAGGGTGATAGTTACCTTCTCCCCCCCGCGCTCTGTCCAAATATTGTGACCTTCCCAGGATCACCACCAAAGGCTGCGATGTTCTGCTGTACCCAACTCAAAGCGAATCCTGGAAGACAATTGTCAGAGGGACCTTGTCAGATAATCAATGCTTACTTTGATCGAGGAAACCTAGATTTCGTCGTGTTATTGGAAGCTGGGGAGCAGCAGGGAATCCCAGAACTAAATAATCAGTCAACACAGACCAATCCCTGGATGATGCACTTACTGCCTGTTCGGTAGTTGATGGTCACGACGATGACATCTTGATTAGCGGCGAAACTAGCCCCGTCGTAAAGGTGAAATGAATTCCAGCCATATTGCAACGCTCCGCCCTGCACGTAAGATCAGTAGGTAACTTGAGCTGTATATAGATAACGAAACGCACATATATCCAGACCATGACGGCTTTATTATTCCCCGGAGTTCCTGGGACGTAGATGTTAAGGTTTAGGCAGTCCTCGCTTTCGCCAGCCGACGGGGGTGGTGTATTGAACCAGGCAATCTCCGCTTCACGGAGTTCATCAGGGTAGTTGAACTGCTGAGGGCATGCAGGACCATATGCAGTCGCTTGCAATGGAGTTGACCAAGATGTAGCGCGAGTAGGCGGCGCAAAACGAGTGGGAGAGGCTGCAAAAGGAACGCCCAAGAACTCGCTGACGGTTACAGTGGTGTTGGCGATAGTAGTCGTCGTGCCGACAAGCATGCCAGCATTAATCTTGACAATAGGAGCAGGCGGCCCGCTTTTTGAGCCAAAGGCAGTGCCCAAAAGGGGGTTGACAAGCCAGGGGAGAACGTGTCTTGACAGCATGGTCGGCACTCAGCAGAGGAGAATGAGATACACTCGTTAATGGATTTGGCTACAAGGCTAATGCTATTTTCCACAAAGAGATGCATCTGCGGATCCTACTTATACCTTTGGAGCTACAATAACACCAGCATGTGGGTGGTCGATCTTGGGCAATTTCACAAGTTGGCGTACAAACAAATCTCGTATTAGCTGATCCGTGGGGATCGTACGCGATGCCCGGCCTGACAGCCATCGAGCCGAGGACGGGAAACGCGCTTAGATAAATTTCTTGAGTAGAACCTCTGTGCTGAAAGACTAGTGGGGCGGGGATTGATTCTTGACGGGGCGATAAAGGAGCACCGCCCCTCAAATGCTGGGGCCTTGTCAGTAGAGTCTCCCTGTTTTATGGTGTTGGGCACTGCAGTGGCGAACCCTGGGCCTTTACAAGAAGTCAATAGGATATAGAACGAATCGATTGGGCAGGGAACCATGTCCTAGCAGGAAGACTAGACTTGTTAAGTCCTTATCGCGTTTAATTTTCCTCCGCATCTGCCATTTATCCCATATTCCTTCAACCGAAGTGGTTACTTGTACGAGTAACGACAGGTGAAGACTACCCAATCCCCCGGGCTTTCCTAACAGCAAATGGTTGATAATCCTATCCAAACGCTGTTGGAAAGATGTTGAAAGGCCACGGATCGCGGTCTATTCATGTGCAAGGATCCCTATATATTCGGGACACCCAATTGCCTTGTGCATCGTCGGTCTGTCTCGCACAGACAACGCATACTCATTGGCCATACAACCATGGACTCTAAATCATCTGGATCCTGCGAGAAAGGTCAGCCCTCCTCGTTGTTATTAATTGATTGCAGTACTGACGAGCGTACCCAAGATGGAGCAATGCAGACAACGAGCAACGCAGACACAGCAGTGGCAAGTGGTGCGTCCTTGAACATTCCTCTTGAAAAGAAGCAATTTGGCATCATCACCATTGTGTCCTTTGCATTTGTGATTTGCAACAGTTGGGCTGGAGTCTCAGGCAGTCTCCAGCTGGCCCTACTTGCAGGGGGTCCCGTCACTTTAGTCTACGGCATCCTCATCAGCACGATCATCTACATCTGCATCGCTCTATCGATGGCCGAACTGGCAAGCGCCTACCCTACTGCCGGTGGCCAATATCATTTTGCGTCGATCTTAGCACCAAAGGCGATCAATCAGGGCATTTCGTACGCATGCGGACTCGTGTCGTTGCTGTCGTGGATCGCCATCGGAAGTTCTGTGACATTGATACCTGCTCAACAGATCCCGGCGCTTGTAACTGCTTATAGTGATACATACACAGAGCATTCGTGGCATGTCTTCCTCATATACGAGGCGGTCGCGTTGGTGGTGCTCTTATTCAACTTGTTTGCCCTAAAACGAAATCCTTGGGTTCATGAAGTCGGCTGTAAGTCAATTCCTTGAGCCGAACACGCTTCGATCGGCCGTCAACGTATCTGGCCAAGAACATCGACACTGACTATGCTTGGAGATACAGTCTGCCTCACGATCTGTCTTTTCGTGGTCTCATTTATAGGCATTCTATCGCGGTCCAAACCAAAAGCTCCAAACTCACAGGTGTGGACCGCTTGGAGCAACTATACCGGCTGGCCTGACGGCGTCTGCTTTATCCTGGGTATTTCCACATCCTGCTTCATGTTCATTGGCTTGGATGCAGCGATGCACCTGGCCGAGGAATGCACAGATGCTGCTCGTACAGTACCCAAAGCAGTGGTCAGTGCAATCGTAATCGGCTTCTGCACCGCCTTTCCATACACGATCGCAGTTCTGTATGGAATCTCAGATCTCAGCTCTGTGCTAACCACCACGGGGTAAGTTCACTCCGCAGCTGCCGCAGACAACTCTGAACATGTCGACGCAGCTATATTCCACTGGAGACAATGACGCAGTGCCTTCAATCGCTCGACTTTGCAACGGTCCTCGCATGTGGCGGTATCTTCATGGCATTTTTTGCTCTGAACGCTGTACAAGAGACTGCATCTCGACTCACCTGGAGCTTTGCTCGGGACAATGGGCTGGTTTTTTCCACTCATCTCCAGCGCATACATCCCCGCTGGCAGGTCCCCGTTTGGTCTCTTTTTATCACCTGGGGAATTCTGGCCATATACGGATGTATATTTCTGGGTTCTAGTACAGGTAAGCATTGTTTAGGAATATCCTCCCTACACCCGATACCGGTTCTAGTGAAGCTGCTGCTCGTCGGCAAAATCTCCCAAATAGGTCCTTCTCCTGACCTTCATATACAGCTTTCAATGCCTTGGTTAATTCCGCCATTGCACTCCAGCAACTCTCCTTCCTGATCCCGATCGCCCTACTCCTCTACCGGAAGCGAGACCCAGAGTTCTTACCGATCACTCGTGCCTTTGTGTTGCCGCATGGAGTCGGACTTTTGGTCAATATTCTGGCTGTGGTCTTCACATCCGTCACCACCGTGTTTTTCTGCTTTCCACTCATACTACCTATGACCGCCTCAAACATGAGTACGTTTCGCCTAGTTGCAAGCTTGGTGATCCGAATTGACATCTTCTTAGATTACACCAGTGCGATTATAGGCATTGCATTTGCTCTTGGAGTCGTGAACTGGATTGTGCACGCCAGGAAGCATTACCAGGGACCCCACGTGGAGCTTGACGGACGGATCGTGGGAGGTGAATTTCAAATTGAAGAATGAACTGGACGAGATGGAGGTGACCTTGTCCTCTCGTTCGATGTCAAAATTTCTAGGCTGGTACTGAAGGTCTATATATCTAGTTGCAACGAAAAGATTTAGACATATGAGAGCCACTGGATAGAAAGATACTCTGCAATCGAAAAGCACATCATCAAACAGGCGATCTCCCGAAATTACTTCTCTATATCCTCCTGGTAACAGACCGAGTCCCGGGACGACCATTTAGAGTACTAGCTGAGTGATTTGGCGGCATGCCTCAGGAAGTTCAGTAGGAGTAGGGCCTGCCGCATTCCAAAGGGGGAATAGCAATCGATGAAACGGTCCCCTGCAGTCCTTGACTAATCGTGTAAGCCTCGTTATCTAAGCGCGGTCCAGTGGACCATCGGCTGCAGTGGAATGGGTACACACGGACCAGGAAGTTTCAACTTGTGAACGGGAAAAGACTCCATTGAGTGATAGGCTAATGGATCAATGTGCAGAAGGTTTAGCTGTGTAGGATACCATCCCTAATACAAGACATCATGCCCCACTAAAGCACCCAGCAGCATCCCATGAACGCCTTTCTTTGATCGTGAGCCGGTTGTTACACCATTAGTATTGAAGCGATCGGCTGGAGGCTTAGACCACATGGAATAAGGTAAGCGCGCATTTTTCTCCCTGAATCAAAGGACAATACCTGATCTCCACCTCCCGGACCTCAAAGGCGTGACAGCATTGTCATATAAAGGCCGGTCGCCCAAGAAACATTACCGTGTGCCCTCAAAATCCAGGGCGCCGGTTTGTCCTGCTTCGTTCTTGAGGCGATGGACCGTGTGGGAGGAAAGACTCTGAGCGTACGGTCGGGTCCGGGAAGGACGACCATCAACGACCTCGGCGCTCTGTGGATCAATGACAGCAACCAAAGCGAGGTATACAAATTGTTTGAAAGATTTCATCTGGAGAGCGAGCTCCAGAGGACGACCGGAAAGTCGATCCATCAGGCACAAGACGGTACAACGACTGCAGCGCCTTACGACTCCCCGGTAAGTTCAATACCACTCTGTGAGAAAACCCCCGTCGTGGTGTGTTGAATGCAGTCAGTGGCTTACTTTTTCAAGCTTAGCGAAGAGGTTAGAATGGCACTCACGCAACTCCTCCCCGCATGGTCTCAGCTGATCGAAGAACACAATCTTGAAGACCCTAGGGCCAGCCCTCAAGCGAAGCGGCTTGACAGTATGAGCTTCGCGCACTACTGTGAGAAGGAGTTAAATTTGCCTGCTGTTCTCGACGTGGCAAACCAGATCACACGCGGTCTGCTTGGTGTGGAAGCCCACGAGATCAGTATGCTCTTTATCACCGACTATATCACGAGTGCGACCGGCCTCGCTAATATTGTCTCCGAAAGGAAGGACGGCGGGCAGTATATGCGATGCAAAACAGGTGCGTATGGTGCTCTCTCAGTCGTTAACTCATTTCTAAATGGTCATTCCAGGCATGCAGTCGCTTTGCCATGGCATGTCAAAGGAACTTGCTCCAGGCTCAGTGCATGTCAACACTCCCGTCGCGGAGATTGAGCAGTCGGCATCCGGCTGCATAGTACGATCGTCCTCGGGTGCCGTGTTGCGAAGCAAAAAGGTGGTGGTTTCGGTACCGACAACCTTGTATCCCACCCTGACGTTTTCACCACCTCTTCTAGCTGAAAAGCGGGCATTAGCTGAAAATTCCATCCTAGGCTACTATAGCAAAATGGTCTTCGTGTGGGACAAGCCATGGTGGCGCGAACAAGGCTTCTCGGGTGTCTTCCAATCGAGCCTCAACCCTATTTCGCTTGCCAGAGACACCAGCATCGAAGCCGATCAGCAATGGTCCATTACCTGTTTCATGGTCGGAGAGCCAGGCCGGAGGTGGTCCCAACTGTCCAAGCAGGTACGACAAAAGTCTGTCTGGGAGCAACTCCGCACAGCCTACGAAAACGCCGGGGCCAAAGTCCCAGAGCCGGTAAACGCGCTCGAAATCGAATGGTCGAAACAGCAGTATTTTCTAGGAGCGCCAAGCCCGGTCTATGGGCTTAATGATCTCACCACACTGGGTGGTGAGATCAGAACGCCGTTCAAGAGTGTTCATTTCGTTGGAACAGAGACGTCGTTGGTATGGAAAGGGTATATGGAAGGGGCCATACGCTCGGGTCAGCGAGGTGCCCAAGAAGTTGTGGCCAGCCTAGCGCCACCAGCGTAGTCGTGGTTGTGCAGATGCTCGACAAAAGAGGTGACGCAGTGAGATGGCGGAATCCAGGTGAAAGGCCTATTCCTTCTCGAGCGAATGTTGAGCAGATTCACCGACACGGCAACCGTAGATCACATCATAGATATGAGACATTGACTTCCTCAAAAATGGACATGACTACTCCAATGACAACGCTCTAAACACCGAAAACACATTCAGGTGGCTGAGAGCAGGAAGTGGCTTTCTCTGGTCAGTCGTGCTCACTAACTCACGCAAAAATCATGACTCTTCATAACGGCTTCCAAGGCCACTGGGCCATACATGCAGTCCTTGTCAAGCTCCCAAGTCATCTTCAATATTTCCATCGCTCGCTGAGTGATGGCCATGTCGTACGTGGATCTTGACAAGCCCGAACACATTTTCTGCCGATCATCTGGCGATCTGAGACACGAGCCGATGACCAGCAGGGGCCACAGAATCCTTGTGCGTGATGGCGATCCCCGCAGCTGACGGCATAGAAAGCGGAATTCGATGATTATAGGGTCAAGTTTCTGGCAAAATTCGGCCTTGTCGCCATTTTTGATGTACCGTGCCGAGTACAGGAAAGCCAACATGGCAATTCGATAGATGCGATCCATTGCAGTCGAGCTTTGGACCCAGGCTGGCGCATCATATCGTGTTGTCATTGCCGGCGACCAGTTTAGAATCTTCTCCTCCAGATCAAGGTACGCTATAGACCACAACTCCCCGTCCAGGTCCTGGAGCAGGCGAATGGTGGGGATGAGCTCATATAGCTCCGAGGAGCCCCCGAGCATGCTGCCAAATGTTTGGTACTCCTGCAGGTGCTGCAGAGATTGAACAAACCAGTCCGATGCCACCGCATCTGTCTGGCGGTCGGGTGCGAAGGTGATGTTGCGCACGATGGCCATATATGTATAGTACTCCAACAGGAAGCCAAAGATCTCGTGCTGCTGGCTTGAGAGGTTGCCCACGCCAGCTTCAAAGATTGTGCTGATAAGTTCTCGACTGGCGCGAAGATGGTAGTATGCAATGCTGCGGCGATTGCATGTGACAGCCTGCATACAGAGTCAGTCTCCAAAGACCCACGAACCGCAAGGAGGTCACGAAGAAAGAACAGGCTGCGCTGATGGCCACTCGCAAACACTTACTTCGTACTGACACAGCAACATGGCAACAGTCAATAGGCGCACCGTGTCCTGCGGCGCACCAGGATTCCAGCTCGTCAGCGCATACTTAAGCCTTTGGATGCTAGATAAGTAATGCTTAGTCGTGGCAACTCTCAATGCCGGGTTTCCGGTCTTGTAGCTGACATGGGCGCCACCCAGCGCCATTATAGCATCCATGATCATGGTTTCCGAGTATGCCCAGGGGAGCACGAAACTCAGCAGGGGGTTGTGCTGCGGTTCCCTAGCAACAAGCTGGGCCGCCGTCTCCTTCACGAAGTGACTCAACAGAGTCTGAGACTCCGAGCTTTGGATGATAGCGGGTTCCCAAATAGAGGGATTTGCCCTGATCGTTGGGCACGACGGAGTTGGAAGCCTGCCCTCACTGGTGCCCAATGGCGGTGAGATCGATTCGTCTCTGGCGCTGTCTTGTGTGACGTAAAGCTGCTCATCCTTGGGGTGCAATCCCCGTTCTGCCTTGATCAAAGTGGAGGCGTCTAAGACTCCTTTTTGAAGTCTGATGCGCCAGCCAAGATCGGAGCGGCGCTTAGAAGAGCTGTGTACAAGCTTTCGCGGCCACGAGCAGATGAGTCTGTTTCTGACACAGTTTTTGCAGATGGGCGTTGCTTCGTCGCATTTTTTTCGCCGGAGCCGACAACAAAGACAGCCACTCTTTGTCCGAGAGTTCCTCGGCCTTGGAACCGGAAGACGCCGCAGTAATGGCGGTAATGGCGACAAGGCCATGTGAATGCGGGGAGTGATGGTCCGATTGTGACTTTGCTCCAGGTAAGAGAAGTCCTGGAAGTATTAAAATCTTATACTTAAGGGCTAGGCTTCCGTGCATGGTAGGGTCGTTGAGGGGACACTAGGGGCTTAAGTAGTGGACGCGGCCAACAATTACGCCAAGGCCCAGACAAGGGCCCCAAGGCGGCTCTCACTTTGCGCTAAGTGCGGGGCTTGTTAATCAGCGCATGTTACCACAGCCCCAAGCCTAGGCCATCAGGCTCACCAAGGCCCGCGGATAATAATGCCGTGAGACTATGTACTGGGTTCCTTTTGAGGCCTTCTTTTAGCGCGCTCCCTCTCTCGCTCTCTTTCCCTTCCCAGCTAAACAGCAACAGAGTCGTTTTCCATTAGACACTGTTTAGGATTCAACGTGCACTACTAGGGATGCTCTCGATATATACCTTGGCAACTAAGTACGTGACCGCGGTATCTGCCTGTGGTGAAGGTGCTGGGCTTACACCCCTTATAATACTGACCCCTTGGTAAGCACATCAAATCCCTCCCAACTGTCCACCTTCTCTCGACAGACCTGCTCATAAAGGTCAATCCCGCCTATGAAAGTCAAGGCCCGCGCAGCTTTCCCAGGAATGTTGCCTCCAGTCCACCAGGAATCCGTCAAAGGGAACAGAGTGTGCTCGTTCATCTTGGCAATCAATTCCGACCACGTCTCTTGTGCTGATTTCGTCGCCTCGACTGACATGGAGTGCTCGCCCTCGAGCTTTGCAATCGTATCAGCCATCAAGTCGACCTGGGTTTCTATGATCGTTGGGCCGTTCGAAAGGGCAGTCGGAGCTGTTGTGGAATTAGCGAGGGGTCTCGACGGACATTATGTGGAGAAACAGGTGTTTACTTACCTTGAGCAGTGGCCACGAAAAAGGCATTTGGGTAGCCATGAGAGAAGACTCCCATATAAGTAGAAATCCCATCTTTCCATACCTCCTTCAGATCGACTCCGTGCTTGTTTTTCAAGCCCATATGTGTCAATCTTTGGAAAAAATCAGCTAAGCACCCCCGAACCACGCCCGACGATACTTACGAGCCGGTGAAACTGTCGAAACCTGTCGCCAGCACTATGGTGTCGAATTCCCGCTTGCTGCCGTTGCCCAAGAGCACACCTGTGTCTGTGACAGTCACAATGGGCGTTTGGTTTAGATTTACAATTTCGACGCTCGGTTTGTCTAGCATTTCATAGTAGTCGCTCTCAAGTGGGGAGCGCTTGGTGCCGAACCAGTATGGCGGCTCTAGAGGGGCCATGAGATCTTTCTTCACGGGATTGAAGATGCGAGCTCGAGTCTTCCTGGCCCAGAAGTCGTAAACAAGTTTATTAGCATTTTTGTCGACCATGACATCTCGGTACTGGCCAGCAAGGAAATTAAAAGCACCACGTTCCCATAGCTCTTCGAAATACGCCTCCCGCTCCTCCGGGCTGACCTCAAAGATGCCGACAGACGGCGCCTGGACCGGGAAACCAATCCGAGACTTTCGGCTCGCTTCAAACAACCTTGGATAGTAGGCCTTCCAAGCCGTCTGCTCGTTCTTATCCATCGTTCGTTGCCGCATCGGCAGACAATAGCTAGGCCTTCGCATAAACATTGTTACTTGGTCAGCTTTCTTGGCTAAGTCCTGGACAATCTGGATACTTGTAGCCCCGGCACCAATGACAGCGACTCTCTGATCCTTTGCGCTGAAGTCTTCAGGCCAGGCACTCGAATGAATAACCTTCCCATTGAAATTGGCCAGGCCGTGGAATGCGGGAGTGTGCTTTCTATGGAGCAAACCTGCAGCTAGAATGAGATACTTTGCAGTCGCAGTGTGGCCTGCGGCGGTCTTGACAGTCCAGATGCCCAATTTCTCACCATACCGCGCATCAACCACCTTAGCCCCGAAGTAGACGTCTTTTCTTAATCCCAGAATCTTGTCACAGTGGTGGACATATGCCAGCAACTCTTTCTGGTCAGGATAGCGGCAAGACCAGGTCCAGTCTTTCCAGACTTCCGGAATATTCAGTTGGTAGAATGGCGTCTCCGAGTCAACACGGGCGCCAGGGTAGCGGTTCCAATACCACACGCCACCAAAATCTGGGGCTGCCTCAAATATTTTGGCGTTGAGTCCAAGCTTGCGCAGTTTGTATACAGCAGAGATTCCGCTGAGGCCAGCTCCAACAATAATTGCATCACACGTGACGGAATAATCTCCGCTGGAGTTGTTGGTAGCCGACATGGCTCTTGTTGCCGTTCAATAGCAGCTGTGGGTGGAGGAAGATTATACGGCTCTGAGGACAAAGTAGAGTCTTCACTCAATGTTGGTGGCTGAGGGCAACATCCAAGGCACGCCAGGATTTGCGTTCTATAAATACCTACAAACTTATAATGCTGCGAGGGAGCGGCATCCGCCGAAACGGTAACAGCGGTGCCTCGGTTGAAATTAATTCTTCAAGGGATCACATCTGTACAGGTGGCACTGTGGCCACACCGCGGGTATCACACAGAGATGCTAAAGATCAAAGAATGTCTCCATCGCATGTTTCCTAAGAGCTGCTGGTGCTGGTGGAGCTCGGGGGTTAAAAGGGGTTTGACTCCGCTCTGGCAACTGAGTCTAAGCGCGGCAGATACCAATGGAGTTTAGGCTGACCTCCTCACCGAACTAGGCTTGTTTGTCGCCCAAATCCCTAGTCCCGATACTGCTCAACGGCGCTTATGAAACGAAACCATTCACAGTAGCCTGCTCCTAGACAGTTACCTAATACTCAAAAGGTCGGATACGGGCTTGTGGATAGGCAGCCCCACCACTGACAGCGTCTACAAAGTCACACCAGTGACCATCCTTGTCTCCACACTAAGACCAGTCCCTAGGTCATGACTCGGTTATCTCCCGAAACCCGTCACTCGGACCCTTAGTTGAACGGCAAGACCACTGGTTGAAGCAATCTACGTACATAAGATGTAGAAAAAGTTTAGGTTGCCTGTTGAGATGTGGGCCCTGGAGCGGAGACTGTCACAATCGGTAGGACAAATAGAGGTCCGTTTCCAAGGAGAACGGTATTGAGAATGGGCAACAGTGATTGTTCAAAAGCCCTTTGCGTCCGTCCGCCAACGTAGTAGCCGTCTCTCAATCTTCCTCCCTGTGCCCTCGTTTGTGGCAGACAGAACTTTGGTTGGACCTATGACAACCATGTCGGCCTTTTTTGATATTGCCGAAGATGAGATCCAGGGGTTAGAAGACATGGTTGCCATCATTACTGGTATGAAGAATTTTATAAAGCCAGAAATTGACTCCCTGTTGCCGTTTGCTCACGCTGGCCACCCTCAACAGGAGGCTCATCAGGAATTGGATTCGCCACCTCCGAGCTCTTCAGCTCGAAGGGGTCGGTCGTGATTCAAGCTGACCTGAACCCGCCGCCGAGAACGCTTCCACGGTCACACTACGTGAAGACGGATGTGACCTCCTGGAAAGACCTCACATCCCTCTTCCTCAAAGTCATTGACGACCACGGCAAAGTCGACGTTGTATTTGCAAATGCCGGAGTTGCACCAAGAGCCAATTACCTGCAGCTGGCCTCGGAGGATAATGGTGACCTGATTGAGCCTACAACGTTGTGTCTGGATATCAATCTAGTTGCAGTGGCCAACACTGTTGCGTTGGCTCTTCACTATATGCAAAAACAAGAGAGTGGAGGAAGTGTGATCATGACTACATCGGTCGCCGGTAAGCTTCTGCTTATTCTCTTTTCACAAGTCCGAACTTCACGCGGCTGACAAGATCGATCCGAGCAACCAGGCTACCAACCCTTTGGGCATGCAGACTACAGTAAGTATTTCTAGGCCGATGCCTAGCTGGACTCTCGAGCCCCGAAGCAGAGGAGATTCTGATCCGGTATGCAGCTGGATCGAAGCATGGCGTTGTGGGCATTCTTCGAGGCGTTCGCGAACACTTATATCCCAATGTTCCTATCCGCATCAATGCGGTTGCTCCTAGCTGGACTGCTACACCAATCATCCTGTACGTGCTCTCCACCTCCTTTCCGCTTACTTTCCCCCCTCTGCGTTGCCAGGGCAACACAATAAAACCATTAAGCACTCCCATTCATTTATCAATCGATGTCTACCAACTGAGGTGTTGTCTTTGGTGTCTCTAAGGTGCATTTTGAGGCTGATCAGAATCCTGTAGTCTGCCCCACGCCGCTTTCGAAAAGGTGGGCCTCAGTGTCCAACCGCCATCAAAAGTAGCGCTGGCCGTCGGCCTCCTTGTTGCAGACCCGACTCGCCACGCTCAAACCATCTACTGCGTCAATGGTCGTTATAAGGAGCTTGAGGAAGAAGTCATGGCCGCCACTGCCATCGCGATGGGGTTTGAGACTGTAGAGAAGACCGAAGCTGGGAAATTTCAGGATTTGATCAAGGAAGCTCAGGCAGGGATAATCCCGCACTGTTAGCCCGCTTATCTGTCTGCCTTTTTATCTAACACCTCACGATAAACAAGATGCATATCTACTCCGTCTAGACGACCTCGTTCAAGCAACTTCACTTGCCACTGACTCGAAAGTTGCACGGAATATATTATGATAAAAAGGGGGATAGTTATTTCGTGGTGAATGCAGAGTCAATGATCTGTTGCAGCATCGTCCCTAAAACCTGGCATAGTTTTCCGTCTTCACTCAGCTAGCTTCGAAAGAATTCCTCCCAGTCATTTGTAGAGTCTCCGATACAGAGTGTAGAGGTATGCTGATACTGTAGAGCTCAGAGACCAGATATCTTCCGTGCGTAGGGTGTCAGTTGGCTGTCCTCTACTCTCTCCTCGGAACATTTGATTTGAGATCCTTTAGATCTCCTAATCCAAGTCCATCGATTTCAACAGTTCGCACCAAGCTGGCGAGACGCCTGTAACCAGCGATCGCCCTCAACTTACAGGGGCTATACTTAGCAGGCCAAAGCGTGTCTGTTGAAAGATGAGACGTGTAGCGCAAGTGGACGTCGATTGATTGAGTGGCTGACAACATTTCAAAGAAGGCCGATCGACACGGCTCAAAATAATGCTAAGGTCCTTCTGTGACAGGGATAGCCAACTCCTCTTGGTCGAATGCTGATAGTATGAGGCGAAACCGCCTTCTGAATCGTTGGACGTGGCGTGATGCATCTTTTTGGCTGAGAGAAGCGATGGTCGAGACTGCGTCCGGGTAGTGGTGCGAATTCTGTAAGGCTTAGACAATAGCTGGGCAAGTAGCCACGTAATTTTATTACGGTTCAACTCAAGTGAAAGAAAGGGAAATGATAAATAAATCCGGAATCAGTAACCGATATGCAAACACAAAACAGATGCTCAGATGAAGAGGACAAACGAACACTGATACTTTTGCAATGACAATGCAGGGTTTCAGTATTCTTGAAATATTCGTAGCATGCCCGTGGCAATCCTTTCTCGAGGGATGGCTCTTTCCTTCAGTGCACTACGCACCCAAGTCACTTAATCATTTAATCCATGACGGGACAATCCTCTGACTAATTCCTTCCTGCTGGAGAGATAGTAGTAACACTTTCAGCAAACAATGGAACAGTGCCAGTAGCTTGAACGATCCTTAAGCTTTCAGACACAGAATGGCTCACATGGAGCTTCCCTATGCCAGATCAGTAACTTCCCGAGGATGGGTCGTCCGACCAGGATGTTTAAAGTCGCCAATAACCCCATCCACGGATCGACCAGACTCGCCTTCCTCCGTGTCTGACATACTAATGCTACGCCCCAGTCATTTTTCTCGGCTATGAAGGAGCTGAACTTCGACTGTCAAGAAAGCAAACATTTTCGCATTTTGACTCGCTGACCAAAATGCCAAAATGCCGTTGAGGACGAAGCCATAAGTCAATGGGCCAAAGACGAAGACAAACCTGCTTCCTATGTAGTCGAAAAGGAATCCCAAAGGACGATGCAGAACCCAGAAATCAGCTTCGTACCTGTTGGGATCAGATTACAGTTGACAACCGAGAAACCCTCGGACTTCAGCCAGATGCCAAAGTAGTCGCTGGCACCGCACGATGATCCATAAAGCACGTATCCGAGGACAAAGGCATACCATCGCCATCGAGTCAGTATACGCTTGAACGTTCTGAGCGTGATTTTTGCCGGTGCTGCTTTGCCTGCTTTCCGGACTCGCTCAATTGCTAGTTGCTTATCTTCTTCTTTGAGAAACCAAGCTTTTGTCGTATATGGAGTGCCGGGAAGAATAAGCTACGTCGCCAAACCTACAGGGACGGTCATTCACTAGCCATATCACAGTCAGTTTGGATCCAGGAAGGAATTGTATGGCGGCAAGGTGGAACAGAAACCTACCCTACAGACAATGTAGAGCCATCTCCAGCCTGCTAGCCCATGCTGACCATCTAAACTCTTGTACACAGCTGCTTGGAGGTAGCCTCCGAAGGCCGAACCAACTGGCGCAGTCATATGGAAGATGGCAATTCGCTTCGCCAATTCAGTTTTGGTGTACCAAGACCCAAGAACAAACAACAGTGCTGGGAAGAACGAGCTTTCGAAGAAGCCAACGAAGAATCGAATAACAGATAACTGCGTTGCATTTTGCACACCAGCTTGTGCAAAGGTAAAGGTGCCTCAGGCGATTTCCATGACCGCAAGTCAGTATGAAGGTCGAATGTACTGGATAATGATGTTTGATGGGATTTGCACAACCGCATATGCCACTGTGTAGGAGGTCACGGCATAGGTGTATTCATTACCCAACATATGCAGGTCTTCCTGCATACCACTCACATATGTATTGGAAAGATTTCCCTGGTCCAGGTACTTGAGGAAGAACCCAAGACAGCCGATGGAGAGGATCGAAAAGTCAAGTTCCGGAGCAGAACGCGCTCTTCCCCGGATTTCAACTGGGTGTCCGAATCCCAGATGAAGGAACGAAACTGAAACGCAATCAGTCATCCAAACATTCCAACGGTCAACCTGTCGTCTGCTTACATTCTTTACAATGCTTGGAACCATCTCGACGTTTCTCGCTCCTGGGAGTTCAACGTTTCTGAGGCGAACGCTCAAGCCCAAAAAATGACTGCAAAACAAGAGCATTTAAACAAGGTCACTTTATCTCACTCTGTCGCCATTCCCACTAACTGCCAGTAATATCGTCAGTTATTGGAATGTTCGCTATCATGTTTCTGATAAGCAACGGCCATGTTGCTAGACTTGGGGATGTGGTGGAGTTTGCGGAGCACATCATCACCAGGATTGTTGATGCCGTCACCAATTCGCTATAGATCGCTGATAATTGTACCAAACCCGTCAGCCCCTAAAAAACCTTAATCTTGTGCCGGAGTTTTATAGCTTGCCCCTTAGCTGCTTTCACGGGGTATCTTTACCCATTGGCCTACAACGCTATCATTGACACAAGGTGTGACCAGATTGATCACCTTGCTCCGCCCTAGTCTGAGCTCTAGCAGGATTTCGAGACCAGGGACATTTCTAAGAGTATCTACCAAGCCACGGTGTAAAAGAGTAGCCTAGCTAGCGGCCTAATAGAAGTGAAGTTTGTACAAGTCTGGGAGGTGGTTATCGTATCCGTATGCAGAGCTCCCAAAAAGATCTCGCTTTCAACAGCTTCTCGTTTGCAACGTGAAATGTTGCTTGTCTCTCTCTTGATGCTCAATCGATTAGTTCATCGACTCTGCTAGACACGCGGATCATGCAATACACTCACTCGCTCCGTGGCGCTACAAAATTTATATCGGGCGAAAGTGTGGCAAGGGCTGGGTAATGCCAACGCTAGATGTTCCCAGCACAAAGTCGGGTATTCAAAAATGACCTGTGAGCGTTGACAGCGCCCTTTTCCGCTGAATTCTACTTGGCAGACTAGGCTGATACTGTAGTCTGAGGTATTCCAGCTCGTCATGTCGACCTCGCCATGGGGTATTTCATCACTCGTGTGTACTTGTCAGGAACCTCTCTCCAAAATGCGAGCGGAACACCATGTGCTACACTCGTAGAAGATTGATAGCATGAATGGTGCTAATGAATTGCGAGAACTGGATTCCGGCCGCGTCAAAAGGAGTGTGTTGGCTTGCTCTCTCTCCAAAATCTATTTTGCCCGCGGACTTATCTAGAGCGATAGCGTATCTCTTATCCGGAGTGCTGACGATCAACTTACTCAAAGCCAGTAGAACGCGAGGTACAGAAAGTTGTGTGCTAAATTCAAACTCCTGGTATCACAGAGCTCTACTATCTCTTTTGATATACGAGTAACACATCTGTTGATGAGAATATTAACGCCTGCTTGAACCTATGATTCCCATTGGATTGTCTCTCTTTTTAGACTTGTAGTACTTTAAGGTGCAACATGGTTAGATTAGCTTCCTATTCCAGCACAAGATAGGTACGCAACGTGTTCAAATATACGAATCATACCTTCAGAGACCCATCCGCACCCAGTACACTTTTGAGGACCGTACCGAACTAAAAGCAGCTTTCACACAAAATAGCAAGCAAAAGAAAACGGCTCAGCTTCGCACGCTCGTATCTTGGTGGCCCCGGAACAGGAGTACATCTGTCACTTAGCGAGACTAAAAAGTGTACGGGACTATTTTCAGTAACAAACAGCCCAGACACCTAATCGAATTCATCAAAACTTTATCATTCCACTTGTAAATCACCATACAGATTATGTACATGTTTATTTATCGTCTGGATTCAATGTGGCTTCACCAGGCTACAAGGTTCCATCCTATTTTGGATATCATAGTCTCAAGTTCAAACCTAAATGGTAAAGGGAGATCACTAGTTACATCTCAAGCCGGTACCGGCAGGATTGAGACTTCTTTCCTGGTCTCGGTGATGGCGGGGGCACTGACCTTGGCTTCACGAGTAAGTCACCAGGGGTAATATCGAGGTTCAACCTGCGGTCGCGTCATCACAGTCTTTTTCAGCAATTTTCCCCGCTGGGACAGAAGTGGTGCTCAGTGCTGTAGACCCAAACTTAACAGCACCAAACAAGCCGTTCGGAGTGCAACAAATTACTAACAAACTATCCTAAAGCACGATATAGGATATTTTGCGTTTTCCCCTACATTGTCATTCGATTGAGCTTTGAATATGATTCTAATGACGCGTGGTCAGAACTGGTGACATTAAGGCCTTGATAAGCTACCTAAGTGCTGACCCGATCAGATGAACTTTTGTGGTATTAGGGGCAGCTCGACATAACTGCCCTCCAAAAAAATGGTGTGCTCTCCTTCATTACACCCTGTCCCAGCGCGACCGACTTGACACGACGGGCTGTAATCATTGAAATCTCGCCCCTGTATAACAACTTGGATAGTCTCCCCTTTACGGAACAATGTGGCAGAGGGTTGAATGCCAATGTCGAGCTCAACCTTCTGGTTTGGCTGGAGTGGTTGTACATCCTGCTCTCGGAAGGTGTAGACTACCTCGTCTCCATATGCGTGGTCGGCCACTTTTCTTTTCGATGCTGAGATCCAGCCCCAAGCCACATGGCCGTCATTGATAAATGAGTGAAAGGGGAAATGGACGATGTTGCCAGTGCGATCGCGCTTCTGGAGAGTCACAAAAACATCTGCATCTTTACCTGAGGAGATAGAGAACGCAAGATGCAAGCGCCCCGTTCCGGTAAATTCAGTTGGCTTCGAAAAGGTCTTCGTCCAAAGTACAGTACCCTCCTTTGCGCTGTAAGTGACCGCGTCCGATCCCTTTGTGGAGTTGCCTTCAAGTCGACCTTCCTTGCCCAGAAAGTATTTGACTCTCTGAGTGCGAGCGAGAGGAAATTCATTCTCGGATCTCCAAGAGCCGGCATAATGTTTCTCAGTCACATGTAGTCTGACAGGAGGCCAGAAGTCGACAGACTGGGCGAGGCGGTGATCAGGTCCCTCTAAGAACTTGCTGAAAAAGGCAAGTTGTCGCTCCAGTGACTCAGCTGTTAACTGCCATTCCCATTTGAGATACCTATATATGGGTCAGCATCACAATAGTATAGTTGGGATCAAGAAGAAAAATCGCACGGATGTAACTCGATAAACTTTTGGGCCGACTTTGCGGCCAGGTAGCCCCGTATGGATCCCGGAGTATGGACCCCGTTGTCAGCAAAGCTGGTGATGACGTAGACCGGACAAACTATATTCTCGATTCCAGCAGTATGCTGTTCCCAAAATTCGTTGTAGTAAGGATATCTCTCGCAAGCCGTAGCCACGTCAGTCACGAGAGACCCTTTTGCATTACCGTGTGCGAGATATATTTGATTCAGACCCTCCAAAAAGTTTTTGTGCAAGACACCCCCCTTGAATGCGACGTCACGGTACATGTCTGTCAGCGCATCTTGAACCATAATGCAAGCGAGATGTGGTGGCTGAAACTCTGCCGCAAGCCTGAGTTAATTTGGTGTCAGTCACCTCAAAAGTCTCTTCCAAGGGTTCGAGTGAGATACCATTGCACCGCACCAAGTGCACTTGCTCCAATCATACCAATACGACCATTGGACCACCCCACACTAGTGCCCATATACTCAATAACATCATACGCATCGAGGCCACTCAGCTTCGAGAGGAATGGGAGAAAGTCGCCCTCGGATGCGAAACTTCCTCTAGAATCAACAGCTACATAGGCATAGCCGTGTTGAGTCCAGAAGTGTGGATCGCTCCCCTCGAACAGCGTATACTTTGAGAAGTTGACCCCATTAAACCCAGCATCCCACTCTCTGCTCTCTGGGATTAGTGAGACATCGAAGGGGCTCTGTTTGCCATACGGAGTGATGGCGAGGACTACAGGCAACTTTGTGGCTTCTGATATATCCTGTGGCAGGTAAATATCTGCTCGTAGCTTGATTCCATCGCGAGTGGGAATGTCATGGTTGAATTCAATATTCATGCCAGCATCACTAAATCTGCGTGAGGATGGGTCGAAAGCGTCCCAAACCTCCTTTGGCCCACGAGCTGGCTGGAAGGGACACGAGTTGTGGTGAAAATCGATAGCGTCTTCGGTTGCAGAGAGAGCCATGCTGGCGCCTGATGATTGCTCAATGGGAGGAAAGAGGTTGAGCGTTCACAATTCAAGTCCAAGATCTGATAATTGTGATAGCCGCCAGCTTGACAATAGGTTATATCTGCATGATATACTGAGTGTGAGACCATTCTGGGTAAATAATGATGCACTTCTTTTGGGGAGTCAAAGTCAGATTCCCCCACCCCGGCCCCGCCGCAACCGCCAGCCCGGTAAGGGGGCTACCCATGGAATCACCAGCAGAAAAGGTTGGAAACGCGACCAACGCTGAGTTTGTGGGCAATAATAGTACCATTGACGCACGGAGGATCCCTGGTGATCACCTGTAATCCTCTTTCGTGCTGATTTGTAACTCAGCCATGGGGGACTTAGGCGCTGTTGCAGCGTCGATACCGCACTATATTCCCGTACTGATCGTCGGTGGAGGAGCAGTTGGTCTTACTGCATCACTACTGCTTGCCCGACACGGAATCAGATCATTGATTGTTGAACGACACAGAGCCCGTCTACCACAACCCAAGGCGCATGCTGTCAACCCACGGTCATCCGAAATCCTTCGCCAGATAGGATTTGATGTGAGCGGTCTGAGAGGAAAAGGAGCTCCAGTTGAAGAATCGGAATGGGTCAACTTTGTCACCACCTTATCTGGGGTCCTATTGACCAGAATCCCCTATGAGCGACAGGATACGCAGGTTCGGAAAGTTACTCCTGAACCTCTGTTCAATGTCCCCCAATATATCCTTGAGAGTGCTTTGGAGGAAGCAGTATTGCGGAGCGAGTTGGTTCAGATTCACCGCAACTGCAGTTGGAACTCTTGGAAGATCAACGACCAGCATCTCGTTGAATCTTCGATCACACAACGATCAGACGGCCAAAATCACAGCATCAAATCTGATTTCGTTGTAGGTGCAGATGGTACGGACTCAACGGTTCGGAAAACACTGACTAATGTCAGCTGGGCTGGTTTGCCAGGACAGAACTGCGAGAAGCTTTGGTTCGTGTCTATCTGCTGTCGGGGCGATCTATTATCGCTTGTCTCTGAGCTCGGTAGACCAGGGCAGCTATACTTCAGCTGTCTGCCCCTGGTCAAGGGTACTTTGATAGCCCACGATCTCTCAAGTAACTGGGTTCTCATTAGACGGGTGGATCTCGATGTGGAACCACCGAGCAGTTTCACTCAGGCTAGGTGTCAAGAGCTTGTTGACGAATTCATAGGGAAAAAACTGGACTATGAAATTGTCGCCGCTAATTCATGGTTTACAGAACCTCGTATAGCATCTTCATACTCTTCGGCCGATCATAAAATCTTCCTTGCTGGAGATGCTGCGCATTCGTTCCCTCCAACTGGAGGTCTGGGCATCAACACTGGAATGGCGGATGTACACAATCTTTGTTGGAAGCTCGCTTACTCGCTTCAGGGTAAATCACAGAATCCTGGTCGATTGCTCGAATCATATAGTTCCGAGCGACGACCAATCGCCATTGCCAATGCACAACAATCGTGGCACAACTCTCTGGTCTGGTTCGAATCTATGGAGAATCTTTCGAGAGATCTTGAACCAGATTTACCAATCGACGAGATCGAGAACAGGTTGCAAAACCCGGCATTCCTGGCGGCAGCAAGGGAGGCCCTGGAGGCCAATCGACTTCACTTCGACTCATTAGGCCTCCAGATCGGATATGCATACGGTCAACCGGACTGCGCTGTTCGATTAAGGGAAGATTGCTCCCGATATGAACCATCCATTAAATCAGGATATCGCTTGCCTCATTCGTGGCTGGTAGATGGAAGATCATCCTTGGATTTGATATCTGACACCGATATCACATTACTGGTACGAGAGAGTGTAGACTCGGACGCTGAGAACAAGATCACCATAGCCACAAACTACCCTTTCTCCGTGATCCTCCAATCAGCAGGTAAAGGAGACGCCGACAAACTTTTGGAATATCTAGGTCTAGACGTTGGTGAAGGACTCTTGATTCGGCCTGACCAGCATATTGTGGGAAAGGTCCGCTCTGCTCAAGATGTCGTCGGCTTATTGATGAATTCATTTTAAGAGCCGCAATATCATGCCGAGACACTATGTACACACACAATCCACTGGCAATAGACTATATTGTAACGCAAACTCTGGTCCAACTAGCCTTTCCCAACTTAGATCTTGAAGATGTCTAAGATAATTGTGAGTTTTGTAGGCCAAATGCTAAAGATTTAGCGCCGACCTTTCAGCCAAAACTAGCATTACCACCTTAATTTTGGGGGGCTTTTGACTTCGTCTGTCCATTTTTGTCATACTCTCGTCGGAGATGGGACAGTCTCGTGAAGTCATGGATGGTGACTAGGTTGTTGAATGAGGGGCCGGTGGGGATCGTATGCATGGGCTAGTCTACTCTCCACAGACAGCGGCAGATTCAACGAGAAAATAACTGGAGACAGGGATGGTTGGTAAGTAGTTAGTTGGGCGGTATACTTCCTTACATCTTCTGCCCGTGAAACTACTGTGTCTTCCCATAGCATATCGCGGTCTCGAAGCGTACTTATCAATTGTGCGCGCACTGACATCTCGAGCTTTTCAAGGATGTCCGGCATGGAACGGTTGTCCCACCCAGCCAGAGCGATATCAGAATTCGCACACATCACCGCGAACAATCGGCCTGGGACACCGCTTTACGACGCCACTACTGTCACCGGTATTCTGCAAGGGATGGTCGATCAGGCACCTGAGCTGAAAGACATTGCTGCTCCAATCTTGGTGAGTTCGGGGCTAAAGGCCATCTAGCTCGTTCAGTTGAGAGAGCCGAAGTGATGGCTCTAGCCATCAAGATCAAGAGCCTCGCTATTGAGGTTACAGCATGTTGACAAATTGTTCCAGGCCTCAATATGTATTGGCGCCCATAGGGCTGATATCGTCCCTTATCTGTTGGACTTGAAAATCACCGCGCATCCAGACCCTTCTGAGAATTCCCAGCTGTCTACAGTAATTGCCCGCTTCAGCGACGTCATAATGACTGTCTGGCCTTTTGTGGGGATTCCCTGGATCGTTCCAGCTGTTCTGGGGATTGGAAAGTGTTTGTACGATAAAGGCATTGAGGACAGTGCAGGATTCGCCAAATCCCGGTACGTCCATTTCCCTTGGTATACTTGTCACGTCAATTCCAGGTAGAAGCTGGTTTACCATTGGATACATGTTTTCGTGGTGCTGATAGGATATATTACTAACGGCTTTGCCTTCTTCTCGATTTAGCGGTCCTCTTTCGCCAGATGTTCACAATACCCTCGGTCGAGCAACGAACAAAAGGACGTACAGTAAGGTCAACAATCCTGAGGTTGGTGCAACCATTTCGACGTACTTTCCGGAATTTAGCAACACCATTGTGACTGTAATATTTGGGTACTCGATGGGTGGAACTACCATGTGCGGTCGCTATGAGGACTTCGAAACGCAGCTGCTGGTGATGAGTGCCATCAGTGCCAGTGGAGCAACCCGTCAAGCCATTTCTCACACAAAGGCGAGCTTGGGGATGGGCAATCGGATAGAGGTGGTGGAGGCAGTTGTGAATGCAATCCGGAAGTTTACTACCTGGAATGGAGAGCCGGTAGCCAAAGTTGATGTAAGAGAGCTTGCGAGGGAGGTGGCCAGCAGTTGAGATTGGCGTGGCGTCGTATCAAAAATTAAGATTGAGAGTCTCGAAAACTGTCTGGGAAGGCCTCATTTTTGTGAGAATCATATTGCCACTCTGGGCCAATAGACTGAGGGGCAGCCAAGGTCTCCGAAGTTATCATTCTGGTCAGGGAGAGGGAACACTGGCAGCAATATCTTTCAATAATTGTACAAGTCCCCCAACCAACCATTGAGACAGTTCCTCACTGCCTTGGGTCTTGTCGAGTATGATGTCTGCAACAACAGTGGCAACATCCTGGGGATTTCGCAGTGAAACAGGAGGGGCACCTTCTGTCGTACTGGCTTGCAGCACAGGTTCCCAGAATCCGCTTACGAAAAAGTCTTCTGCTGTAGTAATGTCGTCGCCGTTCAGACACAAGTTGGGAAGCAGGGCGAGGTCTTGACGAGTCAAACTCCCTGTTCGCCGTTTGAGCCATGAGTAGCCTAGAAGGAATAGCCCGGCTTGATACACCATGACCACGTGAAAACTGCTCAATGGTCTGTTGATCTGCGGGAAGATGCGGAGGATCTGTCCCGCATGCCAGATGGTCTTTCTGCTCTCCTGAGTGTTTATCCAAGGCTCCATTACGCATGACATTTTCTCAGACGCTTTTTGGCCCGTTCGTCCTAGGAGCACCTCGAAGTCGTCAATGGACGAATCCGTGACCATGGACAAGTAAGAAATTGCAATGCCACTTAGAAGGCTCGAGAGAGCATGGGTTGTTCTGGCTAGATTGCCAGTGACGCGCCTAATTTCGTTCTTCCAATTGGCATGTACATGAGCTCGTAGCTTGAAGGGCGATCCCATCAGATGATTTCCAACAACAGAACCTGTTAACTGAAGTGCAATTATCTTGTAGGCAAACGCAAAGTCGAAGAATCCTTCCGAGAGTGGGGCTGTCATCAGCGACGCTAGCAGATCCTCGGCCGTTGTTGCTTCATCTGACTGCGGAGTATACAACTTGTTCCATTCCGTTTCTGTCCTGGCCATCCATAGAGTCCTGGGTTGCGGTAAAGGTTGACGGAGGACGTCGACGGCTAGAGATGGTCGGATGCCGAGAGCGGCGGCTCTTTGGTTTTCAAGGATTGAGAATCGGGCCACTAATCGGTTTCGGCTTTCCCAAGTTACCCATTGCTGCCAACTACTCTCTGTCAACTCACTCTTTGCCCAAGCAGCCGTTGCTCCAACATCTTCTTGCCCAGCATTGGTCCGCCAGCTCAACCGTAGACAATCATTCAAAAGTCCTGACAGTGAACTCCCTTGAAGCAGGCAAGAATGGTCGCAATTCCACGCTTCGACCTCAACGCTCAAGAGAAGAGCTTGCAACAAAGAGATATTAGTGGAGCAATCGTATTCGCATTGAATTCGTCGATTGAGTCGGGCCTGAATAATTCTACACAGCCGAGAACCCCACCGACGAAGGCTGTAAATGTGAGAGTTTAGCGCACTCCATGCCAAAATCATACTAGTAAGGTCGAGATCTGTCAGTGCCGGACTAAAGGCGGCAGAATGGATCCACGAGTCGACCTTTTGGTCTTGCTTTCTGAAAAACCTGTCCAACAGAATATCAAGCAGGCGAAGGGACGGAAAGTCGATATGGGGAGAAGGTCCATCACAAGGCTTCCCCTCACTTGCCATGAGAGCGACCAAAGAATCTCGCGTCCTTTGATCAAATCGCTGCGGTACTGCAGACCAGAAATTTCTAGAAAGATGCCGAATTAAGTCCAGATCTGAGGTGGAAGCTGCCGCTCCTGTGTCTGACTGATGCACCGTGGGGCTCTTGAGGCCTTGAGTCAGCCATGGAGAGTTCTGAAAAGCGGTCTCCGTCTGATTCATCTGCTTTGATGGAAACTTTTCCAACGTTGTAGGCTCGGGGTTACGGTTGGCCAATGTTGAGAAGCACCAGCTTAAAGGAAAGCCATCCTCGATATCATCTGAAAAGAAATCGTCCAGCAAGGCCGCACTGGGTTCCAAATCAAAACTGACGGACCCGGATTGACCACCACCATCTTGATCAAGAAGAGTGATATCCTTGGGGCTCAGACTAAGCAATTGAGCCGTGTCATTCATAGGCAGAAAGATACCAGGAAACTGATTATTTGTCAGTATTTCAGGGTGGTCAATATCTGGGCCCATCGACAAAGGATTCCCCTCTGCTGCACTGCCCACCCTCGCCGCTGAGGTTGTATGGTACTGGGAGAGAAGCCCATCAGTCCAAGGGACGGATACATCTGGTGAAGCAGGACGTTCCACGAGGGCTAGTCTGGCTGTGGTCACAGGCTTTGCCGTTGTAGAAGAGTTCGAGGTGTCAGGGAGACAGTCAATCGCGCGCGTCCGGCAGCGACGACAGGGTTTCACATCATCACATCTCGACTTAGCGAGGGCACAAGTTTTGCAAGCCTTCTCAACCCGACCAAAACTTGATTTTAGGTACGAGTTGGAGACTGGCGAAGATTCGTGGAGCTGGAGATGTCTCCGTAACAAGTCCCTAAGACTTGTTAGTAACCTTGCTAGAAGGGGTCAAAGTCACTGCACTTTCTAGCAAACGCTTTGCCACAAGAAGAGCATTTGTACTGCCTTTCATTGGCATGACTTATGACATGCCTGCTCAAGTGATCACGTCGCGAGTAAGCCTTGCGACACTGTGGACATTGGAAGCGGTTTTGGTCTTGCCGGGGCTGAGGTGAGCTAACCGGTACCTCGTCGCCTTCAATGAGGTTGATGCGGCCTCCCTCAAAGTTCGTGGTATCAATATCAGTTCCCATTTCCTTCCCAGCGCTGATGTTCCTGAGATCTAGGTATTAAGCTCGGATTCGTGTCCAATCCATACTCCCAATGGACCGATCCAAGTGTGAATAATTTCAGGTTGAGTTTGATAGCGGTGCTGCTTACCAACGCTGATCGTTGTGTTGTTCCTGCGCCTAGGCTTGCTTCCCTTAGTAGGCTTGGCGGTGCGGGGGTCTCCATACAACCTTTGGATCCTCGAGGAGTCCCCGCCCCCTCCGGGGCCACCGGCTTCTGTGTTGTGGACTCAGCCTTGTTTGCATCAGGCAGGTTGGTATAGTTGCATAAAATCATGCGGTATCAGGATAAGTGCAAGGTTGTAGAAGTTTCCAATCTGCCACTATCTTCTATCTTCTCTATCGAGATTATAACCGTCAATGTTGCCACTTTTGTAGTAGTATTGTTAGTTGTGAGCATCTGCTACTTTTGCAGGCGTATTTTGTACAACCAGTATCTCCACCCCCTTGCCAAAGTTCCAGGGCCGAGATGGGCGGCTGCAACATCACTGTGGTTGTTTGTCAAAGAAATGCACGGAGATGGTCATGAGCAGATCTACCACCTTCACGAGAAGTATGGTGAGCATAATACGGACCCACCCAGTCGCCGAGATACTTGTTGAACTAGGGTGGCAGGTCCTCTGATCAGGATTCAGCCGAATGAGGTTGCAATCAATGATATCGAGCATTATCTCGAATCCATATACACTCAAAACACCAAGTTCACCAAGGCCCCTTCCTACTACAATGCGTTCGACTTTCCCCGTAGCAATGTTTTCTCCGAAACCAGCAGGGAGGTCCACTCCCAAGAGAAGCGCCTCATGTCACACGCTTTCTCCCGGAAAAATGTCGTTGGCATGCAAGACACTTTCTATGATAGTGTAGAACGATGGGTCGCCCAAATCAAGGCGTCTATTTCGAAAGGGAACCCCATTCCGTTGTGGCACGATACGCAATGTCTCAAGCTTGAAACAGCTTCGAGGTTCAGCTACGGTTCCTCAGATGGTGCTCTCAAAACCGATAACTTCGCCCACCCCATATTCTTGGGAATCGAAGGATTTGCACCATCCGTTGTTGTTTTTCAGCATTTCCCAATAGTTCGCCATATCGCGATGCTAGCACAACGGCTCATGCCTTCCGGTCTCCCCGATATCAACAAGGTAAGTTCCGAGCGATCACACAAGGTCTTCCACCGAACTATGTAACACTAAGTCCTGTGGCATGCAGGGAGCTGCGGAAGGGCTGGTGAGGCTGCGAGAGAGAAAGTTAAGTGGTGAGACAGCAGGCATGATCATATTCGATAGTATGATGGGAAAAGCTCAGTCAAAAGGCATAAATCTGGACCCCGACAGATTGGTTTCAAATGGTGGGCTTATGTTAATTGCTGGTGAAGTGCTCCTAAATGCTATGCACCATGTTAATGAAGGAGAAGCTAACAAGAAGAGAATCGAGTAGGTACTGGAACAACTGCGATATCTCTGACCACTGCACTCTGCCATCTGGCAGCTAGACCTGAGCTTTGGAGGGCTTTGCAATGTGAACTAGACGCCAGTTGTGGTTTCAAACAGCGACCTGATATCACACCCTTGGAATCTGTACCTCTACTAGAATCATGCGTGAAAGAGGCTGTACGAGTTGCAGTGCCAATTCGAGGAAGACATCCACGAGTCGTACCAGCCGGTGGCTTCACCTACAAAAGCCTACACTTCGCTGAAGGGGTAGGCACCTCACTGACTCATGTGGAATACTGATCAACTAAACATCCCCACAGACAATACTCAGCGGTAATCCAATAAATCACTGCCTGGATCTTATAGTGTCTCCAGAACCTTACAAATTCAAACCAGAGCGGTAGATGGTAGAGGAAACCACGATGATGCAGAGATTCAACGTCCCCTTCACCCGTGGGACAAGAAATTGCCTCGGTCAGAAGTAAGTCATTCTCCGAAATTTTCCACCCCAATGCATGGCCTGAAGGCTAACATTAAGCAGCATTGCACTAATTGAACTCAAGATTGCTCTAAGTCAGATGGTTCTACAATTTGATCCTGTGGGACCGGTCGATTCAAAGATCGAGTATGTGGAGCATGGAGGTCTAACATCATGTAAGACTCTAGTGCCTGTGAAGTTTCGGTTGCGTCTCAGGTAGTCAGCTTTTATAGCTGTACTTTTTAGTCTAATTTGCGATGTTGGCAGCAAAGAAGACCACTTTTTCTACAGCAAACTCCTTGACATCTAAATCGATTTCTGAGCTAGGAGCCGCTGTATTACTCTTCTAGTTTCGATCGGTCATTGTAGAGCCAACCCTTATATGCTTACCTCAATCAAATTTATAGCTTTTGGCCGGCTTCCCTGATTGAATTGCCGTAATCTCCACCATTCTGAAGTCTCATGACTGTGAATATGAAAATTCATAGTCTTCGTATTCGTCAACCATATCCCCTATGATGGTCCAACTCAACAAGCAGAACTGGGTTTTGAATGCGGTAGTAGGATGGATCTCCCTTGCAATAGCCATCAATCCAACAGAAATAGGTCTTTTCAAGGTGTTGCAGAAAATCCTCAACCCTGTTTGCTCTTGCCTTCGGCGTCATCCAAAGCTGAAAATTCTCTACGATCTGGATTATGAGCTCTTTTGCCGGCCTTGAATGTCTTTCAAGCACAAATCCTCGTGAGGAATGATTCGATTGTCTTGGAACGCCCCACCAAGATGTCGCTCATCTGCGAAATGCACTCTCCCTGGTAGCATTCTCTCGTCCTCCATATCTTCGAATAGCTGCGCCTGTTGCCTCTCTAACTCTGCGAGAGACTGCATGAACTCCAAGGCAAGTTTTCTTTCTGGCTGGGGAATATGCGTTCCTTTGAAAGGCCCATTATCGATGTACGTCGGCTCCGCTCCACAAAAGGGTAGGTGCTATGATGTCCGTGGAGCGACCCAACCAATGGCTCTATGGCGTCTGGTTTTCCAAAGATGAGGACGTTGGAAGATAATTCGTTCATGATCCCGGGAGCATTGCAAAGCTTTCCAAGAAAGTGATTTATCCTTCTGGACGCGAACGATTTTTAGTAGCCTTCCTCAGACAGTGTGGACGCAACGATGGCGCCCGCTTTGTTAAGCAGATCGCGATCAAGAGGCTCGAGCCGAATACCATTGTCATTGGTGAGAAATTCTGGGTTTGACCATGCTCGCCACTCTGGCGTAGTCGTGTCATATTGAACTTGTGATCGCACTTTAAGCAGAGCGTTCAGAAATCCGTTGGCACAGGCAGCGATCCTGTTTCCATCAATGTCATCGTCCCTTTCTTGGTAGAGATTCTCCAGCAAAATCCCTATTGTTCAAGTCAGCAATTTGGAGCTAGTATAATCTTCGTAGAACTTCACTATCGGAAGTGATACCAAAATATTCCTTGTTGTAAAGCTCTAGCAAACTCGCAAACTAATCTGCTAGAAATGGCAGAGTCTTCGCCCAGTCGACATGGGATTGGGCAGTCTACCGTTCGATTTGGCGGAAGCGTGGCGAGCTTAAATCTAGCAGGTGGGCTCTAAAAGCCTCATGGTTCTGCTCCAAGGCTGCGCCCATTATATGCCTGGTCCTGTAAGTAATGCTGAGATATCAAATGCTCCTCGCTAGATGGACTGTGCTCTGTGTTTTACACTTCGAATCAATCATGTGCTTCAGGTGTCTAATCCTACTAGATGGCCCGACCCCGAAAGAAGGTCTCCATGAATAGCATCTTGGCAGATAATTGTCAGATTTCCCACGCTTTCATCCTCCTCACATAACGCAATTCCACCTCCTAGGGCTGGAAGTCCCCCACCGGCCCACCCCACCCGGGACATTGGGTACCTCAGACCCTAGTCGCGTACGCCAGCGACAACATTTGGGTTTTGCAAGCGTTTACAAAGAGATAACACGTTGTCCATGGACTTGATGAACTGGGTAGACTGCCTCTGGACGTAGCCATAACAGAATATGTTCAAAGATGTCGCAGTACGAGATCCTGCCGTTGGATCTACTTCATAGCCCTCTTTTGAGTCTGCTCAAAGGGTTGCCCCTTCTGGCATTTGCTTTCCTCCTTGCTCGGTGCATCAAGCGGCGCTACTTTTCCAAATTGTACTCTATCCCTGGCCCATTCACGGCATCAATTACGAGAGCATGGCGCGTCAGGGAAGTCTACAATGGTCATGTGGAGAAAACAGAAATTGAGCTGCATAAAAAGTACGGTAAGTGCGATTCTATCCACGCGGAAACTTATTTTGTACTCTTCGGGCTCTTACACTATTGGCAGGGCCTCTCGTGCGCACAGGGCCTAATGAAGTTATCACCAATGATCCGAAAGCGCTCGAAGTATTTTACGGGATCGGGAGTAAATTCCCCAAGGCATGTCTAAGTTCTACACCACCTATGTGAACCGAGGACTGACGGTCTCTTGCGACGCACAGTCAGATTTTTACAGGGCATTTGCACAACCAGATGTCTGGGGCATCAATGCATTCTCTGCACTTGATAATGCTACGCACAGCAGACTGGCTCGATACATATCCGCGGCGTTCTCTATGACATCCATCGTTGAGCTGGAGCTATATGTCGATAATTCTCTTGCTTATTTTATTGGTAAGCTCGAAGAATTTGCTAAATCTGGCGTTCATGTCAACATGAGTCAGTGGTTTCAATGGTATGCCTTTGACGTCGTCGGAGAGCTCACATTGTCCACGCGTTTCGGGTTCATGGAAAAGGGGGTGGACATTGATGGGACAACTAAAGTAATCGACTTCTTCAATGGATACGCCACATTTGTTGGTCAAGCGTTTCCATATCACTGGCTGCTTTTGGGGAACCCATTGGTCAGGATGTTTTTGAAGGCCCCTGCCGGAGTGCTCATTGAGGTAAGTAAGGTTCTCAAAAGGCAGATACTAGATACTACATCTAATAAAACTTTAGTTCACTGCTGCAGAAGTGAAGGCTCGACAAGGCCGTCCAACGAATCGACGAGATATGCTCTCTCGCTTTTTAAAGGCACATGAAAAACACCCCGCCGAATTTCCAATGGATGACGTCCTTCGGACATGTTCGATGACTCTGTAAGTGTTGACCACTGGTCTTGACACGGGGACCAAGTTAATCGTTCACGCAGAACAGCTGGCTCTGACACGACTGGGATTGCCTTGAGTGCTACTCTCTATCATGTCCTCAAAAACCCCAAGGTCTATGCGAAACTAAAGGATGAGATCGACCAAGCAATCGACAACCGAAAAGTCTCCACGCCTTCAAAATTTCGAGAGATTCAGGAACTACCCTATCTTCAGGCAGTCCTTAAAGAAGCAATGAGATTTCATCCATCGGTTGCTGATATTTTGCCACGAGTCGTGAGCGAAGGAGGATGTACTATTGCTGGAAGATTTTTACCTCCGGGTGTAAGCTGATAAATGAACATCACCGCTTGCTGTATGAGACATGGCTAACTTCAATCTTGCAGACACGTGTCGGAGTGAATCCCTATGTCCTCCATCGCGACAAAGACATATTTGGAGACGACGCAGATGATTTTCGACCCGAACGTTGGTTAGAACGCGACGAAAAACTCATGCAGCGCTACATGCTCCAGGTAACCGTTTAATCTTACCTAGAATCTTCTGAGGCTCCCGAGACTGACCAGCCAAAAAACTATTAGTTTGGACAGGGATCCAGGATCTGTGTTGGCAGACACATTAGCATACTTGAACTGAATAAGACGCTGGTCGAGGTGATTCGGAATTTTAATATTGAGTTGACGGACCCAAATTACGAGATGACGAGCACGAATCGGTGGTTTCTCAAACCTCACACTCTTCCATGTGTGTTCAAAAGGCGTGTTCTCAGTTGACCTCGAATCTTCGTGCCTCCTATAAGGACAATGCTCCGCCAACCATGAGGGACAACTGTTGACTGCATCATAGGTATTAGTTTAGACGTGGTAGATTTCCCTGAATGCTGATCATTTGCTTTTACCTTGTCATCATCGAAGCTGAGTCAGTGAGGCTATTGAAGTGATAACTATGCTCGAGGAGTTCACCAGGGAGATCAAGCGGATTATCTCAGACGAGGTTATCGCAAGGGAACTTTGGATACGGCAGGTTTGAATTTGAGCTAGCACAAGGCGCTGGTGAAACTAATTGAAGTATCGAGGACTCATATGCCGGGTAACCAGCCAGAAAAGGGAACAGCGAACCCACATCGAAGAGGCCCAAAAACAGGAACCCACAATACAGGCACCAAAGCGGGAGTTTTCTATGCAATGAAAGAACTTTATCATTCTTAGCAGGACAGTGCAAAAAGCAAGGGTGGCCACGGCGGCTCAGGTTGTGACCAGGGGGAACATCCACCTGAGGCTCAGTCCTTGTAGTTCCCCACCATTGGTGGTGAAATTTATTCCTACCCGCCCATGGTGTCTTGAGTGACCGGTCTCGGGAGAGGCCTGCACAAATTCACTTTCCTTACAGCCTGATCAAGGCTAAGTTAGCGCTGCTCCCGACTGCGCCCCCTCTGGGGGACGAGGATGCTGGTGCTGCACAGTCCTTCACACCTCTTGAGCGATGCAGACGAGAGGTCCCGATGGCTACCACGCCATTGAGCACGGCTGAGTGGACGGATTTTAAAGGGAGAGTTGCTGAGCTGCAGTTGCATGCTCGTGGGCCCGATCTTGAAAGGTCGACCACCCAAATGCGAGAATGGCAGCAAAGCCCCAAGCCACAAGGCAACCATGCAGCAACCCAAGGGGTATCATTCGCATCTGGTCGAGAAACCAAATCAAGCTCTGGAATTCGCCCTGACATTTCCGTTTGTCTAACTGGCCTTATGTCCCCCTCAATCCATCATCATCACCACTACCCGTTCTCAATATTACTGTGTTGAGTGTTATTCTCTAAGAACAGTGGCACTCGAAATGGAGAGCTCGTCAATATCAAAGGGCACGAAGAGCCTAGGCTCAGCTCGCATATGTGTTGCTTTGGACAAATCAGGCAGCACAGCTGGGCACACCCTCAACATCGAGCGAAAGGCTGTTCAGGAAATTTACAACCTCCGCGTTCCAAACAACCACAGTTCTTTCCGTCTTATCCCTTGGAGTGACGACGTCCAAGATCCCATCGACCTCCCCAACGAAGTCAGCCTAAAAGGTATCCAGGGCCGCGGTGGGACCAATCCGGCAGTCTTATATGACCTCAACTCCTGCGTCGAGACTCTAAAAGATTGTGACGTGTGGTTCCTTCTCACAGACGGCGAGATTGTCGATAATCTGGTTGAAAACTTTGCTTTGCGGACCGCGGAACTCGGCCTCCATAATAAGCCATGCGTTATCATTGTCTTTGGTAGCTCGAGCACTGGATCGCCTGCGAATGGCAACATTTCTGTTGGTATCGCTACGTTCGCTGTCGTTCCCGACTGCCTGTTTTTGTTTCATGACCTTGAAAGCGATGTGGTGAGACTGATGCAGGCAAAAGGTCGCTTCAAAAACCTGGTGTCGGTGAACAATCACCGCTCTAACCCACTCATTACAAAATATACCACATGGGCAGAGCTACCAAAAATCTCGTACTCGGATCTGTTCTGTCTCCAGATAGAGACGACCGATCCTTTGCGGAGAGACGAGATAGCCTTACCGGGAGGTCTGATCGTTCAGCTGGACGAAGTACTCAAAGGAAATGTGGATGCTGCAACCATGGAGAAAATCGTCAAGGATGAGGATAATCTCAAGAGCATTATTATCTCATCCATGACGCGAGGCACAGGAAAGACTTTGGAGTCCTGGTTAGCAGCTCAATTGAAGCCGATGCCAGAAGTCAATCGTCATAGGGAAGACCTTGATAATAAAGCTAAATCTACATTAAGGCATCTTGTTGAGGCCCTGAGGACTGGAGTCGGTCACCTTGAATTGGAAGGCCTCCGAGCGGATGTGAGAAAAGCACACCACCAAAACTGGAGCAACTTCAGAGACCAGCGCAGAGGGTTTAATGACATGCGCAGAGACTATAGAAGGATGCAACAGCACGTGCGAAATGGAATGGATATGTGTTACACCTATGGGCGAATGGATAATGAGTGGATGTGTCGAGATATGGGCAAGCCTGACTCAGAAGGCGAAGTACTAATTATCACGCACGATGATTCCAATCGCTGTGAACCTGTCTTTCTGCCTGGCTTCCACCGTTCCGAGAGGGCCGCCGAATTCGTTGGCCGCTGCATGCTCTGTCATGAGGAGAGAGTTCTCTGCCTGTTGTTCAAAGTCGCGCCGGATCTCAAGACGGACAATTTTCCTCCAATTGAATCTTTCACAAAGGTTGCATTCCCTCTTGCAATGGCAAACTTTGCTGAAACAGATGTGTTGTCTTTTTTCATCTGCTGCGACTGGTGCGGATACTACCTTGAAAGAAGCACAGCTTGTCCATACACTGAAGATGAGATCACATTCGCCTTGTGCCTTGTGGGAATGGAGGAAAACCAGAAAACTTGGGTGGAAGCACTGGACACGGTACTAAAAGGAAGATTCGACATTTCCGACACGAAAGCCATCTTTCTAGCGATTCTCAATTACAAAACCCTTGACAACAGTTTACGAGATGCCGACGAGACGGATCAAGATCTCTTCCGTGCTTGCGCAGATTGGGTGACTCGGCACCTCCTGGAAATCACGGAAGTATCTGCGGCGCTTAGTCCCAACTTCAGCCAGAATCCAAACTCTGATCTCAGAGTCCCTCTGCAAAATCTCCTGGCCGCTCCAGACTTTGCAGAGCCGGAGCAGCCTCAAAATGTGGATCTCCTTCTCATCAGGTACCCCATTGCCGGGTTTACCGTTCTGTTACGGCTGCTTCAGCTACGTGGACTCGGAAAGGAACGCATACAGGCCTTGACATTCTTTCGTGTTATGTTCCACGTGATGGAGCAGCTCTTCATGAGACGAGCATCAGGAGGAATCGAGCTGTTTGTGGAAGATGTGCTCGGACGTGAGCAGCCACCAGAAGATCAGGGGCAAACCCAGAGGGTCATGAACGGCATCGGTCTTCCAGTCGAACAGCTCAAAGCCCACGATCTGCTGGACCAAGAGACATTGGTGAGCCTGGAGGCGATTCCCGAATTTTTCGTGATAAAAGCTGGAGCCGGACCAGCAATGCAAGTCTTCCTACATTGTCTTTTCAGACATAGCAACGTCTCTGCCTCAGCTGTCGCATGTTTCAACAAATTGAAGGGCTTGGCACCGATGCGAACCGTTTTGAAGGCGCCACTTGCCATCAGTGCCGGCCTCTCGGCAGATCTGATCTCGCAAATCTGAAGCATGATAGTCGAGCCTTTCCATACTGGCTAGCTTAAGTCAATGTCTACATCGCGTTCTCAAACTTAATTGTTATGCGTATTCATTTCCCTAATTGCTGATTCCACGTTCTATTGGCGTGTCACTCCACTGTACATCGAATTGGTGTCTTCGGAGAGGAAATGTGGGACGTCCCCATATCCAGACTCGTCGTCCACTACTGCCTTCTGCTTTCCTTTCCCCATTCCCTTTTCTTCAGGTTGCTGCCTAAAAGGCAACAAATCGTGACTGAATGTTTCCGAGTGCTCTAGCATTTTTGGCTGTCTCTCGGCTGGTAAAGACGTGGCACATCCTCCTATACCTGGACTATTCCAAAAATGTGCATTTGAGCTCTGCCACAAGGGTCCGTCTGCCGCACTGAATGTCGTGGATGGAGTATTGAAGGATGCCTGCATTGAGAACGTCGAGCGAGTAGACGAGGTCAGCGGGGTTGGAGGCGGTGCACTGGGGGCGAAGCAATATTGTTAGCATTATATATTGAATCGGTTGCTGGTAGGAGCTGAGGTCGAGCAACTGACCCGTTCATTCTCATCTGCCCAAGGGCTATCCACGATGGCGGGAAGCGACTAGCATACGGCCTCCTCGAAGTCCTGGCTTGGTCTGCACTAGTAATCACATCGCAATTGCCAGAATACTCTCTCAACTTAGCTGGTTTCGATATCGATGCGTATCTCTTTGCGGATGGCTGCTTCGAAGATGCTGTACATGCAACTGGACGGGCGGGAATGATGGCACTGAGCGATCTGGGATCGCTTGAGTTGGGCTGCAAGGCTTTCTGCGCTGGATCGACCGCCCACGAGCTTGGAAATGAACCTGCGTACTGACCCATCCCGTGATTGATATGAAGATCGTGGGCACAGTGCGAGTGGGTAGCTTCCGCAGAAGACGCAGCTAATAAGGCTGTTTCTGCCTGACTGCCGAGTTCGTTGGCAAGAAATGTGGTGCAGACCAACCAGCTGCTCCAACCTTGCATTGGTGGGGGTTAGCGATCATCGTTCTCAGCCTGATTCTGGAATTATGGACATTCCATACTGGTGAAGGCCTTTCTTCCTCAGAGAACGCCTTGGTCTCCAGGAATACTAATCGCAGTGGCAGTGGAGATATTGATCTTCCACTGCGAGGCCAAACAACAAAACCAGCATCAATCTCCAAGAAAGTTTACGGGTATTCCAGGCATCGCTTCTGTCTTCAGAGACATCCGTGAGATCTCTCAGCCTTGCGGCGGACGGGGGTGAGTTGAAAGCTATCGACCCCCTAACCCGAGTCACTCCTCACTTCTTGCAGAGTGCCAAGACGACATCCTCGACCATGACGGTCTGAGTGCGCACATCAATGTAGGGTATACTCCTCGCACGCAAACCGTTATCTAGAAATTCATGTCCCAAGGCTGATGATGCTCGCGCATAGAGTTCAGATTCGCAGACGAAGATCGTGGATACTTAGTACGAATTGCCAAAACATGCCATTTTTCAATGAACCTCTGGCTGAATCCGCACTTGGACAGCTTTGTAAACCGACTTTTCGTGAAGAAAGGCTCTTCGACGCAGAAGGACTCAAGGAAACTCTGCTTGACCCCAGCATCTTTTCAACTACTCCGATCAAAATTTGACCTCCCATCATCATTCTTGACTTCGCTAGCCAACATTCATCATCCATCGCCACGGAGCTTTCCATGCAGGTGTGAGATCTCGGACCGTAGTCTCAACTATTGGATGTTTATTCCTGTAAGGATTCAAGTCGAGAGCACTGGCGGTTTTAGCGACGATGTAGCCAGTGGCAGTGATACTGCCCAGCGCCGAGCCTACCGCTCCAGGATTGGAGGCCAAATGAACCCCCGGAATTACTTGCACCTGCCGCACTCTGGAGTGGATATTCGAGGTTCGAAAATTGCAGTCTTCTTCTCATTCAAGAATGGCGCGAAACCCTCTTCTGCCCTGATTTTCGACTTCTTCGATGGTTGATGGAAGAAAATCATTGAAGAGCCTGTTAAGCGGTTCAAGGAGGCTCTGAGCAGCTGTGCGGACAGGCTGCATGGTTGTGATCCTATTTACCTGCAAGCAGCTATCCTCACAAGCAGCCTCCGCTGGTGGAATAACTCTATAAACAGCTTCAACGACCAGCTCATAGCATACGTACGACGACCATCCCTCACCAGAGTCCGATGATGCTTGACTGATAATTTGTTTCCAGGAAGAAGAACTGCTGCGTCAAGAACTGTCACCCAATGATCATTCTCAATCAAACTCAAAAATGAATCGCTCTCTCCATAGCATGGCAGCCCACCTGCACAGGTACGGATCCGAAATCAAGTACATCGCTGACACCATTGAAGACATCGAATGGTACAACAAGGAGTTCCACACAGACTTCGTCAAAGTAGGAATAAGGTCGCCACAGACACTCGGATCATTCATGAAGAGTTTTGGGGAGATCACGGCGCAGATGACAGCCATCTCTTGCTTTCGGGACGAGATGCAACAGAAGATCGACAACGTGTTGGCGCTGGTAATCTCCTTCTTTCGTCATCAGACACCGAGACTGAACAGTGGATACTGACTCTGGTAGCTCGTTGACAATATGCAAGCCATGAATGATCGACTGCTGGTCCAAAACAGCAAGGCCATGCAGGAGATTCTTGCAGCGAGCAAGGAAGAAGCCAAACAGTCCCGCGAGCTAGCTGCGCAAACCCAGGAACTGACCAAAGAAATGAACAATATTTTAAAAGCCAATCAAGATGAAACGGCAGTATTGCGTCGCCTAGCTCACCAGACACATCGCTTAACTGAAGAGATGCGGAAAGACAGTGTATCGATGAAAACTGTAAGTATGGCGACCTTGGTCCTTGCTGGATACTGTCTGGATGTAGGACTAACACCTCTCGATAGGTCGCCTTGTTGACAGCCTTTTTCCTCCCGGGCACTTCCTTTGCGGTAGTACTCCCAATTTTCGTGCTACATCCAGAACCAGGATGTGCTCATCTCCGCTGTCAATGGCTAACGCTTTTCGCAGGCCATCCTTGAGATGCCCTTTTTCAGCCAGAACCAATGGCTTGGTAGCATCGGGCGAGTCTGGCTGTGGGTTGCGCTCACGGTCCCCGCCACTTCTATGTGCTTCTGGTTTTACATCTCTTGGGGTCGTCATGAGTCCAGGAGGAGCAAGGAGCTCAGAGATGCGGACGCAGAGATGATAAACGTTGGAGCGGCCCGATGATGATCGGAATTAATGTGGTCGTCCCGGAAATTACGGGACAAGCTGGGATATTGACAAAAGTGAACGAACACGGGTACACGGATGCGGGCTGAGTATATCTATATATTTCTGGGACTCACTAAATCGCACGAGCTTCCGCAAGGCCCTGAGATTTAGTTCTTGAAACACCATCGTTCCAGTCGTCCGCTCTTTCTCAGAACAGTCGAACAATATTCGATCCCGATTTGTGGAACATCTCTGATGAAAGGAAAACCACAGCCTTCTAGCCAGGCTTGTTAAGGGGAACTCAAATAGAACTCTGACATTCAACAGAATGCATCCATACCCACGCCTTGGTGCTTGAAAACATGTAAGATACTACAATTAATCATCTGTAAGGAAAAATTCATCACAATGTCATGTCCTTCGAGTGGGACTTGCTTCGGGTTCGTCTGAAGCCTCCACTCTCACAAGAACTTCCTCCAAGAAGCCTTCCAGAAATTCAGTGACTCCTCCACCCATACCAACAGGACATTCCTCATCGCATTTCTGAATCTCGTAGAATAGACCCGCTGTCTTGGCTATCAGTCGTCTAACTTTCTCGTGTGTCTGGACCCTTTGCTGTTGGATTTCTGCAGCAGCAGAAGGGCTCAACTTGCTGGATCGTGCCTGTTCTTTTAACATATATGTTCGTCGATGCATTGCAGCTTCAAGAGCTGGTATTAATACAGAGTTCAATGCTGTCAATTCCTGACCAGTGTCTTGCGCCGGCAGTTGAGCAGCCGAAATACTAAGAGCCGCAGCCTTCGAGGTTTGTGGCTGGTTGGTCGTGGGCGTGAGTGGTGGCAATGGTTGTTGATTTACCGTCGTAGCTGGCACCTGTCCCTGTGGAAGTAGAGGCAAGTCCTTCGGTGAGAACGACGGTAATGGCTGTTGTGCAACAACTTTCGAGGACGACGGCTGAGCAAGAGGCTGTCCTTTGCCGGATAGACCTCTGAACGGTGGAATCTCTGGGATTACCATGAGAGGTTTCTTCCCAGGTGGTGTCGCGCCGTTTAGTGTCTGAACGCTCGGACTACTCCCACCATCAATCTTCAGGAATCCCATGTCTTTGGCGAGCTGAGCTTGAAATGCTTTGTTGTATTCATTGGACCCTGGGCTGTCGCTGTGGGATGCGGATGGAGAAGCTTTGCTAGCCATTAGATTGGCCGACAGTCTTGGGGTCTCTGTTGGCTTAGCAGAGACCGAAGTCCCGCCCGAGGGAGAATGCCTTGTCTCAAATGCTGCGGACGCAGATGTTTTGGTTGGGGAAGGTGGTAGAGGAACCTTGGCTGGAGTTGGAGGGAAGGCTGCTTTGATAGGCGACTTTTGGGGAGAGGACGGAACCTTGACGGTGTCGTCCCAGTCAGATCGAGGTTTTGAGCCTGATGGTTCCGCACTTGCTCTTGCATTTGTGGCCGAATCATTCATGGGGCGCAATCCAGCTCCACGGCCTCCTACCGGCCTCACGGTACCAAAATCCCACAAGTCTTCATTTTCTGGTTCGTGATTCCCATGACGAAAGTTCTCCTCCTCTTCTTCGTCATCGTCAGATAACCGCCCGCCTCGTGTGGCAATGTACCGCTCATTTCTTTCGATCAACTCCGTCAGATACGTGGTTTTCTTTGCCTTCTTAATGAAGGGATGTTTGAGTAATTCCTTCGCTGACGGTCTTTCCCTGGGATCTCGTCTCAAGCAAAGTTCGACAAAATCTTTGAATGTACGAGAGAATTGGCCTTGGAGAGTGGGCGGAGGATTTTTCGGGATCAGGAAAAGAACCTTCATTGGATGAATATCGGCATAAGGTGGTTCTCCCATGGCAAGCTCAATAGCAGTGATTCCAAGTGACCAAATATCTGCCTTGTGATCGTAGCCGGATTGCTTGATAACTTCAGGAGCCATCCAAAAGGGCGTGCCGACGAAAGTATTTTTCTTGGTCATGGTTGCCGACAGTTGTCCTGAAACGCCAAAGTCGGCGAGCTTGACTTGTCCATTGGCGCCTAGGAGGACGTTCGCGGCCTTGATATCTCGGTGAAGCTTCTTATCGCTGTGGAGGTAATCCAACCCCATGAGGAGTTCTCGCAGAATGATGCAAATATAGTCCTCGTGGATCAAGCCAGGCCGCATCAGATCTGAGCAACTTCCCCCAGAGCAGAACTCCATGATGATCCACAGATCTGAGCCTTTCAAGAAAGAGCCATGGTACTTTGTAACATAGGGTGACTGCAACTCGGACAGGATGGAAATTTCCTGGATGATGTCTTCGACCTCATCCTCGGCATTTTCAACATCAATAACCTTAATAGCTACCGCTTGTCCTGTACGCCTGTCGACCCCTTTGTAGACCTTGCCAAAACTGCCTCCCCCTATACAATTTTGTTTGGTGTAAAGTTCTTCTGGATCCATCGCCGGCAGATTAGAGAGCACCTGAGACTGGGAACGATAGGTCGGGACAGAGCGATGCGGCGGTCATCGGGCGATGGAGACAGGATAAAGACGTCCCTGAAGTCTCGAAGAATAGTTGGAGAGACAAGAATGTAATGGTGGTGTTAGGAAGAGGCGTATGTATCTCAGTTTGGTAGATGTCAACAAGAGTACTGGGCGGGTTGCGGATTGCATGCACTGTCAATTCTTCAATGCGCACTGGGCAAGCGCCACTGCCTGCCTTTCAGCCAAGCGAGGGCAGGACTAAATTCGTTGAATCATTCACGGGTCCGTGAGAGGTTCGTCAACTCATGAGGCATCAAGATCAAGCCATGTTCTGAATTATCCGAAGAGTTAGTACATAGTTGGTGGAAGCGAAACTCGATGTTTACTCCGTACCCCATGTGGTCGCGTTCAATTACCCGCCCGGCCCTCTGATTGGCTCCAACCAACCGAAATAATATTACTTGTCCGCGGTCCAATCAACAGATCAACGAACGGCCGCAGCAGAAACACACTACCAAATGGAACGCGTACTGACGACTAGTCAAAGCTGATTTTACATTCGCGTGCCGATTACTACCTGTCGTAATTCATGAGCATGCTGCCTCGTGGTATCTTCTAGCTATGTCCAGGGCTGATCAGTCCAAACGCCTTTTCGATGCTTCATAATACCTGGCTGCTCAATCTAATCCAGGAATTCAACCATGACTGTGCCATTTTTTAGGCCAGCACTTTCCACGGTCTCTTGACGGACGTCATCGAGGTTCTTGCCCATCGAGATCAACTCAAAGTCGGCTCCTTCTTTGCCGTCTAGAGGCTCGGTTTTCAGGAAATCGTAAATTCGCTGTACAGGGTCACTTTCTGCAAATCGACGAACAATCCTACCAGCTGGGTGTCTGATCTGCACTCTTGTGATCCCCGGTCCCGCCGCAGGTTCGGCATGCGGTTGAGTGAATGAGACTTGGCCGGCATCGCTCAATCCCCGTCCTTCGCTTGGCTTTGCTCCATCGACTTCCATAGTATCGGCAAGAGTAAATGGATTAGTGCCTCGAACATCACCAACACTTCTGGTGAGATCGTCGGGATCCTCAATCTCTGGCGACTTCAGCTCCTGGCTCTGTGACGTGAGACTAGCCTGCAATGCTCGTTGCAACATCTCGTCCTCGGTCAATTGGTCGATAGGCTTTTCCTTCTTCGCCTCCGACTTTCGCTTAGCCACAGGATTGCGTGCACTGTTGTCCAGGCTGTAGCGATCTAAGAATTCGTGCAGTTGCATCAAGAACTCTGGTGGTGGTGGAATCTTTCGCGTCCACAACTTGATCTGTTCTCCTGTTCGAGGGTCGACAATCGCAACATGAGGGTACATATCCTGGCTCTCGTAAGCCTGGAAATAGTACTGAACGTATTGGCTTGCTCTTGGGTCGTCCTTGTTGTACTGCAGGAACACGAAATTTTCCTTTACAGTTTCCACGATGCCTTCATTTTTCCAGAGATCACGGTTTAAGGCTTGGCAGTCGAAGATAGACGGGTCTTGAATGTCAACCAATAACCATTTCTTCTGCTCTTTGCCCTCATCTCTTGCATCCTCCCATTCGCCCTTGTACATTAACTCCCATGGTGGTTGGAAGAGTCTTGCGAGTCTGTTGTTTCTTTGCGATGCCTCCGATGCTCCCCCAGTCGATTCTGAAAGTGGATTGCTTGAAGGATCGCCATCTCTCTCCCAGATACTCGATGGCTGTTGTTGATTGAAGATACCTGCACGTGCTGTTCTTTGGTAAGCCAGGCTATCTGCTAGACATAAAGAAAACTCACCTCGGTTTTGTCTGTTTTGAAAGGCTCGCATGCGTGCTTCCACTGCAGCATCATAACCAGCTTCGGTCATGGGCAAAGAGTCTCCAGCACCGACCAAAGTCTCTGATTGTCGGGCGATGGGTGCTCTGAGAGGCTCATCGCCACCAGGTTCACTATACATCTCCTGCTGTAAACGTCTAGCCATAGCCTCATCATCCTCAAACTGTGCTGGGGCAGCAGCTGGTGCCGACGGTCGACTCCGATCAGGATCTCTGGGATAATCCCTGGCTTCTGGATCGTTATCATCGGCAATAAGTTCGTCATCATCGAGGTTGATGGGATCATGAACGTGACCAGACTGAAGCGATGTTGATGCAGCAGGAGGTTGTGACGAGGAAGAACCAGTCAGGTCGACTCCGCCGTTCTCGAAGAACAACTGCACGGCTTGGTTTGCATCACCATCGGCAAGCTGAACGTACTGCCTAGCCAACTCGGGAGTTGTACCTGTCACGGCGAGCAACGTCGCGATTGCTTCTGCTTCGTCCATTTTGGAGTGAGTGAGGGAAACTGATCTGGTTTGGAACGTGGTGGATGATTAGATCGGTGGAAATGAAGTGGGTGGGGTGGTGGAAGATATTTGGACTCCGGCCAGCGTCTCTAACTAGGCGGAGAGCTCATGAGTGTGACGCGGAGTCATGAGCACAAGAAGGTGAAAGAAGTGCAGGCAAGGGATGAAGCTTGCACACAGCAGGATAGCAAACACACAGTGTCAAGGTTGGTGGGAGTGCAAGGCGGCGATGGTTATGACGCGACCGCACCCGACATTTGGCGCACTGTGCAAGAGACACAATCATATTGACAAACTTGCCAAGCGAAGCCCACGGCGGCATGGCGGCAAAGTGGCATATAGTAATGCAGCTGTAAGCGAATAGCCGACGTTTACCGTCGCGGGCGTCAATGACAGGCGGCTAGGTACGGTGGAGTGAACAGGCGCGACAGTGCACATTTTAATTGTGGCTGGGAGAGCGAAATGTGGGTCGAACGCGTCGCGTTCGCGCCCGACACTAAATCCTCTTAAGTGTTAATGAAGGAAGGAACCTGACTCGTGCCTGCCTCATGTTGAATCGTGCATTGTACCTTCCCCAACACCAGCAGCAAAAGCAGCAACAACCACAACCATTCGCAATGGCTGCAGTCGTACTGGGAAAGAGGTCTCGAAAAGTTCTGGATGAAGAAGGTGAGGCTCTGCATATATCACAAGGCCAGAATCAAACATTGACCACGTCACACAGACATCTCACCACCTCTCCCTTCCACTAAGAGAAGAACGCGGCGCTCATCACCACTGATATACGAGGATGCTGCAGAACAGAACCTGTTGGGGGTTGTTGGAGCAACCAAGAAACAGAGTAATATACAGAATACTTGTTTTGTCAATACACGTACAGCAACATCAAAAACCACCCTGCTCGATGACTCTCAGAAGTACAAGCTTCGCAAACCCTCGGTCGATCCATCATTTTCATCGGAGGCCAAAGACAAGCTAGTCTTGGATGAAAACACTCCTCGTACGACAGTTTCAACACCATCAACCGTTCGCTTCAAAGATGCCTTTGAGCAATCCACTCCGAGCACTCCAAAGCATCGTGTGCGGCTCGTTGGACGACTTCTCACACCTCGCTCGTCAGGGTCGTCGACACCATTGAGATCACAGAATGTATACTCTCAAGCAAGACAAGCGTTCACGCAGAATGGGACTTCGAAGATCATTGGTCGCGAAATGGAACGGGAGAAATTGAGCAACTTCATTTCCAACGCGATGGAAACTAGAGTTGGTGGGTGCACTTATGTCAGTGGACCACCTGGAACTGGCAAAAGTGCGCTGGTGTTGGAAATCCTGGAACAATTCCGAGACCAGCACATCAAAGTTGCGTCCATCAATTGTGTAGCTCTGAAATCCTCTTCAGAGGTACTGGCCAGGTTTACTCAAGAGTTTTGCGCATCAACCCAGGGCAAAACTGGATCAAAAGCTACGCTCGCAAGGTTATTCACCACGAAAAAAACCGATTCACCCTTGCACTTGGTTTTGCTAGACGAGATGGACACACTCCTTGGCAGCGATTGCGAACTTGTGTACAACATCTTTGAGTGGGCGATGCACCCAACCTCGTCACTCATACTGATCGGCATTGCCAATGCGCTTGATCTCACAGATCGCTTCTTACCACGGTTGAAGGTGAGAAATGTCAAGCCACAGCTTCTGCCATTCCTCCCCTATTCGGCCTCACAAATTTCGAACATCATCACGGAAAAGCTAAAGTCTCTCTTACCAGCTGAAAGCACTGCATCTCCAGGTTTTGTTCCTCTGATGCATCCTGCTGCTATCCAGCTCAGTGGTAGGAAGATTGCGTCTCAGACAGGGGATCTTCGAAAAGCGTTCAGTCTCGTACGCAGAGCCATTGATCAGGTGGAGCAAGAAACACTATTGAAGATGAGCCAAGAGGAAAGCATTACGCCCACCAAGCAACCTCTGGGAGAGATCATGAATCCCCCAACAAAGCTAGCATCGTCAGTGTCTTCCGTGAAAGAGACACTTTCTCCCAAGGCTCCACGATCTGTTCTATCACAGCTTAGCCTGGAAAGCGCGCCAAGAGTGAGCATTGCACACGTAGCTAGAATCGCCTCGAGTATTTTCAACAACAGTGCACAGTCTCGTCTTGGTGGATTGAATCTTCAGCAGAAGGCAGTTTTATGTTCTCTTGTTGCGTCGGAGAAGAAGCAGAACCAACGAGACCCTTACAAGACACCGTCGAAGTCATGGTCGAAGATAGCCACTGTCAAAGGGCTGTTTGAGACCTACACAATGCTGTGCCACCGAGACGAGGGAATATTGCAAGTACTCAAAAGTACCGAATTCCGCGATGTGGTTGCCAGTCTAGAGACACTGGGGTTGGTACACGAGGCAACGGGACGAAACTCGATCATCTTGACGCCTGCGAGTACACCAACTCGAACTGGACGAGCGATGGACGACAAGCAGGTTGTGAGCGCTGTATCGGAAAAGGAGATGAGAGATAGCCTGGTCGGACCCGGGTCGGACTTACTACAGCGACTTCTGGACGACTGATGAATGCAGCTGTCTGTTTGTTTCAGCTTTGTGTTTGCATAGCGTGGGAAGGATTGGCACAGGGTGTTTTGCTTTGCATGAAGGAGCGATGGATGGGATCACGAGAAGATCGGAGCCAAGACGTGCCTACGTACTGATCTGTGACAGACGACGAGCAATCAAACACATTCCTTACAGTAAACCTTGAACTAATCGATACTACTATAAAGCTCCTGAGATCATTTGACGCTCACGGCCCCCAAACATCAGCCGTCATGCAGGTATACCAGGTATGATGTCAGTGATTACGTTGCGCCTTGAGTACATGACTGTTTTCAAATGAGTGAACCCATTATCCAAGAGGACGACCTCATGCCGAGCGCAGCACCCGAGGACTCGAGCAAGCTTTTCACCAAGCAGGGGGAGTGGCAACGGGAAGGATTGGATGAGTTGACAGTGGAAATTGATCATCGGCAATCAAGCTTTGTCCAAGCTTCTTGACGTCGAATCGAAAGTCGACCTCAGCATTGCTTGACTATGGTTAAACGGGAAACGGCAAGAGATGTGCGACATGCATGTGGCCGGCGTGGGACTGCGATGGTTCCTCGCCCAAGTAGCCCTGATGCTGGCGGTTGGCGCTGCACCTTCGGGCTCACTCCGGCGTCGTCAGTGCCTCCGACCCGCCCCCCCCAGCCCACCGAGGTCCTCCGTATCATAGGCTCTGGGCGCGAGGGCCCCAGAGTTCTCGGGTCCAAGCGTGCAAGCATCCAAGCACTTGCATGAATCCTAAATCCTGCCCGCCCGGTCCTTCGTAGCTGGGACTGCTGGTTCGAATCCCTCGCATTCCTGCCATATAGTTCCTTCCAGCCTCAGCCCTGACCCTTCTTCTGAGATAATGTGTTTAACGTGCCAAACCTCCATACCCATGCAATTCACACCTCTGCGTCCAAATTGTGTTCCCTTCACATACGCTTGCACGCTTGACGCGGGGTAACATACCATTGACATCAACCACAGGAACATGGCACCCGGCGCGGACAACGATTCGGATGGTCCGGCGTTGCGCAATATGCCCTTCCAACAGGCCGATAAATATGCTACCAAGGCTGTCGACATGTCCGATAAGCTACAAGAGAAATTCCAAAAGAAAGACAGTGCGAAGGCTGAGAAGAAAGATCCTCCTGGTGGCTTTGATGCAACACCCATTCCCCAACTACCCCCGGGCTATACCATCAAGATCACTTTTCACAGAGCAGAGAACCTCCCTTTCGCCGACTTCGGCACCTTTTCCTCCGACCCATACATCATTGCCGCCCTGAAGACAGACGTCCCGAGAAGACACAAGCAAGACCCAGAGTTGCGACTGCGCACTCCGACAATTCATCGCAATACGAATCCTGAATGGAATGTCGAGTGGGTTGTCGCAAATGTGCCCGCGAGTGGCTTCTTTTTGAAATGCCGCCTGTATGACGAAGACTCCAGCGACCATGACGATCGTTTGGGAAATGCTCACATCACTGTTGGTCATATTGACGATAATTATAAAGGATTCTCGCAACGGACATTTGGTATAAAGAAACGAATGGCTAGCAAGAGAGCTTACACTTTCCGTGGCTGTGCTTGGCTTCTGTCCAGACGTGTAAAAATGGGAGGTGACCTGATTGTCAGTGTCGAGAACTTGGGAAGAACGAAAGATGAAACTGGAGGCCGTGTCTATACCGCTGCCCCGCTGCCCTGGAGTCAGCACTACTCTCCGCTCATTGGAAGGCTCGCCGGAACCAAGGATACTGAACAAGACAAGCATGGCAAGGAAGTTCAGAAATACAAGTACGTCCCATTCCACCCAACAGCACCACTCTTGCCCACAAGTTATGTAGTTTCCAGTCGATCCAGATGCAGCTGCCTGGCCCAGTTCCCGCCGATCTCTATCACCGCTACGTTGAATTCAAGCCTTTCGTGGCGGGCATGTTCCAAGGTAAATCGATCCGCGGCCGACTATTGAATCGAGCTCTTCATCACCAGCACGCTCGAATTTATAACTACGACAAGAGTACAAAATACGGCTTGTTCCAAGAACCAAGTGTAGAGTTGACCAAGAAATTTCTAGATTTCGTCCATTACGATCAAGGCGGCCGAATCTTCACCTATGTGCTGACCCTCGATGCCCAACTTCGTTTCACGGAAACGGGCAAGGAGTTTGGGATTGACCTTTTGAGCAAACACACAATGCACAGCGACGTAAGCATTTATATCGCCTTCAGCGGCGAGTTCTTCATCAGACGCTTGAAACGACCTCATCTTCTCCACAACGATAGTGGGCCAGATCCCTTTGAACATGCTTACCCACCTGCAGAAGATCCTGTTGCCGAGACGGATGAGAATGGAAAGGACCAGGAGCAAAATAGCCTTCGCAGTCGGCCCGATACCAAAAAGAGCGGCAGCAGCAGAAATGATGAGAATAATAATAATAAAGAAAAGGGGGAGGGGTCAAACCCAGGCTCTTCCCACGAGCAGCAGCCTCAAACTCCACTGCAACAATCGAATGAGCCCTCACACTACGAGCTTATCATCGATAATGATAGTGGCACTTACCGACCCAACGCGGAGAAGCTATCTCATCTCCGCAAGTATCTCATCTCCGCATTACCTGGCCTGAAGGTTGTCACACTCGACTGTCAGGCCGACGAGGCGAAGATGAAGAAACTGAAGGGCGAACAACGAGAACGCAAGAAGCAAACCGGCAAGCAGATCACATACTTGCAGAACGATTCCATGAGCAGTATCTCCAGCAGTGATGAGGAGGAACTAACGGCACGTGCGGAAGGCGATGATCACCATCGGGAGAGCAGGTACAAGCGCGAGATGCACAAGTACATGGGACATGGACGCGATGATCATCATTATACTGGTGAAGAGGACGATGAGATTCGGGCAGCTGCTGGTCCTACCAATACTACCGGTAATGGAGTGGTGAATTCTGAGCCGAAGCTCGAGCACGACGAGAAGCGAAGAGATCTGGACGGTGAGCGGCCGCATGAAGGCATGGATGTGAGTAAGGAGAAGCACGACGTCTCCTCTTCTCCTTGATGGGCACTCCATGTGGTATATCTACTGTCCTGCGCGCTTTGATTGAGCGATTAATATGTGTGTGTGTGTGTGTGTGTGTGTATATGGGCGTTCTTTCTTGCAATGATACCCGATTTCCTGCACATTCTGCCAGCCTCGTGTTACGTCGTCAGTACTCGGGGACACTTCATGTCGAATAATTGATACCGAATATTCATCAATCCACCCACTATATAGAATACACATATCACGCCCGACTAGACTTTAATCCAACGATTTTTCGTCTTTGGCCTCTCTCTTTCTCTTCGCCCCTTTGCAAGCGCATCGCAAGGGAGTTAGATTCCAGATTCAAGAAAAGAGCATCGATCAAGGAAGATAGATGGGCGGAAGGACGAATAATTACAGACCCGGCTTGAATCAGGTGTTTGGCCAGCCGTACCATGCCTCTCTGCCTCTCTGCCTCTCTGCCTACCAGCCTCGATATCGGATCGATGAGCGGCATGAGGCATGAGGTATGCAGCCACTCAGAGCAAGTCTGATAACTAGATATCTACTGTACTTACTCGTACAGGGCGGATGAGGAGAAGGAGAGGAGAAAGGAGATAGGATCTCAGATATCCTGTTGCTCGTTGCTCGCTTTGCGTTCGACTCGGTCGCCTGCTGCTTACTAACGGACTGGGCGGGCTGGGTGGCTGGCAGGCAGCTGAACTACTGAACGGCTACCGACCTCCTCACCGGATCGAGTATCTGGCATAGAAGCGACCAAGTACATCTCTACTCTACCGGGACCTGTAATCCTCGGTACTACTTGTAGGTGGGAATTAGTCGCCGTAGGCAAGCGCCGTCCTCATCATCACTTTCTTGTCCATCGCTGCACGGGTACCTGCGTGCGTGTCTTTCCTTCTGGTCCGAGTCTATCAATAAAATTGAATCAATCCTTATCAGACCCCAAGCCAGAGAACGCTCTGTTTGGTTTTCGTCTGCATGCATCATCACCCCAATCTTCGCTTCCCAGTCATACAACGCTCCATCCATACCACTCCTAAGGTACCGCCTACGTAGGCATGCTCATCATCTGTACCTGTGCCTTGTTTCTGCCTCACTCATCAAATTGGCTGCAAGCTCACCAAAGGAGAAAAAGGAAATCTATTCCCGAGGCCTTCGAATAGTCGGATGGCTGCCTGGAAAAGACAAAAAGAAGGGAACAAAAACAGCCGTGATCCTTCGTAAACACCTCCATATCCTGGTGAAAATTTCCTTCAATCGCTAAACCCTCGAATCCTCTTTTCGAACGGAATTGAGAAAAACAAGAAAACACCTGATGTCCGTCTTCGCGAAGCAGCTTTTCCTCAAAGAAACTGTGTTTCCCAAAAAAATTGGTAGCAACATCGGAACGCCTAGGGTTGAGATTTCTGGTTTTGTTCAATAGGCGCACAGCAAGGCTTAGGCTTCCCTTCTCCGCTGCTCTTCGAGATCTTCCAGGACTTTCCCTGTTGCTTCCACAATAAGTTTATGCTCGCTCTGGTGTATCCTCTCCTCCAGGTCTTCTTGGGAGTCACCGTCTCTGATCTCGACCTCTTGGACCAAGATAGGTTTTCCCATGTCCACCTCCTCGATGACGTAGTGAACCATCACACCGGTATTTGAGATTTCTCCTCGTTGGAACGCTTTGTACGCACGACCTATCGCATCCGAGCCATTGAATTTTCCTGGCAAGGCTGGGTGCAGATTAATGATTGGTACGCCGGCTTTGGCCAGCTGATTGACAAACTCGGAGGACAGGATGTGCATGAAACCCGCGCAGACCACCAGGTCAGGGCATGGGATATGGGTGAGGATTTGCTGGGCCAGATCTGTATCATAGTGGGCTCGAGCGGCGGCTACGCCCGCTTCTGTTTCTGGAAATCTCTTCTTGTAGGCTAACAGATTGTGATATGTGACGGGAATGTGAGCATTTTGAGCGCGCTCGAGGCCTCTTGCTTCGCGACGATTCGAGATGACATGGGCGATGTGACCGTTGGGCAGCGTTCGTCGCGGGGCAGGTTTGTCCTTTGACATGGGCGTCTGACCACATGCGTCGATGAGAGCTTGTAGGTTGGTCCCTGAGCCCGAAATGAGGACGGTTATGTTGAAGTCGGTGGCGGTGCTATAGGTCCGACTCTTGTCGGTTGATTTTCCCGAGGCCATCTTTGATCGAGGAGGGAGAGGATTTCGCAGGTGGGAGACAAGATTGTCAGGTGAGCGACGAACAAAAAACGGGCAGTAGAAGGGCCGTGAGTGAGGAGAGACAACCAACCGCGTGAGGAAACTCGTAGACCGTGATTGACTGCAGGTGGAAGGTTTCAGCCGGGTGAACTACTATTATTGTGGAAGTGACATGATCTGTCAGAGATGTTGTGTAGACGAGAAGAAGCTGCGACACTGTAGATGGTGTGCTAGGGTTGGTACCAGGACTTGCGCAGCTATACAAGATTGGTTAGCGGTTAAGAAGTCTTGAACAGCTTCGTGTCCTGTTTTCTGTCTTGCAGAAGGGCGCACGCACGAGTAGGTAAGGAGTACCTTGTACAAGTATCAGTTGAGTTCTCGGTATCGAGGCGAGAGAGCGAGTGCTCGAGAGTCGAACACAGCGAGTCTTCGGATGATGAGAATGGACAAGTAGGCAGCGTGTGGAAGCGGGAGGTGGGGAGACAGATCCCTCACGAGTTCCCAGCTCGCGAGCTGCATCCAGTTGGGGTGACTTTGAGCAACGAACCGGCGGACCTTCAAACAGCTGGTTCTTGCCCCTGGTCCCTCGTTACCCGGGTTAGTTGGTGGCCCAGCGGCACCAGTAGTTTGCAGCCCTGGCTTCTGGGTCTCGTTTGCATCGCGCTTGGATCAGCAGTTGGTTGAAGAACGCCCAGCACTTGTACAGTAGGTATCGTGCGCCGTGCTTAGGGTACGGGGCAAGGTGACAGGTACTCCGTCTAGGAGGGTACCTGGGGAACTAACCAGGTATGTAGACAGCGGAGCGGCTGCTCCCACCTAAGCAAAAGTCAACTGGAGGCAAGGGACGAGAGGGAAGATGGGAAGATGGGAAGCTGAGAGCCAGGCCCCGTTAGGCGCTTCCCAGGCACCAAACAGAACCGGTGCCCAAACCCGACTACCCATCACTGCCCACACTAGCGATGCAGGTGCTTTGCTCTTGGCTTGATCATCCTACTTCCCCCCCTAGGTACATCACGCCCGCCTTTAGCTCGGCCTGCGATAGTTATGATCACCATCGTCGTCATGCTTATCATGTCTAGGCTCCCCGCAGTGACCCAGCGGCTGCCACACAAGGTAGGCGGTACTTGCCCAAAACTCTACACAAAAGATCCCGTCAGTCTTTAGGCACCGCTGTAGGCGCGCGGGCGGGAATGTCATTGAGGGACAACTGCTTGGGGGAGTGACGAGGGAGGGGACGGTCGTGCCTGAGGAGCCACCCAGGAGGGCCCCCCACCCCCCGAGCCCTCCCTTAATCAGGCTTAGTCGGGGTAGGGAGTACACGGACGCTCATCCGGGAGAACCACCAGAACTTGGCACTGGCAGAAACACAGTTGGGGCTCAGTACGGAGTAGACAGATTAACAGTACGTAGTACAGTACAGAGTGACAACAATAGCGACCAACCGCCGAGAACGTGGAATTTGTGTCCGGCCCAGGGATGTGCAGTAGTTACGAGTAGAGGTGCTGTGTGGACTCTGTACTGGTCCGCGGTAGCACGAGTTACTAGTAGTTGTTGGTATGTACACCACCAAGGTTCCCTGGAACCCTAACATAGTGCCTAAATCATCGTCGCAATTCAACTCCGGGTATCATGCCACTTGACGATCAATCTCCACCATCACATTTGATACCACACTCCATCTCCAGTATCGGATTTTGTAAGCGAGAACCTGTGCCGATTTATGGACTCAGTAGCGACTAGCAGACTGGCCTGTTCTGGCCAGTTCTTAAGTCTTCGCCTCGTCCACGTACCTTGCAAGGTAGTGCAGCAATCAACCCGAGAAGCAGCATACTCGGTACTCGGTGGTGAGGATTCATTCGCGCTCGAGATGATGGGGACTTGGTCCCCACCAAGGCCTTCCCCGTTGAGGGTCTCGGCACGGAGTATCACAACGGTTTAATTTTCCCACGAGCTCGGGCTTCGATCACGCTTGAAACACCCTTGAGTACAGCATTCACTAGCCTCCGTGAGCCGAAGTCACTAAGCACCCAGCAAATGTGCGCAATCACACCTCTCGCGGAATGTTACATAGACACGATTTCAAGCGATTCTACTTGTTGGTTCCGGGATATGCTTTAGACCTTGGAGTTGCTACCTTAGGTACGTCTGTACAGTGCCTAAATACCTAGGTACTTCTCATCATGCATTCTTTCGAGGGCGGAAGTACCGTTTGTGCATCCCCGCAATGGTCCAATGACTGGCGTCGATGAAAAATGCCGCGTTCCACGGCCATCAAGCGATGGGCGTAGGCGTTTCTTCGTTCCATGGATTGGTTCACTGTTTGCTTCCCTGGTTGCTTCCGGCCGTCTAGATAGAAACGGAACATGCCGATTCGGGCGTCACCTGTCGCCTAAAACCGGCCCCTTCTGCAATCGCAGGCCTTTTGAGAGTAACTCGGACTGGCGAATTTGATGATCGACTCACTGGTTCTTTTGCCATTTGTCGGGCTAGAACCATGATCTGCCACTAGAGAAGGATGCCTTCCTTCTAGCCCACATGTCATGAATACACGCAGGCCGTAACCGGGCGAGGATGCACGATGGAAGCTTCTGACAGGACCATGCTATTATCGTATCTGCCTTGCATTCTGCTGAGACTGCCACCTTCCGTTTCCCAGAGTGTATCGACCGGGCAATACTACCCTCTTATCGTTGGTCCAGATTGTAGACGGGCCAGTGACTGGTGCTTACTCCTCTGGGGTGCTGTTGAGAAGCGGCCAGAAAACAAGAACTTGGTTTTGCTAAGGCATATCGGGACCAATATGTGCTATCCTTGTTGAAGAAACCACATTTAGCCTCCCGCTTGGCTGCAAGTGGCTCCCGCTCAGCTGTGGAGGGGAGAGACTGCGAAGTCCAAGGCTAAAGCAGACAGGCTATTTGGCCATCGCTTGTATGGTCTGTTCCCTTGAGAGAAGGACCGCTTGGGGGACCTTGCAAGCGCGTATCAAAGAACCGAGGCTTCTTCTCCTCGATTGAAGATTATAGCCTATTCTACCGAGACCGTGTTCTTCCAATTCCGCCCTTGCCCACTGTTGCTCTTTCATCACTGAAACGGGGCGACCTCAACCATCGACATTCTAGCTTGCTGAAAACATGCTCTCTCCATGAAAGAAACATTACGATCGGGTCTTCGTTGCCACAAGAAGCAGCAGAGCTGGCGACCAAGCTGTAGGGGCGCCATGCTGTAGGGCATCAGACTTCAGGCCGAGCATTGACAGTCCTTGACGAAGCGCGCATGGTCAATGCCGGTAGGACTGGGTCTGCTCAGGTCGAACTTACCACTGCATCAGGCAGCGGAGATAAGTAAGCTGACAGGTCTGATAAATGCCACAGGAGGGGCTCAAAGGGAGTAGATCTCCCAAGCCGAACAAAAGTCTAACCGCGAAATGCGAAATTCCGTCTTGTTTCAGAGCCACGCATTCATGGAAGCCGGCAGAGCTCACTTCACAGATCGGAGATAGTCTGCATACAGAGCGTCGACCTCTCTGCCATTCGCTCTTGCCTTTACACTCGTGGGGTGAGAAAGAACTCGAGTGATCTCAGCGTCGTCGGTCGGTGACGATCCCGACCCTGACAATGACATCGAAGGCCGGTACCTCACATCTGGGGAAACGTCGTTCTGGTAAGAAGCCATGCCACTTTTGGTATCACCCGCGTACCAATTGACGAGGCTTCCCGGGCTGGCCATTTCTCGTTGGACATCGCGCTGCGCCTGCCCTTGCACGGCGTTCGAGTCGATGGCTTCCAATGTCATGGATCGATTCTTGACCGACGACCCGTGAACAAGATCAACCAGCTTCGACAGGATGTTCATTTCGAGTTTCAGCTTGATGCTGTAGAACAAGATCTTGAAGCTTTCTTGGTAGAGCTGCATGTGTTTGAATTGCATCACAAAGAGCGCGATGTCCATGCAAATGATCATGAGGTTGATGGTCAGTACCTGCATCACCATGCTCCTGGTATTTTCCTTGGAGACGATCTGCAGAAGACTAAAAGTCTTCCAAACATACAGACCCGAGATGATCAATTCCTGCAGAGTGAAGATACTGATCTGGATGAGCTCAATGTAATAATACCCCACGGTGTAGCTGTAGTCGCTCGAATAGGTGCTTCCCCAGTCGAGAACGTCGACAATGGTAAATACCACGCAGCTGTTAATGATGATCATCCATTTGACCCCCTTCAGGATTTTGTCGTTATCGACCAACAGGCCAAGACGAGAGTAGAGTACCAGAGACTGGCAGGTGATCATGGTCATCCAGCCGATCGTAACCAGGACTTTGGAGGCCCAGAGGACGGTGAGTTTCCAGTAGTCAGTCACCATGCCGAAGCCATACGAGGCGACGCCGAAGTTGCACAGCGACAAACTCCAGAAATATAGGCCCTTCCATCTCTTGAAGGTGGTCATGATCAGGAGGGTCAGTTCCACGCAGTTATAGAGGGCGAGCCCCAGCGCCAGGGTGACAATGACCGAAGGAGCCGAATACTGGCCATCGAAGGGCTCTTTCCTGAGAATGGCTGTGTAGTTGGCCATTATTGAAGGACATCCTACACTGCGAAGTCGAAGTGGAGGTGGTTGACGTGGGGTTGGCGCGCACAGGTGCTAATTCAGCACGCGACAGAGGGCATGTTTGCTGTTAAATGAACCCAGGGCAACGCTCATGGGACTGACGTTCGGTTCCAGAGAAACGTCCGTTATCAGGCTGCGTCGGAAATGACGGACAGGGCGGGAGAAAGATAGATCGGAGGTGCATTCCAGGAATTACAAGTGCAGATTGTGAGCGATTGATCGATCCAGCCGGCGTCCCAAAGATGGGGTCGTTGAGAATGGGCGTCGGGTCCCTTATCTCTCAGCTGGATCGTCGGCGTCATAGGCAAAGGCGCTACCAAGACCATGGCTACTCGGCCTCGTTAGGCGCGAACCCTGTCCGGGAGGCCTCGTAGACACTGTAGCTAACTGGTCGCCGCGACGCAAAACACGGCAAAGAACTTTCTAGGCGGGCTCTGCGAAGAAAAAGAAAGCAAAAAGGGTGCAGGGCCAAACCAAAAGCATCAGGCGATTTCGCCTTGCACAAGTCAGCACAGACGCTGCACATGGTTGCCTTATCAGCAGCCCACGGGCCATTTTCATACGCAATCCCCTGCCTCTTCCATATCGCACCGTGCAGAGGAGGGCCATGCAGGGCGTGACTTGCGAGTGCGCCCGTCGAAAAGATGGAATGACAGGTTCAGCCCAGGAGATACGAGCAAGGACCGAAGGCGTGTGGAGCCCGGTGACTCCATTCTGAATTCACCTCCCTGGGCCCGTCTGCTTTTCAAGTCTGCAGACTAACCGAGTTACGGTAAAGAGATCCACACCGTGGCGAGACGGACCGCCGAGACCCCAGACTGAAAGTGCTGATGGGCAGACTAAACCTTGGATCTGGGGGCGCCTCGAAGAGAGATCGGTCCACTAATGATAAGTCCAGCACGAGTAAGAAGGTGAATGTTGACAATGACCCGGCATCTCAATGGTGGATCGCAGATTTGAGAAAATGGCCTCCAAGAGGATGCTGAAGGCTTGGCGGTTCTATATGGATGTCGCGAGTACCAACCCTCCAGCGCCTCGTATGGGGAACTTGAAAGGTTTAAAACACAGAAGTTCTCTTTCTGGGCGGCCACCGGAGGCTTGCTGCTGGAATGTCGGAAACAATTGCTCGCATCCAAGTGCTCCGTACCGAGCATCTGATCAAAACGCACCGGCCTTCTAGAGAGATTACGAGTACAGGACTCATTGCCTTTGCGCATGTAAGAGGCTGCAGGGCACAGGCTTTCAAAAATGCCATGTAGGTAGAATCGAGCAAGGAAGCCAACGAAGTCGGTTTGGTACCAAATGCCTCCCTATCCCGTACACGGAGGCCTACCGACACCACGGTCATATACAATTTCTTCCTTCAGATCGCCTCAATGCCACATCTCCTGTGGGTGCCGCGGAGCGCCACAGCCACATACACTACAACCCCAATACGAAGCTTACAGCTTCGGCCGAGCCTTGTTCAGTTTCTTGTCTTGCTCCTCCTGGAACTCCTTCTTCGCCTGGTCCTTCAATATCCTCCTCAGGATCTTTCCACTGACGCTCTTGGGTACGGCGTCCACGAATTTGACGCCTCCTCTCAGTTTCTTGTGGTTGGCAACTTTTTGGTTCAACCATTGAATGATCTCCTGACCGTCATTGTCTTTCACGGCACTCATGCCGCCTTTGCGCACGATGTAAGCACGAGGGACTTCAGTTCCCAGCTCCTCACTCTCGACACCCACCACACAGACGTCGTCGATGAGCTCGTGGTTTGCCAGATATCCCTCTAGCTCCGCCGGCGGCACTTGGAAGCCCTTGTACTTGATGAGTTCCTTGACTCGGTCTGTGATGGTCAAATCTCCGTTTTTGTCAATGAAGCCCACGTCGCCTGTGCGGAACCAGCCATCCTCAAGGCATTCCGCTGTGGCGGTAGCGTTATTGTGATACCCAGTGAACACATTCGGTCCCTTGACATAGAGTTCGCCGACTTCTCCCTGTGGAAGTTCTTTACTCCCATCACTTTCCTCGCCCTCGCGAGGTACTGCGCAGAATTTTGACAGCAAATTTGGAACCATCCGACCCGTTGTTCCGACTGCACTCTCCCAATCTTCCCATCTCTGGATGAAAATCGTCGGGCTCGTCTCAGACAATCCATAGCCCTGCTTTACACGCACGCCTTTCCGTTTGTAAAGATTCTCCACGAGGTCCTTTGTCAACGGCGCCGCGCCTGAGTTGGTCATGCGTAGCGAACTGAGGTCGTACTTCTCAACCGCAGGATGTTTGCATAGTAATAACACAATCGGCGGAACGATATAGGAAAAGGTCACTTTATGGTCCTGGACCAATTGACACCACTTCTCCAGATCAAACCTCTGGAGTACCAGCGTATGCACCCCTGTGTATATCGGGCAGTGGATCAGCACATTCAATCCGTAAATGTGGAAGAAAGGTAGACAAGCAAGGATCTTGTCACCCTTCCCCTTGGGTGCATCAGGGATCCCAGGACAGCTCCTGGATCCGTTCCATGTTAGCCACCCTTCTGCACCCTGTACCTGCTGAACGTTGCTGGTCATGTTGTGGTGCGTGAGTCTGACTCCTTTGGGCCGTCCGGTCGTCCCGGAACTATACACGAGGAATGCAAGATCCTCCTGGGGATTGATCCTTGGGATTCGATACCGATCTGTTCCAGACAGTACTCTGATCGAAGACCAGTGCCTCGTCTTCCTCGAAGGGTCCTTCTCCTCGCCTAGTACAAGTACATTGTTCTCTTCGATACCGACCTCCCGAGCTGCTTTCTTGGCGACTTCGAGCACGCTCACATGCGTGACGAGGACTTTAGCTCCAGAATCTTTGAGCTGGTAGACGAGTTCTGCTTGAGTGTATCCAGGGTTTGCTGGTGAGACGATACCACCAGCCCAAAGGGTGCCGAAGACAACGCCAGGCGTGTCGATGTCGTTTGGTGCATAAATTCCAACGACCTCGCCCTTTTTAAAGTCGAAGTTCGATCGCAGACCCTTGCCGAAATCGATCGCGGACTGCTTGAGCTGCTTGTACGTGTACTGCCGCGACAGATCATCGGCGGATTGGAACAGGACTGTTTGTATGTCGGATTTGCTTGTTAGCGAAGTTGACTGGGAGGAGAGACTTTGGCAAATACTTTCACAACGGCGGAACCCAGAAGAGACTACGTACCTTGGTCATCAGGATATGGCCGATCCGTGCGGTTGAACAGAAAGTTGAAGATATCAACAACCTGAAGTTGGATGTCAGGGAAAGTTGATGTGATAGGCATGATAGGCGGATGCTTGGAAAGGACAATCCCAAGTACTCTCAGTCGTTCAAAGTAATCCTAGATGGCGCCCGTGCTGAGGGGGATGTGTCGAAGTATGGTCGAGAAGTCGTTATGCAATCGCCTGATATTCAATCAAAAGTACGGCTTTGCTAAAGGGATCAATTGTTGTTGATTCTCCGAGTCCAGCTGCAGCTCCTTCCAGAGCACCCTGCAATATCGACCGCGATTACAGGAGTAGCTAGAAGACGCAGACCAAACAAGCTGCACCGTGTGGAACAACGGCGAAGAATGCTCTACTCGAAGATGAAGGAAATGCGCAGATGGTTAAAAGCAGAGAAAAGATCAAGAGACGTTCAATAGCCTTCGGCCGCACCGAAGCCCCAGCTCCGGGGATCTCTGTGCTAGTAACCAGACCTCAGGGGTCTGGTAATATTCTGGGAGATCCAGCCAACCGCGGCGTGAATATGAGTCGATTTCCGCTCCGTACTGACGCGGGCGGTGCGATGACAAGATGCTGAGTTCATAGGTAACGTGGTGTTTTGCGGTGCGCTTGACCAGAAATGGCAATGACCTGAACATATTACCGAGGCTCAACGTTGGAAGAACGAACTTCAAAGTTGGCTGTGGATGGGCCAGCCTCTTCGCCGTGAATCCTCCGGGGCCTCTGCCCAGGGTAGCTTTTGCCTAACGTGCGAAAGCGAAAACCGGCTCCGATCGGGTGTTAGGTCCCCGATTTCAGCCTGTCGCGGCATCGGACGTCGAACACATCTAGCAACAACACTCCGAAGGAGCTGTGTCGGCCTGCATCATGAATCAGAATGCGGCGAGGAAAGGCTGCTACCTAAACTAACTCAACTATACTCCGTATATATCCTTCGAGAGCGTTAAGACATTCCTCCGTAGCGGCAATTAGGGGAGAGGCAGTTCTAAGCACTCACTACCTACTATTCGATTTCTTGCCTAGGAGGTCCTATATAATACTGTACTGTAGTCTGCCTTTAGTACTTGGAGCGCGCAATAGTAAAGCCTCTTCTAGGGAAAGGAGCGATAGACAACATTAATAGAATACTAAGAGCGGAGTTGTCAGGGATACGAAGCCTAACAAGCTTATAGCCTTGGAGCTAATAGGCCCGAGAATACCTCGCACTTCGTGTGAGATTCTAGTCTTTTTCAGAGATCCTTAAGGGCTGACGGACCTATGTCTGAATAATACTGAGAAACTATGTCGATATGTTTCTTGCACTAGCTAGGACTATCCTGTAGTTAACTTCGTTACAGGCATCTTCAATTGCGGCTTGGCATTACATACACACTCAAAATTATTGGAGACCGGTCTTAATGGGAGGCCGGAGCCATGTACAGACATGGGTTGCAGGTTTGTTCGTACTTTCTCTAGAGATTTATGGGAATAATGAGACTGATCCCCTCTTTTTGCTGGTTATCATTGGTTCCCTGAGACAACCGCCCCTCTCTCTTCGTGTCTGAATGCGACCGGCTTTAAAAAAAAAAAACTTTGTCCTACAGGCTGGTAGAGGCGACGATGTAGACACAGAGGGACGGAGCATTGACGGATACGGTATGACCGTGCTCTCGCCTCTATTTTCGGCAACCATCCAAGCAACAGAGCAATCCAACTCGTAAAAGGCGTGATTCTGGATTCCATAGAGCCATTGCGGCATATTGGAGCGATAGGGGCACAACCCTAACCCAATACAAAGCATCGTTCAGAGTAGCTGCAGACCTGTTGGACCGCCGCTCCCCCCCACCTTCTTCAGGATCATTATTGCGAAGAGCAGCGAAGCGAATGGGAACCGGGAAACTACCTCACATATCGCTAACAGACGTGCTCCGGATCCAGCTCAATCACGACAAAATCTTTCAACGGGCTCTCTAGGGCGACGCGATTGCCGAAGACCGCATTACCAGATCCGCGGTATTGTGGAGGAACCCACACCTGGTGTTTTGTGTCATAGACTACCCATTCCCCACTAAAGCGAAAAGCCCGAGAAATGGAACGCTTAGAGAGGCTGCCGTCTGTTTCCGTTTCCGGTTTGGATTGGGAATCTGATTTTGAAATTGCCAAATCCTGTTCATCCACATGCAGGACAGATCCATCAGTGGAAAACCAAAGCTCACGGATCATGTCGTTTAGCTCAAAGGTCTTCACATGGTGGCCACTTCTGATGTCCCAGATCTGTACAGTGTGACGTTCATTCCAGGTCGTTGCGAGCATTCGACGGTCCGGCGAGAAGACGAAGTCAGGGCTCCCTTCGTCCTCGCCGTCGACGATGTCTTTGTGTTCGCCAGTGACGGTGTGCCAGAACAGTAGACCATTTTCATCTCTGCTAAATCTGGTAGCGAATATCATACTGTCTGGGCTGAAGCCAAGGCCGCGCACTTCTCCAAGATGTTTCAAGTCGTGTTTCAAGGTTGCTGTGCTGGCATCCCAGAGACTGATTGTTGTGCGCGTATCAGATGCGATCATGCTGCCATCCGGAGAGAAGGTGAGCGACTCCGTCGGCCACAGGGACCTAGGAGTATCATCATAAGGACCGTTGTCAGTCGCCCAGAGCTCGACATGGTGTTTACCTTTCCAAGGCTTGGCCCCCACCGCGAGGGTCATGCCATCCGGCGAGTAAAGCATCGAATATTTATCGCCCAGGATTCTATAGGTTTGTGTCTGTTTCTGCTTCACATAGTCGTAAACCATTATCTGCAGACTCGTCGCGAACGCGATCAAATTATCACGAGGCCAGATAGCCATCACAGTGCTTTTCGCATTGCTGGTGTGCTCTCGGAAAAGGTGCTTCATGACCCCTGCGTCAGCATCCCAGATCCGCAGCTCCTCGGGAGGGGAAAAAGAAACAAGGAGATTGCAATTTGAATGCCTGCAGAAGACAAGGTTCGTGATCACCGTTTTGTGCCCCTCAATAGTGTGCCGCAAGTCGCCTGTGTCAGTATTCCACAACTGTATGTCCTTTCCACCCTCTACCGACGCAAGCAGCGTAGTATCCAGGGAAAGCGCAGTTGGTTCTCCATAGGAACCAATCCGATGACTAGTGCCTTCATCGAGATTCCCGACTTGCAGCTCAACCCTTGGCTGTTCACGCCGCGGCCTTTGCTGGTCATCTTCGTCTTCATGATCTGCTCGACGAGGGCGTCCAAGGAATGGCTGGTCGGGGGCCGTGATTCTTCCGTGACACTGTCGCCATTGACTCTCTTCTCTGGTCAATCTGCTCGAAATGACAAAGAGCTTCTTGTGATCTGGAGAGAACATGCCTGATTGCACAACACTAGAAGCGTCTGTGAGTTTGAGGGTGTTTTTAACCTTTCCAGTGGCAACGTCGAAGACTTTGATGTTGTCCCCGGGACACCCGATCGAACCTACAAATGCCTTACCATCCGCAGAGAATGCTGTGAAACAGTGTCTCGTTTCGGCTTCGCTGGAGCTAGATGGTGCGTGTTCATTACAGCCGAGCTTTAGCTTTTCCTCCCCTATGCTGGCGTCCCAAAGCCGCACAGTTCCATCAGTCGAAGCCGAAGCAAGTTTCATGCTTCCGGGACTATCTTGATCGCTCGGAGAGAAGGCTAGTGAACCAATACTACCTGTATGACCTTCGAGGGTCTGTCGCAATCGGTGCCACTGCGACGTGCTGATTTCTGCGCTCTTGATGAGTGGCAGTCGTTTAGGGTAGAATAGTGTTCTGATCATGGACTTTTTAGGACTAAACACAAGCGCGGATGCATAAAGTTGTAAGGGAGCCTTTTGTACGATCGACCCGTGGCTAAGTACAAACCTCTCGGCGTCTATCAAGAACTCGGCCATCTCACGATACACGGAGAGTTCACGATTGTTGACCAGCTTTCGACTTGCAATCAGCAGCAGATCACTGGTTTTGTTACCATAAATTTGTGAATAACATACCTGGGCAATGCGCACAAGCATTCTGATCGACCTTATACTGGTATGGAGCTCTCCCAACAAAGATAGGCTCTCGAGCCAATGGAGAAAGTAATTATTCAAGAACTCCAACGCTTGGTTGGCTAACGCTTGCTCGCTCAGGCACCCGGGATTATCATCACCCGCCAAACCGAAGTGGCTTGACCAGAAGACGCAGGAATATGCTATTGGAGCAAGTGGATCCAGATCCGGTTGCTCTATGGGAGATGGCTTCGATCCGTACTCTTTGAGCTCGTATATGTTTCTTTTCAGGATTGGTCTCATGGCTTGGATCGAGACTCTTACGATATCCTCATGGCCTTGAATCGTTCCACCTTTGATTTTCGACCTTTTGCTTATGAGGTAGTCCTTGGCCGACGTGTGGTTCATGAGAACTGTCTTGTTACTCAGAGTAACGAACGAAGAACATTTTGCCACAACCGTATATATGTCAACTTCGTCTGTCCAGGGAACCAGTTTAGACAGCTCAAGATCAGAGAGGGCCCGATATGCACGAGACATGATCGCCAAGACATCTTTGCATTTTTCCAAATCTTCAGCTTCCTCATTCTCAAGATTGGAGATCTTGTGGTCGTATAGTTCGGGCAGTCCTGCAGGATATTTCTCGACCCTTTTGACGGCATAGCTTCCGCGCATTGTAAAGAGATCTTTGAAAACAAGTGAGACCCACAACAAATTGCCTCGTGCCCGTTCAGTGACTTCTTGTTTAATTTTTTCAACCATCTTATCATCATAGGAATCCGCCCATCTGGAGATTTCCGGCCTTGTGAGTTCCTGCAATTTATGTTGAATATAATCCCTGGCATGGCCCTCTTGCTTTTCGATATCCAGCGTAAGCAGCCATGGAGAAATTGTTGGTTCAGTTTTAAGCAGACGTTGAAGCTCCGTGATCAGCCCGACTTCTGGACGGCTAGACACCAGCCACTTGATTTTAGTAGAGATGCGGAGGGATGTTGAAATGAGTTCAATAATACGCTGAAAATCATGATCGCACTCATCAAGAGCGTCAAGAACGAAATACGCCGGCGAAGCTTCCTTTAGAATCTTATCAAAAGCTCGGATCATAGCTTCCGCCGCATTTTCGTCCTTAAAGATGGTGTCTTTGGAAATTCTGTAGTCTTGTTGTAGATGCGAAACGAGGTCCGGTTGTAGGGTGAGTAGCATCCACAACAAGGACCGCAAAGCGTCCGTTGCCTTGTCCAACGTCTTTTTGGTTTTGCCTTGACTTTGGAAGAAAAAGTACGATAGTGATGGGGTGAGCACGGCCAATCGAGCTGAGATTGCTCGAATGATGCCTATCATGAGCATTGATTTTCCCATACCGGCGTCACCGTGGATCCATAGCAATCGGCATTGTGGCGGGTCTGACTCAGCCCAGTTGGTAAAAGCTTTGTAGTTGTTGTCCTCCAGAATCCACTTGTAGCTATCTTCGATCAGTTGTTCTTTCTCGTTCTCAATCCGTTTCACATCATCCTGAGGGTTGACCACGCAGAGATCCGAGAGGAGTTCGTTGACTTCTTTCTCTCGATACCTCTTGTTTTGCTGATCAAAATGGTCTTTCAGGGTTTGATGGATGTCTGCAACATGGTCTTTGATCTTTTTCGTAAGATCAAGTTGTTCAGAACGAACTAACGCAGCCCTCGCTCGATCACACGTGCCCCAGTCATTTACAAGGGAGATTTCGAGTTTGTCGATCTCGGCTAGAGCGCCATCCCAGTCATCGAAGTTCCACGCTTGGAGTAAAAAGTTCCACCCTTGGTTGCGGTAATAAGAGTGAACTGCTCTCATTTGATATATAAGGATAGCTTTATAGAGCTCCAAAACCTTCGGTTTTAGCTTCTTGACAACGGATCCGATTGATATGTTCATGGCATCGGTATTGCTGGTCTGAAGTAGATGTCCGGTTATTGCACAATACCAGTCCATCCTTGATGCAACATGCACAACCCCGGCTAGGTTGGAATTCATCGAGTTTTGTGGGTTTGAGAGAATCTAACTCTTTAGCTGCAATGAAAGTAACCAAAAGATCATCGCCTACCTCCAAGCCAACACAGACACCAGCCCATGGAAGCGCAGCGGGTGCAGCTTGAGGAACAGTCAATACAACGTCGGCGGCTGGCTTGACCCGGAGAATGGCCTGGGCGATGTTGCCGACAACATTTGACACTGCGACTGTTCTGGCCACTCTTTTTTGCCCTGCTTCAAGTAGAGTCTTCATAAATTCCTGCCGTTTGGCGCGGTCGTTGAATTGAGCCAAAAATTCGGCATCAGATATGGGAGGTTCATTTGGACTCTTGTTGTTCAAGTAAACCTTCAACGCCAGTGCATAAGACTTGACGAGGTTCTCTTCGGCCGCCTCAATCTCATTGTAGGCATCATTCCAAAGCTCCTCGGAAAGAGATGGATTGTCCGATGGTAATGGATCTCTGGCTTTTGTGCTGGTCAATGCAGCAGGTGGATCGGAATTGCTGGTTGGCGCTATTGGGTCCTCTGCATCAATAGGTTTGGGCAGAGCCTCATCTGTGTTTCGTTGAGTGGAAGGGGCATCAGGCTGTGGAGGGTTTGTAGCTTCCCGGCCGGCATCAGCCGCGATAGTCGTTTGGAGACTGTCAACTGGCCTCGGGTCATTGGCCACCGGAGTTTCTCGCGCTTTTGATTTTCTGGGGATTCGAAAATAGGACGCTACGGCTTGTCATCAAAATGATCGAGATAGGTGTTGCCGGTGGAGCACGCTGGTACCTAAACGCCTCATACAACCACGATGGTCCGCTGAGCCGTTCTGGACGGCGGTCGATGACGCCATCTCTGGGACAGTGTTTCACATGTCAGCTCACAAAGCCCTTGCGAGGCGGATGGATTATAGTTTCTGACAATATCTAGATAGCTCGCAGGGACAGGCAAGCTCGAGATATCGCCGTTTTACCGACGAGAAGGCCACCAAAATGGCTGGGTAGTGCGTTGGCACGCTAGGCTACGATCGACTAAACTACTTCACTGTTTTCGTATAACATCAGCTCATTCGTATATACATAGTTGTCGTTTGACCAATTTGCTGCGTTTCCCTTTCTAATCTCCTTCGACAACGATTGACAGCAAGTTCTTGGTTGTGTTATCTTGGATGGATAGGATTGGAACTTAGTGCTGCCATACATCAAGATCAAATAGTTGTTTGCGCAGGAGGAAAGCGAAGGCGGATGAGTGGCCGGATGCATCCAGAAAAGAAAGAGGTCGGGAAAGTTACATACATAGTTACACATGTAATCTGAATTCAATAATGTGCAGAAGAACTGGGTATTCATGTCGGGGAGCGAAACCCCTGGATTCCAGATAATATGTGCTGTGCTACATGTAAATTCCCGGCTTATTTCGTACACCATCCAACGCCTTGCAACTGATCTTGTAGGTCCATGATTCCACCAAAATAACAGTCATGTCGTTGTCCTTTCATAGTATTTCGACTATCACATTTGCCGTGGTTGAGATAAGCCAAACTGCGATCAAGCCAACGCCAATTTTTCTGTCCATCCTCCATCCGTTGAGTGGTACGAAGATCAGAAGCCCAATGAGAGATATCAACAATGTGATCCCAGAAATTATCAACGTGGTGCTGACTTCCAACTCGTAAGGCTTATAATGGATCGGCTTGTGAGGATGTTTGGTATGCCTATGGCTGGCACTGTGGATGGTCATGTACATGCCTCCAAGACCAATGCCTAATAAGATGTTCAACATTGGACCACCAAAGCATGCCGATAATGCCATGACAGGGAAGCCTAATTTCGCAACTGTGACATCCGCGACCCAATCACCCACGGAGTTGCCCATAGCAAAAATGGTCAGCCCGAGGATGGCGTCCGACATGCCAGTAACAACTCCGAACGCCTTGAGAACTCCAACTACTTCGTTGGCAATGGTTGATATCCATGCTATGGCAACCAAGAAGCCCAAGAAGCAAAACACAGATCGGTACTTTGGTTCTCGGTCTGGAGTGGTGGTAGCGAGAAGGATGAGAAGCATCACAAGAGAAAACACCAACGAGCCGAGAACTAGTCGTATATAAAGCTTGAGTGAATAATCTTCTTCCATGTTGGCCCAAACGACGGTCACGATGAAGAGTGGAGCAGTGAAGGCTTGCACAATTAAAAGCCATCGGTTCCAATCTCCATCTCCCGAGCTCTCATCGAGGTTCTTGACTGGTGTTTTCGAGAGATCCGGCCCCTGCCGCGACAAGGATGCATGAGGATGAAGAGGTGCGTCAAACGTTGGAATTTTGGGTGAGGTAGTTGGAGCATCAGCAGGCAATCCCACTCGACTTTGCGAACGACTTCTATAGCCGCCCCCAGGGGTTAGTACACCAATATCGAGCTCGGGTTGCCCCTCCTCCTCCTTAGGTTCCACGACTGGAAGGGTTACCCTGAAAAGAAACAGAGTGGGGCTGGTGAGAATGCCTAATAGCCGCTCCACCACTGACTTTTTACGCCACTCGTAGAGTGTGGGAAACAAGATCGATACTATGGTCTGAGGCGCCGGGAGATACTTATATGGCCACCAGGCAAAGGTACGTAGTGGTTCTTCCTCTTCGTCCGGTAACAGCCCAAGGTGGTGGACGGACTCAGGGGATATGCTCGCGGCAAGATGGTGGACGCTGGGTGGACGCGAGGAGAGAGGTGTCATCATATTGGGAGAATCAACATACGGAGGAAAGTCTTCTTGGTGCAGAATCCCTCGAGAATGATCTGGGTGTGGAGTATGTAAGGTTGGAACTTGTAAAGTCGGTCCTGACCGCGGTGAAAGGGCTGGACTTTTACCGTCGTCACTTCCTTGCCCAAAATAGTCTGGCCGACGAAAGGTGGAAGGTGGGGGGGCTAGAAAATTGGGCGATTTTGGAGGATCAAATGACGGGATCCTGTCTTCAGATGCTGCCTGGGGATCAGAAGGAGACAAGACGAGCTTGGGAGAAGGTGGTCTCTGAGCAGAAGCGTCGTTGAGAGTGGCTAGCAGGGCCGCACTTGGCCTTGAGGCACTGGGCGCTTGACCAGGTGAGGATGAACCATGGCTGCTGAGAGCTGATTCTGAAATGTGGTCTGACAGAAAATTGGTGTCAATCCGAAGTCTCGAGGCGTCGTTTGCTGACACCGCTCTTATCCGATTGCCTGACCCGGCGGCACTGCTTGCATCAAGATAGCCCGGAGTGACCAGTTCGGGGTATGATGCTGTAGGAGGAGCACTAATGGGACCAGGAGACGAAAGTGCATTGGCATCATCGGAATACCTCCGAGGACTCAGTGGGATATTGGTGCCTTTCTTTTCAAGGGAGCTCATGATTGACCTGAACTCCAAAGCACCGATCAAGCTGGGTCGGATCGGGGTGATGGTATTCCTTCTTTCACCACGGGCAGGACGACTAACCCTCATTTGACTGCGTAAGGTCGCAAGATAGCGATCGCGGACTTGATCATCATCATCGAGGTCTTCTAGTCTCCAGGCGGGGGTGTTGGGTGTATGAAGAGTATGGACGCTCTCTCCGGAGTGGCTCCTGAGCAAGCTTGCCCGCTCACTAGCAGGACGTGACTCTTCGTCATCATCTAAGTCGGGGAATTCGAGCTCTTGGTGGTCCGGGATGTGATGATGGAGTCTAGCCATGTTCTCTGCCTGGCGCTTCGTGCGGCGGCGGCCCAGATACCAATGCCAACAGGTGACGAACACGACATAAAAGGCATAGTAGGCGACCATAACAGCGCATTCCCACAAGCGCAAACTCCCGTCGGCCAAAAAGACCAAGCTGAAGGAGGCACTGACGACGAAGAAGCCAACATCGCGAAGGAAACTCTTGCGGGCGACCTGGAAAGGATTTACGATGGCCATGGAACCAGCGACGACGGCGGTGATGAAACCAGCAGCACCAATCAATTCTCCAACAGCCAAACTCCCACTATTTGATTTCATGGCGGCAAAGGTAGAAAAGACATCGGGACTTCCGTTTCCAAAAGCGAGGAACGTCACACCGGTGAGACTCTCGCTCATGTGGAGAATGCTGGCTATTGTGCTCAGGTTGACGCACAGGAAGTCGGAAGCAGCCAGGCCAATGCTTGTGAATAGGAGGCAAGTCCAGAGGATGATGAGGGCTATTGCGAAAGGTCGCGTGGCGGGGGAGGAGCAGTAGTAGAACTGAAGGTAAGATACGAGGCCGGCCTCTTCATCAGGACAATTCTCTTTCACAAAGGAGCATTGGTCTTGGGCCTTCTTGACCATGCGACACTAGAGGAGAGAGGGAGTAAGCAAGGGGGAGACATCACTGGCACAGCAATGTGGAGAGAGGGCGTACCTCGAGGTTTGGGGAGTCGGATGATCGCGCGAGCAGCTCCTGGGGTGCATCATCTTGTTGATAGAAATCTCGGAGGTAACTATAACAGAGAAGGATGGTAAGGACTAGAAAGGCGAGGTAAAAGGTGCGACCCTGTTCTCGGACGCGGCGCAATCTGAGAGAGCGAGGATGGAGAAGTGGTGGTCGGGATAGCTGAGCCATGGCTGAAAATGCAGTTCATTATCGCAGAGAGGAGGGGTCATGAGAAATGGGCATGAAGATGGTATAGAGTATAGGATTGATGGATAGACTAGGTGCCTGTGCAGGCAGAAACCAGAGAGAGGGAACTGGAGAACAACGCAACCTTGAACGGGAATCAAGTTCGAGTTCGAGTTCGAGTTCGAGTTCAAGATGTAGTGCAGTGGTTTCACCTTGGAGGAACACTGCAGGTGTAAGTGCAGGTGCGGATGCAAGTCCCACACTCCCAGAGTGCCACCTTCCTTGTTTCGTCATGATGCATTGAATCGTCCTGTGCACAGCCACAACGTACAGTAAGCCTTGATAAACCTTTGCGCTCCTTAGGTAACTTACGCCTTTGCCTGGACTCGGGTGCTGTGGTGCTGGGCACGGGCACTTCCGGGTACAGGTTGACCTGGGCACCAGGGATGGGATGGGCGGGGTGGAGTCATCGTTGATGAACCGATGCAGTCTTTAACCAAGTCGCCTCACGTTTAGGCAGAGACCATGGCCTAATCGGCCCCCCTTGGCTTTGGAGGATGTACCATTAGAACCCCACCATCCACGCCTACGAGTACTACTATACTCCGTACTAAGCACCAAATACTCGTACCAACTGGTTACGGATGCTCTTGGGTGCCTGGTACCTTATCTCCCACGCCCCGGCCCAGACTTCAAAGCTGCCCCAATTCCAATGCCTCCCATTATGCACTCGCCTGCACGCACTAATTGCCCTATTGTGCTAAGTAGCTCCCACTAGTACCAAGTCGTGCCGCCATTCGGTTGTGCCGAGGCTGTCTTGTCTCTATTGCCCTCGCTCAGCCATTTTCACTCAGCCAGTTCACGACGAGTTGTAGCGAGACTATCAGCGTTCAAATTCTCCCCATCACTCATTCTCATTCTCCATGCTCTCTGATCCCTTCACAAATATCTTATACTCGTGATGCCCTGGTCCCCTCCGATCGGACTCGCCTCAATTTTGCATCATGGCGCCAACCTTTGCAGACGTGGTGCCCATCAAACGCATATCCTCCCACCAATACTCCATCTCGCTCGAGCATGAATGGTGCATCGGCACAGGTAATCACAACCGCCCAATCCTCCTTTCGAGGACAGCACCGAAACTGACCCTCTTCTCCCTCTCTCTGCGCAGTCCCAAATGGCGGCTATGTCACCTCCGCCTTCCTCGTTGTCGCGCGAACACATATGTCGCAAACGCACTCGACCCGCTCTGAACCCGACGCTGTAAACCTCCATCTCGAGTTCCTACGCCGCACTTCCGTCGGCAATGCAATATTCACAGTCCAGGACGTCAAACTCGGGTCCCGCATCTCCAACTTACACATCACGCTCTCGCAGCCCAAACACCCGGGTGACCAGAACCTCGAAGACAAAGCCCAAGGCTACATCACGATGAGCAACATCGCGGCCGAAGAGGGCCTCTCGGTCGACACACAATACACCCTCGCCTCGCCTCCAGCCCTGCCCGTCGACCTACGCGCCCTGGCCGCCCACAGCCTGGATGAAAACTACACGATCCGCGCGGCGGACCCATTCCCGGAGTTCCGCCGCGCCGCGCAGAACATCCAGATGTTCCTGGTGCGACCGGACAGGAAGGACCCATCACGGCCGAAATCCATCAACGACCAATGGGTCCGGTTCAGCCCCAACAAGGTCCCCAACGGCCGCTGGACCAACGACGCGCTGGGCTTCCTCGTCGACATGTTCCCGCAGATCGTCGAGCACTACATCAACCCAGAATCCGAAGAGGCAGCCATGAGCCCGCAGTCGCAACAGCGGCGCAATGACTTCATCAAGAAGTCCAAAGCCGACGGCCACCGCCCCTTCTGGTACCCGACCCTGGTATTGAACTTGGATGTCAAGAAGCTGCTCCCCAACGACGGCGTCGAATGGCTGTTCGTCCGCGTCCGCGCCAAGAGGATCAAGAACGGCCGCTTCGACCTGGACATCGAAGTTTGGGACGAGGCAGACGAGCTGGTCGCCACCAGCACACACGCCAGTTTGATCGTCGATGCCTCGCGGAATCTCGCTGGGCGGCCCAGACATAAACCGACCACGAATTCCGAGCCGAAGCTTTGAAGAGTGGTTGGCAATGGATCTGAGAAGGGAATCCTCCGTAAGTAGGAGGAGATGAATTTCCGACGTCCGAACCGCCGGGATGACTTATCACCCGCCCTTGCATATAAATCTTATCTGTGCCTACAATATATACACAATGCGCCAGCACGTATTTCATGAGGGAAAGGAAGGGGGCTTCTTTGCGTTTTGGGGTCGAAATCGGCGGATAGATGCATTCCAAAGGGAGCGGGAGTCGCTTTTGTCGCGTGTCCGGTCGGCTGTGTACGTATGTATAGACGCTCCTGAGGAAAGAGAAAGAAGGTCTAGAGAAAGATAGGTCAACCTTTGTGGCATCGGGTTACAGAGCAACCGAATGGAGATATCTTATATCTCTCTTATTGTGGAAGCTCACTCAGTATACGGCTCGATAGTGATGGTTCTCAAGAGGTAGATTTCAGTCATTAGCTACTCGAGCTGCGGATTTATGTGCAGAAAGACGAGGTTTCCTGTTGTACTTGGATCATTACTGCCACCTCCCCTCCGTATCGATAGACTAGTTCGCTCCTCCTTCGTCAATCCTCTTCTTTCGATGGCTTATCCTGGAGCCTTCTCTCCTCGTCTCCGTTGCCCAGCAGACGCACGATGCGGAGCCTGCCGTTGCGCTTCATCTCGTCATACATCCATCATATACCAAGTCGTCACTGATGATCATTGATCGTTTCAGATCAGATCAGATCACGGCCGCGACACCCAAGCCCAGAAGGCCCATGATGCCCCACTGCTGCTGGAGCACGGCTGCGGCACCAGTGTACGCGGATGCGGCAGCGCTCGTGGTAGACGGAGGCATCATCGCTGTGGATGTCGCCGTCGCGGACACAGTCGCAGGTGCACCAGCACTTCCTGTGCCTGAGGCGGTGGTCGACGAGGCAGGTGCGGGAGGTGCTGAGCCAGAAGGTAGCGTGATGGTCACACCGCCAGAGAGGCAGAATTGCTGGGCGAAGGCCAGGGTTGCTATTGACGATCGGGTTAATGGTTTGTTTCCTTTGGGCCATTGCGGTTTTGTGCCACAACGATGCAGGGACTTGCTTCACAAGGCCAGAGTGCTATGCACGGCGAGGGTCTGGACGGAACATACCTGCTTGATCAGCAGCACTGCAGGCGGTGCTGATGCATGTCTGAACGCTTGTCAGGAATGAGGTGGCCGAGCAAATACACATCGCGTCGGTGGTCGCACAGCCTGTGGCGCCAATGGCTGTGAGGGCACAGGTAACCTGAATGATGGAATTAGTATTCAGACGTTTCAAGGGTTGGGCTGGCGAGACGTACAGCGCAAGATGGGAGGGTAGACAGATCTTGTGAAGCGACGAGCTGAACCAGTGGGATCAAGCCCAGAGTAGCGAGAGATAGAACACGCATGTTGACTGGTGAGTAGCGAGCGTTGTGGTGATTGTTCCGGTCAACGTAGTTGTACGGAGTAACTCAAACAACTCAACGACGGTGTGAGAACGAGTGTACAAAGGCGATTGATAAGTACCTGGGAAAATAGATGGACAGCTCTGGATTTGATCCTGCAGGAAGCGGAGGAGGGTTGGGTTTACCTTTTTATGGTCCGCAGATGCTAAAGCGGGTACACCGTGCCAGAGGTTGTTGCGGGGGAAATGCCCTGCACTGTAGCCATCGCTTTTCCACCCCGTCACCAATGCTGAGACAGGTGACACTGACATGTCGTCGCCTAGGTACGAGCTACCTTGCCCTCCGTAGCTAGGGCCGGGGGACGGAGCATTGGACCAAGACACCAGGGTAGGAGGTCCGATCGCAAAGTTAGCTTCTTTTGCGCCGAGTGAACCTCGAGTAGAGCTGCCCACATTCGGAGGACAGGTCGTCCTCGCAGACAGGAAAGGTGAACAAACGGCCTCGAAGGCTCAGCAGCGAACCAGGCCCTTCAAGTTTGGATGTATTGCAAGGGTGGATGCTGCATGTCTCAGGCACCCGAGGCCAAAAGCAATTGTTGGGCGAATCATAGAGCGGTAGAGGCTGACAGGAACAAGCAAGGTTCGATGGGTGAGAGGAGAAGCCTTCATTTGGACACGGGAACGAAGCCTTTTTGGCCATGAGGCAAAGGCGGTTTGCACACTCGGTGCGGCTGGTGGTGGAGAGAGGAGCTGGCAGGACCTTAGAAGTAAGGGCCCTTAGCGTCGCTAACTGGCGCTAACTGGCACTAATGGGAGCTAATGGGCCCTAGTGGGCACTAACCCCAACTAGCCAAATGCCCTGAGGGGATGCGGGGGGGTCTCATTCGATGCCGCCCTGGGTTACACGCCGCAAATATTGGTGGCTGGTGTTGATCAAGCTGAAGCACGATGACACACATGTAGACTACTCATACGAGCACTTGGACACCACGAGGACATGCCGACAACACCGAGTAGTGCCAGCGTGACATTTCCCCTTGTAGAACTGTCTCGTACTGTCTTCATACAGTATGTTGGTCTGATAGTAGTGCGGAGTACTCTGTCCTCCGTTCCCCGTAGAGCCTCATACTCCAATTCACAATGATTCCCTACCAGAGCTAGACTTCGCGGTCATGCACATGGTGCCGTCCACTGGCTTTTTGCTAAGTGAGGCAGTTAGGAGTAAGTGGTATCTCGTGAAGCCTCTCCTGGATTACCACCACTGCACCTGTTTGCTGCTTCTACCAAGTCCGAGTCCACCCACACCAGAGTCAGCAGCATGTTTGAGACATCTCCATGTCTGTCATGACCACATTAGCCATCCATCTCGGGCCTAAAGTATCAAGCTCTACTGTGATGAACCTAACTCCATAGGACCAAATATTGCAGAAGCCATCTGCACACGGCTTGCGGACTCACTACTGCCAGCCCCGTCGTCTCGGCCCGAAGTCTCTCGGATATGAATACGGGTCTTCACGGTGCCGTGATATGCAGGGGACAGCTTGGCGGCTAGGCTACACGTCGGGTGCCTTGACTTATATCTATTATGATTCACAAAGACCTGGACAAGAACGTTCGTCGTTCCCTCGACTTGCATCACGTATAAATCTGATCCAGACCCGGAAGCTAAATAGTATAGAAGACGGCCGTGTATCCGCCATGGCACTCTCAGTCCTAGCCAAACGGAGTTTCAACGGTTCCTGCCATTGCGGGTTCATCCAGTATACTGCAGCGTTCCCGCCCACGGACTTGCCGGTGGCCTCAAAATGCAACTGCACCATCTGCCTAAAGCAAGGTTACACGGCGATAAGAATCTCGCCCGAAGACTTTGAACTGATTAGCCCGAGCTCCAAGTCCCAGATCAAGAACTACCAGATGAAATCAAAGGATATCAACAAATACTTCTGTGACAAGTGCGGGATCCACTGCTGGAGTGACGGGAAATATGAGTATCAGGGCGAGAACCACGAGTTCTTCACCATCAATATCTTGACCCTGGATCAGCCTCAGCCTGGATTGGACGTGAGCAAGTTTAAGATTGTGTACACAGACGGGAGGAATGACGCTTTCGAGATGAGAGATCAGCCATTCCTGGGCGGTATGCTTTGATGCGGGAAATTGGTTGCTTGTTTGGAGCATGACGGAAACTATCGCTGATGTTGGACGATATTTTGTACGCCCCTCACCTCGTTTACGGTATCTAGGAGGTCCTCCATAGTATACCCTGAACAATACATCGATTTCCGGACACGAGGCTCTGATTGGCAGGCCCGAAGCACAGGTCTTGAAGTTTCGAGTGTGGACCATCCTATTTCCCATCGTTAGTCAGGGCGATGCTTCTTCTTGTGTATGAGATAGCCAGGAAGAATGTTCCGGCGGGCGCCTTGTAAGCGCCTTTCTCACTTCGTCTTCGTCCTTCAACCCCACCTGCAATGTTTCCCATGTTGAATCCCATTTGACGCCGATCCACAGCATCGTCACAAGCTGACCATCACATGTGTTGAATCAAACGCTATGAAGAATAACCCGGAACTACTTTTCAAGCACGGCACGGCCTTTAACTTACGGCTGACACGCCACAGGGAATCAAGCATTATTCAAAAGTTGGGCGGCATTGCTAATGTCCGAGGCTGATACTAGCTTTGCATTCAACCAATCTGTCTGGTACTTGAACGCTTGTGTCGTGCATCTCCCCCAGTCATGGGACCAATTGAACAATTCGTCACGACTCGTAGGCACTAAAATACTAAGCGTCAGACCAAGTGCCGGTCCCGCCTGCAGTACCAGAGGTCCATCCAACATTTCCTGCTTGGTACATTGCGAAAGTCGCCCCATTTCTACGGTAGTAGAGGGAGAAGTATGGCTGGTAGTTCTCAGGTTAGTGACTTATTCCAACCTCTTGTGGTTGTTCGACAAGGCCGATCAGACTTACACCAAGTCCTGCAAAGGCAACATCGCAGTCACCACTCAAGTCGGAAATGTTGTTGTAATACAACGTGCCACTAGAGCGAGTCGCCCATGAGTAAAAGGATAATTGAGCATCATGGTATCAACTTACAATGTAGCACCACCAGGGAAACCAGGAGTGATGCCCCCCATATTGGCGACGCATTCCTTTCCTAGCGCTGTGACAGTCACGCGTTGGTAGACCCAGAGATTGAGTACACTGCCACTTGCGGAGGCTTGTTGGCTGAAGTCGGGTCCACCGCTTTTCACATCCACCAAGGCAGCGTTTGGTGCGTCCACTGAAGCTAGCTTACCCAGATTTGCCGGTCCCTCCGGCTTCGAGAGAATGTACTTGTGGAAAGTGTTCAGGTCAGGGAGTGGGCCAGCATGTTGAGAAGAAACCAGCTTCACGAAGGCTTGGTAGTCGCCATCTGCGATATTGCTAGCTGCTACAGAAGCCATCTCTCTGGTGATTGAATGGGTTAAAGGCTTGCTGACTGATTGGAGATGAAAGAATAGTCTTCGGAAGATGAGTCAAAACCTGAAGGATTCATCTTGCAGAAGGAAACCTACTAGGTATTTATATCTTACATGCGAGGCCCTCTCCTCGTTGCAATTCTCAATTCCTTACCATCGTCATCTATGCTCCGCCCGTGCACCTCGTACATACTGACTAGTCGAGACGGTGAAACTGCGCCGGTGCTCTCCTCCACTTCCCTCCACAGTGGATATTACGGACCAGCAGCTTTGCCCTTGACGTATTGACGGATTTACAAGACCAGCTATGTCCTTTTGACTGCGGTACTTGGGCCCACTCCACAGCGGATATCTTGACCGGAACTATGTTGTTGTTAGACTTCAATGGTTGGTATAGCTGAGATGGAGGGAAGCTTTCTGACGTTGAAGATCTTGATGGCCTAATCGTCAGATCCCCCCGCATGGGCACGGACGAAGAATGATGGTATGCATGATGAAAACACTGAAGAGTTTGAACGGAGTAAGCCAGATCCCAAAGTAGAGAAGGACACCCAGCTAGCCGTGCACCTATTGGACACGGACAAGGCGCAAAGAAGAAAAGAAGTTCTAGCTAGCCGTTAAACATTATAGAAACGGCCAAAGCGTACGAGTACGTTATAAGGTAGCATGCTCTCTCAGGGTTGTTTCCGATTTGGGATGCCCCTTCAGCAGTTTTTCGCGGGCTTGGATCAAAATAATAACTTTACGAAATAACCACACTGGTGAGTACGTAGTATCTAGGCATGCTGTTTCAGAACAGCCAAAGATTGATTAAATACATCGACGTCGTGTCCGAAGGAAGGATTGAGACCCTCCTAAGCGACATGGTCACAAGCAGATGCATCCTCTCTCCTCTCTCCTTGTCCAGCGGTGGGTCCAATAACAATGATCTGACCGATTGACTGCCATCCTCTTCGTGCTCGCTGACCTGGGCTTCAAGTCAAGCAACAATTCCCTTTGCAATGAAGTTACGATACTAACTGCCTCACGCAAAATCTTAATATCAATAAATACGCATTGATTCTCTGAAGGCGCGTTACATCCTGTTCCAACTCTGTGATTTGTCCTTAAGGTACATGATCTTGAATAACTCGTTTTGAACGTCCGGCTTTGGTGGGTGCTTGAACGAAACTGCTTCGAAGCACTGGCGTACAAGCCTCTGGCATCACCCTGATGGGTTGGAGCTGATCGACGATCCCTTGCAGATGGGAAAGAATCGCAACTGCATCGTCAGCTGTTCTGTGGGGATTGTCGATGCGCAATCCAGCAGGTGGGCGCTGAACCTGTCAATTCGCAGCCTCCCGCCCAAACGAGGCGAACGTCCGGGACTTTTCATTCAACGACATACCACCTCATTGTGAGCTTTATTCCGATTTGTCCTTTGTCGAGGAAATTTCTCTTAGCGACCGGCGGCACCAGCTGTCTGCCAGATCCACTCTAAGGAGTCCACAACTCTATCCCAATCATACACTATCCCAATCATTCTCAACGCGTCCACATTTGCGATTTTCCTCGGCGTCAGTAGTGACATGAGGAACATACCGCATCATCTCAGGGATTGAAAGGTGTGTTGAATCCTGGGCAAATATCTTGTGTAACGTCGTTGATAGTTTACTTGGTCGTTTGAATGTTTGATCCAGCTTGTACTCTTGCTTCCTGCATATCGGCATAAGCGGAAAAGCTCAGAGCATATGAGATTTGATGTCCAAGCCTTTATAAACCAACCAGAATCGAAGCTTTTCTGTCGAGCCGCATTGAGCCTCTCCTCTTCCATTCTATCCCACTTCCCCGTGCGTCGGATTGTGGCCGGCATCTGGTGGGTAGAGTTTCAGGAATGCGATTTGAACCACTCAGGTTGTCTGCTGCCTAAGCTGCCAGGGTGCTCTGACATACACGGCTGACAGGTCGTGGGTGCGCTCGACTTGTGCCCATTCCCACCTGTTCCCTTCTTGGCCTTCTCCCAATGTTTGATACAGCTCATGGAGATGGTTCACACGAGCTTGCTCACGATGAGTACCGCGGTCCTTTCCATCTTTCGAGAATTGTGGCTTAATCACGATTGGGAACTGGAAAGTTATTGTTTCTTCCTATCTGTCTCATGGCCGGTGACCAGGTGCCTTCAAGTCATAGCTCGAGTACCACATACGTGCCAAGAAGGTTTCACTAGCGGATGCCTATTCGATCGGGCTGAGATCTTCTGACAGATGTTTGCAAGGCCTCTTGTATTTGCACGCTGATCATTGGTTTTGCTGGCATGCTATCATAGCCTACAGGCTGAAAGCGAATAATTAAACTAGTCTGGCAATAATATGAGATGAACTCAAGTCAGAAAGTTTCTACGAGGAGCTGCGGGGCGCGCGTGATTTGGGAAATGTTTCAGGGGATTCTTGGCAGCGACTATACCAAGTGTTGGGGCCCAGAGCATAGCTATTTAATGCTAAGTAATGGCAATCGTGCGAGATGCTAGTGTAAGATAGCTATTGTCTCACTCACTACATTGTAGTATTGATATCGATCGATAAACGCGATCATCGGAACTTATCACTGCTGCTTATAGAGCTACCCAATTAAGTACTCTAATTCTTATACCTCGTTCCCGAACCCGACCCCCTCTTTAGAAACACTGTGTAACTTGATCATGATTACCGAAAGCTGAGGAAATAGCGGAATAGGTCTATCTAAATTAGAAGTAGTATATTCTAATTAAAGATCCACCCAATCATGAACATCTCGATACGGGGTCCCGTTTTTCGAGGATCGTAACAGCAAGATAACTTACTTCAAACGACTTGTTTGTGTACTATGCCAACATGGAAGGTGTCAGAGCGCGCGGAATTCGAGAAATTCGAAGAGATAAGAGCTGGACAGTAGGCCTTTAGAAACCTTGCTAGGATTTGCACAAGGTCCATGTCGTCTTGAACAAGCTTAAGTAATGGAATCTAGCAGCTTAGTACCCTCCCCGTTGCAGCAGATTCACAGTGCTGCACAGAAAACATCTCAGTTTCGACTCTCTAAGGCAATGCAGGTCTAGCCTTTCGCCATTCCTTCAACCCTGCTTTGAGTGGAATCAGTTTACCGTTCACATCTCGAGGTTCGTAATCCAGAGCGGCCCAACCAGCTTCGGCCACATCGCATCCATAATGCTCGCTCACCCAATGCGCAAACATATCCATCCCTGCGCAGGCTCCTCCAGCAGTCCAAAATTTTCCATCGGTAATCCATTGCTGCTTTGTCGTCCATTTGACCTCGGGTCTTAGCTTGACAGCCATGGAAATAAACTGGTGATTGGTTGTAGCGGTCTTCCCATCGAGGATCCCAATCATTGCAGCAACGATAGCACCAGTGCAAGTGGTGAAAATGCCTTTGAGCTCGTCGACTCGGCTGCGGACAAAGTCGGTGAAGGTTGGGGGCACGTTCATGAAGAAGTCGGGCCACGGTCCGCCAATGAGTAAGTAGTCCAGTCGCGGGCAGTCGGCGCAAGTAGTAGTAGGCTGTATCTTGATAGAAGCTGTCCCCGCTACTGCCTCTAAAGACTCGCCAATGTAGACGAATTCAATATTGTTGCCTCTCTGGGCAATCTCTATCGGGAATCCGCTTACTTGCTGCATGGCGCCCAGGTAGCTAGACGAGGTCGAAGAGAGGAGGTCTAAGGGGCCAACAACGTCAATGACTTGAAATGGGATGCAGAGGACTCCAAATCGAACCCGAGACATGATTACAGAATTCCAAAGATTAAAGTCGTTGTAGATTGTTCATCTTCTTGGAGATGGAGATGGACTTCGAAAAAGACCGAAGGCTCGTGTGAAACTTATATAGCAAGCATTTGATCTTCTCAACCATCAACCATATCACACAGACGTTCTTATTAGTTATCAAACAACAACGTTCTCAGATCATACACCTTTCTTTCCTAGAAGAAAACATGTCTCAATCAGGAAAGGCCTCCAGTCAGCCCTCACTTGCCCGACGGAAAAAGTGCCTAAATAAAAAGCAGACATCGATGAAAACGCTTGAAAGAAACGTCACGCTTCATTCTCCACGGTTCTCAGACCATACTGGATTCTGATTTCGAACTTCATTTGGCAAAGTCTGGCTGTATAGAGACTATGCTTAGATCAGCAAACAGTGAAAAAGTTTCCGAGCGGCGTAATGGGCCTCCGGTCGCGTAGATCCACTTGAGAAACAAGAAGCTCCCTGACCGAAACAGATGCTATATTGTTCACAGTGAGAACTGACATTGCTGAACTGAGGACAGATCACGAAGGCTGCAAGGCACAACAGCTCTATAATGCGCAGTCTTGCCTAGGAGACTACTTGGTGCCGAAGGCCACCTCAGCACCTTATCAAATTTCCCCTGGCTGGAGCGCTAAACGGCGACTATAGTATACGCATGTTTCCTCGAAACACCCCCTGAGTTGGTAAGTGGCACGCGTGTCTAGATACGGAAGCCTACCTGCGCTACTAACCAATGATTAATTATTATAGTCCAGATACGGTAGAGGCTCTCTGCCTCAACGGAAGTTATCGTATCTCTACACACGCAACTTTTGCCATCTCATGCATTCAATGCCGAGTTCGACTGCCACGTGCCTTCTTGGGATCCGCATATGCAACGAATCAGCGCTATATCGAGGAGCATAGAGCCGCCTCTCAAGTACTACGGCAGAATTCTTCACTCTAGCTCACCGTGAGTTCTGATCCCTCAGCACCAGCAGGTTGGACTTTTGCACCTGTCAGCCCCCACGTTGAGGCGGTGGATGAATGGAGCTCCCAAGACGCTAGCTAAACCGTTGGAAAAAATCCCTGAATAGATCTAATTATCTACCTGTATCTGCGAGTCCGTGTGCCTGGATCTCCCATCGGACTCGGCCCTGTAACCAAACCCGTTCGATCTGCGCCCTGCTCGTCAGCACTTTAACTGCCACACCTCCACGACCTTTGCTGGAAACTTTATCTGTGTCCAGACATGGCAACCATTGGACAAGATGGTGCTAGGCAGCGGATTAAGTAAACCTCAGCGTTCGTCAGCTGAGCATCAAACAGGATTCAGTTGGTCCGCTGATGTTCCATTTTTCTCCCTTCCGTTCCCTTGACCAAGCAGTTCTCCATCGCATATGCAAGCTGAGCTGAACCGTAGACGATGCAACGACAAGCACGCATATGGCACTGCCACGTATCAGAAACGAAAGTCCTTATATTCACGGAGGATTACCAGGTAGCAGGTAAGGGACTGATGTTATTCTAATTTTCATCACGTCCCCTGGATATAGAAACCCCTCCTTTAACTGCTCCGGTTCTCTTTTTTGCAACATTTCATTGATCAGAAAATCATTCGCGTCAAGAAAGTAAATCATCGCTTTTGCGCATAAAACCCAATCAGAACCCTACGACCAACAATGGCATCAGCATACTTCTCCCGTAGATCCATCATGTCGATGAACTCGATGACCACGACCGCCGCATCTACCGACAAGGATAATAGCAGTGGAGCGGTATCACATGCAACTCATCCATCCACATCTACATCTCCATCAGCGGCAACAGCAACATCAAGAAACGCCACCACCGCACAGGCTACATCCCTGCCAGTCAAGGCACACAGAAACGCCAGCATTACATATCGCGACAGAGTCTCCGAGACAGATTCACTGATTGGGTCCATGAGCAGCAGCTATGGGTCGTTCATGCGTTCATTGCATGTTCGCGGAGCTTGATTAAACTCGCAAGCAAGCTTGACTCTGTTCTGGCTTTTTAACAATTGAAGAGAACGATCTTCTCCATCTGGGCATTTCCTTGCGCTTAGAACCATCCAGCATGCCCTTCGATATTCATTAGAGTTTGGCGGAATGAAAGGCGTTCAGACGGAATGACGAGAGACACCAGGATCGAGCGGATCAGCTTCTTCTCCTATGTCTAATAATACTCAGAAACATTTTTATTTTAATCATCGAAAATACACTCCAAAAGCGTTTTTTGCCCTTTCCTCTACCTCATGCGAGCTGTTTTCCTTTCTCGACGGCCATGCAGTGAGTCAGCCACCATTGGCAGCCGGATCACCATGAGCTCTTCCATCAGCTTCTCTTTATACCTCTTCCTCAAAATTTCTCCTTAGCCGGCCGCATATCCAACTCATGAACCCAAAGATCAACACTCTAGTGCACCAACTAGAGATACAGATTCCCGACACTCTCAGCCCGGATATTCTCACCCTGTCTGACCTTCTCCTCGGAGCCATATTCCTTCAGCTGACCCATGACAGTCTGATCGGTAGACTCGACATCAACAATCCTCCCGTTAGCAATAGCATGCACGACATGCACACTTCGAGCACTATACGCGCGCCCAAGGTTCTGCGCCAGCAAGCCGATGAAGATGAGCGTGCTTTCCTTGCGGAAGACTTCTCAGCCCCCCGTCGTCGTCTTTGCCTTGGCCTTGGCCGTCGTGCTGGGCGAGCATACGTACAATTCCCGCAGCTCTTGTGGGCCCGGCGCCTATGAGAACTGCGAGACCTGCTGGTGCTATTTTTGAACTGGGCTCGTTGGCCTATCTTGTCTGCTGGGCCTTTTCTAATACCCCGGGTAAGGGTTATATTATTAAGTTGTGTTTGAATCGACAGAATGAGGTATAAGGCGACTTTTGAATCTCTCCCCTGGAGGGCTCTTGAACAGAAAACAAGGAGTGACCACGTACAGTATTTCTTGTCTTCTGGCCTACCCGGTGGCAGGTGCGAGCTCTTACCAGGTTCCAGTAACACTTTTGCATCTAATTGAAGCAGTACTGTGGAATTCAGCTTGGAGGGTAGGCTGCATCGATAGCCTCGTAAACAGGGGATGGAAATGCGCCCTGTGATATATACAATCAAGCCGATTGTTGCTAAAGACTAGAGTAGTATTTGAACTTTGACTATTTGGACAGAAACAGTGATATCAACAAGAAAACGTCATGAGATATACCTAAGATGCTTCTGGAAGTGTTTGTCTAGCATATCACTGGGCGTACAGGCTGATAGGTTAATATTGCATATCCGAGGTAGCTTCGTCGTCATCGTGAAGCACTGGAGGATTGGGAAACATGGGAAAGGTGTTTATCGAATTGTGCCGCATTGAGAAGAAGTGGCGCCTGCGCTTTTCACCTGCTAAGTCAACCATCACTTGGAAAAGGATCCGAGTTCACATTGAAGTGTAATTTTCAAGTCTATGTAGCATTTCAATTTGCTGGCCTCAACACCTGATTCTCCCCGCTACCGCCATGCAAGGGTATCATGATGCAAAGCGTTGACATAGTAGTCACGTTCAACTCAAGTTCGTTGGTCGTAGGAGGCTGCTTTAATCATCGTCGATCACAGGAATTCCAGATTCATGCATCACAATCTCCTAATCCCCGGTCCTCAATTGCCCATAGCAATATATTCACCTCAATGCCCCATTCATCCGCTTGGGACTTCCAGACTTCACCAGCTTCTCCAGGATGGACAACACACCTAGAATCCGGTTAGAAAATGCAATGAAAGCTGGAATGGGAAAGTTCGGCTTACCGGTTACACCCTGCGTCAAGGTCGCCGACGCTTCTGTACTCCTAGCTCCAAGCGTGATTGTCACTACGTCCTTGATCTTGCCCGCCTTTTCTAGCTTGTGTGCCCAGTTGAAGACATATTCATCCTCCCGGGAATCACCAATGACGAGTAGGAAATCCGGAAGGCCTTGGTTGGTACCGTTGACTTCATTTTCTAGCCTGTCACTGATCATTTGTGCAGCCAAGCCCTTGTTGACATTCATTTCTGAGATATACAAGCCATCTTCAATGGGCACTGCACTGACATGTTGATTCCGGCATGCGTCGTTGATGTGGTTCGCACATTCTCCGGCTTGTTTGAATGCCCCTGCCACGTCTTCTGCATCGGCATAGTCAAAGATGATAGATGAATGCCGGGATTCGATTCGGCTTCCCTCAATCCTATCAACGTAATACTGAAGAATGCTTTTAACGCCTGATTTCCAGGTCTTGACTTCCTCCAGGTCGGTCAATTCGGTCCACTCATCCGTGCTAGGTTCTTGCACAAATGCCCCATTTTCAGCAATCATCCCAATCCCCGAAACTTGGCTGAAAAGTCGTTCCATTTCCTCGGGCATCCTTGAACTCATGACATACACAATATTCTTCCTATCTTCAACCAAATCGTTCAGCAAATCGACTGATCGTTTAGGAGTTGTCAAGATGATGTCAGTCGGAGCGCCCCAGGATGCAAGTGTACCTTCATAATCCACAATGATCAGGCGTTTCTTTGCCTTCTGGTACTTCGACGTTGTGCCGGAGACTGATAGGCGTGGGACCGATGTTGAATCGCGAACGGAGTGCTCCCTCCAGGCATGATCCAGGGCTTTCATGAACAACTCATACCACTGAATAGCATTGTGCTGACCAACGATATCGTACATGATCTTCCAGCGACGCTGCCGCTCTTCAATCGACATATCAAGTGCTATCTTGATTGCTTCAGCACATTGAGTATAATGCCACGGATTGACGAGTAAAGCATCCTTCCCAAACACGGTCGCAGAACCAGTAAACTCACTAAGAATAAGTGGAGCATGTTTCGTGCGGGAAAAGAATTTACCATCTTGACAGAAGATAAATTCATGGCTGGTAAGATTCATTCCCTCTCTCAAGCTGGTGATCATAAGGCCTTCGGCGATCGTCAGCAATGCAAGATACTGGGCAAAGTCAATGTCTTGCTTCAAGAATACGACTGGTTGGTGAGCTAATGTGGAGTGAGAAGAATTGATGCGAGTGACAATATCGGCGACAGTCGCGCTCAGTTCGGGGTCTTCCGTAGATGAGGTGGCGATTTGAATCATGACGACCTTGTCCTTGTGCTGAGGGTACTTATTAAGGAACAACTCGTATGACAGCATCTTCTGGCGCACTCCACGAATATTGTCTAGCTTATCACGACCGACAATGATTCTCTTGCCTGCATACTTTTCGGCAATCGTCCGGACCCACTCAGCAACTTCTGGAACTTGTCTTTGCACCTCGAGAGATTTGGGATCAATGCCAATGGGACAGGTTTGCACATGAACGAATCGCCCATCCTCGAGGATGACGCCGTGCTTGGTTGCTTCCACATTTAGCAGGCGGCTGCAGGTCTGGAGGAAATGGTGACCATATTCATCGTTCTGGAACCCAATCATGCTCGCACCTAGAACGCCCTCCAACAGGTCCGTGCGGACAGCCAAGCATCGAAAGATCTCCGATGAAGGGAAAGCTGTATGAAGAAAGAAACCGATCTGCGCTTCGGGGATCTTCTTTCGCAGCAGACCGGGAACCAGGAGAAGATGATAGTCATGGATCCAGATAACATCGCCCTTTTTGTAGTTCTTGGCAATGCGAGCGGCAAAAGCTTCATTGACTTTGACATAATAAACCCACGAGTGGTCTTCATACGCCTTGCTCTTTGGATGATCAGGGATTTGATAGTGGAACACCGGCCAAAGAATGGTCTTGCAGTAATGTTCGTAATGACCGTTGAGATCACTGTCACTAGCATAAACAGCCAAGGAATCGTAGTCGTTCTCCAGCTTTTCGGCAATATTTGCTCTCAAATGATCCTCTAGAGCTTCAGTGGGGCAACCTATGGTGCCGACCCAGGTCTTGTCCTCAAGAATTCCAGCATCCGTCACTGCATCGATTGCATTGAACAGTCCACCATTGCCGATTTGAGCCTTCTCCACTGTGTAGCTGTATTCCGAGAATCGTCGCTCATGGCTGGCCGTTCGTGCTCTTTGGCGACGCCCAATAACCTTATTTTGAGCATGGTTCAACATAGCCGCGGCCCTCTCTCTTGTGACGCGAGCACCAGCATGTCTAAGGATGGAACTCGGGGGAGGTGACTTTGCACGTGAGGGAGGCTGATTCCATGTTACAGCTTTACCCCAGGTCGGAGAATGTAGATCGGCCCGCGAGATCGTCCTAGGGTCTCTGGTGGCTGGAGTTGTAGGGTCCGTCTGTTTGATGTGACTAGGCAGCCTTAGACTGATTGGTCTCTCGATATGAGGGCGGAAGATCCTCTCCAGGTCGGTAGTCGCGCCTGGGGTCTGTATGATGGGCCCGGGGCTCTCATGAAGAGCTGCGCTTGGGGTGAAGAGGCTTACAGTAGGGCCAGTGACAGGAGTGGTCGCGGGCGCACCGGAAGTCTGAGGCCTTGTTGATTCTGGAGACACTGGTCTTGAAGGTGAACGGACATCAAAGTTGACCGTGTAGGGTAGAAACAGAGTAGCCACAAAGACAGTCATTGTAGCATAGGTATGCTGCTGAAAAGATAACGTTATGAAGACTCGTAGACCGGTCTGGTCTATCTAGAAGAAGCTCTCAGCCAGGCCAAAGTGCGCGAGAGGAAGAGGATTGAGAAGTCTCGGCGTGGGTTTGAGGGAAGGAAGTCACCGCCGCGCGTCACCCGGACTCAGTTGGCATAGGCGGATGTGAAGTCGAGGATTGAAGGCGCGAGAGGGAGCGACAAGCACATGGACGTTGACAGGTACAGAATATTGAAGAACAATCAGGACATCCAGCAGAAGATTCTAGGATTCACGATGGGTGTGATTCCTGGGAACGTGCGCCAACGCCATTCAATGACGGAATCGTGAATGCAAGTTTGGATGGAGCCAGGACAGAGGGATGCGGCGATTCATGATGAATAAGTTTGGTGCGGACCCTGCCGAAAGCGAGGACACAACAACTACCTGTGAGTGTGAGTGTGATACAGAGTACCCAAAGTCGGGAATCATGGATGTTAACCAGGACGATTGATGTGGCACCGAAGAATCCTGGATGCAATTGGAATGGAAACCCGCGCGCGAGAGGAAGACATGGAAAATGATGGAATGTCCAACAAAGTCAACAGCAATTCTGCGAGCAAATGACGCAGCATGTGGAGCACCACCGCACATCAAACCCTGTTCCTGAATCCCAAGCAAGCCTCCCTGGGCGCGGTGGCTATTGTTATTGGGGGCGCCCAGGGCTAGCTAGCCTCTATTACTATTAGTAGCTCTTCTAAGTGCCAGAGGCCCAGAGCTGACCTGCCCAATGCCCATTGCTGCCCCTCCCATAGCCGGGGGGTGGGGGGTCAACTTAGACACGTACTCGTACTGTAGCCCAGTCCACAGTGCACACAGTCGGAAGAAACGCCCGGTAGCCGCCCCCTCTTCCGGGGCCTTCACTAGCTGAGGGGGCATCCGGTTAGGGTCTCCCGCCCAAGTTCCTCTGGGCTCGAATGGGTCTGGATGGGTCTGAATGGCTCGGCGTCTTCGTCCGATGAACTTTCTTCCAACCACACGTTCCAGCTTCCAATGATTGTTACACTGCAAGCCTCAGGCCACACCCAGTGAGAATTCTGCCTGTTGCTAGTACGCAGCACAGTAGTGCGCATCTGTGGGAGCCTGCCGCCTTGTTGGCGATCCGAAACAAAAGACATGTGCTTTTGGGTTCATTTGGTTTCTATCTGACCTGGCCATCTCATTCCACCTCCACCTGTCACTCTCTCCCCCTTCGCTTGGCCATGCCACTCTATCTCACCGCGGCCCACTCTTCTCGAGTCTCGAAATCGGGACAGAATTCCGCAACTAGCCGACGTAACTCCGCCTCGCCTTTTTCGACTGCTCCACGTAAGAAGTCATCGATTCAAAGGACAAAATCCCTATCTGCCGTTCTTGAGGATGAGCTTGACGATGATGAGGATGACACCCTAGTCCCGACTGGCAAAATCCTGTCCGTCCTCAAAATCGATGAGGCCACCGACGTGACAAGTGCAATACACTATGGCCGCAGCTCAATGTTCGCGCCTATTCCAGAGCGTGCAGGCATGAACAGTGTACGCATCGCCGAAGTCCTCAACTTTCAGAGGAATCTGCCTTCGATTGTCTCACTGGCCCATGTCCACGCTCTTCTTGCAGCCTCGTCCAAGACTGAACGAGAGATTGCTGCACTACAGTCCACTGGTAAGATTCGCAAGGTCAAAGTGGTTGGTCGAGGCAACGACATCAGTGGTGCCAGTGAAGTTCTGATCACTACAGATGACTTGCACGCCCTTCTGCATAGGAGTGCTATCTCAGCAGATGTTGTAACATACTTCTGCAACGTACTTCAGCGTTATCCGCGAGCCACGTCCATTCCGGCCCGAGACATGGACGGATCATCTGCTACCGAATTAACCCGGACGGGATTCCTCGTTTCCTCCTCACTTTCCGGTTCTCGAAATCTGTCGTTAGCCGGCTCAAGCCTGGTTGCCATACCCAGAATCTCGCGTGCAGCATCTGGAACCTCTAGTGCAGTAGGAGGAGATGCAGCCTTTGAAGAATTGGGTGGAGTCGGTTCTGCACGGCGGCCCAAAGCCCGCGGCAGTGACCACACACCTCACAACCAAGCTGGCGAATTCGCTCTCTCTGTGCCAAACATCGGCCCCTATTTGAGACTCCTCAGTGCTGGCCGCATGCATCTCCTAGAACTCCTGGGCAAGTCAAAATACAAAGAGGCTCCTCTATACCTTCTCCGCGAGCGTTGGGACGGCGCAGTCGATACCGACACTCGCGTATCCGCTGCTAAGCGAATGCGTGGAGAATTCTCGGCTGTCATGCCCTCCAAGACCAAGAAGTGGAAGGATCTGTACGGACTCAACTTTGATTGGGCCCTTGAAGAGTGCCTGGGTGCAGGACTGATCGAGCTGTTTGAGACGCGGAGTGTTGGCTTGGGCGTCCGTGCATTGGGCTGACACGTCGACGTATGGCAATGACTTACACCCGCTTATGCGAACTCCTGCGAACACTTACAGCCCTGTGCAGAATGACATGGATAAAGTCCCTGCTTCTACTTGTTTTCCCAAGGTAACACAGCCCGCCCGATGACAAACTGATGGATTCAGATTGTACGTTGTCGGCTACCTCCTGTCGCGCCTGGCAGCCTTTCAGTATTGACGCGGAGCCATGCATGAACTTGACCAAAATGCCTCACTCGAGGGACGCAGTACAACATGATTCGTTCCTAAACTCCCATGTCAAGGTCGTCAACGCCGCCCAAAAGAGAGTCTCTCATCACAGATCTAGCTATGGCCTATCGTTCACCGGACAGAATTGATGTCAAGCCTGTTTAGCGCTCAGAGGTGTGACACAGCACGCAACGCACGTTCGAATGCACTCGACAGATCATTAGTTCTCCAGCGATCCTTATCTTTTGATCAGATCCATAATAATTTATCGAGCACGATGTCATCTGTGACCGCCACTGACTCACGTGTAACCACTGAGATCTAGATCCTTATCCCAGGCCGTGGCACCTTCAAAAGACTCCTTTCATCTTGGCTGATTTGATCACCGACTTCCATGCACTGGGCTACTACCGGAGCTATATCATTGATAGATCACGGGTCACGAATATAAAGAGATAACTTTAGTATAGTATCAGAGCAGCTACAGGGCTAAGAAACAACCAGCCAGACAATCCGGCAGATAAATGATGAGTTAAATACACGGTCATCGCTGTTTAGATAGTATGTACATTTTTACAGGGAGCAGCTTTCCTTGACTTCAACCTCAGCCCGGTCGGAAAGCTTTATGATGTTTTGCCGGTATGGTGATTTTTCAGTTCCGAAATATACATTTGCACACGGCCTTCGCCCCTCACAAGCTTGAGGTGCAAAGGGAGTTCAAAGAGAGACAAAAAGCCCTGATGCATGACTTCCTCAATGACCAATGTTTCACATCTTGCCACCACTCAACTTTTCGGCAATTCTCTTCATCCTTTCCTGATCCCTCAAGAAGCGTTCGGTCTGCGGTACGAGGCCGGATACACTACCAGCATCGGCCTTGCCGTCGGGTGGGGTCTTGCCTGTAATCATCTCCTTGAGGGAAGAAGGCAGGCCGTTTCTCCAGATCGACGGCTTCTCAAACTCGACGTCGATCGCCGCCGCGAGCTGTTCCTTGGTCGTGATGAAGTGCCGCGCATGCATGTATAGCGTGTGCAGCTTGTCGAGACGGGCTTCGCGCTTCGCACTCTGGAGCGCCTCGTATTTGGCCGTGCGGGCTTCGTAGATTTCCTTCTCTTGTTCCGCGGGTAGATCCAGTAGTCGTTTGGGTTTCATCGTGGACAGCACGGTGTTGTTGGTCAGCCTCTCATCTTCACGCTCGGCCTGGTTGATCAGTCCTTCGCGTTGCTCGTTGCGGACAATTGTCCTTCGTAAAAGCCGCTTCTCGTGTGTGACCTTCCGTTCGTGAAGCTGCGTCAAGCCCTCGCGGAGATGGGCTTTTCGCATCTCTGACATGCGGAGTTTGTACTTCTTCGCATCCGTCTGGAATTCTGGTGGTGGAATGTTTTTCGGAAGTGCATCTCGTGTGACATTCTGAAGGTACTTGTCGCTGGGCTTGTCCGGGCGACTTCGGGGGAAGAGCTCTCGAGGAACAGGGAGAAGCCCTTTTGTAGGAAGTCTACGCTCCCGTACTGCCTGGTGCGGTTCCGGTACTTCGACGAACGCTGGAGATTCGGGAGGGATGTATAGCTTGGTGGAGGAAGTAGCAAAGGTGCGAGGAGATGATAATGTACTCTTCTTCACGTGCAATCGAAACCGACAAGCTCGACATATAGAGCTTGAGAGGGACTCCATCGTGGGCACCGGGGTTTCTTTCGAAGTAGCTCAGCCTCACGGCTGGCCTCAAGTCCCAAAATCAACGGTGTAGATAGGGAGCAGTTGTGAGGTTGCCGTTCTCCATAATTGCGAATGATGAAGCCGCGAAACGCCAAAAATCCCAAATTTGGGCCCTTTCCCGATTCGGACACCGCCTTGGCAGAACTCGCTCTCCTCCAAAGGCGACCACCTGCTCTTGCTTCCTTTCGTGTCCTGGCCACCTCGGCCACCATGACAGCAACTAGTATGTTTCGCCCTCTTTATGTACGATGGCTAGTGAAACAAACACCACAGAATTCACAGCTCCAACAGCGTCCTCAGTTCCGCGGTATCTTCTCAATGATAATCCTGCATGTCCTCTCGAAAGCGTTTATGATTGTCCCGAATTGATTGGAGGAACCCGCCAATCCTGCCTGATGTAGATTCCTGGACTTCCACAAACGTACATTACAGGAGAAAGATGTGGCTACTTCCAGGTCTTTCGGCTTAAGGACTTCTCCTTCGTCGAGCACTTCCTGACTGATTCTTACCAAAAAGCCTCTTGTGGTGAGCAATGACCTATCTTTTTGGCCAGTAAAGCATAGCATTCTGCTTCACTGCTAAAGTTAAGCGGCTGGCGGTCAGCCAAATCCAAAGGAAGCTTATACGAAACGACGGTAAAGGCCATACACTTTGCCAGCCGCTGTAGTAGGCATAAAGTCAAGCACTCGCTCTCGGTCCTCGCCGCATTTTCTCATCCTACGCGAGAATGAGAAGCATTGGAGTCTGCTCATTGTGCTGGTTTGGCTACTCTCAAATTCTAGATCTATTGTAGCAGCGCTTGACCTGTTATGGGGCCCCCTCTCTTGCCAGTATCTGGACAGCCCACCACCGAACCCCATAGATTGGTCACCGCAAAATTCCCCGCGAGATGTTAGGTCAAAGGTTGGCAATTAGTGTTCTAGAAACCTTTTTGTTGGACCGTGATCCCAAAGACTCGAGTTGCGTTTCAATCATGTCTTGTTTTGTCACCTCCTAACTAGAGCTGGCCACGGATATTCCAGAACGACACGCATGGCTCATAAGATTGACTAGATTACCGCTCTATGGATGCACTGGTCATGACGAACGGCGATTATTCCCCCCTGTATTTACAGGACTTGGCGTCGCGAAATCATATTGATATCCTGATGGTCCCAATTCTGGGCTAGCGGGATCCACCGCTTAGTCAGGACAACTGTCCGATAGATCATGGGTGTTTGAGCAATCACGACGACGAAGCTCAGCAGGTCGACGCTGGAACGGATCAGCCAGCCAACGGTACAGCATCTCGATTGTACAACAGGGTTAAGGATAGATATCGTATAGACATCGAAACGCCCGTGTCCCAGGACCGATGTGCCTGATGTTGTGAAGGCTGAAGCACTTCTGCGAAGTATCTCTAATAACTATCCCAAGAAAGACTAGTGCATAATACTAGGGCTGGAGTCTAGTGTGCGTTGGCTCTAGCTCTATGGTACGGTGAAGTATTAGACCGGAACGATATCTCGTCGGGAGGAGATTGTCCGCATCTTCGGCCTTGGCAGGACAATAGCCCAGAAAAAAATTGGAGAATGAAACTTATATTTCTTGGGAACGTGAATACCAACTTAAGACATCACGGCGTATGCGATAGATTCTTGACTCTAGACAGCCCTAGATCGATCAAAGCCCTCAGTATGGGCTCTCGAAAGAAAGAAGCAGCCCGCCGAGAGCGGCAGGGCGTTTCGACGGACGGCATGGCAAATGTCAAGACCAAAGGCGAAAACTTCTACAGGTATGGTTTTAGATACTGTGAGATCTCGAAAATGCCTGCTAATTTCATTCTGCAGGAGTGCCAAAAAGGTAAAGACGTTGAATATGCTCAAGGATGGGAAGGCCCAGAGAAACGCTTCTGGGAGAATTACCAAATCCGCCTCCTACCAGTCTCGCGAGACTCCGAAAGCACGAGTTGAGCCTAATCGGAAGTGGTTTGGGAATACTCGAGTCATATCTCAAGATGCACTGGAATCATTTCGACAAGCTGTGGCTGAAAGGACCGCCGACCCATACCAGGTTCTCCTCAAGACGAACAAGCTACCCATGAGTTTGATACGGGACAATGAGAACACGAAGCATGGGATCAAACAACACCAAGCAAAGATCGCAGTGGAGTCGGCCCCATTCGCTGATACATTCGGACCTAAGTCGCAGCGGAAACGTGTGAAAATCAGCTCAGGAACCGTCACCGACCTCGCCGACGAGTCTGTTAAGATGCATGACAACTACCTAGAGAGACTTGAAGAGAACAAGCTCCTGAGCGGGCAAGCCTCTGCGGCAGAAACTATGCAGGGACAGGAAGATGGGGCATTAACTACCGCCCGCGAACCCATATTCTCCAAGGGCCAAAGCAAGCGGATCTGGAACGAATTGTACAAAGTCATCGACTCTTCCGATGTCGTAATTCATGTCCTCGACGCACGAGACCCTGACGGTACGAGATGTCGAAGCGTCGAGAAATACATCCGGGAAGAGGCACCTCATAAGCATCTGATCTTCGTCTTGAACAAGTGCGATCTAGTCCCGACGAAAATCGGTAAGTCATATTTATTTCCGTGTCGCAATGCCCGTGTCTCTCCTCCATCGCTAAGTCAAGACGCCTTTCTGCATTTATTTGCACACTGTTCCATGAAAGTCGCCTGTTACAGCTTTGGTAGATCAAGCAGCACTCGCCACCTGTCTCGGCAGGTTGGTTTTCGATATTGCATCCGTCTTGGAAGCCTTGTCACTAGAGTGCATGGCGTGTTTCGTTTGAGTTGAGGCCTGCCTTGCCGATTGTTGGCTTTCTTTGTCATGGCACGTCTCTTAGTAATGTCTCACACATACTGACTGTTCACCTATTGTAGCTGCTCAGTGGGTACGATTATTGTCCAAGGATTATCCCACCCTCGCTTTCCATGCTTCGATGACGAACTCATTCGGCAAAGGATCTCTCATCACACTTTTAAGACAATTTTCCACTTTACACTCTTCACGAAAACAAATCTCGGTTGGGTTCATTGGCTACCCTAATACCGGGAAGTCCTCGATCATCAATACATTACGAAAGAAGCGTGTCTGTACAGTCGCCCCGATTCCAGGTGAAACGAAGGTTTGGCAGTATATCACCTTGATGAAGAGGATATACCTTATTGATTGCCCTGGTGTCGTCCCCCCGAGCCAGAGCGACAGTGAAGAAGACATCCTGCTGAGAGGTGTTGTTCGGGTCGAAAATGTCGAACATCCTGCACAGTATGTAGAAGCTGTCCTTCGAAGGACTCAAACGCGTCACATTGAGCGAACCTATGAAATGAAAGCGTCAGAGTACGACAACGACCCTATTGAGTTTTTGAGTATCCTTGCCCGGAAAGGTGGAAGATTATTAAAAGGTGGCGAGCCAGATGTCGACGGTGTTGCCAAAATGGTTCTCAATGATTTCTTACGAGGCAAAATCCCGTGGTTCACACCTCCTCCGAAGAAGGAAGGCGGAGATGCAGCCGAGGTTGAAGAAGCTAAGGACGTTGTGGAAGGGCGGGAAGGACGACTAGGCGAGATGCCTGGAAAGCGAAAGGCTGCTAGCCCTGAGTCTGACCAGGAGGAGGACGACGCAGCCGGTCAGTCTGGCACCGACAACTCAGCTGAACAGGACGCCTCCAGTGACGATGAACTTGCCTCATTTGACGATGACGATGATGAAGAAAGTGAAACGAGTGGTCCTGAGTAAGATGGTGACGACGGCACCAACCTATAAATAGCCTATACCTTTATCTACTACATCTAAAGGCTTAAAGTGCGGCAAGTTTTACATCGATCCCAGACTGCCCTTCCGTCCTCAATGATCAATTTGCAAAGTCTTGGAATGAGACCATTTTTTGCCCCAACTGACGCAAAACTGATTAAAATACAGGCTTCGTGATGGGTTGTGCCTTTCACTCAACGATCTATTCATGTTAAAGGATGTATTTGAAGTTAGGAAGCCTCTACCTCTCCACTGGTGACTGCCTAAATCCTCTTATACCGCTCCCTTGCAGATAAAAGCGTTCGATCACTTCAAAAAGCTCTACGGACCAACTTTAAGCTGTCGTGTGACCACAAAAATGATCTAACCGCTCTTGACCAACCCCCCTAGCTTGTCTTCATGCTGCCCTGCCCCAGGTTCTCCGTCTTGACATCCCGGAATTGGGGTCGCTAGTAGTGGATTTTTCACAATCTTCTGTGCGTAATCTTGTGTCGGGATGAACCCTGTCCCAGTTCAAGGTTCGCATGTTTTCAAACGATCTGACAGCAGCGATATATGATCTCGCCAAACAATTGGATCTCAACCGTGGCTCCACATTCTTAAGCTCTGCGGTATCATTCTCCACGATAGACCCAGGCTGGCTCAGGAGCTTGATCAGATCCACTAGGCAAAGATACAGAGAATGGCTTGCTTTAATCTCCAGTTCTTGCGAGCCAACGGGAAAGATCTTTTCCTAGAAGCTACCATGATCAATAATACCCAACCATCGTGTCTTTTTGAAGATCGAATCTTTTCCGACGAGTGGAAGATCAGCTGGTTCAGGTCAAATAGAGTGAATCTCCGTGAGCAGAGGCTTATTGCATTCACCCTTAGTCGCCATAGCTGTCGAGAATCAAGCTATAAGTAGATACTAAGATAAGTGTTGGAAGATGAAAGTAGAGAGAGGTGCAGGTGCTTATGTTTCTGGGGTGCGACCGTAACCATCTTTTATAGACTTCACCGAAACATGAATGAACCTCTCAAAAAGCTCTATGTGGTCAGTTATTCGCAAACATGGTTCGGGCTTGGGAATCTGATTCTCAGCTCGAAAAGTCCCTATATCATGCTTCCAACCGGAGAGTGGGGGCCGGGTGTTCTCCAATGGTAGACGGGTTTTCCTGGACAACTATACGTTAGGACTGCCCCATTGTTATGAAATTAATTCCACAGCATTCTAACATCCGCATGGAGATAGATAAGAGAGCATTGCGTGCCACCCCAGGCAGTTGAAGTTTATACGGTGGATCACTCATGCATTAATACGTCATGAGTCGAGCTGACGTCAATCCCACGTGATATGCCTAGAACGGCCTGTTGGTGGCTGTGGAGGTCATCCGCACTTCACCCTTCTTCCCACTCCCCTCTCACTTGAACATCGATCTCGACATCTGAGATCTTTTCTCACCGTTACAGAATGCCAATATTCATCCTCTAGATCAGCGCGACCATTCTTACCTAATGCACTATATATCTTCTATCAATCTGTTGTGGTTATGGATTGTAGCAGTGTTCGCCTTTCCGGCGCACATACAATCCAATGACGGGGAGATTTCCCTCAAGACATTCGAGTCCCTAGAAGAACTAGCACGAATAGTCGACATCTCCTACTGTGTCGGCACAAGTGGTATTCAAAAGCCGTTCAAATGTCTGAGTCGTTGCAGCGAGTTTGCGGGGTTCGAGTTGGTTACGAGTTGGAACACCGGACCGCGTCTCTCTGATTCGTGTGGCTATATCGCTATATCGCATCCCCCCTTCGAGAAACGAGTCATTGTTGCTTTTCGAGGCACTTATTCCATTGCCAATACCATCGCCGACCTTTCTACGAATCCTGCCGAATATGCGCCGTTCCCCTCCGAAAATGACAACGATTCGATATGCGCAACTGTTCAGCCCGAGGACAATAAGCAGACTCTATTGCCCCAGCTGCTGAAACAAGAAGTAAAGAGAGATTTAGTGCCTGAATGTCCAAATTGCACTGTACACTCAGGTTTCATGACTTCTTGGCGCAATACACGTTGTACGATAGTACCTCATGTTGAGAAAGCACTCAACGACTTCCCCGGTTATGAACTCGTCCTTGTTGGCCATTCATTAGGCGGCGCTGTCGCGGCGCTGGCAGCTCTTGAATTTCAAGCCCGTGGATGGAGCCCTAGAGTTACAACGTTTGGTGAACCTCGAATCGGGAATCTAGCACTCAACAAGTTCATCGACAGACGCTTCAATCTCAATTCAACAGATGTCGAAGATGCATTATACCGACGGGTCACTCATGTTGACGATCCGGTGCCCCTACTCCCACTAGAAGAATGGGGCTATAGAATGCATGCCGGCGAGATTTTCATCTCAAAGCCTTCCCTTCCCCCCAGCCGCGCAGACATCCGTCATTGCAACGGCGGCGAGGATCCTGCCTGCATCGCCGAGAGTAACCCGGACACGGAGCAACATGAAGGTCCAGAAGATGACGAAGTTGAGGACTCAGAGTTCCGGGCAATGTGGGGAATTGGCCGGCGTTATAAGCTCTGGGAACTGTTCTTTGCCCATCGAGATTATTTCTGGAGGCTTGGCCTCTGCCTTCCAGGTGGGGATCCGTGGGACTGGTCTAGAGGGAAATATAATGAAACTGTAACGACTGACGAGTTGTGAATAAAGGAAACCAACGAGGTTCTGATGATACAAGATGATGCTGCGACAAGGCGTTTTGATCAGTATTGCTAGGATTCTAAGGAGTCTTTGTTGTACATTAGGCTGTATAAAAAGGTGACGATGGGACCTGGGTGACAAGCAGTGACTTAGCATTTTTACATAAATTCGCAGAATTAATTATACATACGATGTTAGGAACAGGCTGTTCCATTTTCCTCCAGAGGATGAATTTCATGGCCTCGTAACACGACAGTCCTCGAGCCTAATTCTCGTGAAATGATCATATGAAGTGAGGGACGAGTCAATATCCGCCGGCCTTGGCGCAAGTTCCTGTCATGTTCCACTTTCACACCGGCAATGACGCCTCAAGACCCGACAACCATTGACCCGAAATTTGGACCACGACCGGGCATGAAGATAAATAGTTGAAATCGAAAAGCACACCATCATCAATCAAGATCCAAGAGTCCGGGACAGGCTATCTGTGCGGGTTCAACAGGACACCACCACCACCACCACCACCACCACCACCACACAATTTCCGCCTGCAAGGCTCCGACACACAGCAATTTTTAGTCGAAAATGGCGTCTCAACTGTTACCTCTCGGTGAACCCTAGTTACATCTTTCTACTACCTGGAATCGCGACTTACTTTTCATGCAGAGCTGATTGATAAATGTGTCGGGTCGAGGATTTGGATTGTCATGAAAGGCGACAAAGGTCAGTTCCATCTATCTTTACGATTGTCCCACCTGGTGGCACCGATCTCCCCATTTAAATCGGTTCCCTCGAGTTTGCAAAAGCGATCAACGAGACTGACTCTCGTTCTTTGCAGAGTTCGCGGGAACATTGCTTGGTTTTGATGACTACGTCAGTACGTATTGATGGTCTCGTTGCTGCCTTTTCCCCAACCACACGCCATCATGCTTTTTCAAACTCAAGAACCTTGCAGTCTTCAAGCGCTAATGGTGATCGACTGTGGCAAGATATGGTGCTCGAAGACGTGATTGAATTGTAAGCTTGAAATCCCACTGCTCTTCTCTCATGAAACTCCCTCCCTTCATCTAAGGCGGAAGAGTCTAACACGTTTTTGCTCCTTGCTGGAAAGCGACTACACTGGTGTGCAGACCAAACTACCCAAAATCCTGCTCAATGGCAATAACATCTGCATGGTACGTGGACTATATCTCAACATTTGTTCGATGATCCCTTTTGGAACAATACGGTGATTCGTTCGGGGCTTTCCCCCCCCCTCGATTTACTGCTGCTTTTTGACCTGTGACTGCCCCTTACTAATCATGCGCTGTTTCATGCTATAGTTGATTCCTGGTGGCGAAGGACCGGTCGCTGCTGCTTCATGAGTGTGACTCAATCCTCGGTGTGAATTGCGCGAGTACGGCCATATATTTCCGCGGAATGGAATGTTAACCCGTTCTCGGGCCGAGCACGAAGAAGCGGCTAGGGAGGTGGAGGACTTGAAGGTCAATTGCTTGCGTAACTATTTTTGGGCTCCTCCTCTAGCAAGAATCGGTACGATGAAAGGCTTGAATCTGCGGAATGGAAGTCATTGGCCACCCGGGGAAGCCCCCTGCTTGAGTTTAGGAATTGCTAGAGCCGCTCTTATTACAAGTGTTGGAAGAAATTACTGCTTTGCGAATCTTGCTGCAGTCTTTTGTAAGACCTGTTTAGCTTCCCGTTGAACACTTCTCACGATCTCGCCAACCGGCTGAACGGCGTGGATCAGGCCGATGCCGGTGCCTGCGTATGTGGTCATTCTCCCTTCAGGACCCCATCCAGCATCTCCTTGTTTCATAGCTTCTTTGTAGAGCTCCTGGTTCTCACCCTCGCTCATGCCATGTACGGCATCTAAATAACTGCGATTTGACACGCCTCGACCAGTATATGCTTGTGGCCAACCATAGATAGCTCGCACCGTGTCATAGACTGTAGTCGCAACCGTAGTGACGCCCCCGTCAGCAACTCTGAGCACCTCATTTTGATAACCTTTAGCAATAATGACCTCATTACTGGCAAGAAATCTTGTTCCAAGAGCGACGCCACTTGCACCAAGTGACAATGCAGCGGCAGCGCCACGGCCATCAACGATGCCACCTGCTGCAATCAAGGGTGTTGTGATCCCATCCTTGAATAGAGCATCTGCAATTTCAGGGAGAAGAGTCAGAAGACTAGCTCGCTGCGCAAGCCCATGGCCACCAGAATCTGCACCTTGCACCACAATGACATCTGGCCTACTGGTCTTCGCGACCTCGACTGCTTCTGCAACAGTTCCAATCTGTATCCAAATTTTGGTCTTTCCATTCGTGGCAGCGCGAATCTTGTTTGTCCAATCTAGTAGGTCGCTTAGCTGATTCGGTGCAAAGAACCAGACGGCTGCAACAGGATGCTCAGTGATCGCTGCCAGAGCCAGTTTCAGGTCGCTGCCCCAATTTTGGAAACCAACACCAATAGGAAGCACTCCATCATGTCGGGCTAAAGCTTGACTTTTCACCAACTCAGCAGCCTCGTCCAAGTCCTTGGCCAGATTGGAAAGATCAAACCCGCCAGCTACAAAGCCGAAGCCTCCATTTGCAGATACAGTGACAGCAGCCTTGGCCATTGTGATTCTCATCATTGGAGCAGACACAACCAAAGGAGCATCAGGAGTTGTCCAGGGATAGTCATAGTGAAGTGGATTTTGAGCCATCTTTCGTAGCTAGATCTTGATTATCTGGCTGTTTTGCGCATATCTCACTGCTTGATGTTATGGGGGAACGGGTTCACGTTTCCTTTTATAGACGTACAAGAGAGCGGTCCCAAATGATCTGTGACTCAGATCCGATGAAACATGTCCAACTCCGCGGAAGCTGTCAAGGGCCTGTGTGGATCATAAACACACACATGAGAGTGTGCTCGAACCAGAAGTAAGGAACAAGAGTCAGGCGCCGCAATCGGAGAAAAAGGGAGCATGTTCCCTGTGGCCGAGCAGCTTTCAAGCTGGAGGGTTGAATTGGCTGGTCCCTTGAAATGCCTCGGTGTCTGAGCCCAGCCGTCGCAGATCCAAATCCAAGAGTTTGGGGTGTCTGTGAGTGCAGGGTCCATGGTTGGATGCAGCGCCCCCATCGTCGTTGGCGAACAGCCCGCCACCCATTAGAAAAGCATCTCTCGCCTAACCTTCCTTTCTGTAGAGACGCTTGGCATCAAATTCAGTTGCTCCACAGTAAACATGAATGCCTGTTCATCTCAGAACTTAAGAAGACAAGCATCTTTCTCTTCCTCTCTTTCTCGTATCCCAAAGCCACTTTCCATCTTGAAGTCTTTCATCTTTTGGTTCAAAACCACCACATCCCCATCAAAACGATATCTCTTTTGAATACGGTCCCAACCACGCGGGTCTTGAAATCGTCACCATGAATGCCCCAGATCGGTAAGTGATTTCTGTTCTTTGAGTTGAGGTTTTGGTCATCTGCCTTTAAAATGATCGCTTTGTCCTGCCACTGCCACTTCCAGTCGAAGGGAAATTGTCCAAAGAAAGGTGAGGATCTTGTCATTTGGAATTGCTGGGGCCCCAAAGATGTTGTCGTGTCTGTCAGTGTGCGGTTGATGGCCTGGATCCAAGAGGAAGCGAAAGACCCATGGATCTGTCGCAGCTGCGGCGATGTCATTGCGATGTCATATCGAGGGGCCTTCCTCCTCGACAACCACCTGCGCACCTTCGCACCTGCCCTCAAGCACAAGGGCTTGGCGCCGACTTGCTCCCACTATACTGCTGGACTTCCGTGCCCACATTTCACTTGGACTTCTCCTTGCACAACGCATCGACTTTCTCTGTTTGACAAGAATCTCCAAGCTTTCTTGTACGGGACATTTGTCAAGATGTCGAGTTCTCCTAAGGACTCTCCTAAGCGTGCTACTTCCCCCATGCGCGCAGTTTCCCCAGATCGTGCAGCCTCGCTCGAGCGAGAAATCTCACCCAAGCGGGCTCCAATCAAGATCAATGCCAACGGCGTGATCTCGGAAACCCAGGACGAGAGATGGCCCGGGCATCCTGCCAACGCACTGTACAAGGGCAGTGACGATTCTGAGAACAACAGCACCGATGTCAATGAGCCTGATCGGTAAGTTGTCCCACATCCATCTCAACCAGTTCCTCCAAAGTCCAAGACTGTCCTTGAAAGGTTTACCAAAGGACTCCAGAGACAAGACCACTGTGACTACAACTGCGACAGTCACACCCAATACCGAGCCTAGAGAGTCCCGAGGTCGCCGTCCATCCATCTCTCTCTATCCCGGTACCGGGCCCCATGGAATACCACTGGAAGGGAAGGACGGGGGCTGGAAGGACCATCCCAGCCACATGCTTTACCAGACTCAAGGGATTAACCACAACGGTATTAATATACCTGATGCGTGCGTATAGGCATGAAGTGGCAGTGGCAGCCCTGGGTCATCTCTCCCGCACAGTTCTATCTCATTCATCGCGGTCTTCATCTGTGGAAACCCGCTAATTCAGCCCTTTTTATCTAGAACCGAAGCCTTCATCCTTGGAGATAATGAGAAGAAGATTGAAGAGAAGATCGACACTCGTAATCAATTCAGTGCCCTTCCTTGCGTACCTTGCTGACGATCTGTTCATAGGTACTCCCAACACTGTGATCTTCACATTCAACAAGGAGGATCACACCCTCGCCAACCTTCTTCGCGAGAAGCTTCTAAAGAACAGCCATGTTACTTTCGCTGCCTACCGGGTAAGTCGTGGCATATATTGTTCTGCAAGTTCAAGCATATTGACAGAGTCAGGTCCCTCATCCCCTATTTGCCAAGTTCGAACTCCGCGTCCAAACTGATGGCGAGATCACACCCAAGGAAGCCATTGTTGCCAGTGCTGGCGATACGATCTCTGAGCTAAGCAGACTCAAGACTAACTTCACCCGCGAGTACGAATTGAGAAAGATGGTTGGCAATGCTCAGAATACCCAGTGATTACGTCTCGCACGGACGATGAGGTTCACGATGATGGTTTTCATCAATTTCATTTCACAAGCAGAATAAGGTTCACGATGGTGGGTTTTGAAATCAGCGATACCCTGTACTATTCCAGAAGCCTATGGAGGCGATTGCAAAGCTCATGGCGTTTAGCGTGAATGGCAAAGGCAGGATTAACGGTGTCACACTGGAGGCTTGATACATGACCAGTGCGGTTGTTTCCACGACACAAATAGGCCAGCAAACAAATTTCACATTGACAATTGTCTGTGTGGCAGCCATGCCCGCTGTTTCCTCTTTTGTAGTCAGGTTGATACGATGATAGCTTGTTTACCTCGTATAGGAAGTAATTAGCATCGCCAGCCAGTTCCCAGTAAAAGCAGCGGCCTGGTGCCAAGCCTGGCTGCTGAATTTAGTGTGAGGTCCGCTGCCGCCGCGTCATAACGTTGATGAGCATCTCGCAACCTGCAACCTGCAACGTTGGCTACTACTACCGTCTCACTCATTCTCTAGTCTTTCATCTGCATTGTACTGCGTCGTTTTCGCCATGTATTCATCTTCAAATTCTTTCATCGGCGGTGCCAACAGTGCACGCCCCGGTGTCGGGGGTTACGGCCAGCAACAATCCTTTGGCGGCTTGAATCAAGCTCCCCAGCAACCCTCTCCTTTTGCTCCCCAACCCCCCGGATTTCCCGGTCAGTTACAATCCCAGCAAACAGGCTTCCCTGGGTATGGCCAGCAGCAGAACTATCAGGCTCCTGCTCCTCAACAGCCTCAATACACCGGATACCCGCCCCAGAACCAGGCTCAGCAGGCACCGCCATTCCAGCAACAGCCCTCCTTCCAGTCAGCACCGCAACCGCAACCACCACCTCCACCACCACCACAACAGCAGCAGCCTCCGCCTGCCCCTCTGCGCCCCCAGCAGACCTCGGCACAAATTGCGCAATCTTTTGCGACGGGTTCGTCGAGTGCGCCTGCACCAGATAGAAGGAGGAGCAAGAGCGTGAGCAAGATACCAAACATTCGCTTATCATTCATTACCGCAACCGATCAGGCCAAGTTTGAGCAACTGTTCAAGTCAGCCGTGGGTGATAATCAGGCGATCAGTGGAGAGAAAGCAAGGGATCTTCTCCTGCGCTCTAAACTCCCGGGAAACGCCTTATCACAGATATGGATTCTATCAGACACCACGAAGTCGGGGCAGCTCTTGTTCCCAGAATTTGCATTGGCCATGTATCTCTGCAATCTGAAATTGACGGGGGCAGCATTGCCATCAGTTCTACCAGAAAAGGTTAAGAACGAAGTGTCAAGCATGGTGGACATCATCTCATTTGGAGTTCCAGATGACAAAGCACCAGCACCGCCGTCACGTACGAATGTGCCCAATTTTGACACACCGTTGAGAGAAAATGCTGTATCTCCTCCAGCCCCCCAGGCTCCTCAACCACAGCAAGCTTCAAACCAACAGCTTTTGTCACAGCTTACGTCTCAGCCAACAGGATTTTATAACCAGGCAACAGGATTTCAGCCTGGTCCTCAACCGCAAAACTTTCCTGGCCAGCAAAGCATGCAGCCTCAACCTACTGGGTATATGAACAACTCTAACCCCTCGGCCTATATGGGCCCTCGTCCACCACTTCCACCAATGCCCAGTGGATTTGGAAACAACATGTCCCCTCAACAGACGGGCATGCAGTCTCTACAGTCTCAGCCAACAGGCCTCCCAGGTCAGTGGGGTTTTGTGAACGCTCCAGCGACAGGATTGCCAAATATTGAGGCCCTTCAACAGAGGCTTATGCCTCAAGCCGGTCGTGAGGGTGGGTTCACCACGCAAGGTCTTGCTGGGAGTGCTAAGGTCCCATGGGCTGTCACAAAGGACGAGAAGAGAATTTATGATCAACTCTTTAAAGCATGGGATGGTCTGGGCAAAGGATTTATTACAGGCGATGTGGCCATTGAAATCATGGGTCAAAGTGGATTGGATAGGACCGACTTGGAATCCATTTGGACGTTGTCAGACCCCAACAACAAAGGACGTCTGAATATGGATGAATTCTCAGTGGCAATGCATCTGATCTACCGCAGATTGAATGGCTATCCAGTCCCTGCTCGACTGCCTCCAGAGCTGATTCCACCGTCCACGAGAAATTTCAGTACATCCATTGATACAGTAAAATCTCTACTGTCTCAAGATGCAGAAAGTCGAAAATCATCAGGCGCCTTTTTGCAACCACAAAGAACAGGAGTCAGCTATCTGAAGGATCACTCTTTCCGAGGTGGAGCAAACTCGCCTGGCTTTGGCCGCAAGGATGCCACCGTCTACCGTAATAACGACGATGACATCGGATATCGCTCTAGTGCTAGACGCAGGATCGGTGCTGGAGGCAGAACACCCTCCCCTGCACCATCCTCAGAAATGTCTGACACCACATATGATGACTTGAGCCCCGATCAGATTCGAAAGAAGATTCGCGAGAAGAAGATTCTGCTCGATGCGACGGATTTCCAGGATGAAAGAGCAGCAGACGATGAAGATGTTCTTGATCGCAGAGATCGAAGAGAGGCAGAGGACCTTTTTCGACAGATTCGCCGCCTTCAAGATGACATAGATACTCATCCTAATGCCGGATTTGGCGGCTCGGATAGTGGTGCAGAGCGCAGAGCACTACGCAGAGACTTACAACGCTACCAAGATCGACTACCAGCCTTAGCATCGGATGTCAGAAAGATTGAAAAGAGCATTGCCGAGTCCAAAATGCAATTGTTCCGGCTGAAAGATGCTAAAGCACACCCAAACAGTGCAGCCAATATTGTTGGGACTGGCCCAGGTGGTTCCATTACCGAAGCTGATCGTATCAAGTCTAGAGCTCGGGCTAGAATGCAGGCTCGAGCCGCTGAATTAGCCGGACGGCCCGCCCCCGCTGCTGATGATGAAGCAGGTGCCCAACGACGCGTTGAGCAAGAAAATTCGAAGATCCGATCTGAACAAGAACGTAACGAAGGGATGACTCGAGACGTTGAAGAAAGTGTCAAAGATTTTGTCTCGAGTCTCGAAGACGGTCTTCGCGAACAGGGAGGCAACTCCACACAAGAGCATGAACGACGGCGATGGGAGGAAGCGTTGGGTGTTGAAGATGAAGTTAAAGAACTCATCTACGACCTTCAGAGAAGTAGTCGTACAGCCAAAGTCCGAAAGGAAGAGTAAGTTATGTGCCGTCCTCCCTAAGAACGACTTTGCTAACAGAAGAAAGGCAATCGCGTCCAGTACAAAGAACACCGAAGGACTATGCAAGGGAAGAGACAAAACATGCCAATGGGCACACGGATTTGCCTTCGCGGCCTGTTCCAACCTCCACATCATCATCGTCCTCCCTGGCTGGGCAATCCCAACAAGACCGTATTGCATCCGCAAAGGAAAGGGCTCTTAAGCGTATCCAGGACAGGATGGCGGCGGCTGGTATCAAACCGGCTGGAGATTCTGGGGAAACTCTGCAACAACGACAGGAACGTGAGAAGCAGGAGAGGGCAGAGCGACTTCGCAAAGCTGAAGAAGAAGATGCAAAACGTGAACAGGAAAGGCAGCAAAGATTGGCCAATGAGGGAGTTACACCTCCCAGTCCGAAAACGAGCAAGAAGCCGCCTCCTCCGCCTACTCGGAAGAATCGACAAGACAGCTCCGATTTCTCGGATCGAAAGGCTTTAGAGGCTTCAGCTCGTGCCGATGCTGAGGAGCAGGCTGCTCGAATGAAAGCCGAACAAGAAGCAGCAACTCAAATCAGAGCCGAGCAGCAGGCCCAGGAAGAAAAACGCAGGAAACTTGAGTAAGTCGCCTTGATTTGAGGACTTCTTATCTATCACTGACAAAGTTGCAGGACTGAAGCCAAGTCTCAGGTGGACGACCTCGAAAAGGAGCGTGAAGCTGCTCAAGCCCGTCTGCGAGCTCTTGAGGAGCAAGTGAGGGCAGGCAAGATCAAGAAGCAGGAAGAGAAGGCCCGCAAGAAAGCTGCAGAAAAGGAGGCAAAAGAAAAAGAGAGTAAGCTTGCCGCGCAACGGGCTGAGATTGAAGCAGCACGAGAGAAGGAGCGACTTCTTCAACTGCAGCTAGAAAATCTTGGTGATGACTCGTCGTCAGATGACGACGATAGCCCACAGCAAATCACACCGCAGGAGAGCACACCAGCAACAAGTCAAGTTCTCCCAAGCAGTGTATCTTCACCACCAGCAGCTCCACCACCAGCGCCCTCCACAAGCAGTGGTTATGAGCCCACACCAGTTTCCAGCCCTCCGGCCGAGGAATCTCGGAATCCATATTTCAAGAAGTTGTCGCAGTCATCGGATGCCGGGCGTCCTGCATTTTCTCCACCACCTGTCCCTCAAGCGCAGCCATTCTCACCCCCACCAGCACCAGCTACCGACTTTTCATCAACGAACCCGTTCCACAGGATTGCTCAGCAAGAGGCAGCGAAACCATTGACTCCAAGCCTTACTGGTGCACAATCGCGACGACGCCCAGAGGAGGATGAATGGTCGGCTGCAGGCTCTGATAAGGATGAATCGAGCGATGACGAAGATGAGCCTCCTGCTGGCGGATCTGCGAAACAGCTCGCTTCCCTCCTCTTTGGCACGATGGCGCCGCCTAGACCGCTGTCTGCAATGGATAGCAAACCAGCGACTCCAGTTCAGGACGCTCCACCAGTTCCTGGCGCCTTTGATTCTGCTCCCCCGGCTCCGCCGTTGCCAGAAAGTGGCGCACCTTCAGTACCCCCGCCTCCACCACCAGTTCCTAGCTCAGGTGCTCCCAGTGCTCCTCCTCCACCTCCACCTCCACCTCCGCCTGGATTTGGTGCCCCAACGGGTGCACCACCGCCTCCTCCGATGCCAGCCCCTGCTCCTCCCGGTGGTGCTGATATTGGAGCACTTCTGGGACAGATTCAGATGGGTAAAGGATTGCGCAAGACTGAGACCAAAGATCGTAGCACCTCATCTGTTGCTGGAAGGGTGTTGAATTGAGATGATGGGCATGTGGGCTTTCGAGGACGGTTGTGCCAGCTGGTAGGACGATGTAGTGACGATTAATACTCGATAGTCAATATACTTTCCCTTTTGTCGCCCTTGGGTGATGTTTTTGCGGCTCACAAGATCACCACGTGACTTGGCGCATCCTTACGCTTTGCCAAATTGGGAGAAAATAAACATTACCCCGAAACATTTGGATGGCAGTGACGATTGACATCAAACAGTAAATCCTCAACATCGGAATCACAGAACGACGATTTCAATTCCTACAGGCTACATATGAACAAGCAATGAAGTGGCAACGGTGAAAACAAGCTTCTGGATCCCCGCGCAAGAGTTATCGAGATCGGCAGTTGACGGGCAGAGAGAGCGCAGTTCGCTTTCGCATCACATTAAATCCAAAAATGCCTCGTGTCGCAGGACAAACGGGCCGGCGCCCTAGTCGTCAAGCTGTTGTTATGAACATGGCGCGTGACAAGACCAAGACCTCTCCGGTGAAGTACGTGTTTTGTCCATAAATAGCTTATTTGGCAGCGCTGCTTGTGTGGGAGTTACTGGTTCATTGAGAGACGAGCTCAGGCTAACATGAGACTCTTTTGTTTACAGACTCGCGTTGAACGACGATCGAGGCGAGAAAGCTGCAAGACTTCAGTCTCGACAAGCCCTACAAGAAATACACATGAACGAAATCCGTGCCGCCGCTAGCCCAGTGCGAAAAATCAATCAACGGCGAGACACGCATAATAGAGCTATTTCTGAATCACCGCGAACACCCAGAACACAGACGACGGACGTACGCAAGAGAATCCAACAACAACATAACAGTCAGAGCAGTCCGAGACAAATGGACGGGGTCACTGGAGGTGCCGCTACCCCGCCGAAACGCGTACCTATCTTAGCCAACTTCGAAGAGTGGATGAAGATGGCGACAGACAACAAGATCAATGCAGCCAATTCCTGGAATTTTGCTCTTATTGACTATTTTCATGATATGAGCCTGTTGAAGGAAGGAGACGGCGTGAATTTTCAGAAAGCAAGCTGCACACTCGATGGATGTGTCAAAATCTATACAAGTCGAGTTGACAGCGTGGCGACTGAGACGGGCCGACTTCTTAGCGGTCTTGCAGACGGTAGCGCTTCCGAGGGAAAGAAGAAAGGAAAGGGTGACGGGGACGAAAATGAGGATGAGGATGAGGATGGTGAGGACGGGGAAGAGGGTGAAGATGGTGAGGGAAAGAAGAAAAAGAAGAAACCTGCCCGAAGTCACGAGGCGACATTGGCACCCAGTTTTGCAACCTTCCAGGCGAAGAAGCTTGACTTGGAATTTGCGGTTGATCCTTTATTCAAAAAGGCATCGGCTGATTTTGACGAAGGAGGGGCTAAGGGCCTCTTACTGAACCATCTTTCTATTGACTCAAGCGGTCGAATTGTCTTTGACAGCAGCGACGACACTGGGGATGCAACCCTGGCAGCGGAAAAAGGCGAACAACAAGAACACAACGCGAACGACGCGACTGAAACAGCACCTGAGAGGACATCCGTGGACGAGGAGGAAACCGATGAGGATGAGGAAGATCAAGGAATTGATCTTCATTCGTTAGCGGCAAAATTCTTCCCTGATATGTCATTATTAGACAATCAGGACGTTTGTCCGTCGATGAAGGCATTTACTCTAGGTGATCCTTCCGGTGATCTCAGCATACCATTCCTAAAAGCGCCGGATGATTGGCGGGATCAAAAGAAGGCTGCTGAAACACCACAACCACCAGCCATCAGTGCGGATTTGTCGGATCAAACAGGGATTTTCCTCGATGGCAGTAACGCTATGGGATTCGACGACGATGATGACGACGGTGGAATTTTCGGAGGCTTCGATGTCGCAGACAATGTCGGTTTTGGCGAAGGCGGTGAGGCCTGGGCCAAAGATGCAGCGGCTGACGCACAAACTCGGATCGTGAGGGGAGATGATGTCGACGACAATGGTCAAAATGCGGAAGAATACTGCCTCTCATTGCAGCACAAGTACCAAGAGGATGCGGAGCGCGAATCAATTATGGCTTACTTTGAGAAGGCCTTCAACTCACGAGCAAAAGGCAAGACTGCTTTCACGACACTAGAAAATTGGCGGATGCAAAAGATTCAAAAAGCTCAACAGAGTGAAACCGCTGCGCCGACACGGCAGAGGAAAGAGAAAGAACCATTCGAGATTGACTTCTCGGGGCCTATGTCAGAGTCATTGCAAGAGCTTCTCGCAGCACCAACTGTTCTTAACTCGCAAATCAGCTTACCGAAGGCGCAATGGAGAACGAAAGGGAGAAACTTGCTAGACAAGGATGACGAGATTGTCGATCCCAGAAAACTCATGCGACTATGGACCAAACCTAAATGCAGAATCGGCAAGAGAAAAGGTGGCTTGGGTGTCATCGATGAAGGCTTCGGGGCGAGAAATCGCGTTGGGACAGCTAATAACGGCGAGCCAGATGAGGAGGAGGAGGAAGGGAGGAAGGGAGATTACGACGCGAACTTTTTTGCGGATGATGATCAGATACTTCCTTTCGACGGGCCTTTGCCAATTGACGACGATGACGACGACGGCATCCTAGGTGGGGCTGACGAAGGACAACAAGCGTTCATGGATGCCAGAGAGATGCTCAGCCCACAACCTGAGGGTCATCAGCAGCAGAACCTTCTGGATGTTGCCTTGCATGGTGAGGCTGATGGCTTGCAAGAACAGCCACCAGACTCCCAAATACCGGCACAAAGTCAAACAGATCTACTGCCAGGCAGTTTCGGAAGTCAGCTTGTAACGCAAGCAGGACGGCGGCTGAGGCCCGAATATGTGAACTACGCACGCACGGCGAAGAAGGTCGATGTTCGCCGCCTCAAGGAGAACATGTGGAAAGGCATGAGCGACAAATTGATACGAGTCTTTGAACAACCACCCGCAAAACCTGCTCACCCAGTATCATCTGCAGATGAGGACGTCGACATGATGGATGTGGATGAGCAGGCCCAGCCTCCAACTCCCATCGAGGTAGAGATGCCCAAGATACCTATTGAAGGCGATAACGGCAAGGACGTTCTGAACTTCACGGATATGATCCACGATCTGCGATCGGTCTACCCCGAACAGCAGATGAAGGACATCAGTACGAGCTACTGCTTTATCTGTCTGCTACACCTGGCAAACGAGAAAGGACTGGTTCTCGACGTGGAGCGTGAGGGCGATTACGCCATGCAAGAGATCAAGGTTATGAGAGATCCGGAGGTCGGGGAAGGCTATGAAGGAGAGTGAGTTAGTGATGGTGTGGTGATGACGAGATGGATGGCGTTGGGCCTTTAATGAACGTTTCTTGGTTTATACTGCTTGCATTGCTCTAGGTTAGGTGTTGAGCAAGCTGTGTCTCCCGTTTGGTTTAGTATAGCTTGGGTGACGGGACTGACGGATGGATGGATAGCATCGTTGTGGTGGTGGTGGTTGTTTATTGGCATTTATGGTTACTTCTTTTTGCAATCATGGTCAAGATGCAACACGACTACTGACCCAATGAATGCCTTCCAATACTGAACAAGGGTGACAAGTAACGCTTCACGTCCCCGAAATCGAAGAAAAGGTCATGATTGTATACCATCAATCTTTGCATCTCTGCACACCTCCTATATGGGGAGTACTACGAGGCCTACAGCGAGGTAGATCCCGGTCGGATAAAACAATGGAGACGCCCGCAAGAGTATCAATTACAGCTCTTTCTTCACGGTCACGGACCAGGTCCGGAGTACTGTGTTTGTTCGACGAGGCAAGCCGTAGTTCGTATACATCTGTACGAGTACTGTAGAGCTGGGCATCCCTGCGACGCTATCTCATCGCAATTCCAAGACAGGGCTTCACAGTCCTCGTACTCCGTCCCAAGCAGCGGCGCGCGCCCGTCGCCGCCGCCCGCTTGCGCTGTGTATCTACATACGGCAAACTAACCGGTCTGGCCCAGCCAACTGACAGGACGACTGGCTTCGGTCAGGTACGGAGCTCCGACGTATGTAGAAGCGTCGATTGCCATTACTGCTGATCTCCGACCGAGCTTACGAGTACGAGTTCACCCGTAGGTCGCGCAGAGCCGTGTTCCTGCCCGGTTCCGTGGTTCTTCTTGCTGACGGGTTCGCTCAGCGCGATCCTACTACATACAAGTAAGTACAGTCCATAGTCGTTCTCCTACCTCTGAGGACAGAATCTGCCATCGCGCACTTGGGGCATCATTGCGCGTGCCGTGGATGGAGTACAGTATGGAGTACGGAGGACTGCTATCCGTATGTGTCTGCCTCGAACGGAGGCCTCGGGAGGTGTTCATCAGAGACTTTCGGGGGTTTTAAGATTGCGGGCAACTCTCGTTAATCTGGCAACCGAGATGACTCTGTTAACGAGAGAAGCCAGCGCTAACGGGCATGCTATGTACACACCTACAGTACCCACTTCCGGAGAAGCGCCATAGAAAGGAATGGGTGGATCCGCGTTCTTGCTTCTTTTTGTTCCCCCCGTGATTGCTCCTACTCGGCAGGATAGATAGTGTCTTGTTTTTGAAATGTGGTGGAAGTGACTTGTGTGGTAGGTGTTGGGCTTTCTACGGGGTATTAATTAAGCGTAGGGAATTGGTTTGCTTCGAGGAAGCTTCGGCTTGTTGGGTGCAGGGTCCGTATCTTGGCTATGTAGTAGCCTTGCATCTGCGACATGGAAATCTTATCCTCACTCGAGTTCTAATTTTTTGATCTTGGTATATTCTAGTTTGTGGGCATCATAATATGGGTCTCGTTGTAGGTACGATGGGAATTTTGGGGTGTGCTGAACGTGGTGATCGATATCGAAATGTCCAAGGCCATTGAAGAGGTACTGTACTCCGTACGGAGTACTACAGCTTTTCTTCCCTCTTAGCCAGGACCCAAGTGCCCTCGGCCTCAGTCAAGACCTGGCCATCTTTATCGCAGATCTGTCCGCGCGACATCCACTTGCGACCTTCTCTTCCTAACAGCCAGCATCTCACAAAGACTTCCCCGGGGGTAGGCACAGGAGCCCGGAAGGTGACGTTTAAATTGACGGTAAAAAGCGAATCTCGCGGGCCAGAGATGTGTTGATGGTGAAGCATGACACACAAGCCCATCGTCTCGTCAAGTATTGCTGATGCCATGCCCCCATGAATGACGCTTGGATGACCGTCGAGACCAGGTCGACCGAGCGCGAGCAACATAATGCAATCGGGATGGTTGGGAACAGGTGTGGCATCTTTGGGATTTTGTTTTCCTTTTAGCTGGCCTTTTGCGCTCTCGGCCGGGGTTTTATAGTCTTTTAATTGGAGGGTAACTAGGTGTGGGATGGTGGAAGGGGAGCTGATGGTTCTAGAGAAGAAATAGTCTTCGCCGGACTCCTTGAGAACTCGCGAAAAGGTCGGGATGGCTTTGTAGAGGGGATCGGAGAGGTATTTGTTGGTCCATTCAATCTTTTCGAAGTGTTTCCGTGCATCTTCAGGTACGCGGTGGGCTGTGATGAAGTTGGACATAAAGTCCGATTGCTCGCCCATGGTGATGTTGATATGAGAGGGTGTTACCTATTCAGCATGATTGTGTCGGGCAGACGACATGAGATTCAAACTATTCCGCGTGCAGTTTTGTCAATGTATTTTTCGATGGTTGGGCCGGACGAAAATAAGATACCATGAATACTGTCGGTTGGTGCCCGTGATATGCCTCGGCTCATGGAACCGAAGAGCTGCTCCAAGTCCCGGATCTTCAAAGTTGGGGCACTGCTTGTGCGAGTGGGGGCCTTACGGGCACCAAGAGCTGTGGCATGAGGTGGCCGAGGGCTTCGTGGCTGAGGTGGCCAGGTGGCTAGGGAGCTCCAAGCTCAAGCCTCAGGCATTACTCCGGCAAGTATTGTTTACGATTCCAAGTACCCGTAGGCTTGAGCTCTGGGTTTCTTGCGGGCTCTTAGGCACTTGAGCAAAGGAGGACAATAATGGCCTGATTCTATTTGACGAGAAACATCCCTCGTACAGGCACCAATCACCTCCCACCCTAACCGAGTGTTCCGGTATGAGATAAGTCAATGGTCAACCTCTCAATGGTCTCTCAGTGGACTCACCAGTTTGTTTGTTACCGGGTTGACATGGACAAATTCTGGAGGTTGTGTCAAATGGACAAATGGACAGGAATCAGCGGGCTGGGATTCTGCTTATCCGCCTCCTAGACGGTTCGGTTGGGTGGGCGTGGAGGATGCGACGGGGTGGTGATTGGGGGAGGTCTTAATGTGTTTTAGAGTTGGTGGATCGGGCATGGAGTGGCGACGAATGTAATGCCTGAGATGCTCGTGGGTGCCCGTGCGAGGCTCGCCCCTGGGCCTTGACGCATCACCATGGGACGGACCTGCAGCACAACCACCCGACGCCCTGCCTGGCGCCCTGGCCTGGTGTCCCTCGCTCGTCTTTTGGGGGGAGGCTAGCGGTAAGATAGCTCCGACGCCAATGCATTGAACTTGATCATCGCCAGAGATACGGCTACAACGAGTTAGAAGCCCACCTTAGCTTGGGGCGACGGATATCCAAGATCAACTCCAGGAAACTGATGCTCGTCAAGAAAAATAAAGGCACCACGGTCTCCCAGCGACCGCATCAAATTCCATTCCATTCCCACCCAGCCCAGCCTTTCGGATTCTATTTCTTATAACCACTGGGAGCGACGACCAAGCTGACCACCACCACCACATCTACAACATCGCCGTCACCTCTCAACTGAAATACTCTGTACTCCGTACCCGTGTAAAGCAAAAGGTACATGACAGGCCCCTGCCCCATTGAATGCCCCCTGCTCCTGCTGCTTCTGTCTCTTCATCTCCGCGTCACTCTGACCTTCTTTATCAACCCGTTTTCCGTCACCTCTGCGATTCCCATCTCCACTACTACTGTCCTGTGCCCTGTGCCCAGGGTCCACCTGCCCGCTTCCTGCCCACCCGACTCACCTCGTAGTCAATTCATCTTTTCTCTTCTTGCCACACTCTGCTCACTACTCACCTTTTCCTGCCACTGATAATCCAAGCATCAATTGACTGTTCGCATTTACAACAGATTCCCACATCTGCCTCCTCTTGATTCCTCCCCAGCTTCAAGATGCTGTCCCGATCACTCTTCGCTGCTGCAGCTCTGGCTGTTGTGTCCTATGCGCAGACCATCGCCACTTCTAGTGCCAGCTCAGTGGCTGCGGCTACTACTGTCTCACAAGTGATGCCACCAGCCGCCACGGCCTCCTTCAATCCCGCAGGTGTTGACTCTACCGAAGCCTGTAAGAAACCCAGCAACACGACTTGATAGACAGCATACTGATTCATCCACAGTCAACTGGTGCCGTGGTCAACTAAACACTTGCCCTCAGATCTGTGGCGGTTCTGCTTCGCAAAATCGATGTGACTCGGTAAGCTTGTGCACCTGCAGGCCAAGTTCGCCTTCTGCTACACACACTAACCATACCTCAGATTCAATTTACATACACTTGTGTCTGTGCCAATGGTACAGTTCCTGACTGCACCGCATTCTCCGAGACCCTCCCCTACTTCATCTGCCAAGCAACCTATGGACAATGTGTTGACGCACATCCCAATGACGCACAAGGCCAGTCGGTATGTGAAGAGAATCAACAATGCGGCACTCGCAACGCTACTGCCGAAGCCCTTGCCGCAACCTCTGCGGCAGCGAGCTCATCCGCCGCTGAAACCTCAAGCTCGGCGTCTTCATCAGCTTCCGGCTCTGCTACCGCTGCCAGCAGCTCTACTCCCTCTGCCTCCTCCACCGGTAATGCTGCAGTGGGTTCGAGCCAACAGCTCGCCACTGGAGCGTTTACCGCTCTCCTGATAGCTGCGTGCAAGTTCTTGTTGTAGACAGTCCAACAACCACAACATAATCAAATTCCGCCCATGATAGTTGCATTGGACAGAACTTTTCTTTAGTGGAATCAAAACTGCAGCAGGTTTCGGAAAAGCAGACACAAGAATCACACCTGGTGGCGGAACTCGGCCCTTGGCTCGGGCTGAACGATGGGATTGTGGGATGACGACTGCAGATAGTGATGATTTTATGTTAGTGAGCGTTCTACTATGCGTTGGGAGCAAAGCGCATCCATTCCTTAGGCGCGGCCATAACGATCGACTTCAGTGGTCATGGCGATGCAAATGCATAGCGGATAGAGCTCTGAATTAATACAACTGTTTTGATCAAATACCCAATTGACTCAATTCCACTCCATTCTGTTCCCCGCGTCCCATTGATCGCCATGGCACTCATCTGTGTCCATTGTGTGTCCACTTTTATGATGCACGGCTACCAGGGTGTGCAGTCTGGGTAATGGCGTGGACGTGCGGGGATCCCCTGACAACCCCAGCCAACAAGGCTGCAAGTATGTAGGATTCGAGTTTGTCCGTCACTTTAGTAAAATGATAGTCAAATGGCAGTGAATGACGGACCGAAGATATTTGATGGACACCATGACATTAGCTACTTTTAGAGGCTTAGCATGGCGCTAGGTACTAGAGGCTTAGTGCGACATACATAGGTCATTTTATATATACTAGTGAAGGACTTTAATATAGATAGATATGTTTGTGCGTCACATAACTACACTTAAGCAGGACCTGTGAGGGATAAAAACACTGTCATTTTAGACTAAATGACGGACTTCTTTGCGCCTAAACAAATGACAGACATGTCACGTCCTCTCTGTCGCACAAATCCGAGCTGCAAGACGCCAACTAGAGCGCCGCCTCAAGGCTGACTTCTTGTGTCGTGTCGGGTTCCAGCTTCAAATGGTTCCGAAACTTCGAAACCCGGGGCCAAACCCTTCTCCATCACCGTCTACAAGAATTGAAATCAGGTGAGACTCGTGTCAAACCTTTACAGACTTGTAACAGATGGAGTTTCCTCGTTTCATCTAGAAGGGTTTTGTTCACCTGGCACCCACCTGGTGACCTTGATAGCGAGTCCGGCCAGTCTTGCATCCATCAATCTGCGATCGGCGACATTCCTTCACGCCCTCTCTAAACTCAATCGCAGTTCTAGTAAGCTTGTGCTCATTCTCAGAAGATGAATTCACTTAAGGTAAGCTGCGACAAATATGGTTGTTTCTGTCGTTCGCTGTGATCCACCAGCGGTGAGGGTACACAGCACAATTCAAGGTAGGGCAGTACCCGGTATGCAGTTGCCCAATGCCGGCATTTGGAACTTGTGCACCGTCTTGTGATGCTCTACGCGTACGCGTCGTGCCATCCATGAGCGACCTTCACCTGTGAAAACGAGGACTGCACCTTCCCTCTGTCCTCGTTCCTCTCATTTCGGGTCTCTTGACCTGGTGGGTATCATTCACTCCTGTACTCCGGACTCGTTTTCTCATTCTCAATATCAACCTCTCGGGCCCAATGCCGACGAGCGTCCACGATCATCCCGAGTTCGACTCGACGCATCATCGTTGACAGAGCACCATCACCTATTGCAGCACGACAACAATACAATGGCTGTTTATTGCTCTTTTATCATATTTCTCGCTCTTCCCTCCTGTTTTTTGAAGGCAGAAGCAGCCCCAGATCCTCGATATCTCAACTTGTACGGTCGGGTCATCCATGGTCCCGCAGTCCACCCAAGGAACGTGCCTACCTTCCATACATTCGACCCGAATAGTGTCTGTACTTTGGCTAGTCAATACCAGGCGTCTCTAAATGGGTATGAGTTCGCATTCTGCTGCAAGGAGGACTCGCCATTCTTAGACTTCTGGCTTGGTGTCAGTTTTCAAACTTGTAGGTTGGCCTACTGTATTGCCATGCTCGCAACTGGCGTCTCTCCCCTGCTGAATACGCCCAAAACATTGCTTACTCTTTCATCCAGGCAATGCGTCTCTAGCGATAAATCAGTCCACGCTCTGTCCTGGAAGTCAAAAGTTCACCTGCTGCACTTCCGACAGACATACAATCAAGCGAACTTGTATTCTGCCCAAGCAGAACGATACCGGTCCTGTCAACTGCACTTACCATGATGCTGTAAGTTGAATCTGCTCTCAAAGATCTGCTTCACAGGTGACTCCAGATCATAAACAGCTGACATGTCTACTTCTGCATAGGCTGGCATAACCTGCGCGAACGAGACGTTACAAGACGTAGTGAAGGATGGACACTTGGACCAAATCGTACGACACGGGCTGAAATGATAACCTCCCATTGCTGTGGTGAGGGTTAACAACGGACATTGTCGCCCAACACTATGGTAGGTTCTTTTTTTTTCGTTGTTTTTTTTTGAAAGTCACTCAAGTCCTATTCACGCTCTGCAATCAACCAAGATTTTGACATGTTTGTCCTTCTCGTGGATTAAGGCACGATATCCATCTTCGACAACTCGGTCAATCTTTATGGTGCTGGTGATCATCTGCTCTGGCTTCAGGCTTCCATCATTCAAAGCTTCGATGACACCCGCAAAGTCCTCCTTGAGGTATCCTAGGACTGAGGGGTATCAGCAGCTGGCTCTTCGTAATCACAGGACTACTACTTACTTGCGAGATACTTCTTTTCTCCAAAAACAAAGTTGTTTGGCTGGAACGGGATCTGTCAAGATTATCAACACAGAGCTCACACACTTTCGTCTTTGACTTGATTGCTCAGTGACCTACCTCCTTCTCCCATATTGCCAGATTCACCACCGTTCCTCTAGCCCTCACCGCCAGTGCCGCAGATTTGACGCTTTGAGGCACACCAGCGGCATCCAACGCGACGTGCGGTCCATTCCCACCACATATCTCTTTTGCCCGTTTGACCACATCCTCTTTCGTAGGATCGATGACGTGAGTTGCACCAAACTGCTCAGCAAATTTCTGTCTATCCTTGGCGACTTCGACTGCAATGATGGTCTTGGCCCCTCGCGCCTTTAAGCATTGAATCACTCCTAGGCCGATTGGCCCAGCACCCATGACCAAGGCCTCATCACCTTCTTTGATGGGATATTGATCGACGGCATGCCACGCAACAGCGAGCGGTTCAACAAGAGCACCAACATCCAGAGGGATATGTCCCGGGAGCTTGAAGACGAACTGCGGATCCACGCACACAGCATCGGTCATGCCTCCTCCGCCACCACTCAGCCCGACAAACCCGGAACTGTCACAACAGTTGATGTACCCATCACCACACGGCCCGCATTTGAAACAGCAAACGGTAGGCTGGACAGCAACCTTGTCGCCAACCTTGAGCTTGGTCGGATTCTCCGCTTTCGACCCGATCTCCAGAATTTCTCCACTGAATTCGTGGCCTATCGCAATCGGCATCGTTTCCCCAGTGACGGGATGGGGAGCATCCTTTTGAGGGATGAATGTTGGGGACGAATACTCGTGTACTACATGAAAAATAGAGGTTAGCTTAGACTGTCGAACGTGAATGTGTCCTGATACGTGATGGATGGGTCGAGTCCTACAGTCTGTCCCGCATATTCCACAAAATGCAGCTGGGGGTCACACGGTGGTAGTTAGCATAGAATGGACCTGGTATTCTGCTCGGGCGAGCACCCGATTCAATCACTCACGCCTGATTTTGATCTGGGTGTCTCCACATTTAGGTTCGGGAATATCGTCGACCCGCAGGTCTTTGATTCCGTGATATCGAAGAGCGCGCATGCCTGGCTGCAACGTCGACGAGGAGGGGCAGGGCCGTAGGTGATGTAAGACGATGTCAAAGCGTAGGCGGTTGAATTCACCGAAGTGGAAATACTATGCTATGTGAGATACAACACCTGGGAGATTCTCCGTCTGATACCGTCCGGCAAAATATGCGAGAGGAGATGATCTGGTGATGTCGACGTTATGTAAATCAACATGAGCCACGAACCGCGAGCTTTTGCAGTCGTCCATGCTACACGACTACACTATTTAAGACGGCGTATACATATACGCACGAATGCTTGCTACTTACTCCTCATCTCCTCGATTCTTTTCCGGTGGAGTAATTAGCTGGCGCCCGCGGCCCAAAGGGAGAGGTGCGGATCCGAGGCCATTCAGAGGACTGAATACCCCTGGATGAGCCGGGGAAAGGTTGGAGTTAGTGAGGGAAGCTGGCTTTAGTTATGTAAGTGCTGTGCGGGTGTTGCCGTGTTGCCGTCATTGGTTTTAGAGGCGATGATTTGGGGGACGCTTAGATTTTGGGCTACTGTAGGAATGAATGTACGGAGGTGTGGGCATCAAAAGTTGTGGAAGAGGCTTTTTAAAATGCCGGGCCAGGCAGCCAGGTTATCGTCATCTTTTATTATGTAATCTAGACTGCCAGACTATTCATTCTGGGCTAGTTAAGCCTTGTTAAGGAATAGAATACCTAATCCCCCCTATGATGGCCCCCTAACTTAAGCTAGCTTTAAGTACTATTCGATGTCTATTAGGGCTTGAGAGAATCTCGAGGGAGTGTTGCTGGACAAACGCGATTAAAAATAAACCTGTCTTTCAAAACCATGACAGTGTCATTAGAAAGCCATGTCATTGGGGCGAGGGGTTGCATTTAACAGCTGCTACCTATAGCTCAACGAAGGTTGCAGGAGATACTCCCGCCGAATTGGGTGGTCAGTGCAGCCCCTATTGGAGGGTTTCTTCCCTTGATGCCGTTGTAGGGTCTCAGGTCGTCGGTGGACAAAAAGATGCTAGAAGCACGTTTGGGAAACCGATCTTCCCGAGAATAATATCTTTGATTACTTGGTCGCGCTGCGCTGGTGTGTCCGAGATGCTGGGTTAAGGTACGCCCAGCAGCCTAGCTTACCAGTTGAGGATGCGCCTTTTTAGGTGGACATCGACTGTTGCTCAACTCAAGAACGGATGAACATCCACCAGAAGATCACCAAGAGAGGTATTTGGGTGATCAATACCTGCAAACGATGATAGAACGCTTGTGGAACACGACGCCTGTGAGTTGAAGATGATTTGCTCTGGTCTAATGATTCTGGGTGTGGCACTGATGAGGTTGACAAGGTTGATATACTCTGAAGCGGCAAGTCTGGAACACAAGGCTGAAACTTAGAGTGGTCGGGAAGGTCAAGATAAAAGTATTGTTGGTTGTGCAACAGGTGAGGAGGGAGGTCGGAATCCGAACGCGAGGTTTGTTGTCGTCCCATTTCTGTCGACGCTTGTCTGGGATTGTCTGGGATAGAAAGCTGTTGAGATCGAGTATAGCTCTCGTAGCGATTAAATGAACTGTCCCGCACGGATCCTGTACGGAAACGGGTTTGTGTTACGTCGGTGTGATGAAGGCGCGAAGTCTCGGTCTTCTTTTGACGTTTGTAGTGCGAGATATGTGAAATTGAGTCCTGCAAGCTCTTTCGGTGTTCCGCTACCTCGTTCATCAGATCCTTCCCGGCAGACATGTCAGGTGCATCAGCGTGATTCGTCACATAGACTTCTGTGAAAATGGTGCGCCAACAACCTGCGGGCCTCCAGTCGATGAGCGTCTTGCCTTTGATTGAAACCGATTTTGCCCATGGGAGGTGAGAGTCCTTCGCAATGACAGCATGATCGTCCTCATCCAGCTCGTCGATCTGAAGGCCGGCCCGACCGGCTATACTGCTTCGAATGATGTTATTGTACGAGACATCCTCCATGCAGGCTATGAGTGTGCTGTTTTGCAGAGAAAAGGACCACATCGCCGAGTCGGAGAGTGAACCAGGGTTCTACACAAGGGCTTAGCGTTAGCTACCTTGGACACTTATATGAAGCATCGACTAACCTTGAACTGCAAATTAAGACTGCCATCTGGCAACGTCGAGCTGCGGTCAGAGACCACAGAAACGGTATCGAGCTATTCGGACAATGCGGTCACAATAGGCTTGGATCTCTGTGGTACGGTAATATCATCATTACTTCCAGTTGGTTCCATTGCCGTTTTGTATACCGTGACCGCGATGTCGTACAGGCTTGGGATCACTGCTGGATTTACAGCAGTCTTTGCACTGGCACTGGCACTGGCAACGAAATCGAGGAGAGTTGAGATATTTGCGGCTACAACTGCGTGAGTACCCCGATCCCATGTTGCTGTATTATGCGACCTTGAGGTGTTTCCGAAGCAATGGACGTCCATCGATGCTCAGGTGTACTGACGACCATCTAGATTTGCTGCTGTTCAAGTAGTCTTCATAAGCACAAACGGGGACCAGAGTGGAAATGAGTGAATATTTTTGGGACAATTTCGCCTCTAATGCTTAAGGCCTCGGCAAGAACAAAGGCCATGCATAGTATGGGTTTCATGGCTTCCTCTCCAAGGGAGCAATAATACACTTGACAGCGTACATTCCGTGACAAGTTGCGGCACCACTATAAGATCCAACCGTTGTTTCTTCACCAGTCAGCCATTGGCAGATATGTGAGCTTTCACACCGAAAATGCGGGGTCTGAGATGTCGGCCCTGAAGTGCGGTAAGGCGCTGTTTGGTTGAACCAGCGCAAACAGACGGCGGTTCACTTTAGCCACGACAGGGCCTTCAACCCCGGCCTCGATTTCCCACCTTGGTGCTCTGTAATGGCCCCGCTCCGTACTTTTCTGCTGCCTGGGGATGGCGGCTTTCGATTGATTAGGGGCATGGCCTGGACTGGCCTGCCCGCAGTTTAGAAGTGGAGCCCGTGAACTTGGCCGTTCTACCAAAGAGACTTGTGATGATCATACGACGGACTGAGAACTCTGCGTGAATGGGTCTCTTGTAGCCACCTTGTTCCCTTTTATTGCAGAGCACACTTTACAGACTCATTATCACTTGCGTTCCAATGTGGAAATTTATTGCAATGTTCTCTATCCACACGGATGTCGTGTCAACCTTCACTGCGACGAGCCACATCCGCGGTTGGCTGAGAAGGTCTCGAGCAGATCCGCACTGTGCTCAGCACCATCCCCAATAAAGGTGGTGGCCTGCAACTTTCCGAAAGCCTACAACTGTCCCTAGTCTCTGCCCTTGTACTCACTAACGACGGACCTGCCCAATGACTCTAAATAATGCAACAGAGCCGTTTAGTAGTGACGTTGGAGCGGAGATTATAGAGCTGACTCTATGTGCTCTAGCATATGAATACAGGTCCAATAATGCATTCGATTTCTTCGTCGAGTGTGTGCTGCGTTACCTCCTTGACGGCGACTCGGAATTCGTCCAACCGATAGGAACCCAGCTTCGCCAGGACGCTCTGAGAATCCGCATCAGTGAAGGCGGCTCCCGCGGCTTGACTCAGCGTTTCTCCGCTGCAATTGCCTCGCTGAATTTACCATTCAGCGACAAGGAGTGCCCCAGAAGATCGATCAAAACGTCCGTGATGCCGATTTTGTGCCATCTGAGCTCCAATATGTGGACTGTCTCTTGAAGTGGATTGTGAATCAAGATGGGAGTGTGTGCCAAACGAGAAGTGCTCTTGTGGCCCGCGTGGCCGCATGCTTGCGATCGACAGGTACAGCATCGGCCAAGTCGAGGCATGGGATGGCTCTGAGCCCTCGCCAGCCTTTTCTGATCAGAGAGCTGTTGTGTTGCTTTTCGGGACCACCAGTACGACAGGTCCCCCTCATACTAGGCGCGAACGAAATCCCTGCCAACCAAGCAAATTTATCCACCACTATGTACTCCGAAGCATGGGTGGACTTTTCTTGACTGCGTTGTTCCATCCATTGGGCCAGCATCGTGAAATTTTTCAAACTTACTTTGACCAGACCAAGAGCTGTGTTGACGCAAGCGTGACCATTACTCATGCGACCGTTCGGGACCAGACGCTGCAAGGGTCCTCTCGAGGTCTAGGTACACACCTTGAATGGGAAGCAGTTTGGACAGGACGGCTTACTCTATAAGCAGGAAGTGGTAATCCCTGTATATACAGATGAACGCTGCATAGCCGCCATAGAGCGGCTAGGACAGGAGAGGAGGAGAGGAGGAGAGGAGGAGAAGCCAGGCTACGATCCTGGAATGTTGCAGAGGAGGACAAGTGTACCTGCCAGAGGCGCAGCCCAGGACAACTGTTGATGAGGATTCTTGTCTTAATCCAACCAGGGACGCTGAGAAGGATTTCCTAGCACGCAGAGGATCCCAGGAGAAACATTCTGAGCAGTATTCGCCCCTCAGAAGTATGCGTAAGTGCGGGAGCCCATTTAAGGCTCGCATCGGAGCATCCATTTTGGGACCCATATAGAGACATTGATGCGAGAGAGGGGTCTTATCGCCGTCAAAAGCGACGACGCGCTTAGCACAACGATCATGCCCGGGGTTGCCGCAGTCTAAACCGAAGGCGGATTTCTCGGTAACGACAGATGAAAACGTGCGTTTCACCGTTCAGAGTTTCGAGGAGACATTGATTAGGCACGTGAAGTCGATCACGTGCCTGGAACAGAAAAAGGAAAATCAATCGTCGCCTACTTAATTATGTACACAGAACATTAGTCGTGGTCATGGGTCACACTGGACATCGCCGAGAAGTCGGCACGCAGCATTTGTAGCATTCCAAGGGTGGGGAGTCTGAGAAATAAAGTGTAAAACGGCAAAGAAACCATCCGCACCAATAATTAGCAGTTATCAAAATAATCATTATCCCCCGTCTTAAATTCGGCGTTCTCCGATAAGGGTCCCGCCCCCCATCTTTGCCATCTTCGTACCTGGTCCTCGTACATAGGAGCACATACAATGATCCTGCTCTGCGTACCTCAGCAAAGGGTGCGGATATAATTTGACGACTACTACCGCTTCTCTCTGTCACAAGACCTCCCCGGAGGAAATCAATGGGCCTGACAAGAGGATCGCCTGCGAGAAATCCTCGTCGACAGATTTTACCTGGTTGGCGGCCGTGATGGCCGCGCAGCATGAGTCCCAGTTATCGTCCTCGAAAGCCACACCGTTGGCACAGATCCACCCCGAAACCGGGTATATCAGCAACATTGACGATATCAGACAGTCTGAGTATCCTTCTCTCACGGGGACCACATACCTGGACCATGCGGGAGCGACACTGTACGCGCGATCGCTGGTGGAAGGATACTCCAAGGCGTTGATGGATAATCTCTACGGGAATCCTCATTCCGCATCGGCCTCATCGCAGCTGTCGACCCGACGTATCGACGACGTCCGTTTTCAGACCTTGCGGTTTTTCAATGCCGACCCGGATAAATTTGACATTGTCTTTGTCGCGAACGCCACTGCTGCCATCAAGCTCGTGGCTGATGTGTTTCGGGACCAGGCTGGCGGCTTTCATTACGCTTATCACACTGAGGCACACACGAGTCTTGTGGGCGTTCGAGAGCTTGCTTTGCCTGGTGCCTTTTGCTTTGCGAGCGATAGCGAGGTCGACAGTTGGCTCAATGGCCCGGAAGCTGGTGGGCCATCATGTCCCAACAGTCGTACGCCATCGCTTTTTGCATATCCTGCCCAGTCAAACATGACTGGCCGCCGGTTACCGATGAAATGGTGCCAGATGGTCCAAGATATCAACGCCCGCTCTGGCACGGCCTTTTATACTCTCTTGGACGCAGCAGCTCTTGTATCAACGGCTCCGCTGGACCTTTCCCATAGTGACATCGCCCCAGACTTCATCGCCCTGAGTTTCTACAAGATCTTTGGCCTCCCGGACCTCGGAGCGTTGATTGTGCGCAAAGATTCGGGAGGTATACTCCGTGGCCGGAGGTACTTTGGGGGCGGCACTGTGGACTCAGTGACCGTACAGGATGCTAGTTGGTATGCCAGGAAGGAGTCATCCCTGCATAGCTGCCTGGAAGATGGAACCATCCCTTTCCACAACATCATTGCCCTTCAAATAGCCTTGCAGACCCATGCCAAGATCTATGGCTCGATGAGCGTCATCTCGAGGCATGCAAATTTTCTGGCTTCAACCCTGAGGGAACGGCTGGCTGCTCTGAAGCATGGCAACGGCACGAAGGCCTGTGTGATGTACACAGATGCATCTCTTTCGGGGTCCACTCAGGGGCCCGTGATTGCGGTCAACCTCAAAGACGAGAGAGGTGGATTCGTCAGCAACAGTGAAATTGAAAAACTTGGTGTCGTGAAAAACATCCAATTCAGAACTGGTGGCCTTTGCAACCCAGGTGGTATCGCATCCCACCTGGGACTGTCTGCGGGAGAAATGCGACGCAACTATGCTGCCGGTCAAAGATGTGGCAGCGAAAACGATATCGTCAACGGAAAGCCAACTGGTGCTGTCCGTTTGAGCTTTGGAGCGATGAGCAGTATGGAAGATGTCGCTACTTTCTTGCATTTCGTCGAAGAGTTTTACGTCAGTCCGGTGCAGGCTGAGAAAGATTTGATCTCGTACCAAGTCAACTTGGTGCACCCGTCTCCCACATCATATATTGTCGAAAGTCTGTCAGTGTTTCCTATCAAAAGCTGTGGGGCATACAATATTCCTGCCGATGTTTCCTGGGAGGTGGGGCCGAAGGGTCTCGCCTGGGACCGGGAGTGGTGTCTCGTCCATGCTGGCACGAATGCTGCGTTGAGTCAGAAGAAATTTCCTCGCATGGCATTGCTACGACCAGAGATTGATCTGGTGAAAAGAATGTTGAAAGTTTTCTCCAACAGCGAAACTAATGGGCCTGTTAGCTTCGATATCAGTCTAGACTTCGAGCACACCTCGATAGGTCACGTTGACCCGTGCGAGAGGACCACGAACAAGTCGTCCGTTGTATGTGGTGAGTCGGTGGACATAGAGGTTTACACCTCCAAGGCTATCATGACATTCTTCACAGATATACTCGGTGTTCCGTGCACTTTGGCACGGTTTCCAAAACATGGCACTGTTCGTCAAGCTCAAGTGAGAATTCCAGGAAGGGTTCAAGGGAAGGCGGCCAAAGAGACCGGCAGATCGATCACATTGGCAAATGAAAGCCCAATTCTTCTGGTTTCGCGATCAAGCGTCAATCGGTTAAACGAGCAGATCAAGCACAACGGCGGTGTGGGAAAAACCGTTGCGGCTGCTTCGTTCCGAGCGAACATTGTCGTTGCTGAAGAGCTAGAACCGGGTCAGAAGGAAACACCATATGCAGAGGATGATTGGGAGAGCATCAGTATCAAAGATGGGCCCAAAAATCACTTTGACGTTCTGGGCCCGTGCCAGAGATGTCAGATGGTTTGCGTCGACCAGAAGAATGCTGAGCGGAGGCCAGAACCCTTTAGCACTCTGGCGAAGACGAGGAGAAAGCACGGGAGGGTTTGGTTTGGAATGCATATGTCTTTGACTTCAAGCATGTGTGGAGAACTCGAGGCACCGGTTTTTGTTCGAGTTGGTGATCGAGTCATACCACGAATTGGCGAATCTTGAAGGTAATATTTCTCATGCGCAGGGGATTGAGGTGTCTGCCGCATCAGGCCCCATTCCGGCGATAGCAGGTTGTTCTCAAAGGAAGATGACAGCACAGATTATGCCCATGGTACCATGCAATGGGATTCTGATACGGACAGGAGGATGGCCTCTACATGGGTTGGCGGCTGAGAGAATGCCACCCCAAGCCATCTTTCACAAGTACACGCATGCAGAAGAGGAGAACCCGAGCCCAGTCAGAAACTGGAGTTGGGAACCTGCAGCGTTACACAGAACTCCATATGTATACTAGTAGTGGGACTGCTCAAGTAAGTAGCATGTCAGAGGATTTGAGTGATTTGATAGTGCATCATAATTGGACCGTCTGTGGTTGGAAATGCCGAAGGAGCGGCCAAGCTTCATCCTTAATGTCAATGTCATCAGAGGAAGATTCCCCCCTCGTGCTTTCTTTTTCCTCCGCGAACGCTTTTATCGTCCACATGATTGCCTACGTACGATTCTATGGTCCATCGGATCATGAACTCCAGTCCCAAAAATTATATCCAGGTGGGTGCAGATTTTGAACTCCAAGACATGAATGAAGTGTTGGGGTTGATGACTTCGACGCGACACATACAATTGAATCCAGCAGGGCCCACCGGCAGGAGGCAACATGTCGGCAGGTGGCTTGGTTGTGACTGCCTTTGAAATGTTGTTTATGGTAATGCAGTTGAAGATGTAATTTCATCAAGTCATTCGGTTCATCTCTCAACACGGACCATATTTGTACCGCAATTTCTCTTTCTTATACTGTAATGACCAACATCAGCTCCAATCGATCTGTCAACTGTCCCTAAGCCCCCCGAGCAACAGAATTCCAAACAAATCTCGGCATAATTGTATCAACATGCCATCTGAAAACACCCAAGGCCATCTCGCCTCCCGCTAGCAACGCAAAGAAGGACAATCGTCTCAGTCATTGTGCACCTTTCAAAGCCTTGCCTTTTTGTGCTGGTTCATCTTTATCAGACCGCTTCGAAGGTGCGACTGTTCCGTATGCCCTTTGACGACCTTGTCATCGTCAACCATCTCACGCAACATTGACTCCAAGAAATCTTTCTGTTCAGTGATGAACGCCTTGGTCGCTGCGGTATTGAAGTTCCGGCCAGCCCGTTTTCGGTCATTTAACTCCTTTCGGTGGGCTCGAACGCGTTCCTCTAGCATATCCAACCGATACTCAGCGTATTGTGAATAAAGATCTGAAAGGTTTGAGATAGAGCGGACTGTTGTAAGTACTGTGTCGTCCTTGATAAAGGCTGATTTAGGGCGGAACGAGGTAACCATGGTGATTCGCTCGGTTGTACCCAACGTCCTCAAGGCTTGATGTTCGATGTATCGTCCCTGCAGCACGACGGCATGCCCCTACCCCAAGGTTAGTCAACATTGGTCCAGAGGGTCAGGCTGACTACCGACCATTTGTGGTCCTCGAACTTTCATAATGTCTCCATCACCTTTCAACAAAGCAGTTTCACCACCAATCATATTGGTACAGTCACTAAGCATAGTCACGCACACAAACGGATAACTGTCAGTGTGCCAATCGACAATGGGCTTATCATCCTCCCATGGACATCCGGAAACACCTTCGTCTGCATCCCGGTGCTGTTTCTCTTGCATAGCCTTAAGGTCCTCCTCCTTTTGTTCAGCTGATATCTGATTCAGGTTAATATGTGCAATCTCTAGGTCCATCTGGGGAACGAGCTCGATACCCGCGATCTTGGAGACAATTGAAAGGACTTCTGGGTTGTTCCATGCATCATAAACGAAAGGAGCATATCTTTCAAGGTCAGCGGATTTTCGATAAGAGCGCTCGTCTGAACTTACTTGGGAGCAAATCCTCTCAATTGACTGGCAGCAAGATTGCTCTGATACTTGCAATTCTGCTGGACTGCGTCGCTCAGGATCTCATCCCTCATTTGCATGATAGCCTCTTTGGTAAACAGTGGAAACGGATTCGATACAGCAATTGGTGAAACTCCCACGTCGGCGTGCCCGATCTCTTCCATGGTCCAGATCCTGTCGGGTTCCTGGAACGCCAAATGTTGATCTGGATCGAAAGCAAATTTTCTTGGGATGGTGAAAGACATATTGTTCTCCAAGGATGGCGATGATATCGACTCTGACCGTTTTCTTTTGATGGAGCCAAGCTTGGAAGAAAGAGGGAGTACATCTGCGGCAGCCATTCTGAATCGTGAGTTCAATATTGCTTTATATGGTCGAAAGGCAGTCTGTGGTTGAACAGTTGCAAGAGGTTGAATGCTGACAACCACAAAGGCCAATGTTGTATAGATACAAGAAGATAATGGATTAGGAAGAAGGACAGCTGGCACTAGGAAATATACCGTTGAGGGCCAAACTTTATATCAACTGGACTGTGGAAACGCAACAAACATTGATTTTTCCCTTTGAAAGCACTACCAAGAAATCACAAGCTCAGTCATTGCTAGCGGCATGGGAACCGATTCTCCAGGACTGATCTACCTCAACGGTAGTATAACCACTCATGTCACAACAACACATCTCCAACAGGATACGGAGTGAGAATACCTCTGGGAGTGGGAGCCGAACCAGGCCACATCATGATGACATTCGCTCGAAAGTGTAGGGCTTATCAATGTCCTTATCTCGATGACCTATCAAGGAGTGTTAGTTTTCGCGACAAGTCGGTTGATTCCTCCTCAGCGACGGCAACCAAAACCTGGCGACGACGGAGTGAGGCGGAAATGCCGGGGTTTTAAAACAGTTATTGTTTATCGATGGAAATTGTTGCTTTGTTCGGACTAAACCACAGCCGTCCCCATCCCTCTTTTTCGTCGTCATCACCAATCCGACACGACGCGAATCATTTTACATGCTCAGAATTTCCAGGCCCTTCTAGCCAAGTCGATTGACAACCGGGTGACATCCGTGTTCTGCAGAATAGGAAAGGATGGTTTCCGTTCACCTCCTTTTTCTACACTGTCGAGGTGAACTGATGACCACCTAAACATAGCTCCGACATAGCGGGTGCGCTTCGCAATGGGGCAGTTTCCCCGTACGTTTAACACATTTGTGCCTGCGTGCCCATAACTGTTGGCTGAAATGAACGGCATTCCAGCTCCCAAATTTCGTGGGGGCACCCATTGCATGGGCATTGGATGCACGCTTGATTCAGACAATGTGCGTGGACAACCTCGCCGATGTCAATGGATCTATTGACCAAATCAGGTAACGTGCCGGCTGCCAGAAAGTTATCTCTGGTGGCGTTTTCCTGAGTCCTGAATAGTGACGGCTTTGGGAAGCCCCTGGTTCCCCAAAACTCGACTCCCTAGACAAGGGCTTCTCACATTCGGACGTTGTTGGGAACAGAATACTTGGGTTGTATGGAAACGGCTGTTCCTATCGTGGAGGATAACAGCCGGATGGTACTATTTGTTGGACAGCACGGACGGACGAGTATGGCAACAACTGCACGTTTCATGTTCAAGGACGGCTATGTCCTTTCACAGAGCGAAAGGGAAGCTCGTTCATCGTATATTGCGATGCATGAGCTCCGAAGTCGGTGTGACATCGCGATCAGGTCAGATCAGTATGTACAGTGGTTTCGGTGATGCATTACTGAATGCTCTGGGATCCATAGTGAGGCGACTTGATGCTGTGACATGACGTATCAAACCTCCGCACCAACCACTCCATGATCACAGACACCAGTACTAGGTTTTAGATGTCTTAGCTATTCTAGAAATCATTCTTCAAACTGCACAATCGACACCACATCTGGACGGGTTGAGGTAGGAGGATGGGGCGGGGATTGGTGGGGCTAGAATGTCGAAGAGGGCTTGGCGTGATCATTTAAGGTTATCGATAAGAACGACCCGAAACGAGTTTAGTGCTTCGGGCACCTGCATCTGCGACCGCGAACTCAAGATCCTCTGGCAGATGCATGTCAAATGCAGCATTAAGACAACGGCATGGCAACAACATCAGCGGCGGGATCTAAAGACCAGCCGGTCACAGAGCCCGGGGTTGGCGTCGACCCTTGGGATAAATCTGCAAAGAGGTTTTCATCGTACGTCGGCATGTCGCGTTTGGGTTTCAATCCAGGTCGTCGCAGTTGCTAACCCCCATTCTTCTAACAGCAAACAAAGCTCCGAGTACTTCGATCCATGTCAAGAGGCGGCGACGAGAAGTATCAAGTGCATGCATCGCAATGCTGGGGATAAGGATATGTGTCAGGATTACTTCCAGTGCGTGCTTCTAACCGCCCGCCCTGTCACTGAAATCACCATCCCGAGAACCCGATTCCGGCACTCCGCACAAGAGTTGGACTAATTATGGCACAGAGCATACCGCGACTGTAAAAAGGAAATGGTACCGTTTGCCGACATCCCCACCAATTCGTGCGCGAGCTGACGATGCGATCGTAGATGGCCCGGATGAAAGCGGAGAGGAAATCATGGTTTGGCTGAGCTCAGTCGAGTCCCTTACCTTTCCAGAATGAAGAGCTCGTCATTGTGGCCAAGCTTCGAAAATGTACGATATAAGAGTTGCTACAAGTACAACTCGGGTAAAACTTTGGAGTTGCATAGCGTGCGCGGCGGAGCGTGGGTACGTGGGACATGATCTCCTCATCAGGCAGAAAAACACGGGAAAATGACTGTGTAGAACAAGCCCAAAGGACAAGGAGAAAAACGTGATACCCAAAATTAGATCCTACTCGACAAAATTTGGAAAAGCTCTTTTGAATAATTGCAAGCAAGCAATGCGTAAAGAAGGACCTGAGTTTGCAGACTGCGCGTCTGATGTAAATAAGCCCACATCGTTGTGAAAGCCTTGTCTGGTCAGATATGAACTAAATTTCCCCACACTCGGGGCTCTTACATTATTAGGTACATATTATTTCCCTCTGGGCTCCAACACCTTTTTGGTCTGATGGAGGCTTGCAGATGACCACTCGACCATGTCAGATCCGAGTGTGAGTGATCGCCGAATCCGTCCCATTCAGGACGCGGTCGCGAGCGGGAACTGGAAGCAAGCTCTCCAACTCTGTGACAAATGGTCCAAGAAAGGTGAACGGTCCGATCGGTTCCTAGTAAGTATGAGTCCCTTCCAGTCGTACCCCTCCCACACACATACATTAGAAGTCGTTGAGGATGCTGGAACTAATGGGCTCGAACCCGAATGGTTTAGGCTCTGAAAGCGTTTGTCCTCGTCAACCAGGCGGATGAGAAACAGCATGATCGAGGTCACAGTGAGGTCCTCGACCTGTGCAAACGCAACCCACCCATCACCGAACCCGAGGCCATTTACCAACTGCATCATGCCCTTAGAGCGTTGTCGCTGTACAAGGAGGAAGGCCCTAAGCTGTGGGAGCGGGCGGTCGGGTCGACGCAGGATAACAAGGACCTCTACATCCGGTGGCTGAACGAGGCTATCGCAGAGAGCAACTGGCTCAGCGCGCAAAAGGTGTGAATAAACCACAAAGCACAAACGAGAAGCATATCCGAGACAGCAGGGTCAGGCATAAAGGCCTCTGCAAGGAGAGCTCTAAAAAAAGCACATATTACATTACTTTTGAAACCCACCCTTTTTGGAAGAGAGAAAGGACTGGCTGACCATGCGGAGGGTCTCCTCGACACAGGCCACCATGGGTTTACGAAAGTCCTTTCCCAAGGATCGAAACTACGAGTTTTGGAATATCATGATGTGCGCCTTGATCCAACGTGACCGGACGCAGGCGGCCAAGGACAGAAACCTCTTCGGCACGCTTGCATACCGCATGATTTTCAAGGCCGCCGAGGCGATTTCGACGGACCAGGTACGTGGAAATGTACATATTGCTGTTCGCTCTTTAGGGTTTGTTATGCTTGTCTTTCTTCTCGGCTCACCAGTCCTTTCTTTCGCTCACCTTAGGAACAGAACCATGCGTCCGGAAAGGAGATCTCGACCCCGGAGGAAGTGGCGCTCCTCGCAGAGATCCTCAACAGCAACGGACGAGCCGCGGACACGGTGAAATTGCTACAGAGCGAGACCTTGAATTTGGAATCGAAGATTGGCAAGAAGGATCCCCAGCTGACGCTGTCATTACTGCTAGACGCGTTTGAGGCGTCCGAGCAGTGGGAGGAAGCCCGTTCGTTTTGTAGTCAACTGCTGTCCAAGCCGGAAAATCAGTCCGACGGCCGCATATGGACGCTTTGGCTCAAGGCGAGAACGAAGCTAACATCTTCAAATGAGTAAGTTTCTTTGACAACAGAGCTTTATCATGTCAGAAGCGAGGCAAAATGAGTATGGCTAATGTCTGTCCCGTCGTCCCAGGCAGGACCAATCGTATGAGGAACTCCTGGATGATGCATGTGCAGCTCGACCGATATCAAGGGCCTCATACATCGCCAAACTACAGTATCTGGCGACGAAAGATGACGACAAATCACTCGACGCCATAGAGAAGACGTGCGAGGAGTATGCCGACGCATTCTCCACCAAGGCATTCTGCTTCGACGACCTGAAGAGCCCGCTCCATCGCCTAGACAAAACCCGTTTGCAAGCATTTCGCGACGCCCGCGCAGCATCGGAGCAAAGCACGCTGGAGCAACTCTTCGCCCTCGAGCTCGAGTACAGCCTGTTACCCAGCGATGGCGAGACACAGGCAAAAGAACTCCTCGACTTCGCAGCTCGAGCATTAAAGCTGTACCACGCCTCGCTCTCCGAAGCATCACCTCCACCATGTCCCGAAGCTGCGCTCCTGTCCGTACTTGCGATCCTCCGCCTCGGAACAACCGCGGCTCCCGTCAAAAGCGGCCAGCAGAAACAACAGCAGATCGACCACGACCACGACCACGTCGTCCGCGCAATGATCCTCCTAGAAACCGTGCGGTCAGCGTTCGAAGACTTCTACGCGCTCACGGTAGTCCTCATCCGGCTACAAGCGTACCTCGGGCAGCTCTCATCTGCAATGGAGACCTTCACCAAACTCAGCGTTAAGAACATGCAGTACGAGACCGTGGCGCACCTGATCCTCACGCGCATTTCGTCTTTACACCCCGCCGCCACCATCTACAGCACGACCAACAAAATTAACGGTAGCAGTGATTCCAAGGACGTATTTGACCCCCTCTCGGCGATCGAGACCGGGCTGACGGTGCTGGAGAATGCGGACAATGCGCTGGTGCGCGGCATCCGCGAGGGCCTGCGCTGCAACAGTTACTCGAACATCCACAACAGCGTCGACATGCGCCTGCAGCTGCGCAACAGCGCCAGTCGGCACGTGTATGCCGTCGAGGAGAGGAAGTTGCGTAGGTTGCGTGGCCTCCCTGACGATAACACCGTCCTTGAGTCCGACAACCGGGCCGAGGACAACGAGGGCGGAACTATTGCCACGATTCTGGACGACAACCGCGACTTCAGCTATTTCCCACACTTCCGCGACGACGACGTCGAGCTGGTCCAGACGCGCTTCCAATGTGGGCCGTTGCCGCGCGGAGCTTGGGTGCGCACCATGGCGCTGCAAGACCATGTGGTTACGTTCCTCAAGGCGGAGCTGACGGGTCAGGGCCAGCAAGCGGGTGTTGGGGTCAAGGCCTTGGAGAATATCAAGAAGGCGGTGGCGGCGGCGACGGCAGGGAGCTCGAAGGAGAACGATGAAGATGATGGCCTGACGGACGCAGAGCGCCGGAACCATGCGTGCCGCCGCTTGCTGGCGAAGGCGGTGCTGCTGATTGCCGGCGGTGGAAGCGATGCCACCGCGCCGCAGGAGACAGTCGCCGAGCTGCTCGACGAGCTGAAGGCGTGGTTGCACAAGACGCTGGACGAGCAGAAGAGCAATTCCAAGACGGCAACAGCAGCAACAACAGTCGCGGGAATCCGTATCTATACATGGCAAGACCTCCACACGAGCATCACGCGACTCGAGACGCTGCAGGCCATCGCGCTCCTGCTCGGCGCACTCGGCAAGAAAGCCAAGACCGCGAAGGGAGGCAGGACGGCTCCGAGAGATGCACTGGCGGAGATCCAGACGCTGGTGGGCCAGTTGGAGAAGGAGATCCACGCTGCGGCACGCCAGGTCAAAGACGGGATCAGTGCGCCAGGCGTGCTGGGGAAACTAGTGGATTTGGGATTTGCGAGGAGCGATGCGGACGCGGATGGGGTGGGAGCAGGAGCTGCAGATGCGGACGCTACTGCTACTGCTGGTGTGTTGGGTGATGTTCTGGAGAGCGTGAGTGATGAGGTCAAGATGGAAACAATTTGTGGGAGGATCAGAGATAGCTGGGAAGATGCCCTTGATGGCGTGCTGGCTGTCAGGGTCAAGTTATGGAAATAAGGGATAGCATAGGTCTCGACAAGAGGCTGGGGATGAGGTGACGGACAAACTATTTTCACTCTCACTTCACATCTAGGCTTTAGAGGAACCATCACTCGGTTGTGAACCGAAATTATTCATTTGTTCCGTTTTCTCCTTTACCAGGCTGAGCTGATCCCGAAGCCCTTGACCATTCGCCATAGAAGAAGAAACGCCGTTGCAATATGACAGGTGGTATGCTACATGACGATGAAACCCGGATTTTTGCCTGGCAATCGCTGCTTAATCCTGTCTTCCCTTGAGTAGTCTCTTTGTCACCTTATCTTTTTCGATGATGTAGACGTGGGCACCCCATCCGGACAAGGCATCTCGGTCAACAGCATTGAGTAGGGCTTGTGATATCGTCTCGAATAGATCCTCGGGCTCCTATAAAGTGGAAGCGGATTGTTAGCATCACAGAACGAGAGATCCAAAATTCCTCACTGAGGATAGTGCTCGTTGTAGATGATAGACGTACCAAATCAGGTTCCCACAGACCCTCGCAAGTACCAAATAATTGATCACTGGCGGTTCCGGCGACAATGAAGTCCTTGGCGAAGTCGATGCATCCAATGCTGTCAAATCCACAGATGAAGGGCTTCCCCGTTGTGTGATTGATTCCAGCCAGGACAGGACTTACAAACCAAGGACCGAATCGTCTTTCGTATAGACTAGATGAAACCAGGTTTGCCAAGGTCTGGGGGGCGATGTTTCGCTCTTCTCTTAGTCGATACATGTTGACTTTGTAGCGGAAGGTATCTGAGACTGTCTGAACATCCGTAGCCAAGCCGGTAAGGCCTAGAAAGACGGATGGTGCATAGCTGAAGATCTTAGGGAAGTTGTTGGAAACTGTCAATGCCTGGAGACCTAATCGCAAGTCGCAGGCAATAGCAACACAATCTTTGCCGACCATTGCGACACAAGCACCGCCATCTGATGAAGACTCATATCAGACCTATGTTACAGAGAACACAATTAGAGAGGGGGGACGTACTGATATCGAATGGACTGCTCTATGCGAGGGTTAGTATGGCCAAAGCTGCGATGGAGTCGGGGATGGATGGCTTACCATTTTGGCTGAGCGGTTGTTGTAATGAAGGAGCAAGGTGCTGGCAACCGCAAGACGGTATAGAAGCTGTCGCCTAAGAAGAGTACTGACGCGGCTGAATGGCGAGTTGAAATAGCAGTGACAGGTGGTTCATGTGCTGGTTGTGGTGGTGGTGAGTGAGGTGCAAGTGCAACTTAGACTGCAGGTGCAGGCATATGCAGAGCACGCGTTCCTTCCCTACCCAAAATTTGGGGGTGCCAGAAGGAAAGAACGAAGGGACAGCAAGGCATCCAATGGGAATTACGCCTTCCCCACAAGGCTGCCAAAATGACGCCGCCTCAACTCGACTTTCCTGTGCCTGCGCCGCCTGCCTTTGACAAACAGGCGAACCAACAAGCCACTGCCACTCCATATCTTTACCAACAAATCTAAGCATTCTAGATTATTCTAATCTTCGGCTACTACTCCTCATCTATAGCGCCTCATTTGCGCACCTCCGCTCCCATCCTTCCCAAACACAGACGCAAACCTTTAAACCCCACCTCAGAAGGCATTGCGCCTGCCTGCCTCTCATTGTCCGAGGCAAATATGTCTGCACACGTTGTTGTGATCGACTCAGCTGCTCGACGACACACAGTCAAGACCATACCTACCAAACATCTCACGGATGTTGTTCAAGAGGTTTGCGACAAGCTAAAACTGAATCCTTCTCAATATGGCTTGAAGTGAGTCCTTCTCATCCCCGGCTCTAGCAATGTCCGGTCAACTAACCTCCTCTCAGACATAAGAATAAATTCGTGGACCTGACAAATCCATTCCGACTTTCAGGTCTGACATCCGGTGCTAAGCTCGATCTCGTTCAACTCTCCAAATCAGCTGGTGTTGTTTCAATAGCCCTCCAGATACCAGAATCAGAAGCAGACGGCCAACTCAATGCTCGCCTCACAGACAAGTTCCCAAGTTCCACCACGCTATGGCTAGTTCTCAGAAAGTTCGAGGCCGGTGTCGCCGGAGGGGCCCCTGCACGTAACTTCACCGCAAGAGGCATACCGGCTACAGGTCAAGGAGCATCTGGAGCAGGAAGACTATATTACGAGCAACCCGTCTTGCATTGTTTAAACAGAGAGCTTTCTTCCTTCGCCGACCTACAAAAGACCCTTACACAGCTCGGCCTCAACAGCGGGTCTGTGTTGATCAGATTGAGCTTCAAGCCCACAGATACTCCATTAGAAGAGGCAATGGCCCAAATACAAGGATACTTCGACTCGGTGGAGTCTCCAGTTACTTCCCAACAGTCGAACCCCCAAACCGCCACTACTATTGAAGACGCACCCTCGACAAGTCAACAGCCCGAATGGACGGAAGATGCCGAACTACCTGATGCACCTCCCGTGGAGACAGCATCTGAGGGAGCATCTCAAGATCCACCCGTGACATCTGCTATATCTTCACAAGCACCAACTGCAACCACACCCACAGGTCGTCCTCTATCGGTTTATCGTCCTCCCAGCTCTTCAACCCCGGCTGCTGCGCTGACTTCGTACAATGAATCCGACTATACTCCAACAGTTGAGCATGCTCAAATCCACCAGAAATTACTCTCGGAGAACACTCGGAATAAAAGACTACCAACAGAAGCCGAGATTGCAGCAGAAGCAGAGGCAGAAGCTACTAAATTGGCACAAATTAGTGATGTGGAGATCAAAGTGCGCTTTCCGGACCAGAGCGCCGTCAGTTCCAAATTCAAACAAAGCGATTCAGGGGCAGACCTGTACAGCTTTGTGAGAGATTGCCTCGAGGACAAATGGCGAGCAGAGGCATTTGTTCTCCGAAACCCTGGTGTGAGAGGCAAGCTTGAGGTGATACCAGACGATCCGACCCAGAAATTGATCAAGAACCTTCTACTCAAAGGCCGAGTTCTGGTCATCTTTAGCTGGGACGAGAACAAAGCTAGTATTCAAGCAAGAGGTACAAATGCAGTCTTGAAAAATGAATTGAGGGCTCAAGCACAAGAAATTCAAGTCCAAGCAATTCCAACTGCCCCAAGTGGTACCGATGATGCTGGTGTCAAAGTCAATTTGGGAAAGAATGTGCCTACAGAGGATGGAGGTGAGAAAAAGAACAAGCTGTCCAAGTTCTTGAGGCTCTCGAAGAAATGAAGTCAAAAAGACTCGGTGGACAGCATTTAGAGGCCAGTAAGCCATGTAAAATTACGAATATTGATGACTGGGATCGAGACTGAACCGATTGAGCGTCGATCCGTCTAACGAGACGATGTGGAACTACTTCATCATCATAACAACGAATGTGTACATAGTAGATCGTTGGCTGTCGTCTTGAAAATGCCCCTGCACCTCATTCAGAAGTCCAATTGTCCACATGGTTGACGAGGCTTAAAGCCGAGTGCCCCACTCTCATAAAGCCGACGGACGCTAGTGAATTTCCCGCACAAATGACTTTGGCTGCGACCAAAAGGCGCAGTGGAATGAATTGACCGCCAACGCTCCAGCACTCATTCCTTACCGACCCTTTCTGAAATCCAGCAGGATACCTCATTCAAGATGCCTTCCGAAGTCTCAGACATCAAGCAATTCCTCGAGATCGCTCGCAGAAAGGATGCCACAGGTTCGCGCCCCCCCCCCCCCCTCCAAAACCCCCTACTACATATCTCCCCTGCTCAAAGCGAGAGAAAGAAAATACTGAACCATTGCTGACAATTGGCCTGTTTTTCCTTTCAATAGGTGCCCGCATAAAGAAATCCGCCAAGGGCAAGGATATCAAGCTCAAGCTCCGCGGAAAGCGATTCCTGTACACCCTCAAGCTCAAGGACTCCGACAAGGCCGACAAGATCAAGCAATCTCTGCCTCCTAGTAAGTCACTTTTGTCCTCTTCCTCTCGGGTTGTTGTTGGGGGGGGATTGTCCTGTTGTAAAATAGACTTGCGGCGAGACCGAGCGCGGAGACCAGATCCCAACATTGAAGTGCGGGTTGTATGACTGTCTAAGACATTCCCGCGCAAATTACAAGATATGGGGGGGGAATACCGAACCTTTGGCTCCCCCTCGTTCCACCCAAAACCTCGTTGGATGTGAGAATATCCCAGGCTGACCATTGCTCTTTTCTGTTCCACAGCACTACCATTCCAAGAGATCAACAAGAAGAACAAGAAGGCCAAGAAGGCGTGAATGACCTTGTTCCCGGAAGCTTGTTGAGAGAAGGATGAGACTGATGAGAAATGATGGAAAGCATGGTGTCTGTGTGCAAATACACCGGAGGGTGGTGGAAAAGGGGTGGACTCCGATCGTGAAGTCTGCTCCTGCTCCTCGTCCTCACTTGGAGTGATATTGCAGATGCAGATGCGAATGCGCATGCGTCCTTTCAATGAAGAAGATCCGCCCAAGTCATACAAGCTGATTATCGACGTGCTCGGCTGCTTGCGGTGGTAGAGTGAGACGTCTGATAACCACCACCCCACCCAGCCATAGAAAAAAGCCAATCCAAAAACAAAACAAGAAAAAGACTTTTACAAAAACGTACCCCACAAAGACCAGGTCGACACCATCTTTGTCGTATGTGTGAGACTTGACGGCCGTGCATTACTCTGACCGTGACCACCGTTTCCCAGTGTTTGGTCCAGCTCCTTAACTCCTTTCGCCGCGCCGCGTCACTACTAGGAAGGACAGCAATACTCGAGCTCTCGATACGCAATCCCAGCCGTAAGCCCACTTGCAGGGTCAAATGCAACACTACTACGCAGCGACTCGAGCCCGTCCGTCACAAGCTTCAACTCAAACTCGCCGAAATAATTGGGCGTGTCTTTGGTCTTGTGGAACTGCAAGCCCTCGAATAATCCTATACTTGGAATGTTCGCCTCGCCGATCTTGACCGTCAAGTAATCAAACCTCCTGATCGTCCTCGTGCCCACAGTCGCTGTAGCTGTAGCTGTAGTAGCTGTACTCGCCGTCACCGCGCCTGAATCGCCGTCGCCATTTCCATCGCCGTTGCAATCGCCACGAGTGCCATCGAAGCACTCCCGTAGGATCTCATCTTCATGGCTGACGATGTACTCCAGAAACGCCAGCAGGGCGGCTTTGCCGTACCCGTTCCTCTGCTCGGCTTGGACAGCGATCATGAGCTCGAGCTCGCCGACAGTCGCCTCCCCAGACGATCTAGTGCCTGCTTCTTCGTCGTTGCCGGCCCATTCCACGCGCGACACGAAGAGGTTTACATCGCCAATCATCGTGGCCAAGTCGAGCGCGCCATCTCGCTTTTCCTCGCCGCCGTTCCCCGAGGTCGAAGAGGATGTCGAAGAGGAAGAAGTCTCCGCCCGCTTGCACACGATGAACGTCAATTTATCGCCGTCCAGTCGCCAGCTGCGCTGCATGGCGTACTCTTCAGCGAGCGAGAGTGGCTCCGATGCCGTGAGGGCTTGGATTTTCTAAGGGGCGGGTCCCCTTTTGTCAGTGGAGGAGAATTACCCAAAAGAATAATGAAAATTGATGAAACGAGAAAGAGAATACACTCTTTCTGTCTCCCACGTAGAATCACATCATACAGCCAGCATACGTACAGGATCTTTCATCCACTCGTGGTACCGTGGCACATGGTGCGCGGAATATGGGACAAGGATTATTTTTGATGTCGAGATCGCTGTCGCCCCATCATCCATCTTCGTCAGCCAGTTGATATGCGGAGAGGCATGAGAGTGGGCATCGCGTAGAAAGAACGTTTGACAGTCCTACCGGTGTGCTCGTTGATACGCATCTTTGCAGTTCCGTTCCTTCCTGCTATTGCGCTACGGGGATGGCGGTGTTGCGCAACGACAGGGGTGAGGGTGGTTCTTATTAAGTTGTCTTTACCATGATGCTTCTTCTATCTCTGTATGTCTAAAGGGATCGGAAGGAAAGACGGATAACCCGATCGGCGAATATGACTTCTGGGTTAAGAGCCATTCTTAGAAAGGGTAAAACTTTTCGGCCTTTTTTTTTTGGTTGGGTCAGGACGAGGCTTGCATCCCTGAATTCAATTCTTCTACAGCAGTTAGTACTCCGCACGGAGTACTCGTAACGTAATCTGACCAAGGTTGGCTTTCAGCACGAGAATGATACACTAGGTAATTCCAATCTGTACATCAACTTCTCCTCCATATTGTAGATTGGGACAGTGTTTGAGATGACTGACTAGGTCGTTCGGCTCATTGACTTGGAAAGATTGGATGGCTCATGTATACTTTTGAGATGGTTGTGATCTACCACGACACTACGCCGTATCTTCTCAGTTCCATTCTATGGCCGGCACATCATTTCATATGTACTATCTATATGAATCCGTTCTTGGCCTCTGGCTTCTTGATCAAGGTCCTGGAATTAAGATGTTGACGCCATACCGTACATTAGGCATGGGTTCCTGTCTGCTGCGTCGTGGGAGCTCGTCCCGAAGGTCGTGTGGTAAGGACAGACCAGTTTTGATCAGAGAAGAGCGTCTTTGGTCTTCTTCTTTGAACAAGCTGCTTGGCCTTCAAGGTGCTTCCTGGTCCTTTTGATTGATCATCAGCATGAGCAGCCTGTAGGATATTCACCATCGGCAGAACGATTAATGGCGGGTGCCATGGGTGTCAGCAAGAGGTCGATCCTTGATCTCTGCTTCGTTGGAATGCAAATAGCAAGAGCGCCTCTTAAGGTCTGCTCTTGCAGCGTTTTGTGTCATTTCTTTTATAATGGCTTAGTCCAGTTAAGGTCCATCCTATAGCTTCCAAGATTGTTGTCATGTCGACGCACACTACTGAAGCTGGGTGCAAACTTAGCCAGGTTATCTTCACCCGCCCCTGACTGGGTATTGACTTGGCTCAATGATGAGGACAGACAAGTGTGCTGAAAGTTGCTTGACAGCTCTAGCGGTCTCCATCCGGGTGTTTGAAATCCCGCACATTGAGGCTGGGGCCTTCAACTGGGTTTCAAGATGGTGTGGCTGTAGATGTGTTCAGCAGAGAGTATTGAGTCCCGGGAATGGCGTGGTGTGGCCATCAACATGTGGCTCGGGAGACTGGGCTACTTTCAATCCCACCTCCACTTGCCCCTTGGGCGATAATCCCTCATATCTGTATCGTGCCTTTATAGTGTTGGAATGCATTCTCAACCAGACAGAGAACCTCTATCCAGTCTTCATAAAGATCTCATCTAGGCCCTTCATGTCTGCAAAAGCCATCTTCTTTGCTTGAATATTGCGCCCACGGAGCAGATGTCGTCCGTTGCGCTGAGGTGTTGTGGACGCCGGGGGCGACTTTTGTTTGGACGGCTCCAGGGGAACAACAATCTTCGAAGAGGACCGCTTTCGTTTTAGCGTGGAAGATTGCGAGTCCTCATTGCCCGACGAGGAAGAAGACATAGGCTCGTCTGGGGCATGAGCTGGGGAGGTTTTGTGACCCATGAATGGAACCTGCTCAGCGTCGGTGTTGTTCTTGCCGTCTTCATCACCGCTGTCCGATTGTGGTGCTCCATCTTGTTGTTGCTTCACTTTTCGTGCTGCTTTGCGCAAGGCCTTCTCTTCTCGTCGTAATCTTCTAGCTTCTTTTCGTTGTCTTTTTTCCTCTTTTCGCTGCTTTTTCTCGGCGTGGGTATCTGCCGAGGTAGTTTCGTCTTCTCGCTCCGAAGTCGATTTATCTGGTGTTGAACTGTCTTCTTGCGAGTCGGTGGTTTCTTGAATTTTGTCCCCTGTGCCGAAATCTCTGTCGCCAACAAGGGTGCCGCCTTTGACGAACACCATGCCGCCCCAGCGGCCCTTGACATACATCTCTAATTTCCGGTCTTCAACTTTCTTCTCTTCTTTCTGCAATTCCTGATCACTTTTCCCATTCAGGCGTCCAAGCAAGCCCTGAAACGCATCCAAACCTGTCCTCTGGCCCTCAAGGTCTTTACTTTTGTGCTTCGCACCCAAACCCAGGTTATTATCCTTGAATAGGACGCCGACACGGGCTGCTGCGAGGCGATCGACGTCGTTCAGTCCAACGTGCACGGAAGAACGGTTCCCCAGGGATTGGCCTTCCTTCCAGCCCTGCTTGGTCATCAGGCGCTGGCCAAAGGACGACTCGGACTGGGACCATGCTAGGTTGCGAGGGTCATGGGCGAGTTTCGAACGCCTGCGATCGTTGATGTCAGCTTCGATCCTAGTTTCATCCGCCCGCAGGACGACAAGATATCCAAGGAGCGGGCTCGTTAACGAAATTGAAAATTGAAAACGGTCCACTCAACATTATCACTCTGCTGGAGCTGGTGGGGTTGGCCAGTTTCTATGATGACGGCGAGACTGTAGACACGTACCTTTTTGGTTCAGCTAGACCCATGATGCCTAGTTACGGTGCAGGAGAGGCTCTGTTGGCCAGGAGGAACAAAACCTTCGAATCCTGCAGCACCACCTGACCGCCGCTCCAAGGTATATCTTTTGGCTTTTGCTCCCGCAGGAAAGTTGGAGATGGAAAAAGTTGCACTTCGGGCGCCAAGATGAGTTGAACTGCTCCGCAAAGTCCTCCGAGCAAGTTCTAACTCAGCCCCCTTTGGGACGAGGGCAATGCCGCCCTACACTCCCCCCCCGGCTTACCCAACTGGGGTGAGGGCATCTCGTCCTCGTACAGCACCGTTCCTCATACGAGTATGTGCCTACGAAACCTCGCCGCCGACTAGACTTTGAACCTCCCGCCTTCGCCTTTGCCTTTGCCTGGTACCTATCCTGGCGGCAAGGTACACGACCATCATAGCCATGCTCCATTTACCGACAGTTGAACTGTAGTTCCAAGGTTTCATGAAGTACATAAATAAACAGTACATATGTATTATTCTGTCAATTGTTGATTGTCTCGATGCCTATTCTCATAGCCTTGTATCTCCAGAGAAAGAGAATACAACCAGCCAAGATACAGTACAATTGTGTCAGCCACATCCAGCTTGCACCATGAACGAATCCCAGTTGGCACAGGCCTCATTCGTTATTACTGTTGGGTAGAAATCTATGCCATTTGCAAGAGGGATTCTGGTCTTCGTTCCAGTAGTCTTACCATCAAAACATGATTTCTGAATTGAAGACCGCTGCTTGTACTCATGATTTAATTTCATTCCAAGTGCAATTCCGAAAAATGAACCGAAGCGCCGACAACCTTGTTTCAGCATTGCTTGCTGCACCATTTTCATGGCTAAGCAATACCCATTCCCTGAGCTTTGACGACATTTACAACACTCCCTGACTCCCTGCAGATATGTAATTTGGCCATCAAGAACCAAGTGTAAACATTTGTTGTTCTTGATCCATGTCATTATGACCGCGTTAGAGGTCCGTGTTTTTCTGCTCTACTAGGATGTACTGCTTCCCAGGCCTGCATTCCTGAGATTTACCCACGGTTTTCTTGTGATAATCGACAATCCTCTAGACCCATCTTATCTTTTGAAACGGGTACTTGTTTAATGCTTTCAGCCGATCTGATGTGTAGAGTTGTTGTTCTTGTAGACTCCTCCGTGAACACGGATGCTGATACCGACTGCAATACCAACTATGGCACCAATGACCACCAAAGCAATCAATAGTTTGACCAGTATTCTCTGTCGTGTTGGGAGTCGAGCCAACCAGCCCCGCTCCTTCGGTTTGGTCAAGCATTCGCTCTTGCCTTGCCAAAATTTGAATCTGCTCGGTTTTGGTCTCTGGGCTTCTTTCTTTTCCTCGGTGATTGTGGGTGACAGGTTGAAGGTGCCTGACTCGAGATCGTGGACAGAGGCTTTGGGAGGGTTTGGGTCCTTGACGACGTCGAAGGAAGGCCGAGGGGAGTCATGGTTGTAGAGGTAGAAGGGAGATGTGACTTTGGCGTTGCAGCAAGGATCAAAATTCTGGGGTGGCTTGAGGTGTCGCTCTGCGAGCTCGGTGCCTTCAGGAACGGTCTGCATGGCTGTGAAATATAGGCCGGGTCGCTAAGGCAATGCACAGGAAAGGGTTGGGAGCAGTGGGCGTATTTATCTGCTAGGAACGAATGTCGTAGGAGACCACAAGCAGGTTTGCCAAAAGGTCAAATACGTGGACGGCTAATAGTCCATGGCTGAGGGTAAAGGCAGACTTTGTCGGTATTAAGTCTCAGATGGGCAAGCAAACGACGAGGCGTCTGATATTGATGTGAATCGGGATTCAGTGGTCGCAGGTCGTGGCAGGTAGCGGCAGGAGCAGTAACGGTGGGTGTCAGTCTGGTGATGGAGGTAACGAGGTAGGGGCGACTGAGGTCCGGGGCAGAGTGGGTTGCTCCTTCTGGCTTTGATACTTTGCACGCTTGGCTGTGGCTTTGATCTAGTAATATGCACTCCGTATAGAATGACACTACGCGCAGTAGTGTGAAGTGTCAGTGGAGGGCGAGTATTCAGAGAAGCACCGAGACGAGACCTGCACAGGTGATAGCTAGCTGACTGGGAAAATGGAGAAATCTCAGTTTGAACATATGAAGTGGCAAACGCCTCTTTCTCCAAACCCTGGCACGGTCTATCTACTCGTACAGTAAGAAGTGGCTACGAAATACGTGTGCCATGGACCGTTGGCCGTACTCCGTAGAAGGCGAAACTTGATGGATTGGGGACACTGAATCAAGTGCAATCAAACTCGCCAGAGGAGCAATTTGACGCCTGTCGTTGAAGCCCGGCCGGGGTTGAAAAGGTGACGATCAACAAAAGCGCCACTCGGAAGACCCGCTAATACCATCCTGTAGCTAAAAGTAGCCAAGAAACACAGCCAAGTCGTCGTGGCCCATACAGGTTTCCAGGGACCGGGGATTGATGCCTGCAAGGGCACGCCCAGGTGGCCAGGGGCCCCCTCCTTGCTTATCAGAAGGGCTGCTTCGTTAAATAGATAATGCTGATTGCCCCAAGATACGGTCCTGTATCCGAAAATGCAGGCCAACTTTCCTGTGATATTGATCTGGGACTCGACGCGCAATGATATCGTCGATGGGATGTACTCGTACAGCCGGACTCACGAGATTGTGTGGGACTCGGTTGTTCCTGGTCAAGCAACCTGTGACGGCTATGGTCTTGAATTTTGGTAAGACCGACTCCATAACCAGCCGTCGGCAGACCACTCGCGAGGACAACTGTAGCTGAGATTCCACTTTTTCGTGTGATTCCTTGATTTGCACTGGAGGGATGGGTGAGGAGAGTTTTGCTGGAGACGAGAGAGCCACGGCATGGACCGTAGGCGGGTGGTCCTCCGTAGCCACGGTGTACGGGGTACCCACGCTGTAGCCTGTACGAGTAGCCTATAGCCAGTCTGAGTGCCTGGGGAAGGATAGAACATAGTGGGCTCGACCAGACTAGCACAGGTAGTTAGCATCCTCGGTGCCTGGGTTAGGCCTATCTGGGACATGGCCTGATCCCCTTCCTTGCTCACTCATCTGAATCCCCACCCTTACGAGATCTTCCCAGCCCACTTGCAATCACAGCAAATCTCGGCTCCTTCGGTCCTGATGACAATACTCAGACTATCTCAGAGACGAGGTACAGAATGATATGAGGGGAAGTGTGATTGTCCAAGGCGCGGAACACATACCCTGGACCTAGGCATGTGTTGTGTCCTACATACGGAGTACATAGGTACTTGGTGAGCAAATGAACCGGATTGTGTAAATGCAAGGTTGCTATGCATCATCATGGTACTCCGTATGAGCATGAATTAATTACCTGGCTCTTCTATGTATCGCTAAAATGCAGTCGGGCCAACTTCAGATCTGTCTGGTCCACCTCAAGCAGATGATCCGCAATACAACCTATCGTATTGCATGCAAACTTTGGCTCTTTTTGATACACTCATTCATTCCTCCCGGAAAAAATCCTCTCGCCTGATATGACTTTTATCGCACATTCCCCGGAAGATTCCATTCGCTTCAAACAGATTGATCGGTGTGTCCAATTCGGCAATCTGGCCCTTGTCCATGACGCAGATTCGATCGTAGTTGATGATGGTTTTCAACCGGTGCGCTATGCAGAGCACTGTCTTGCCTGCAAATCCTGTTCTCATCGTCCTTTGGATCTTCTCGTCCGTCTCGAAATCAACAGAAGATGTTGCCTCGTCACACACGATGATCTGGGAGTTTCGGACCAACGCCCTGGCTAATGCCATCAATTGCCTTTGACCGAGGGAAAAGTTTAGGCCCTCCTCTTCCACCTGGCTGTCAAGGTGAATCCTGCTGGGCGCCGGTGGCCCATTCACGTTCGATGTCGATGTTGCGGCCGTCTCCGCGGTTTGTGGTCTCGGAGACTTGTCCTTGGGATCAACCTCCTCCGCAACTAAATCTGCCTTCCGAAGGGCCGTCCAGAGTTCGAGATCAGTATGTTCATTGAACGGGTCAAGATTCGATCGAATAGTGCCACGGAAAAGGGTTGGGTCTTGTGGAATAATTGCCAATCGTGATCGTAGATCTTGGAGCCCAACCGTCGAGATATCAATGTCGTCAATCTTTATCTGCCCGCCTGACAATTCAGTCAGGCGGAACAGAGCCGACATAATCGAAGACTTTCCGGCCCCAGTTCGACCGACAATTCCAATTCGTTCGCCGCCTTTGATGGAGAAATCCAGGCCCTGGAGCACGAGCGGCAACTCCGGTCGATACCGCATCTCCACCTTGTCAAACGTGATGGCACCGGCCTGAGGCCAAGACGGTGGCACGTCCCTGTCTTTCAAGGCTGCTTCTTCTGCCAGTTCCGTTCCGTAATAATGTATCCGCTCTGTGGCATTCATGTTGTTCTCAACCTCGGCCAGTTGTCGGATCGTGAATTGAATCATCTGCACAATTGCCAAAACATAGGACAAAACCAGTCCTCCGATACTAGGGTTGACACTGAATCGGTCGGTAACCACCAGGATACCGACCACAAAGACCATAATGTTTCCGATGGCATCGAGGCGAGTCGAAACCCAACGCTGGTTGGCGAATGTTATATAGTAAGCCGAATCCATCTGATCGATCGCGTCCCGCACCCTCGAAGTGAAGTACTTCTGCAGTCCATATGCACGGATGGATGACACACCTGAAACCGACTCGGAGAAACGGGCGAAGACGGTTGACCTCAATACCGACTCATGTCGTTTAATTTCTCGGGCGGAGGCTCGATAATAGCTTGCCGCAAATAAGAAGAGTAAGAACAGCGGACCGAGGGCCACCGCGAAGAAGTGGAAGTACGCAATGATCAATGCAAAGACCGAAATAATCATGGCCAGGGTTAAAAAGTACAGCCGCATTGCGTCGGTCAAACTGTTGTCCAAAGAGTCAACATCCTTCGAAAATCGATTTGTGATTCGTCCTAGTGGAGTCGTATCAAAGAACGACATGGGCGCTCGTAGTACTCGGGTGATGGCTCTATGGAGCAGGGTCCTGCTGGCATTCGTGCCACTGACTGATAGTACGGTCGAGAACATGAAAAGGAGTACAGCTTGGGAGAACCCGAGGCACGCATATACCCCGATGTACGCGCCTCTAGAGAGACCAAAATGATCGCTAACCCACCAACTGAGCCAAAGACTGGTGACTATATTCGACCCTTGAGACAATACCAAGGCGATGAAGATGGATGGCCAGAGTACAAAGGAACCGGACGCCTTGATGTACGCACCCCAAACACTCCAGCTGACCGACTTGACAGCACGCTCCTCTTGTTGCATCAGAGCGGCAGCCTTTCCCTTTTTGGTCTTCTTTTCTGGCTTTTTCTCTGTTTTATCCGATTCAACGGCCTTGGCCTGAGCAACATCCTCTTGTGCAGTTGTCGCCATAAGTTTCTGAAAGTCAACACTCTGGCTCATAAGATTGTCAAAGGTATCGATGGCCTGTATATGACCGTCTTCCATCCAGATGATCCTATCACAACGATTCAAGACATGAAGCTGGTGCGTTGCCAGGATTCTGCATTTGTTCTTCATTAGGCCACATATAGCTTTGTCCATGATGTGACGGCCAACGTGGGCATCAACAGCCGAAAGAGGGTCATCCATGAGGATGATATCTGCATCAAAGTAGATGGCCCGTGCAATGTTCAATCGTTGTTTTTGACCACCGGACAAGGTAATTCCACGTTCACCAATCTCGGTCTGATCCCCGGCAGGAAGTATTTCGAGATCCGGTCCCAGTGCACACGCATCGATGACATCACGATACCATCTGGATTTATAAGGCTTCCCGAACAAGATGTTGTCCTTCAGGGTGGAGTTCTGTATCCATGCATATTGAGGACAGAACGCGCGGCTCGAGGCCATCATGACTTTCCCACCAGTCTTTCGCATGTCACCAGCCAGTGCAGCCAACAGGGAAGATTTGCCAGAGCCAACAGAGCCAATAACAGCTATGAGCTCATTCCTTCCAACGTTAAAGTCGATACTAGAAAGTTTGAACGGTTCGATCTCGGTAATTTCGCTTGATACATCTTCATTCGAACCCCCGGGGAACTTTCTGGCCTTTTTAGCAGCCTTCTCCGCCTTCTTGTCTTCTTTTATCTTGTCTTTCTGCGCTTTGAGTTCGCCTTTTGTTTGGAAAGTGCCCACTCGCTCCTTGTCCTGAGTCGCAGTGCGCTCCCAGGTAAAAGAGGCTTGCTGGACCTCTACGGCGTCCTCCATGTCTTCGTTGAAAGTGACCTGTTCTGCTTGTTCCTCACTGAGGAGGAATTCCTGAATACGCTTTAGCGCAGTGACAGCATCGGTGGTTTGGCCAAGAACCAAAGGGAGCAGATTAAGTGGCATCCTCAACGAATTAAACAAAGCTAGGGATGAGAAGACTCGAGCAGGTGAAAGTCCGTGATCCGTGACGGAATATGTGATGAAGGCAAGCATGGAAGCAAACACAGGCATAGACATGGCTACCGCATTGATGGCGTTCCGTATTGAGAGTAGCACCTGTATTGCTCGGATCTCGCGCTTCCGCAATTCCTTAAGGCGGTTCAAGAAGCTGGTCTCCCACCCAAAGAATTTGACGAACCGGACCGAACTCAGGATTTCTTGCGTTAATGTAACACGTTGATCGGTTATCTTGTTAATCTGCTTCCTCCTAGCGAACAGGGACTTTATTGTTCTGGCTAGAAGGGGCATCATCACAAGGATGAGGGCATAGCCTGCTAGCGCACTGTAGCCAAGATTGATACAGAGCACAACGAGCACAATAACAAGTTGGATCGGCGAGGTCCAAATGATGTGAAACATTCCAGAGGCCTGGTCAACTCGATATGTGTCAACACTCATCAAATTGATGATTTTGCCATTGCCCCAACCGGTACCATCCCCTGCAATGCCTGCTCCTTTGTCTGGCGTGATTTTCGGCCCGCCTTTGGGGTGAAGCCGTTTTGAAAGTGCACGGGCGAGGGCTGGTCGATCAGATGACTTTTCTTCTTCCAGTGCCTGCTCTGGTTGGTCTGGGGCTTGCGGTGCTTCAACAGCTTTCCCCCCGGCTCTGGCCCTAGCAGAGATCTTAAGCGATTTCTCAAATATAGAATTTATCAAAACGGCTCGTGCTTCCCCTCCCACAACCATACCTCGGTAGAGAAAGTGATTAGTAGCTGTGGTCTGGCAGACCTGCATGAAAGTGATTCCGATGACTAGACCGATACCATTGGCGATAGGAGGAGCACTGCCACCCGTTCTGTCGGCAATCCAAGCGTCTGTGGCGAACTGAATCAAATATCGGGTGGCAAACGGGGCAAAAACTTGAAGCAAGGCTGAGAACAAAGCGCAGACGCCTCCAAATAAAAATTCGCTTCGGAATGTGTCAAAAAGAGCCCATACGAGGGGGTTTTGTTCTCCTCGAGCCGTCCTCGCTTGGAAAGCCGGCATCATTTTATTGATCATCGCCTCGGAACTCCTGTCTGGATTGACCTTCCAGATATCATTGAATTCAATGGTTCGCTTGTAGCCAACAGTCATCAATGGTTGCATCCATTGGAACGTCAACAAGCTAAAGAAGCCAGCATTGTATTCTGGACATACTGCTCGTTCCTCAGGGAAGGGAGGCACAGGGCCTCGCTTGAGAGGATTGATCTTGTGGTACCAGGGCAGTTTTTCCCTTGGTGTTGATGCCACCCGAGCTGCGCTATTGACTTGTGTTATCTCGGTCGCTGTCGATTCTATCCTCGACAAGGTCGTGCTGTCTTCGCTTTTGGCCCGTCCGACCTTTCCAAGATGACTAGGCACTTGTAGGAACTGTGACGAGGTCTCGTGCTTTTCCAAGTCCCTTTCCTCCACATTGACCTGTTCGAGCGCCCGAGCGGCATCTTTCTCCTCGCCTGGAGGCATCATTGTGGCCCGTACTGCTGTTATTGCACAGTGAGGCCTAGTAGCGAGGTTGGGACTGTGAGAACTTCCATTTCGTGTGGGTTGGGTTGCCGAAGAGGGGCAAGTATGTAATTATACTCCCGAACGAAGTAAGGAAAACACAAAGACGTCGGGGGAGTGGCCCCGGCTCGACCAGGATACCAGGATTAAAAATATGCCCGTCTGCCTCGGTGCTGTCGTAATGGAAGCGAAACAAGGTAAGGTGGGTTTGGAAAAGCGAGAGTTGGGAGTGGCCAGTTACTCCTTAGTGCTTGGATGTGGCCAAAGCTATCCCCCGTCTAGGGATCAATTGGTGGCTCTAGGGATGAGGATACCCCAAGCCACCTAGAAGGGATTGGGAAGTGCCTTACGGGACCACATCTGTCCGTCCCTAAGAAGCCCGGCGGATCAAAGAGTCATCACGTCTATCATGCGGACTCGTGCCGTGTTTTCCATTAGGCTTATCAATCACTTGATATTTGTCCTCGAGGGTGTCGCCTCCTTAGCCAGCCCCACGGAGTCGACCTCGTGATCTCACTTTCGGCAATTTTGAGGTCTCCTTTTTCGCATGTCGTTTCGTTGGATTTGTGGCCCGATGCAGACCTCGTTCTACCAAGCTGAGAACTGGGGGGATAATTAGAGGGTGCTTCTCGTATGTACTCATATGAATGCTCGGCGTTGGAATTCACGGACTTAAGGTACTGGGTGTGTCGGGATGAGTTAGGATGGGCTCCCCGGCCCTAAACCCTTGGGCCACAGACTTGAAAGCTTGTTTTGTACGCCCCAACCAGGGCTCGATAGGACCTTCTGCCGAGACGGGATTTCTACGACCACTTGGATATCAACGAATGCAAATGATACACCTTTTCGTAGGGCAGTCCTCTAATAACTAGTCAATGCAATAACCCACGCATATACCGAGTATTCAAGATGCTTATTCGCCTGCAAGAGGGTGTATGACTTGAGTAGGGCCCGACTTGATGACCAAAGCCCGAGAGTACTCAGTGACTCTGCGCTCTTATCTCCTTGCTGTTGCCTGGCGTATGCATACGAGAATATTCCCAAAATTCACAGGTCCGTACTTCCGGCCAGGTCCTTCTCCGCATCAATTGTCCTTCTGAGCTCATTGACTTTCGCGTCTGCGACTTGCCAGCTGTCAGGTCCAATAAACACTCGCAAGAACTTCCCCTTTGCGATTAGTTCGCCGAACGTTCCCTTCCCCGTTGCTGCTTCGAACATTACTTTCGCTGCCTTCTCCGGATCTCCTCTTGCTGCACCTGATCCCAACTCTTGAATCCATTTCAGCCTCTTTCCGACTGGGTGGTCGTTGGCGTATGGCTCAGAAGGTTCGGTAAATGCGCCTGCATTCGCAAAATTCGTCCTGAAAGCGCCTGGTAAGGCTATCAAGACCCTGATGCCGAAGGGAGCAACCTCCGCTCCCAGGGCATCTGATGCTGCCTCCATGGCAGCCTTGCTGGCGGCATAAATGCCATTCGCTGGACTCGGACAAAGTCCCTGTGCGCTCGAAACGTTCAAGATGACTCCTGATTTGCGCTCTCTCATCCCACTGAGAACTGCTCGCATGACACGCAATGGTGCCAGGAAGTTCACTTGCATCTGGGTCAGGACATCAGCATCGGGTACATCTTCTGTGGAACCGACAACAGCGTATGCAGCATTGTTGACGACAATGTCAAGACGACCGAAAAGGGACTCTGCTTGTTGAAGGGTGTCCTTGATGGCGTCTTCCTCCCAGAGCGCATCCAGGGTCAACCATTTCCCACCCTTGTTCTCCACCTCAGCTACGAGTTCTGGGGTTTTCGATGGGTTTCGTGATGTTGCAATGACTCTGTGGCCCTGAGATAATGCGTACCGAGTGAGTGCTAGGCCTAAGCCCGCGCTCGAGCCAGTAATGAGCCAGACTGGCTTAGATGACATTCTGGTGTAGATGTAGAATTAATGTCAACTTCAATCCTTGTTGAGAATCTCTTGATACCATTTTCGTTCTATACATATCTACTCGAGGCCCCAATGTCTTGCTTGACATCCATCGGACATATGCTTTAAGCGTACTATATCCGCCCTGCTGTCAGCGATGACTGGACGTATCGCAGATCGACCATTCTCAACTCCGAAACCGAGCAACATTGGAATTCACCATTGGCCAGGATTTTGAGGGACACAGTCCGGGGCCAAACTGAGATCGTTGCATGTAGATTCTTGGTCAGCTCGCAAGTACTACTGGATTACCAGATCGACTTCTTAGATAGCAAGGAGATCCGTAAATAAGCGTATATGTCCATATTCCACTTTGAGAGTAAAACTATCGAGTCTACTATTTGTCCCCACGGTTATTTCAATCAACTCGCTTCCTCATGGTTGAGGCCTGAGGTATACATATTCTATAATCGATTAGGTGATATTGGCAATTAAGAACGATCAATATGCGAGGACATCTGATTGAATCATAAACACGAAACACTAATGACTAGTCACTAGTTAAGTGCCTAGCGAGTAGCCAGAATGTCAAGATTCACGTGCATAAGAATGCGCATTGATATTTCAATTCGTACAAAACTCGGTCGAAATGTTGCCCCCAGATTTTCCAGAGCCCTGATTGCCAGGGTCTTGCTCTCAGTTCCTTAGTGTAGTGGTTATCACGTTTCCTTTACAAAATTTTCAATCGGAAAAGGTCGTGGGTTCAATCCCCACAGGGACTATTTTTGCGTCTTGTTGCTTTTTTGTCAATTCGATCATGAATGATGAGCTTTCTGGGCTGCTGAACGGAAAGAAGCGGCTTTTGAAAATGAACAGACAATTCAGTGCAGATATGACTAATTTATACATGTATGGAAGAGGCTCCGACAGGTTGCATGAGTGAATCGACCCCTCTCCCTTGGGAAGTGGAAAAGGGTGTTTATTTAACCTGTGTATAGAACCGCGGGGAGTCAGGCTGGGAAAGTCCGGGTACAGAAGCCCAACAGAAGGCAATTAATTCTCCACACGCGAGTTCAACTTTCCAGCACACAAGTGTCGAGCTAAGAATATGAACCATCATTGTTATTTCACACGATTAATTTGAACGCAGGTCAACGTCCAACAATTCCATGCCCACTCCAACAATCATTATTCTGCACCTCTCTGGAGCAGAGATCTGTTGTTCATGCTTGTGCAGTACTCCCTCTTCTGGTTCTCTCACAATCTCGATGGCACTACTGTCAGCTACTGCTGTCCATGCAGCACCAAGCTTCTTCACCTTGAAGCCATCTAGGAGCTTGTCCTTGGAGTGGCCTAAGAAGTAGTCTGACACCCCCACTTCCCATATCTTGACCCGTTGGTCATTTCCGACACTGATGACCGCCACGTTAAACCCGCCGGCAGTGCGCTTGACGCTGGCGATCTTCAACGCTGTTAGCGCAGCAGCGTGTGCTCTGGGAACACAAAGTGAGCGTGCAGCAGTTGTATTGAGAGCCAGCGGGATGGCTGCTCGTGATATTATTGTGAGACCCAGTGCGTTATCATCGCCCCCAGTTGCGGTCAGCCATGAGCCTTGAGCCAGAGGAACGGTGTCCATGGACAAGATACTGCTCTGGTGCACACGGTGCACTTCGATTGGGGTATGGCCCTGCTGAACATCGGCCAGATTAAAGGCACTCATATTCAAAAATCCATTGGTTCCCCCGGATAAGATATATGAATCAAATTGCCCTGGTTCGGTCCGTACATGGCCTGATAGAAACGATGCTTGCATCAGACAAAAGGAGCCGTACTGAATCTCTCTCAACGTTTCAAACCTGCCTTGCCTCCGTTTGCTGGTGGGAGTGTAGTGGACGATCTTAGCCTTGCCATTGGAATAAGCCAGGGCTACCAGGAAGGCAGACTCATGAAGCGCCGCCACGGGTGACTTATCTGAGATGTCCTTTAGATCGAAACTCATAATCCTTGCATCGGAGTCCGCGTCCTCTTTCGGTAGCTGATCTTGCAACACCACTCCCACATCAATGCAAGGAACATCGAAGGTCAGCTTCCAGATGTAGAATTCCTCACACCCTGCGCTGCTGAAAAGATATCTTCCAGATGGAGAGAAACTTAGATGTTGAAGGCCTGCTGTGTGGCCCTTCAGGACAGTAAGAGACTGAAAGGCTGTCTTGCCAAGTACCTTGAGCTGGCCAGCGGGCAAGGCAAAAATGTGGATGTTGGTGTCCTCCGCGCCAGTAGCCACTAATGGCAAGTTCTGAGAATTGCACTTGTAGAATCTGCTGCAACCACCGACTGCCTTAATTTCACGGCCGTGACCACCCATTACTATCGACTTGTGGCTTGATCCTCGTAAGGTGTGCCAGTTGAAATTTCCCGCCTTAGTCCAAACAAACGTACGCATCACCTCTTGAGTAACTCGACCCTGATCGGTAGTCTTAAGCGTTTCGCTCTCCGTTTGGCTACTCGAGTCTGTATATGACCAGCTTCGATGGGATCCACCACAATCCACAGAGAAGATTGTACGCTGTTGTGTCTCATTCCAAACGACAAATGAATTAGAGCGAAATCCATAAAGAATGAGATCAACAGATTTGGCACCTGTGATCATATCATTTCTTGCGAAGTAGGACCCCTCGATATTTGGGCCAAAGGGAGGTGAAGAAAGATGAAGGGTGGAGAAGTGAGGTTGATTTACTCCTGCAGCCGAATCCCGCTTAATGCAATGGACGGCATAACACCCATCTCTTCCAGTTGTGAGTATATGAATAGCTCCATACGTGCCGGTTTCAGCCTCATTCATGGTCCCAAGAACCTTGATAGATGTGATGCAGTTTTCTCCATGCACGTGGCGGAAACATGATGAACTTGCAGCCGACTCTGCACTCTTCGATATACCAAAATAAAAAGCTAATGCACCGGCACGAGAACCCAAGATCAGAACTTTAGTTGCAGGGTCATAACAAGAAGCTGTGATTGTAAACGTCTCCGGGAGAGTGAGAGAGGCCACTTCGATTTCAGAAGGAGAGGTCGCCGGCAGCCGCAAAATGAAAGCTTGATTGTTCGCCAGACATGCTATCATGCAAGTGGGCAATCCCTCCGCTGGGTCGGGTTGATGTACGGCATGGATCCAAGAGATCGCACCATGAAGCGAGGTCGAGAGTGGAATTAGGTGGTGATCGGAGAGTTGTAAAATGGCTAGTGTCCCATTCTGCCTGGCTAGAACGACGAGCTTTCGTCTTCTTAAATAGCACGTTATCATATTCATCTTGGAGCTAGAATCGAGGATTTTGATCCAGTTGTGGGTAACTGAGCCCCATCTGGTAGACAGCAGGAATAACTCTCCATACTCTGTCGTCGCAAGACATTCTTCATGCGTGAGTAAGGTATAAAGCCTTAGAGCTCTCCCGGAGCCAGTGATCTCGTTAAAAGATTTGGAGTTAGGCAAAAGGGCATTTTCACCATCACCGATCGTCCTGAGGACTAATTGACCATCTGCACCACCAGTGTACACTCTCATTGAGGATTCGATCCTCATTTGAGCCAATGACCAAATATTTTTCCCACTATGATGTCGATCCTGCATTACAGGTTGCAAGACAAATGGTTGGTTCGCTTGTGCATCGATTCCAACCTTTAAGGACCAGAACCGGCATGTGGCATCCTCACCCCTGGAAAGAAGAAAGACCTCATCTTGACCAGAGATGTTCTGTCTTATGTCGAACAAAACGCTCCATATGCGAGATGCATGGCCCCAAGTAGCAGCCAGTTGGAGATCTTCAAGATTTTCAATATTGCCAAAGCCTGTTAGGACGGGTAAAGACTGACAGCTTAGCAATGCAGTGGATTGATCGCAATTGCTGATGTCCCAAACGCGTATCGTGCGATCATCACTGCAACTTGCCATCAGCCTTGTAAGTTTTCCATTCAAGGTCAATTTTGGCGAGATATTTACTCCAAAAATGGAGCCTCGGTGTCCATTGTATCTGTGTCTAGTAATCGGAACCCAAGATGCAGAATGATTTGCTCTTTGGCAAGTCCAGGCAATGATTTCCCCGAAGACTGTTCCAGATGCAATAATGATATAATTCGCGTCGACAAGATTAATATCTCCAGAATATAGAAAGGATTGTAGGCCTTGTACTTTGACAACAACATTATGACTTGGTGGACTGGAGTCGACAAGGCTTTTCGGACAAACCTCTAGCAGTGTATTATGCGAAGTGAGCATAAATGTGCTTGTTACGGATGCCTGGCTGGGGCTTCGTGTACTGTCCTGAAGTATGGCAACTTTCAGAACCCAGTCCTGAGCATCAAACATAGGGTTGAAGATGACAGTGGGCTTGCTTAAGGCGGGCGGATCCGCACTGGATCCAAAATTGAGGACTCCATAGCGCATCCAGCGGCCACCCCAAGCAACAATATTGAACTGACGAGACAGCGTTTGAGGTGCATTTTCTCGGATAACCTCGATCCCTTGTATGGGCTGTGATTCGAAAATTAATTCGTTCACATTCTGAGTGCCTCCCTGGTCATAGACACGTAGCCACGGCCCTTGGCCTACAAGTATGAAAACCTTCTGGTCACATTGTAGGACCTGCAAAGCAGTTACGGGTAGGCATGACGCCTCCGGCGGGAGCATCCAGATTTCTCCTGGCCTTTCAAAAGCAACAGACGCTATATATTGGTGAGAGTTCTTTGAGAGAACAGTAATCTTGTTTAAGCATGCTGGAGGAGGTGTTAAGGCATAGCGTGGTCAGTCCGTAGCGCGAGGTTAGTTACCATAGATAGAAGAATCCTGTGCCTGTGAACTCCGACAGAAAGAAGGCTGAGAGTGCGCCGAATGCCAAGACCTTTTTTTCTGGATCCCGTCGACGACCCTCCTCCCTCTCAACCTCCAATCCCTCCGCTCGGGTAGTCTTAGTCTCACTTTCCATGGTATGGGGCGTTGTCTGTCTCCTACGAGTAGTACTGTTCACAATGCTGTCTCGGTTCCACGGCGAGTAAAGGCATACATCGACGTCTCACCGCACCTCCCTTGAATTTCTTTCTACGCGCGTCAGACGCGGTTTTTGGACGCGTCTCATGAACGGGTGAATGCTTGGAAGGAGAGACACCAACATTTTGCGATGAGTTCTCGCCCCTCTCTGACTGCATGTGGGCTGGAAGGGGCGGTCTTGCAAATACTTATCACTTGATTTTCACCCGGAATTCTCCTGAGTCTCACCTAAATTATCACCAGGCGTTGAAATCATGGGTTCAGCACTTGAACCAATTGTGCTGTCCGACTCTGAAGATGAAGGCCCACACAGGAGAAAAGGCACGAATCAATCTGGCTACCTGCATCAGATAGCCAATGCAGATGAACGGCAGGCCTCATATCTGAGGCAGCAACTCAAGCCTTCACAGAAACCCTTCGATTTCTCGAGGACACAATCGCTAGGTTTACCACCATTCAGCCGTGGCATCCGGGTACCTGGCCGTATCGCATCAACAATCAATACACCAAGAACAGAAGTGGCCACTGGCCCTCAAACATTGTCTTTAAACAGTCCAAGTAGTATTACACCCGCAACACAGCGGAGAGTGCCCTTATCAAATGGTGAGATCACCATGAAAAGTATGAGTCGAACATCGAACGGATATCCAGCCACTACAACCATCAATGACACTCCCTCAACTCGCCTCTTCACCCCGGACTTTGCACAACTAGGGAAGTTGTCTACCCCGAATACTCAAGCTCGCCAACCCACAGAAATGGTGTCAACCGAACACAAAGCGCCCGATCAGGAGGTGCGCCCTGTATCTGGCAATTCTGGTGCGAAGATCTGCCAAAATTGTGTTCGTATCAACACCACATGCGATGGCTTGCAACCATGCACTCCATGCAAACAAAGACAATATGACTGTGTATATCAAATTAACACACCAAATCGCGAGCAACGACCATCCTTGATAGTCAAATTACAATTGCCACGTCGAAACAGCGTCAGCTCCAGTATCGAGCATCTGGAGAGTCCGAGGTCTGCTTCAGGATCAGAAATGGGTTTTGATGCCAATCAGAGACCAAAAATGTACATGAAGCCAACACAACCCCAGATAGGCGGCCATGATGTTGACAGTCGCTTGCACGTCCGCAACGCTCGCCACGAACGAAACCTAAGCTACGAGCCAGTTACTGCCGACAAAGCACTCGACAATGACTCGTCAGAGGAATCAACTCCCTCCCTGGAAATCGACCTAAGCATTGATGCAGTAAGGAATTTGGTCGATACATTGCAAAAAGATCAACATGATTGGCAAGAAAAGTCCGTTCAGGCTGAGTTGAGGCAAGCGACATTCGATATGAAAACTCGACGTCTTCCAGACCTTGACCCAACCATACCTGATCCTTTCAAGGTTGCCTTTGAGAAAAGAAGGACCGAGAATGAGAAAGAACCCCTCGGTACAATCGAGATGGGTGGCTTGAGCAAACTTCAAGCTCGGCCAATACAAAAGAAGACCATGTTGACCCGGGCTGTTGAGAAGCGCTTCAAGACCGAAGGAACAGTCCTCCCTAAATATAAGGCGATCGGCAGAATCGCCTCTACCTTTCTTGCACCTAATTGTCACACTCAGAAATACCGCCCTTATGACGCAGAGGATGAGATCCAAGATCCTGATGCAACAGAAAAGTACCTTGAACTCGAACAGCGCTTCAACAATAACTATGACAGTTTGAAAGCGCAGCGAGACTGCCAGGAATTGATATGGCTTTGGAAACCTTGGGCAGAACAATTGTTTGTATCATTACAGATCAAGCCAGATCATGTTCTCTATTACTTTGTGCAAGACCATTTCGAGCCAGAACGTCAACTCTTACTACCATGGTCTATAGAATCAGCCAAAGCTTGGAGCTTGGAATGGACGAAAAGATGCTCGACTTGCGAGCTTGCAAATCATGAAGAGATGATCACAGGCTTCAGTAGGAACAAATTCGACGAGCTAGAAAGGCCTAGTGATCGAAGTCTTGCTTTTGCCGGCCTGGCTGCTCATGCATTCCATCAAGTGAGCAGAATAAGCCTTTGGCACATCGTTGCTGGCGGTGTCATCCAGCCACCCCACGATGAATGGGAGGATGACGAGAACGGGTCGGAACCTTGCTTGATCTGTCTCCGTCATCATTGCCCGTCCCATGGCAATTTTATAGAGGACCGCGACGACGATAACGCAGAAGATCCCAAAGCCTACGTCAATGATGAAGAGAAGAAACAGAACGTCAGGCAATTCATGTCACTCCCTGCAAGCGACCAAAGTGAGCATAAACCACATTTATGTGGAGTGTTCTGTGTTGATCCATCACAAGACCTGCAACAGATACTAGGCCGGCAGCCTGACGGCACCGTCAGCGGGGACAGCCGGGTAACTGCACAGACTCGATCATCTTTCCCAGGCAATGAATTTTGTAGCAATTCTTGTTTCTGGGAAGTGTCTCGTCGACGAAAGATCAAGATATCAGATGCAACATTCCATCCATTCCTCTCACAGTCACATAGAGTGTTGGTTGAGAAGGTAATGCGATTCTATCTCAATCACACTCGAGGGCCATGTATCATCTCTCGCATTGTCAAGGACGTGACATGTGAACGGGTCTTTAGCCATATGATTTACTGCATGGTGCAAAGGCCACATCCGCCACTGGAAGCAGATGCTGTGTCGGACAGCAATTCTGGTCAAAGACATCCCTATGCAGTGAAGAAGAAGAGGAAGCCTATGACGATAATGGATGTATCTAGGAGTGGAGACCTGGACCAACGTCCTCCATTTCTCCCATGCTCACATGAAGGACCTTGCCACAACGATCCGAAATGCACCTGCTACAGGTACAAGGTGCATTGCGAGCGGTTCTGTGGGTGCGACGAATCTTGCAAACGACGCTTCAAAGGATGTAGTTGTGTGGCCCGAGGGAATAAGGTTTGCTTCAAAGACAACCGTTGTGAGTGCTGGAAATTGAACAGAGAATGTGACCCCTCACTTTGTGGGAAATGCGGTGTATTTGAAGTATTGGATTCGTACAACAAGTACAATGACGATATTCGCAAAGGCAGGTGCAGGAATAATCGAATCCAGCTTGGACTACCGGCCCCAACGACCAAGGCACCGAGTCAAATCCAAGGGTATGGTCTCTACAGCAGAACTGATATTCCCAAAGAAGACTTTATTGGGGAATATACAGGAGAAGTAATCAGTAAGTCTGAGGGTAATAGAAGAGGGGCCATGTATCATGTACTTGGTCAGGAATACCTCTTCATAATCAACAAGGCTCAGGAAATCGATGCGTCCAACAACGGCAATAAAATGAGGTTCATGAACAATTCGCAGAGGGAGGAGCACATCAATGTGGAGCCGAAGATGTTATGGTGCAGTGGTGTGGTGCGCGTTGGTCTATTTGCCAAACGTCACATCGAAGCCGGAGAGGAGCTACTGTACAATTACAATTACCCAGAGTCGAAGGTTCAGTATTTCTGGGAGCCAGGAGAGCGACCAGCAAATACTCGAGCGATGGTTCCTCCATCCCACGAACGCATTGCAAGAACGATCACAGCACCGAATTTGGCTGGGGCGATTGCGAAGACAAGGGGTGTAGACAGCAGCTCCTCCCCCGTGCCCATGAGAAACCGAAAGAGAAAGCGAGTGGTGGATGAGAGCTCAGAGATTGATGACCTCCCCGCTGCTGAAGGAGTCCAGAGCGAAAGTGAGGCGTCGCAGATACTGGAAATTGAAGACTCGGCAGATTCTGAGTATGAGACCAACGGTCGGATAACAGAAGAGGACGAGATCGAAGAAGTTTCAGACGAAGTTTCGAGCGATCATGGAGTCCCGGTGGCCACCAAAGCTTCGAAAAGAAGGGCAGGGGCTTCAAAAAGCCGTTCTTCTAAGATTGTAGGAGCAACCAGCAGGCGACTGAAGAAACGATCGCGGATCAATGGAACAGCTACAGCTCGGCGTGCTCGCAGACCGCAGGATACGCCGGATGGAGCTATGTCGTCTTTTGGCCCTGTTCGGACCAAGTCTACTAGTCGCCCAACTCATACGAAGAACAAAGCAGGCAAATTAGTGGTTCGTAAGCGGAAGATCGGCCCAAACGACCGCAGATTTGGAGGCAAAGCGCAACAGCTGGCGTGGGAGACCAGGAGATTGAATGAAGCGTTGGCAAGCCAAAGAGACAAGCAGCGATGACCATATTATCATGTACCAAAGATCAACCAGAGAAAACCATATCTCTTGTTATGGCATTTAGAACTACTGGTCAGGTACCTGGTACCCAGTTGCGATTCACACGCCATTTGTTAGTGTGCTCAACATGCATATGTACCAAGAGTGCCGGGCCGCACACGATTGACTGGCAAGAACTGGAAAGTGGATGATTTTGACCAGGATCTGGGTGGTATTTGTCTGGTGTGGTTGTGGCTGTGGCTGTGGCTGCCGATCCCTTTGATCGCAGGTGTAGATCCCCATCGAACATGGTGTGTGGGTTGTTTGGACAAGTGTTCAGGGACCGATGTGGCATATTCGATCTGCATACAGTACAAAGAAATGCCTAGCAAGTTGTATGTAGATGCCACTTCATCGGGAGTAGCAGTGGATACTGCACTCTTCCCCTCGGTCGCATTTCAGAAATTGGAAGATTGGAGCCATGTGTCAAAGTTCATGTTCCTGATGTGGACATGCAACTCGATGACGTGAGCGGCTTGTTGCTTTGACGACGGGACGTACTCGCAATGAAGCGTTGACAGCGTTGTGTGTACGGAGAACACTGTGCACTACTCAGCTGCATGGTGAGCACTGAGCACTGACCGGGTTATTAAGCTTGCCGCCAAAATCCAAACCATCGAACCAAGCGCCATCCATCCTCCTGTGAAAACGTCAGAAAGACGATCTCCAAGCTTCAAGCTTCGAGTTTCGAGCCATCGAGCCATCGAGCTCCAACTTCTTGCAGCCATTCCCTGATCCCCTTGCAAGCTCCAGCTCTCTCCTCGTGCCTGTGCTCCGTACCTGCGCCCGCTCCAACATTTTGCAAGCCGAACACAAAAACTATTCTGGTACGTTGTTTACCTTTCCACTGCTGCCGAGTGTCGCCCTGGAGCCAAAGGTGCCACGGTCATAGAGACACATCCCTGGCTGTTGCTGTGGAGTCGATGATGAAAGTGACGCTGTGGCTGGTCCTATCTGCCTCATATTGTGGCTTGTTACTGTCCTTGCACCGGTTTTCACTGGTGCAGTGGGCGAAGGTTGAGTGGAAAAAGTGGGTTGATGTGGGCGGTGGCCCCAGCAATAGAGCAATGGTCGGTGCAGGCCCATGGACCCCAGGCAGTCCAGGGGAGCCCCAGTGCCATTGGCGTCTTCTCTGGCCTTCTGTGCCTCTCGAGTCCTGCGTCTTGCGTCGCTCTGACCACCGACCACCAAGATCCTTGGGGGCCTCCGCTATCATCCGGGACGTCATTGTCCTCCACTCGCACCTGTGCGGCACAACAGCTGCAGCTTGAACCCGCCGCCACGCCTGAATTACTACTAGTTACTACCTTCTCTTCGCTGACCTTGGTGCCCTTTCCCATCTTTCCATTCTTCACAACACTGTTACCTCCTAACAACTGCTATCAAAAGTATCTGAAAGATTCTGTTGCTTGAACCTGTCCTCCACTCTTCATCTAGAGACCGTACCAGACCTGTCCTACAGCGCACCGCCACTTGAACCCCTTTGCAACCCCTCGTGTTCTCTTCAGTGCGTCATCACCTGTCTCATAACCACTTCTCAAGATGCATCGCACATACTCCATGCGCCAATCGCGCGCTCCTACTGCCTCCCAGATTGAAAACCCTCCTCCACCAGCCTCTTCGACCAAAGGCGGTCGCCTCTTCGGCCGCGGCAATTTCGGTAAGCTCGAATGGTTCTGCAAAGTGCCCAGAACTTCAACTGACAGCGAAGAATAGGCCATGCTTTTAGAAAGGGGACGGCTGGTGCGTTCGGCCCAGATCTCGCAAAGAAGCTTTCCCAGCTCGTCAAGATGGAAAAGAATGTCATGCGCAGTCTTGAGCTTGTAGGCAGAGAACGAATGGAAGTTGCTGTAAGTATTTCCCGCGGACAGTGTTCAGGAACTGCCTTAGATTGAAAACCGGGCTAACTCTAATCCACAGCAACAACTCTCTTTGTGGGGCGAAGGCTGCGATGAGGATGTCAGTGATGTCACCGACAAGCTCGGCGTCTTGGTCTATGAAATTGGCGAGTTGGAAGATCAATTCGTCGATCGCTACGACCAATACCGTGTGACTATCAAGTCCATCCGTAACATCGAAGCTTCAGTCCAGCCCTCACGAGACCGCAAGCAAAAGATCACCGACCAGATTGCTCAGCTCAAATACAAGGAACCCAACAGCCCAAGAATTGTCGTTCTCGAGCAAGAGTTGGTTCGTGCCGAGGCCGAGTCTTTGGTTGCAGAAGCTCAGCTGTCCAACATCACTCGCGAAAAGCTCAAGGCTGCATTCACCTATCAATTTGATGCTATCCGGGAACACTCGGAGAAAGTGGCCATCATTGCTGGCTATGGCAAGCATCTCCTTGAACTCATCGATGATAACCCAGTGACTCCTGGCGAGACCCGAGCTGCCTACGATGGCTATGAGGCCTCCAAAGCCATCATCCAGGACTGCGAAGATGCACTTACCAATTGGGTGTCTTCGAACGCGGTTGTCAGCTCCAAGCTCTCCGTACGTTCGCGCAACCTGAGCCAACGCAGGAAGAAGAATGCTGCTTCAGGCGAAGGCGTGGACTTGAGTGGTCAAGACCCTGCAATGAAGAGCGATCGCGATGGCTGGGTTCCCGCAGGTCAGCACGGAGAATACGAACAGGAGGAGGAGGATGACGAAGAGGAAGAAGAGGAAGAGGCTCCAGTCGGAACCAACGGTAAGTCATTCCTCTGTGGTAGCGTCTCCATCAAACTAATACGTTGAGAAGGCCAACACGCTGGGCAGCACCCAGTCGCCGCCTAACTCCACAAGAGACTTTTCTATAACACCGCAACACACACGAGGAAGGCCGCAATGATCTTGAGCGGCAAGATTTGACCGTCGAAGCCATACTGCGGATAAAGAAGAGTTTGTGAAAACAAAATACCCCGTGGGAAAATGGGATGGCGCAGGATCTTAAGGGAGCATACAGGGTGTTCGCACAATGAGTGATGTCGAGAAGGTAATTTCTTTTCAATTTGATGAGATCGAGGATGCAAATACTGAAGTGCTTGTTTGGGCTCCTTGGAATCAATTCGATGCCTCTCTGCCAGCCATGTAGACATGGAAGTCTTCCTCGACTGCTGAAGATGACGTGATGTTTCGAGAAGCACGGCACTGGCACGCACAACGCAGGATTGAGACAAGGGCTTTTGAGTCTGTGGGCCATCTAGCATCGAGTAATAATGAAATAATGGAATAGAGTCCATTTGCGAATGCTTGTTCCTGCCGAGAAATAGATTTCGTAAGCTCGATGTCACATGACACACGTCACACGTCACACACGTGTCCCTCCTACTCCGTACTCGTACATGCCTCGATTGAGGGCATGACCTATCAGCGATTATGTATGACCAGCCAGAGGGTAGGCGTCGTCACGAAGACACGTGTTGAGACTACTTCTCCAGCCACCGGGGTGCTCCAAGTGGCGAGTAAGTCCGATGGTCACAACACGTAATACACGACCGGCACACCAACATCAAATGAACTGCCATGCAGAGTGTCTGGCCTACTCGTACACAGTAATGGAGCATCGTCGTAACTAACATTTTTCGAACTCAGACGATCCCACCTCCAAGAAAAGCACTACGCAGCGCCCCTAAGCAATCAAAGGCCCAGGAGTGACTCTGGCAAAGAGCGAGTGCTCGTGGCCACCCAAGCCTGTCTATTTATAACGGGAAGGTATCGAGGGGTTGATGTGATTGGTGTGGCGCGTACTGCGACGGGCAGCGACGAGATCTTTCGGCAAGCGAAAAGCAGAGATCTAAACGCGCTAGTGCCACCCACTGGTGCCAACTTGGATGACTACAGTACGTATCGACGATCGTACAAACCTGATGCGTTGTGCTCCGTACAGTGCTTGGTATGTAGACCTTCTGCGCCAGAGGGTTTGAAATCGCGAGAAGTGCTGTAGTGAAACGACAAGCATATGTTAGTTTCACTCCCCATGGTATATACAGTTGGTTGCTTGATTGCGCAGGACGGGAGCCGGAAACCTTCGTACGGATCGATGGGGGGCTGCGCAAGTGCGACTTTACCTCGTAGTCACTAGCTACTAGCCACCAGCTAGCAGTAGCAGTGAACCGTCTGAACAAATGCAAAAGAGCCTCGTTCTCCGAGAGTTCTAGATTGGGGGACACTCCTCCATGGGACGCTACTGCCCTAGGTTGGGTACGGTCTAGGGGGGTGCTGGGCGAGAAGGAAGCTTGGCTCAATCCTAGCTGAGCTGTCCCTAGTCTGAGCCTTGGTGAAGGAGGTCCTCTGTAGAGAGGATTGTCAGAATAATCTTCCTCCGCCGCACAGGTGAGGTGACAAAGCCCAAGTCACCGATGGTCAGATTTTGGCTTCAATGTCTCCATTATCAGTTCGCGTGCACAGTAATTAATTCTGCGCACGAATGTTCCTTTGCCCTTGATGATACCACCCTCTTACGAGTAGTTAGGGCTAATGAAACACCCGTTTTAATGGGGGCTGGACCGACACCGGCTTAGCCTGGGAAACTAACCATCCTCTAGCTTAGGCGGTTCCACTCGTAGGCCTGTGAGGGGCCCGGGGAGCCCTGAGGGGGACACTGGTGCACTCCGTAAAGCAGGAGTACCTAAGCTGCCACCTCCTCGCCCGCTGCCTCAGCCTCACTCCGTGTCTGTCTCGTTTTGGCTGTGCCCTGCTACGCCCCAATAGAGATGATGCCGCATTCGCTGTGCCACGGCTGAGGGACGAGGGATGAGGGCTGAGGCCCTACAACAAGTGACGAGGCAGTAGTAAACAGCTGCTTGCTTTTCTTAAGCGATCCGGCGTCCTGTATTTCTATTTCTCTATCGTTCTGATTATTGTTGTTTCTTGTCTTTCTTCATCTGCCTAGATTATTCATCCATACCGAGGAACCAGGCCACACCATCATCACGCTCACGTCGTTTAGTGGGACCCTCATCCTACGTACAGAGTATCCGTACCGTACCTGGAAAACGCCGCCTCCGCAGGCTCACCTTCGCCTCAGTTGGGACTCGCTGCACCCGAACGTGAGTGAGGGTGACAATTCTCAAACTGCCCTGAGTGCTTACGGCCCCAATTCACGACACTCGATTCCTACCCTGACTTGTTGCTTCTTTTTCTTCTGATTCCTGCATCAGTCAAGTCCATCACCGCACCCGCCAAACTCGACAGAACAGCACTCCGTTCATATCCAACAACTCATCTCAACCCTCTTACTGAGGAACGGATCTCCTTCTCCATCGGCGACCTTGCTTCCCCGCATTGGGAAAAGGTCCATGGTCTAGTGCCGCCAATACGAACCTATTATACCTACGAGTACTAGTAATCAGCTCAGCTGAGTTCGAGCAGCTCTCGCACTTAGACAGAACCAAATCGCACCTTTTGATTGCCTAGGATATTCACAGTCGTCAACATGGTCTCAGCAGGCCGCATATGCTGTATAACAGCACCCTTTCTTCTCACAATTGCCGTGCTCGTCTGTACGGTGCTGATCTTCATCGCGGGAACCATTGACCGCAATAAGACTGTTGACGATCTATATTTCCTCAAGGTAAGCAACACTTCTCTTCTCTGCCTCTTCCCCTGCGGCCTCATAACTGACATGTATATCCTGCGCCACAGATCGACCTAAGAAACCTGACCCTGACGTCCTCCGCAAACCTCGTCGGCGATTCCAGCGACACCAACTCCACCATCCTGGCAGGAGCCCTGCAGGCTGCGAAGCAGTCACTGGGCATGAAAGACTTCTACACAATCTACCTCCGAAGCTACTGCAGCTGGAACGGCGACGACGTCTATGCGAACTGCACAGACCCCAAGGCGTATTTCTGGTTCAACCCCATCAACGTCTGGGGCTTGAACAACACCGGCGTTGACGTGGACACCTTCATCCCCAAGGAGTTCAATGACGGGCTGAAAGTCTACCACAATGCCTCCAAGGCCATCTTCTATCTGTACACCGGTGCACTCGCCGCTGCAGCGATCAGTATCTTGGTCGGCATCTCAGCCATATTCTCGCGCTGGGGATCGTTCTTCACTACCTTCTGCGCCACGGCAATGTGGGTTCTTTTGGTCGCTGCTTCCATCACCACCACGGCTGTCTACGTCGTGCTCCGTGCCGCCTTGGACAACAGCCTGAAGGACGACTACGGCATTGACTCGGACATCGGCACCAGGGTTCTTTCCGTCACCTGGATCGGTTCCGCCTTCGCCGTTGGAGCCGGTTTCTTCTGGTTCCTGTCGGTCTGCTGCTGCAGTGGCCGAAGCCCGTACAACCCCGGCAGCAAAGAAGCTAGGCGCACGAGAGCTGAGAAGACCCCATACACGTATGAAAGAGTCGGAAGCCCCTACATGGGCCCCAGCGACCACCAAAGCGTCCCCTTGACGAACTTCGGTCCTGGAAGCCAGCAGGCGCAGAGAGGAACAGCTTATGAGCCATTCCGACCTCAGCATGTCTAAAGATACAGTGCTCGAGTCTAGTTGTGTTCACCTTCACGGTGAAGGATGCTTTTGGATGGTTGGATGATCCCTAGGTGTTCGGGGCGCGCCCATGGGTGCTCTGCGCCGTGCCTGTGTTACCGCCTGCCCCTTTGTAGGGATGAGCTTGTTTGGGACTGAAAGACTAGGGGAGCAATGCTCTTTTGCATTGGCTCACTATTTTGGTCCCATAAGACTGGAGCGGTTGGCTCCGGGCCTAAGAAATTGCTCCCCAAAGGGAACAACGTCATCCCTACAACCGCTGTTTGATTCAGTCACTCAGCTCAAGCAATGGGACTCTGGGACTGGAAAGAGGAACAGACCACCTCAATTCAATGACATTTGCATCATTTTGTTGCCTCTTGTGTCCAAAAAATGCGCCTTGGGGCAAGGGACTTTTTGGGGAAACGGCGTTCAGTAGTGGGAAAGACGTCTTTTTTTGGATCAGGAATAGGAATAGCAATACTTATATTCTTTTCCTACGGCGTTCAGCTTTTTATATATTATATGATACGATACGATACGATACCTGGTAGCGTATATAAGGGTTCCAATTTGTTTTATTATTCTTCTAGTCTTTCTTTTGCTTGGTCTGTCGGTCTGTTTCATATTTCCGAGAAAGGGAGGGCGGACGGATAGCGTTCCAATGCATTGCGGATGACAGGGTCTACTTTCGCTATAGGACTAAAGTGAGGAGTGTGGACGAATGAAAGAATCGGAAGACATCATGTGGATTCGATCTCATGGTTGTGGCATTGTCGTGGCATTGTGATTGCTACTGTTACTGCTACTGCTGCTGCCATGGAATATCACAAGAGAGTGTCTCCTATAGGGCAAGGGAAGAGGACCGAGAGCGAGACTGGGGCCCCTGCTAATACAATTGACACCGTAGTTCGGCCGCGGCGGCCTGCTTCTCGTTCTCGCAAAAAAGAAATCGAGGTGTCGAGACGACGAGGTGTCCTTCTTAGTTTCGTCTGGGAAATGAATGATTGTGGGTGCCGCGAATACATGATGGGGAAAGGCCTAGCTTGTTCTGTGCTCGGTCGACCTTTCTTTTCCCTCTTTTGGGGGTGTTGAATGGGATGACCCTCGGTGGAAACAGTGAAGGCAGGTTGGCTGGCGGTTTTCTGCGTCAGCTACGAGTCTTGGCTATACATCCAAATCCTTCACAGCAGGCTGTATTAAGCGTCTGTCTCCAGAGCCATCAAGGATTGCTTCGTCGCCCTGTCACCAAGCCCTAGCAATCGATTCGTGTGCACCCATCCTTGACATCTTGCTCGTCACATGGTTGACAATTGAGCAAGTTTGCTTACGACCTTCCAATCGCTCACTCACTCGGTGATACCTCTCCAGCCGCCCCGCGGCCTATAGCCGATCAAGCCCTCGTCCCTCGCTATATCTGCTGCCTTACGGCCAGTGAGGACGCTGGTCTCATGGTCACGGCCTAAGACGTGGAATTTCTTGAACACGGCGTCTTCTTCATCTGCACCTGCATCTGCATCACCGCGCTGACGACGGCGACACCGCCATATCTTCTGACCGGTCTTAGGATCCTTCGCTGGTGTAAACCCACAAGCGTGGCGGTCGAGCGAGAGGAACCACTTACGCTGGTGGATGGAGTTGATACTGTTATTTGCGCCTGGGTACGCATTTTGGAGTCGGATTCGTTCGTCCGCAGAAGGTGCTTGTGCTGGGTTGGGATCGGAAGAGGCGGCAAGGATTGCAATGGCGGAGTCTTCCTTCTGCCTCTTCTTCTTGTACATATCATAGTCGATTTCCCCAGCAGATCGTTTGCGGGCTGGTGGCGAGGCCAGCCGGTGAAGCGAGGAGACACTTTGCTTTAAGTGGGGACCGCGCGGGCTTCTATTTTCGGTGGTGCGTCCATCTCGTGACTCTCGGGAGGAGCTTTGACTTGATTCGGAAGTCTCTGCATCTTGCTTTCTAGCCATGGCCGAGTTGTGCCGTCGTCGGCGTCTGAAGGATGGTGGTGCTGGCTGTTCCAGCCGGTTATTCTCAGCCGTCAAGCGAAGAGTGATCGTATAGTTTGGAGGAAGCTTTGTCCCGTGGAGGCGAAGCTTTATCTTTCGCGCTTGGAACGCTTGGTGAAGCTTTTGAGGCTCGGACTCTTCCCTGATATCTCCAACATCTGAGTCAGAGGTAGAACTGTCCATGAGTGTATTCGAGCTAGATGAGCGGCTTGATCTATAAGGAAGAACAAAGAATTCGCCGGTATCCCATAGCAGCATGGTGCCAGTATCAGATGAGGCAGTTTCAATCAGGTGGTTCCATACATTATGAACTCTAGTCTCAGTTGCGTTGCGATTTTGGCGGACACTGTTGGGGTCCCCCGGTAATCCATACATGATGGCAAAGCTGATAGAGCTACTAGCATTACACTGCAAGCGCAAATCATAGTGGGTGCCAGCGATCGGATGGTCATGTTGGTGGATGACAAAGTGATGGCCTCGGTCATTGAGGTTTCGTTGATAAAGATCCAGCCACGCTTGGTGGGCGAGGCGTGGTCGGTTCACGGAGTCAGGTAAGCGGGCATTGAGTAACTTTGTGGAGAAGAAAGACACAGGGTCTTCAACTTCGACCTCGCCGGCTTCGACAGCTGCTGTGGCTGACTTAGTTGGTACGAACCTCCTAGGACTGGCAGTGGTGTCGATTCGATGCTTGGGTCGGGCACGTGGTGGAGGTGATACACCCCTATTGAGAGAATCTGGTGCTGTCAACTCCCAGGATTTGTTTCTGCGTTTGACGAAGGGATTCTCAATAGTAGCTTGGGAGTTATGTCCTGTCATTCATGAGGTTGAAAGATGGCGCGTACTCGTATGGTGATGATATGGCAATAGACAGAGGGTTCCCGAGTGCACGATTAATTAACGTCAGGAAGTAGTTTAGCGCTGGATTGAGGGGGTAATTCCGACTGGATGACGTCAATGCCAAGAGATTTCCACGAACTGCAAGTGTCTGACTAAGATTGGCAGGTGTGATTCTGGGGACTGCCCTAATCGATATCCTAATCCTTACCAACCGTTCTATCATGAACCAATATCCTTCTGGATTCTGCCACCAGGCTCTGGCAACCTTCAGGTCTAAGTATATATAGCTTTCTTTCTTTCCCAATGTCATGTCGTGTTCTCCATCAGAAATCACTACTCATAACCGCAATAACAACAGCAATAACAGCACTCGCAGCAACCGCAATAACTCACATGCTCAGCAACACCAGCAACACTTCCCAACAATCTTCTATGAAAGCCTCAAGCATTCTCAAGCAAGCAATGTCAGGCCTCTCCCACGCTAAAATTGTCCACCGGCCTTCCAAGACCAGAGGAACAGCCAACCATGGGTGGCTCGACACCAAACATTCCTTCTCTTTCGCCAGCTGGTACGATCCAAAATACACTCAATTCGGCTCTCTCCGTGTCCTGAATGAAGATCGAGTCGAGCCAGGCGAGGGCTTCCCCACCCATCATCACCAGAACGCTGAGATCTTCTCATATGTCCTCAGCGGAGAATTGACGCATAGGGACTCAATGCAAAAGAAAGGTCAAGAAAGTGAGGACAAAAACAAGTTCTTCCGACTACACCGTGGAGATGTGCAATTCACCACCGGTGGCCGAGGCATCTCACATAGCGAATACAACGAACACAATGATAGCTGGGTTCACTTCCTGCAAATCTGGGCTTTGCCGTGGAAGCGGAACTTGCCTCCTGCATATCACACAAGCACATTCTCTGAAGAATCCAAGCGACAAGGATTTGTGACTATCATCACACCCTTGAAGGCTGGTCCAAATGCAACGCTTGACGAGGAAAAGGCCGCAGTGCCAAGTGTTGAGGGTACCATTCCTATCCACGCAGATCTTGTTTTCAGTGCAAGCATTATTCCCCAAGGGAAGACTTTCACTTACAAGGTCGGCGGAGGAGATGTGGTATCTTCCAAATCGGGGCGAAATGTTTACGTCCACTTGCCCGAAACGAAAGGTGGAAAAGCTAAGATCCGGATTGACGGACGAGACAACGCCATTCTGAGCGAGGGCGATGCAGCATTTGTGACTCAAGTCAGCGCCAATGACGAACTAAAGGTTGAAAGCATAGGCGAAGCTGAGGCAGAGGTTGTAGTCATTGATTCAGAGTAAAAGGTTGATCTGGGGAAAAGTGTTGACACATGATTAAAAGGGCGCTTCGGCGTTTGGTACTATATAGCATGGAATATAAAGGCGCAAACATCTCTATGGATGAGCATATCGAATCTACATTTCAGTCACCTGAATCTATCTGGTTCCCTTTTGGCCTTCCCACGTACCTGTTATATATACATATACCTACTCCACCACGACACGACTCCACGATAAACGCTGCGACGAACTTGCAGACTTGTCAGACAGGATGAGTCATCTGGAGCTCTTGGCCCTGGCTGGGTGCCTGGGTGCCTGCCAGGTGCCTGCAAGACCTGAGGCAGTGAGTCAATGATGGTGGATCTCACCAATCCATCCAATCGCAAAGTAGTGGGTTCATTCTAGCTATGAAACTAGCTGAGATGTGGATTGGGGTTTTGGACAGCTTCGCCAGTCTCCGTCCACTGATTAGTTGTTGAATGCAGCTCTCGGATACGAGTGTGAGATGCAACTGGGCAAGGTAGGAAGGAGCATTTTAGTTCCCAAACTTTTGAAGATCACTTTACAACAGTAACTGTAGGTGATAACTGTTGCTGTTTTCTGTTTCTTCTCTCTCAGCACCAGATTCATCGGAACTACCACTCCCGTAAAAGTACATTGTGTCGAAACAGCTCCCGATTGAGTTTTTATATTTGCATTGCTTCGGCTTCCGTGGATTCCAGCTCCACCGGTTACCCATGCGGTTGTAACCTCCGCCACTTGGGTCGAATATCGAATATTTCAATATTGACCAGTTGCGCTTCCTGACCACATATCACTCAAAATGATGCTGTAAAAGAGACTGTGTTCAAGCCACCTCGAAACTTGAGGACTCATGCCACTTCTTACGAGCACAATTATGCTCCACCACATGACAGCTTCTCTGGCAATAGCGATCTCGTGTCTTGCAGCGGTAGCTGCACTATCAGTCCCAGCACTCTATCAGTGCCTAGAACGAGTGCGAGCGAGAAAAGATCACTACTCAGAACTGCCAGGCCTCTACGAGGATGAAGATGGAACAGCTACTGAGGAGTCTCAAGAAGCATACTCGGATTTCCTCCCACGCATAATTTTAATCTTAACCTCAGCAATTGCCAGCGCCGACGCATTAATCGGCGCGGTCCTCACAACCTCACGGTCTCACACTTCGCTTTCCATCGAACAATGGCTTCAATTTGCGACCTGGGTAAGACTCGGCAGAAAACTCGTTGGATCGCTTGACTGACTCATTTTTAGGTTTGCATTTGCTTTCAAGCGATCTCAATCTTCACCACACTGTCTTCTGTGAAACGCTACGACCTGGGAATTTGGACTGGAATATCGTCCCTACTCCATTTCTTTGCAGTGGCCTTTGAGAACATCTCGTTGTGGCAGTCACGTGTAAATCCATATCCACGAAACGTTCATCTTACTCTTTCAGTTATTCAGCTCGCGGCTGGACTCATTCTCACCCTTGCCAGCCTCTTGATCCCGCGACGTCCTGATGTTTACTGGAATGGGCATGTCGTTGACCGACAACATACGACCTCTGTACTAAACAAGATTTCTTTCACGTGGCCAGGGACTATATTGACAACTGCAGTCAATAACAGGGGCCTGAATTACGATGATCTGGCAGAAGTTGGCCATGAAGCGCGCTCCCGAGAACTACGGCGCGAGTTTGAAGCTGTTGAGAAACAAGATAAACTTTGGAAGACTCTCTTCTGGGCACGAAAAGGAATCTTTCTCCAGCAATGGGGTCTTCAGACAATGACCTCATTCACGCAGTTCCTGCCTCAAGTCGCTCTCTACGCTATCCTCAAAGCCCTGGAACGTCGCGACGCAGGTGATGATGTTGCTCTACGCTCCTGGCTGCTCGTGATTGGCCTGGGTGCTGCCGACATATTCTCTACCTGGCTAGAGGCAAGGGCGTTTTTCGTCATATTCCTGAAGATTGGTGTACCGATCTACGAACAATTATCGGCAGTTATATTCAGTAAAGCCATTCGGCGAAAGGATGTCAAAGGGGCAGGAAAGAAAAGGGAAGGAAAAGCCCCTGCAGAAAATGGGGAAGTACCACCGAATGGTGAAGTTAATGATGATGCAGATGCAGATCCAAACGACGAGTCCGGTTTGTCCGAAGAGGACGCCGAAGAAGACTTTCAGAAGTCAAGGCAAAGCACCATCAATCTCGTCGGAGTTGACTCCAAGCGTATTGCTGACTTCGCATCTTTCAACGACATCTTTCTCGGCTCTGCTATCAAGATGGTCCTTGCCTGTGGTTTCCTGCTCAAATTGATCGGACCAATCCCGCTGTTGACAGGGCTGGCGCCATCTCTTGCAATCACTCCCCTGAACGCAATTACCGCGAAACGTTATGCGGCTGCACAGGATGATCTTATGAAGTATCGCGATCAGAAGATGGCTGTTGTCACTGAAGCACTTCAAGGCATACGCCAAATCAAGTTCAGTGCCCTCGAGCGCAACTGGCACGATAAGATCCTGCGATCTCGAAAACGAGAGCTGGATACACAATGGCAGGTCTTTAGATATGACACGATGTTGATCAGCATCTGGATATTTGGACCTGTCACTTTGTCTGCAATTTCTTTAGCTGTTTATGCACTCATTCACAAGGAACTGAGTGCATCTGTGGCATTCACAACAATTTCAGTGTTTGAACAAATTGAGATGACTTTGGCCGTCGTTCCTGAGATGGTCACTGATCTTCTGGATGCCATCATTTCGGCAAACCGGATACAGGATTATCTTGATGCGCCTGAGAGGACGGAATATGCTCAGCCTGGCGATACTATCTCCTTTCAGAATACAACTATAGCATGGCCAGCCGATGACATAGAGCAAGAGGAAGCTCAATTTAGATTGAAAAACTTGGACATCGACTTCCCAAAGAAAGAATTGAGTGTTGTTTCAGGCCGGACAGGCTCTGGAAAAAGCTTGCTTCTTGCTTCAATCATCGGTGAAGCGGAAGTGCTGGATGGAGTTCTGACAGTACCCAAGGCACCATTGGCCGAAGACCGCTATGACTCTGCTGCCAATAAGGGCAATTGGTGTATTGAATCTTCTATCGCCTTTGTTGCTCAGATTCCTTGGATTGAGAATGCGACAATTCGCGACAACATACTTTTCGGTCTTCCACTTGACAACACTCGATACCGAAAAGTGCTCAAGGCATGTGCACTTACCAAAGACTTGGAAATGCTCGAAGATGGGGAGCTAACAGATATTGGTGCTAATGGGATCAATCTCAGCGGTGGCCAGAAGTGGCGTGTTTCCTTTGCAAGGGCCCTGTACTCCAGAGCAGGGATTTTGATTCTTGACGATATCTTCTCCGCAGTTGATGCTCATGTTGGTCGACAATTGTTCGAGGAGGCCCTGACAGGAGAGCTTGGGGAAGGGCGAACTAGAATTCTTGTGACGCATCATGTTGCCCTTTGTCTATCAAGGACGAAATATAGTGTCCTTCTGTCGGATGGCACTGTCGAAGTGGCAGGGAGGACGGAGGAGCTCAGGAAGAACGGAAAACTAAAACTCATCCTTGCCCAAGATATTGAGGATCAGCAGAAGCAGGAGGAAGTCGAAGCAGAAAAAGAAAACGCTCTCATTGTTGATGATGGTGGAGGACTACAAAAACTCCTTACGAACCAGTCTCGTCGGTCCAGGAGGAGGTCCACCACCAGTGAATTTGATCGAAATCTAAGTCGTCGTCGATCCCATGCCACCCTCGATGACCAAAAACCTAGGGATGCACCGAAGAAATTCACCGAGGATGAGCAACGTGAGACGGGTGCGATCAAATACAACATCTACAAATCGTACATCAAAGCGTGTGGGGGCTACAGCTATTGGCTTTTTGTCCTGATGGTATTCTTATCATGGGTTGCTGTCTTCCTGGGTCGATCGTATTGGATAAGTATATGGACGAGGTCGTACGAGACCGAGTCTGTTTTCCAGAATCGCCTCGTCCAGCAGTCCTTGGGTGCACTTCGAAACGTGCAGTCAAGGCTCGAGGCCACACAAATCGATCCCAATCTGAGATACTACTTGGGTGTCTACGTTGCAATTTCCCTTTCCGCATGGGTCATTGGCACGATTCGGTACCTCTTTGTCTTTTTAGGTTCCATTCAAGCGTCCAGGGTTCTTTTTGAGAACCTGGCATTCGCGATCCTCCGTGCACCACTCCGCTTTTTGGATACTGTGCCCCAAGGGCGCATTCTTAATCGATTCACTGCCGATTTCAACATGCTGGACTCACGAATTTCCATGGATCTGGCTTTTATGCTGCACAACTTTATGTTTGTTCTCTCAATCATCATCGCAGGCCTCCTCGTTTCCGGTTTCATGATATTCTTCGTCCTCGCGCTCATCCTAGTTTGCGCTTACTACGCTTCCCGCTATCTAGCAGGTGCAAGGGAAGTGAAGCGACTGGAAAGCAATGCCAAATCACCAGTGTTTGAGCAATTTGGTTCTGTGCTCATGGGCATCGGGACGATTCGTGCTTTCGACAAATCACAGGACTATCTCGAGAGAATGTACAAGAAAATCGATACTCATTGTCGAGCATATTGGCATCTCTGGCTTTTTAATCGCTGGATGGGGTGGCGTTTGAACATGTTAGGTGCCTTCTTTGTAACGATTACTGCGGCTTTGATTGTGAGCATTACGAGTATCGACTCTTCACTCGCAGGATTTGCCCTGAGTTTTTCGCTCGGCATGTCAGAAGGTGTTATTTGGTTTCTCCGGCAGTATTCGAATGTTGAGTTGGACATGAATGCAACAGAACGAATTGTTGAATACAGTAACATTACAATCGAAGACCAAGGTGGCCACGATGCACCCGCCGCGTGGCCAACAGAAGGGAAACTTGAAGTGGAGGACTTAGTTGTCGGATATGCGCCAGACCTTCCACCTGTGCTCAAAGGATTGACGTTCAGCGTGGCACGGAATCAACGTATCGGCGTTGTGGGACGTACAGGAGCAGGTAAATCCTCGCTGACACTGTCACTTTTCCGCTTCCTGGAAGCCCGCTCGGGAAGCATTCTGATTGATGGAGTGGACATCTCTAAGATCAAGCTTTACGACCTTCGATCTCGACTGGCCATCATTCCTCAAGATCCCGTCCTTTTCTCAGGCACCGTCCGAAGCAATCTAGATGCATTTGACGAGCACACAGACTCCGAACTCCGCGAAGCTCTCGCGCGGGTGCACCTCATCTCCTCCACAACCACCTCGTCCGTTCATGCCAGTGGACAGGCAACACCCACCATCAACGGCGACGACCGCACACCAAAACACACGAACACCAACGTCTTCAAGTCGCTCAGCTCCCGCATTTCCGAAGGCGGGCTCAACCTCTCGCAAGGCCAACGCCAACTCCTCTGCCTCGCACGCGCGATCGTGTCACGGCCCAAGATCATGGTCCTGGATGAAGCCACCTCGGCCGTAGACATGGAGACTGACGCGCTCATCCAGCGCTCCATCCGCGAGGAATTCACCAATTCGACGCTGATTGTGATTGCGCATCGACTCAGCACCATCGCTGACTTCGACCGCATTCTTGTTCTTGGCGAGGGCAAGGTCGTTGAGTTCGACACGCCGTCTGATTTGATGAAACGCGAAAATGGTGTGTTTAGGGACATGGTTGAGAAGAGTGGTGAGCGCTCGGAGTTGGAGAAGATCATTCATGGGATGGAGGGTGGTGAGGCGTCGGCTGCGTAATGGTAGTGGTACTAGTACCAGATAACCGAGAGATAGAGAGGGAAGAGCGTTGATCAGAGGGAAAGTGGAAATAGGAGCAAAAGTGAGAGCGAGAAGGGAAAAAAGCGATCTCTGATGCCAAATGTGTGCAAATGTGCAGCGCTTCAGGAGTTTGATCGAACACGGCCATCCCAATATTGGATGTTAAATTGGATAAAGTGTTAAATGGTTGGTAATGATTGAGTAGACGAATATATAAAATGCATTTCGTTTCTCCAACCTAGGAGACTGATATGCTTGACTGACTAGTCTAGTTACGAATTTCGAACCAAAGCTCTCGTGGGTAGGGGCACCTGTGCCGCCTCACCTGGCCTCCGGGGTGAAGATATGATGGATGCGAAATGTGTTGTAGCGCGAGGCAAGGCAAGGCAGGGGAGAGGGAAGGGGAGAGGGAGGTGAACAGGGAGAAGTACTGTCAAATAATGGAGATTGCTACAAGATCTTTTATCCTTTGGACTTTTGTAGCTCTCTCTGTTTGCTTGGTGCGGAAATCGACAAGCATAAGGTGAGCAACTCCTTCTGGATATCTAGCTGAAATGTGTTTCTGGGTTTCTTCTCCGCCCGCAACTGCTGGGGTTCCATTCTGCTTTTATACTCGTTTGAGCTTTCTTTATGTGGGATCCGGCTTATAGCTTTTTACGTCACCAATCACAAGTCCAAGGATTGGCTCAATTTGTCTCTCGTATCGCCGCACTCTGATAGTCCGTGACAATCTGCCATACAGTGCTTTCGGTCAACATGGCAGTCGCGCTATGTGTTGAATGTGGCCTGGGTTTGGTTCGGTGGGGAATGGGTTCCCAAGCCCTAGATGAACCTGGGCAGGATATATGTCCCTTGACTTGACTCGTGTGACTCAACGATAATATAGGTATGGTGCGTATTGTTCTGGACAGCCTAGGCTGGTCGGACTGGAGAAGTTGCATAGCTCCCATTCAGTTGGGGACGTCCATCGAGGAATATTCGACTAGCCAAGCCTCTTGTGGTCCCCCGTCCACCCATGAGCCAGTGGGATTTCGCCTGGGCGCTTCGGGAGACTTCAATGACTGCAGGCGTGAGTCTTATCACTGGTTGAATGTATACCCATTGCGTAAATGCTATGTTGAGTCATGATTCTCCATGCATTCAGAATTCAAGCACGATGCTTGATTACTCGGCTTTCTAGAATAGCCGAGTTACCATCATTGTCATAACTCTGTCTTGCTTGTCAATGGGTCCTGCCTTTTGGCGTGGTGAACGGCCGGCTTCTCGAAGAAACCATCCAGTTCCATGTATTCTGCGGCGAATACAGCAGTAAGAAGGGCCCAATCCTCGACGGTGGGGATATCAAGATGCTCTGCATCATCAGTGATTTTATGCCAAACAGATGGAAAGCGGGAAGGAATCAGGTGCAAGACTTGGACACCACGAGCGATAAAAGGTATGTGGTCATCCTGCATGACGTAGCTGGCGAATTTGTCGGTGTCCTTCTTATCCTTGTCAGGTAGCCAAACGTGCTTCGGATTGCTCTTGAACTTGCCCAATTGTCTCAGCCGATGCTCGGCCTCCGCCATCTTGACGTATGACCAGTGTGAACTATGTTGCCAAGAGGGAATGGGCAGATTTTCAGGCGAGCCAAGTAAATCGAGCAAAACAAAAAGTTCAATGGAATCCAGAGGGCTTTTGTAGATGCTTGTAGCAGGATGCATGGTATGTTCCCACTCCTCGGCAAGAGACCTGGCTCCGTAAATGCTGTCGGTAGCAGTCCAATCTTTGAAAGCCTCCTCGCCATCCAGGAAGAGGACTTGGATCCCTTTGTCCTCTTCAAAGTCTAGATCTATATCACCCTGAGCCTGCGTGTTCTCCCACTTTTTGGTAAGCGCAGCATCAATGGATCTAATCGCATGCATAATCATTGCGCATGGAGCGGCGGAATCGGTTGCACCAATAAAACCATCAGGAGTGTACTTGGAGTCATAGTGAGCAACCAAGGTCAACCTTCCCACGTTTCCTGGCTGGGACCATGGAGGGTCTCTGGTGGCGACCAAGTTGATGAAGGGCACCTCGGTGTCACCGTGAGTGGGAGTTTTGGAGGTGGAATTTTGGAAGGATACGGACCAGGTGGGAAGAGAGGTGCGGAAAAAGTTGACAAAGTGTTGGAGGACTTTACGGGATCCTTCAGTGCCCGGGACTCGAGGGATGAGAATGGGGGCTAATAGGTTGCCTGTATGAATATCGAAGTCGGCTGTCTCAGGTAATGGTACATTCAGGAGGGTGTCATCGGAGAGAGTGTGGTAGCCATGGACTGGTAGCAGGAGGACTGTGTTGATGATCAGCCAGGATGACACCCGCACCCACCACATGTTGAGGAAGTGATGGAGGAAGTCAAAAGAAGGCCATTGTCAGCGAGTGTTAAGTAGTGAGAACGTTGTTCTCATGCAAGCGCACCCTCTGGTGTCAATATGGCCGCACTCGGCACACCTTCCCCTTTGGGTGTCTTATCGGTTTCACAACGCGTCCTGGGGTACCAGTTGGAGACGCAGTCACTGACTGCACTGGCTTCGTTCTTCTGTTCCTGTGCATCTTGTGTCTGAGGATCTGCCGATCAATCCGTCCCGTCGTTTGACTCTTTTGGCCGAGCTAGATGCGCAGCTTCAACACTGCTCCGCCGGTCTGGTCATGCCTTAGACGGCATGTTGTTTCTCATCACCGGTCCCCATTCACAACCTGGCCCCCACTGCTGAAGAGCAATTCAAAAAAGGCGCCCAGAAATCCCCCCATCCAGGTGGTCCACCACAAATATCAGGAACAGCAGCTCCAGCAGCAGCAGCAACAACAACTCCCTAGGAAAGATGGAGATGGCACCTCAGACAGTAAAGAGTTGGTTCCCCGACCCGATGAGGATACATCCTTGGACACTCCCTCCAAGGTCAAGGTGCCCTTGAGAGTCATTCCCAAAGCTCAGATCACCCCGAATCTGAGGCTCTCTCCAAAAGAAAGAATGCAGATTGAGCAGCTCACAAGAGCACCGCCTCGCCCCTCTGCCCCGCCAGGTACTGTGGAATCCAGATATCTATACCAACGCAGGTGAAAGAGCTGACAGACCTGGACAGTGTACAAACGGAGGTTACGTATATACAGTGCGGGATATCCTCGTATATACTTCACCATCATATCTCGCTTCGCAGCCGTATGCGCTTTGAGCTTCTCCACCGTGTTAATTGCCCCAGCCTATCTCGCTGCTGGGACTCCAGTCTATGTCGTGGGTGGTGGTAAATATCCCCAATGACTTTGACTTGATTCGTCTGGCTGATCTGGATAGCATGGCTTGCAAGTGCTGCCACTTTCGCATATGTGAACTGGAGCTTACGCCCCTTTGTCACCGAAATATTTCTGCAGCTGCCTGAATACGCTCAGCTATCTCCAAAAGCTGCAATGGAATATGCGAAGAAACTCCCCGACCAGGCCATGCTAGACATCAGATTTCTGAGACTCACGGCTATCACTGACGTAGTCTCATTAAGTCTTGCCCACACGAAACCTGCTCGAAGTCTTTTCAGACCAGTTTCGTTCGAATGGATCGATTCCTTCGTTAAAGCTGGCCGATTTATGAAACCAACCCCCACTCAATTCTATGTGCGAACTGAGTCCGCTCCAGGCAAGGCTGCGCGCCATACAACACCAGGGATTTGGAGTCAAGTATATGAACGACTCACAGGCGTCAAACCCGAGGCCAGATCAAGGTGGCAACGATGAGCCAAAGTGACTCGGCAATATTCACCATTAATACCAACTAGTAGAGGAACACTCCTGCACTCACATGATATGTCCGCCAAGTCCTCTCCCTTCACTGCCAGTAAGGTCTGGCAGAACCGGCGTATTCACTGCCATTGTCCTCTGCGGTCAACACCTCGACCTCTCAACCTATGTCCTGCCTCATTATCATTTCAGATCCCGTGACTTTTCCCCGCCACACGCTCCCACAAATTCCTCTCTTACAACTACGTCTTTGGTCTACGACAAGCCTCAAAATTACACATGACCTGCAATCACGTGAAATTCCCTCCGAAGATGGCCGACACCAACTCTTCCAAGTCTGGCCACAGCTTGACCGCCCGTGAGTTAGAAGTTGTCTGTGCAGCCTTGAAGAATATCAAGGGTGGCGGTGAAATTCAAGTATGTGTCCTCTGTCGCTCCTATATTGCCTGGTGCCAATATCAATGAGGCATCTGATCCTTCTTTCTTCTCCCTGCCACGAACAATGACTGATTGTCGACTAGTTTGACTACACGGGCATGGCCTCAACGTTGGGTCTCAAAAATGAAGCATCTGCATGTTCCATGTGGGCCAAGGTCAAGAAGAAGCTCTTCACAGAAGGTGAAAATGTTGGATCCGTTCCCAAGTCCACAAAGAAGAATACCAAAACTGCAGTCTCGGCCAACGAGGGTGCTGCCAATGGCGTTGAGACTCCCAACGCCGGCGCTGGCGATGCCTCTGATGAAGGTCAGCTTCTCCTCCAGACCCGGTCCCCCCTTGGCCTGAGCATCCACATGGCCTATTCGCTTCATCAAGCGTGAGTCTCGTATCTCGACGAGTACTAACCTGAGTTACAAAACTATAGTCGCTACACCCGTCACTCCCGCCGCCGGAACCCCTAAGAAGCGAGGTCGCAAGTCCAATGCTGAGAATGCAGCAGCAGCTATGGTTGCGATTGGAGCTAAGAGTGCGGGTGCGGGTGCAACGGCAAATGATCAAGATGCCTCTCCCACAAAGAAAGCTCGCAAGACTCCTGCCAAAAAGTCGGCTGTCGCACCTGCTCCTGATGCTCCCGCTGATATGAACGCTGATGCGGGCACGATCGAAGCCACCATCACTGAGTCGAATGGCACAGACCTCGAGGCTTAGGCTGAAGGCTTATTGCTCCTGTTCACGCAGTCTCATCTTGGCACAAGGTAATTTGAGATCTGTCCATCCCTCATCTTTTCCAAACAATCTATTCTAACCTTGCGCCTGCAGCTCCACCTCTTGATAGGGAGCCCTGGATATGGAATCTTGGACTCGGAGGAGGGAGATATTAGCGATCATGAATGACAAAGGATGAAACACGAGCTGGCACAGACTGCAGTATGCATGCATAGTATGAGCAGTACATGAAAGCAGTACAAGCAAGCTTTCTTCTTAGGAGCTCGCAGTAGGATTGAGAATTCAGATACTCCCATTCCTCCTTCAACTGGACCGCACACTCCTCCTTTCCGTCTCATTGACCGTGACCGTGGCCGTGACTGGTTCGCACATATCATTTTCACCTGTAGGTCTCACTCTTCCCCCCCCCCTATTACTCTCACTCTCAGTTCTCTTTTTCAATTTCACTTCATGCCATGTTCAGATCACCTCTGTCAGCCCCGGCCACGGCCACGACAGGTCCCTTCGTTTTCTTCTGGTGGCCGCTTTTCCCACGGGCTCTCGCTCGGACCGCAGACGCAGCCGGTGATGTCCAGGATTTGCAGTCTGTCGTCGAACCCGTACAGGCTATCATATTGATTTTGACGTCCTGTTTTTCAACTGCGAACGCGACACGCTGGACACATATGACGGAGGAAGCGAAACAGCAGCTGGCAGGTGAGTCAAGCGTTTTATATTGGTAGATACGAAGCTGCGGCAGGAAAGAAATATTATAGCTTGCTGACACCGAGACGTGGTTCGCGCCTTGCTGAAACTCTACTGTACCCGTACTTTCTGCTTCGCTCGCGCCACGCGGTCCCAGACTCAAATTCCATTCTTACCCCATCAACCAGCCGAAATACATGACGAAAAATATATAATATAACGGAAAGAAACTTCAAAAGCTTGCTCGCTGGCCCAAGCTGCTGCCAGTCAACCCGCACATGATGCTAGAAGATGTGCCCACTTCACAGTGCCTCGATACACTTGACCAAAGCATCTAGACTCCTGGCGTCGACTGTCTTCTCCTCGTTGTCGTTGTTGTCCTCCCTCAGGATCCAGGCCATGTCACTCAGGATCCCCAATGGCACCTCTAGCACCTTTTCTCCGTTGGAATCCACACCATTACCAGCTGCTGCTGCGCTGTTCTTAAGCTTGCGCGTGATCAGACTGGTATGTTCCCACTCGCGCGCTGCCTCTTCTGCGCGGTCCACAATCGTACTTGCAATGCCGCACATGCTTGCGCAATGCATACCGAAACTGCCTTCCGCGACGCCCTCTTCAAGCTTATAGAGGAAGGTCACACGCCGCTGCTTGTCGTCGACCAGGATCTTCATCCTCTTCGCCGAGATCTCCGGATGATGCTTGAACTCCGCGGACAAGGAATGGTAATGCGTGGCGAAGAATCCAAGGCAGCCAATATGTGATGCAAGGTGGTGGAGAACCGCCTGGGCAACGGCGAGACCGTCGTGAGAGGAAGTACCACGGCCTAGTTCATCGAGAATTACGAGAGATCGTGGAGTTGCCTCAGATAGAATCTTCTTCGTCTCAGCCAACTCCACGAAGAATGTGCTCTGTGCCGCAAAGATATGATCTTGGGCTCCGAGACGGGACATGATACGATCAAAAGGCGTGAGTCGTGCATACTGGCAGGGCAAGTAGCAACCAATTTGGGCCATGATCACGGCTATGCATGTCATGCGCAGGACAGTTGACTTTCCTGCTGCGTTGGCACCGGTCAGAAGAGTGAGGTTTCTGGTTTGACCACCGAGAATGACATCGTTGGGGATGAAATCGTCAACGTTGGCAAGTAGGCAGGGATGCCGCAACTCCACCAACTCAAGCGTCGATCTCTCGTCATCCACAAACTCTGGACGACAGCTTGGATAGCCGAGACTGGCACTTGCTTTAGCAAGGGAGATAAGACAATCAAGCTGAGCAATAATCTTGACGGCCGCAAGCCAGATCTCGTAGTTTTCGTCAAATCGGGCGTAGAATCTACCTGCAACCTCCTTGACAATCTGCGAATGTCTTTCTTGGGCCTCTTGCAGCCGGCGAACAAGCTGCCTCAGCTCTGGGAAATAATATCTTTTGACCTGCTTGGTGGCTGACATCTGGTCCCAGTTCTTGGGGATACCCTTGACTTTGGCCGGGACTTCAAGCTGCATGATCTCTTTGCCATTGTCGCGGTAACAGATGGCATTGGAGCCTAGCGCTTTTCTTTGAGTGCGAAGCAAGATCTCAAATTCGTCTTCGATTTCCTTGATTGCGTCGTGAGAATTGTCAAAATCCTCTTCAATGCCGCGTTCAGGAACGAGAACGCCAGTTTCTTTTGCTTTGCTACGCTCAAACGCATCGGTCCAGTATTTGAGGCGGGACTCGAGATCAGGCATAGCAGTGATAAGTTGGCCGATCACGCCTTCGGAACCCGCTGCTTTCCCAGAACCGTCTCGAAGCAGTGACATAGTGTAATCGATTTGTTCAAACCCCTCCAAGACCTTGACGAAGTCCTGGACGTTACAAGTACCCGCATGAACACGGGATATGAGACGCTCAAGATCAGGCATTTTTGCCATCTGTGAGGTGAACTTGTCTCGTACCTTTGTGTCTGCATTGAGTGAATCCACAGCATCGAGGCGAGCATTGATCTTTTTCGTGTCCATCAATGGGTGACAGACCCATTGCTTAAACATGCGTTTGCCAAACGGTGTTATGCAACGGTTGAGCAGTTGGAATAGCGTGCCTTCACCACCACCGTCGTATGAGTTGGCAAATATCTCAAGATTGATCAAGGTCTGTCCATCAAGGACCAGACTAGAAGCTTTCCGAATAGGATCATACCACGTGAAGTTGCTCAAAGTCACAAGATCACGCTCAATCTTGAGTGTTCTGAGGTACTGAATGAGGGCTCCTAACGCTGACATGAGCAAATCTTTGTCTTTGCCCTGCTCAAGAGCTCGAGGCCAGGCATCAGGAAAATATTCACTGGCCTCAATCTCCTTCAACGTGATGTGACCTTCCCAGAATTCTTTACCTGGCTTCAGATAGTTCCAGATCGTTGTCAGGCCCGTATTGTTCTTCAAAATCCGGAGTGTCTTTGCTGTAACTCCACCCTTCTCCAAAATGATCTCTTGTGGCCTCGTTTGAGCGATGAAGGTCTCGAACTTGGTCATGTCTGGATCATCTATGAATTGAGAGATGTTGAATTGACCAGTGGCAGTGTCAACAAATGCTATTCCGAAAGCTGGAAGGTCATTAATCTCTGACTCTTTGATTGCAACACAGTAGGTTGACATATCGTCTTGTAGCATGGATCCATCAACCAAAGTTCCCGCCGTCAAAACGCAGGCAAGCTCTCTTTTGATGACCTTGTCGTCTTTGGTCTTTTTGGTAGACGCGCCATTGGATTGTTCATCACGTTCACGCATGTTCTTGCCCAGTGCTGTCTCCTGCTGGTCAACCCTGGCAATTTTGTATCCTTTGGCGACAAACTGGTTTGCCCACAACCCTAGGCTTGATTCAGGAACGCCAACCATACGCATGTTGACACGGTCTGTCAACTTCAAATCAAACAGCTGATGGCCAATTGTTGCATCTTTTTCATACAGTTCGTAGAACTTTCCCTTTTTGAAGAAAACGATTGTGTCCCAGAACTTTTGTTTGATTTCCCAGTACTGCTTCTCAAACGGTGAGAAGTGCGTCCAAGCCATGGGCGGGATATAAAGAGTTCGGGGGTCATAATCCGGATGACTTGGTGGATTGCGGTCAAGATCCCTGACATCTTCAAGCCATGCATGTCTTTTCTCCGGCTCGGTCATATGTGCCTTTTGCTTTTTTCCCGTGTCAAATCCAGGCTTTTTGGAGGGGATATTAGTGGAACGTGGTTGCAGAGGCTGGGCATTGTCTGGGTCATATGTCCATTGTTGAGCAGTTGATGCTTCGCGTCCTTCCGGATCCATCTCGACTTCGTCTACCAATGAAGTAAAATGGGAAGAAGTGGTTCGCGAGACAGGTTTGGATGGTCGCTTTCGTTTTGTCGGTCGCACATCATCCTCCGAATCATCAGGGGCGATGAAGTCTTCGAGATCTGAATGGGTTAGTCTCGTGAATCCCTTCAAGCATATACGAGTGTGTTTACCATCGTCCAGGTCGAGCTCATTCTCTTGTTCGTAAGTGCCCTCGTCCTCGTCGTTCGATAGCTTTCTTCTTTTTACAGACCGGCCGCGTGGTGCAGGAGTGGGTTTGAAGACATCATCATCATCAGTCCCTTCACTATCGGACTCAATGTAACTGATGATTTTTTTCTTTGCCTGCATTCAAATCAGGAACGGCACTTTTGAGAGAAAGTTGAACTGACCTTTCTAGTAGGGGTCCCCCTGGCATTCAGTTCTTCAACACCATTAGTCTGCCGTCCGTCAGCTGAGACTGGTGAAGGCAGACCTTTGGCAGGTGATATGGGACTCGCCTTGTCATTGCCATTATTTAAATCCGGTTCTGCAGCGTCACTGCTTGGAACAGGAGTCAATGATGAGCCTGACGCGGACTCGACCCTTTTGAAGAATGAATTCGAAGGCGTCGTAGTGCCGTTAATAGGCCTTGCAGGTAGAGAGGCTGGAGATGCGGTAGAAGGAGTTTTCTGAAAGAATCCAAATAGAGTCTTCTGTCCACCCGTAGACGAGGACTTCTTCAACGCCGGGGTAGTTGATGGTGTCGTAGAAGCTCTTTTGCCCATGGTGATGACACGAAACCCTTCCAATCAGCCTCACAACGGGATTGCAGTGCTACTCAACGAGGCTCTACAACAGGTAGATCAAGTCGCGGTAAGTGTGCATAGAGGTGCCAGGAGGTCAAAAGTTGGGGAAGCCCAAAAGCGATGCACCCGCGTTGAGGGGCGTACTTGTCCCGAATGCTAGCGCGTTCTACGCGTAGATTGACGCAGCCTCGCGACGAGGCCCACTCGGTTCCAACAGCCTTCAAATGGGTTCCGGGTGGTGCAAATGGTAGGTCCTATTGGATGAAAACAAAGTCTCCTGCGATACTATGCATTGTGCTCTTTGATTACTTGCGAATCCGGGAAGTCAGCATAGATCGCTACTTGCTCTTCTCTTGGAGTATCTGGACAAGTCTTGTTGCTTTGAAGAAGTGAATGGAAATAGTGTACACTCTATCTATGGTACATTGTTGTATAGAATGCAGACTGCCACCTGCGAACCCACCAATACTTGAAGCACAGTGTTGGGTGAGCATCACCATCATGGCCGTGCCCAAGCAATCTGCAATTGCAAGGCTGGCAGTCACGTTCTCGGTCACTGGTGCCGAGTGCTTATTTAGCTTGACTTGGGTGCATCCTCCACCTTCTGATCCCATCCAGGGCAGGTCTGCCCAGATTGAGCGAACTCCGTATCGGACACGATGTTGATGATTTTCATCTTCCATTTTCCAACTCGTAGGATCAGGAGCTTCTCATCGATGATGTATCTCTCAAGTAAATCCCAACTGGCACTTTTAGCGGGCGTAAAGCTGAGTGCGTCGTCCATTCCTCCTTTTGCATCCGCATTCGCCCCGATATACAAACCTGCAGCACTGATGAGTCGCTGCGCTTCCGATTTTGAAGAGGTGAGCCCAGCAGACCAGCAGATTCGACTCAAAGGTTGCCCAATGACTAGGCTTCTCGGCAACTGGATATGCGGTGTCCCTGTAGTCTCTCTAGACAACGGTTGGGCGTGTTTGTTGACTTGGGGATTTATAAATCCTGCTTTCCCATTTCCTTTCGAACTTTCTTTCTTTTGAGTGTCGACAGTCTGCAAGATGCCGTTGACACTGACCGCCTTTCCGTACAACCCTCGATGCTCGGCCTCAGCTTTGTCTGCAGCTCCCAAGCCGTGGATTAGTTCTACAATCTCTTTGGCCAGTTTGTGGTGTGGAATTCGTTTTGAGGCATCCTGCTCATGTTGCTCCATCAGGCCTTTTATCTCTTCCAACGGGACAAAAGTCAGAAGTCGTAGGAATTTTTCGACATCGGCATCTGCAGAACGCAGGAGAAACTAGAAGACTTAGTTCGGGGAACGCTACTATGTGCGGAAACGGCAAGCTTACCTGGTAGAGCTCAAATGGACTAGTCATGCTCTCGTCGAGCCAGACAGCATTCCCAGCACTTTTGCCGAATTTTTCACCGGATACAGTGGTCAACAGAGGAACGGTGAATCCGAAGGGGTCGTTCGTTGTCCGTATCCTACTCTTCCTTTCTGTCGCCGCTAAATCTCTGAGTGCCGTCTGGTAGGGATGGTCTTCTTTGGCGATGGATTTGATGAGCTCGGTCCCTGTGAGAATGTTTCCAAACTGGTCTGCACCACCGATTTGTAGTTGAACTCCCTGTTGGAAAAGATGCCACCAGTCATAGGCTTGGACCAGAGGATAGCTGAACTCCGAGAATGACATGCCATCACCGTCGAGTCTATTCTTGACGCTTGATATAAGGTAAGCACACAATGTGACAGCAGACGAACCGGAGATGTTAGATACTTACGTGTCTCTACCTAGCATCGGACCTAAACGAACGTGCCTCCCAAGGACAAAAAGGAAATCTCTCGCAGTTGTCTTGCTCCACCAGGCCGCGTTATTAGTTAGTGCTTTCCTCCAAGCCCACTCTCTCAAATAGCCTCGGCGCTCTGCATACTTTTCGACTGAAGCCATGAATCTTTTGAGCTGGTTGTGCAAAGAAGCCATATTCGTCTTTCGGAGCCCGGGTGATTGCTCTGCCCTGCCAGTAAGACGCCCAGTGGGGTCTCCGATGGACGCAGTAAAGCCTCCAAGCTATTTCATAACAGTATTTGTCAGTGAGCTTTCGGCTGATGTGTTCTATGGGCTCACCAGGTAATGAACACTGTAGCCATGGATGTAAAAGAAGGCCAACGCCATGAACGGTATCAAATGGCCAAGATGCATAGACGGAGCAGTCGGGTCTATACCAGCATAGACCCCAATGCGCCGCATGGTCAGGAGGTTTTCTAGGTCGTCACGAGGCCTGATTATTTTTCAGCCTGGGAACAAAGTATTCTGGACCCGAAGTGAAAACGCACCCAACGATCTGATTGATATACCCCCTCTCTTCAAGGCGGCTAAGCATAGATGGTGCCTGACCACTGCTTATGAGGTCTGATCTCTCGCGCCATTCCTCCTGGCTCCTCTTGATCTTTTCGACATGGACGCGAGTTATGCTGCGTGTTGTTTGCTGCGGAGAGGATCGCGAGCTGGACGGTAGTTGGGGTCGGGCATGGCGACAGGTTTGGCATATGTATAAAGAGCGTGGCGCTGCTCTGAGAGGTTGTATCCGGACCATGCTATATCATGATCTGCTGATGAAGGGCAAAGTCGGCGTGGGCGGCAGGTTGTGGCTGTAGGCGTGAATCGTGATGCACTAGTATCACATGTCAGCGCAGGCGAGAACCTTGAGTGTCGAGCATCTGCGGAGAATGGCGGTATCCAGAAAAACTTTGAGTCGGGCACAGAAATGCCGACCGAGGATTATCCATGATTCACTGCCGGACAAGTAGGCTATTCCACTGACTCGGTGCAATCACGTGTGCAGCTGGTTGCTTGGCCATGCTTGGTGAATTCTTACATACGTGTACATACTCGTACAGCAAAGCACCTGAGGATGCATTGGTATTCATGTCGATGTTTCACTTGCCAAGTACATACGAGCTAGGTCTGCCCGTGTGGTAATGTCTAAAGTACAGGGCCTGTGTAACGAGGAGGAAAGAATAAGGAGCCCATCACAAGAGGCATTCCCGTATGATGCCTGGTTCGAACAAGCACATGGACAGCTCGCTCAAGCACTCCGCCCTCCGTACCTAGAAAGAGCTAGTCAACTGTAGGCAGTTAGAGTGCCTCTCCCGTGGGCCAATGCCCTCAAACGCGTCCTGCCCTGCGCTTCCCTTCACGTGGCTTGCCTGTCTACTGTAGATGCTGGATTTCTCCCTTCTTGGTTCAAGCTCCGGCGGCCGAATTGCGAATTCAAGATTCCTTGCCATCGATCGCTCTCTCAACTGAGGGCGTGCGTAAGACACGAGCAGCATGCTCTGGAGAGAATCTCTTCCCAGCTACCGATCCACGCGTCTGGTGGATTAGCGGTGGGCTTGGGTTGGTTCCTTGACGGGAGCCAATCCTCTATCCTTGCTCTCCCCCCCTTGATCCTCGCGTTGGGCCATTCGCCTGCCCATGCCCCGACCTTTTTCATTTCCTGGATGCAGCTTCCTGGATCTCGACCAGCAGCGAGTCAATGATTCACGCTTGCTAAGTCGTTTAAGGAACAGCCCCTCTCGCTTCAACCACAACACAATGTCAGCCGTGTGCCAGTTGTAACCTGACCCCGGATGGAGTGACAAGGCGTTGCACTTGGTACTGCTGCCCCAGGTTTTCAACCCGAACGAATGGGTGACCCGAGGCCCTCTCCATCTAATAATACGCATACCGTGAGTCCTCCTTCTCTTGTGTCCACTCTTTTTCAACAGTCAACTTGACCTCTACGCAACCCCAATTCCACCTGTTCTAAACGCATCAGCCTTGCGACGTTGAGCTTTGGCATGCTGTCCTGGGCTGCCCGTTGAACGCCATGACATTTCAGAGTCGCCCTGCTTTACAATGGGTCGCGACTTCTACACAGGCACCTTTGACTACACCACAATCCTCGTGGTCGTTACCACCGCACTCTCCTTCTACAATTCGATAGAGTTAACCATCCTAATCTTCACTACTTTCACCTCTTATCGCGGTCTATATTTCTGGTCGCTTCTAATCTCTACCTCCGGCCTCATACCGTACTGTATTGGCCTCGTGCTGCACTATTTCCGCCTGGGCAACAACCTTGCAGGTCTGATAATCAACAACTATGGCTGGTGCGCCTTCGTTACTGGACAAAGCGTTGTCCTTTACTCGAGACTGGGCATCGTGTTGGGCAGAGGCAATGATCGGATACTCAAATCCGTCAAGTGGATGATCATCATCGATGCAATATTATTCCACGTCACCACAACCGTTCTGGAGTTTGTCGGGAATTTCGCACAACCTGCTTCATCCCGGCCTAGTTACCAAAGAGGATATGTGTACATTGAGAAAATCCAGATGACCGGGTTCTGCGTCCAGGAATTCATCATCTCAGGGCTCTATGTTTGGAAGACACTTGATATCCTAAAGACACAAGATAGTGTCCCTCGATCCGGGTCCACGTCTTCAGACCAGAGTCCCAAAAAACATGTACACCGCGTCATGCTTCAGCTTGTCATCATCAATGTGGTCATCATTGCACTGGATATCTTACTCCTCGTTGTTGAATTTTACGATCTCCACATTGCCGAGATCTCCATAAAGCCATTTGTCTACAGCGTCAAGCTTAAACTCGAATTCGCCGTCTTGAGCAAATTGGTTGAAACGTCTTCAAGTGTCAATCAAAGGACGAGACGAAGTCTCAGTCTCACCGCAGATCGATCCGACCCACATATGGCCACCTTTGATGGCCACCCACCTCTCCCGACCTTACAGAATTCCACGGGCACAGACCTGGACTTCGCAATAGATCCAACCCGTAAATCAGCCAACCTACATCTGCGCACAACACTATCAGCGACGTCCACATCGGCCTCATCTCGACCTCAATGGATGGAAGATCTTGAGAAGTCGGACATATCAACTCACGTGGAGATAGTTGGGAACGACAGCAACGCCGGGAGAAGTGATACTCCCAAGGGACCCTTCTCGCAACAAATGCAGCAGCATGAGATGGTTGAACCTGATCAATATGACCCACCGAACCATAGGAAGCTTAGGAAGGGTTCAGACTTATTGTACGCGGATGCGCTTCTCGCGCTGTCCAAGCGGAACGAGGGCGCTTGATGAAGAACCAGATGAAAACCAACTTCCCCCCTAAAATTGGAGTTTCAGAAACTCCATTTGAAACTAGAGAGATCGCAAACCTCGACTGTACATACATGGCATTCCTTCCAGCAAAGCCAGAGGTGGAATTTCCACCGCCTTTTTCACGACATACACGCCCATTGATATCCCCAACAAAATTGCCACTTCTATCCTCGCAACAACACCCCGATGATTATGAGATACCCACGCTGCCTGCAAGCATAACACACTCGCTATGCTCAAGGCACTCAGATCAACCCCGCGCTTCCCAAGGGGGCGCCCTGTACTCTAACCCGCGATTTTCGTCCCCGCGTGCCAAATGCTTATCGATGAAAATGGACACCGAAGGCGAATACGAGAGAAACTGATGACCTGCCTCCGCCCATCACTCGGCAAAATCACATTGCTTGCTTTGTGTACAAGAGATGAAGGGCTCTCTTTGGGCGCGCGGGCGGGCTGTGTTTGCACATGAACACGTACATTGACGTAGAGGAACGTATGAGCAAAGTCCCTCGAGGCTTCGAACGAAATTGATTCTGCAATCGATCTTTTGGGAGAGGTATCTGCACCTTGATTTGATGCTGTAGCGAGCAGGCTGTAGCCAGCTGTATCGAATCTTCATGCCCAGCGCTATTTGGTCAGAAATACACCTATGTAATGTACCTCTCAACTTAAATAAAATCGAGTTTGATGCAGAACACTCACACCAGCAATTCTTAAGAAAATAACCCGAGACATCTACATAGACAGTGCTTTCCCTCACTGGTGCCGCTACCTCATAAACCTTGCTGCGTTGTCATCGTATACCACTCTTCCGGGATCTCGACGTCCGCGTTCCAGTCCTGGCCAAGCTCCTCGCCGAACAGGAATTGATCCCATTCCAACGTCACTTCTGGCATATCGAGCCCTGCGAACTCAATGTCGTCAGCAATGTCGTTGCCATTGCCATTGCCATTGCCAACGCCATTGATGTGACTTGCGTTAGAGGTAGTGACTTGCTGCTCTGCGCCGCTCATCCAGAGGCTAGCGGCGGTCGAAGACGTTGGCCATTGGCCTTCGAGATAGTCGGGCAGGTCGACTGCTTCGTAGCCTGGAATGGATTCCATCGCCGCGGCTGCGGCTGCCACGCCGCCGTGTCCTCCGTTTGCATTCCCAGTCGAGCTGATCAGCGGCGGCGTCAGCGGCAGATTCTGCGTTGTCGGGTATGCTGGAATCCTGTCCGTTTCGAGGTCGAATGCCTTCACAGTATCGCCCGGGTGAGAGACGATCTGTGGGGATGGGCCGAATTCGAGCGTGATGGTCCCAAAATAGGGCATGATGACAACCCTCCGGCTCGGTCCATCTCTTCCTCCTCCTCCTCCTCCTCCTCCTCCACCACCACCACCTTGATCAAAGTCATCAGTGGGATCGTCGAAGAAAGACCCAAGCTCAACGAGGACTTTGAGGCCCTGCTTGCTAATGAACCCGCCTTGTCTTTGTGAACGGTAGCGGAAAATGTCTTTGGTTTCTTCAATGAGCGCGAGACTCTCACCGACTTCTCCCTGGCCAGGCCAAGCGACGCTTCGCGCGTGCTCCCCGGGACACATAGCCTTTCGCAGGAGTAGACCTACCAGGAGGATACATCCTGTAAGCACGCCCTGGAAGTCGTCGCAGTTGCAGACGTATACGGCCAAGCTTGGGTTGGAGCGCATGAGGTTGAAAATCCGAAGGACACCACGGCATCCCTGGAAGCAGAGGATCCGGTTCTCCTGGTATATATCTATGCCAGCACCGACCTTCTGGTGAGGACTGGGTTTGAGCATGAAAAGCAGATGGAGAAAGGCCTGTGTTTCCCAGTACCACATCTGAGCCATAAGGTGCTCTTGCACGAAGAATGGGTCTATGAGAACTGCCCGTCTATGCGTTTCTATGTCCCACCATCCGCTCGGCATTGCGGCCGCAGCACCAGCAAGTGAGGCTTGTAGCCTCATGGTCTCAGCGTGAAGAGTTGGGTCATCCACTCCTGAGCTTGCAAGCACATTCCGGTCATTGACGCGTCCGGCTATAATGGCAACAATGCGTCGAAGTGCCCGCATCTTGATGTCCACATTAGGTGATTCAGGCCCTGTATCATCTCCCTGTAAGCCTGCCTCATCTTTCAAGACAGCTAGAGCTAACTGATCTGTGAAGTTGTCGTCCTCGTAGTACGGAAATCCGAGGACCATGCTCATCAGGCGATCGAGCTCAAGTATTGAACCAAGAAACCGTTGACGGACGACGAGCTGCGTGACGTCCTCCCCGGTTTCTGTGCTTGCGGCGGCTGTTGTTGACCATTCTGCTGCATTTGGCACACCAGGGAAAGTATGACTCGGCCGTAGCCTTCTGTGTGGGTCGGCGAATCCCATCCTTTTGGCTGCGTTGATGGCCGTCCTAAGCACCACGAATGATTTGTGCACTTGATTGCTTTCGGCATACATCTTGCACCGCGCCATTAGTAGTAACAGGATGGATGGATCGGTTATATACGAAGGATTTGAGCTAGGAGAGAGCATGACAGAGTCTACTGCCAAAACGATGCGATCCATCACTTCCACCGCTGGGCTGGAGAGATGTAGTCCGGTGTCGTCAATGCCAGGTCGAAGCACCTGGAGGGACATGGCTATGCCGAGCAAACCTGTTGCAATTGCAATAGCGTTGTCCTTCTGGGCCAGCTTTGAGCGCACAAAATCTTGCAAGGAGATTGGAATGGGCTTCCTCTTCGTACCACCAACAACATTGTTGTCAAGTGCAAGGGCTGTATTGACAGGCGGCGGGAAATAATCAGCATTGAGGAATACTTCATGGAGTGCGAAGGCTTGGTCACGCCATGATATCCACCAATGGGTCGAAATATCGAGAACTTCCATGATATATGGCTCCGAGGCGATGGTAGAAGCCAACTTGTCTGCATCCGTGGCCGAGACATGGTCCGAAAACGTGAGGATTTGCAACTTGGAGCTGACTGTATCTGGATCAATTAAAGTTTGGCTTAACTGATCACATGTAAGCGCAGGCCAACGGCTAGCTAGAAATAAAATACCATGCTATTGTTGAAGACTTGAGACAGGACGGGACTCGTGGCCTTTACGTTCATCTCCTGTTCGAAAGCACTTTGGAGTGGTGTCTGAGTCCTGATTTGATGAACTGATGGCTTAGGAGGATGTACCTCCTGATGGCTCTGTTCATGAGTCTCGTAATTATGTAACACGCCGTTCATTGCGGCTACAAAATCGTAAGCTCCGATTCGCTCAAAGGAGTCCATCAGCGAAATCTCCGGCTGTCCTGAACGCCTTGTTCTAGCCCTGGATGCTTCTGCGAGCCTCTCGGCAACAGAATCCATTCTACTGACATGGATCTTCAGAACTCGAGGACGATTAGCAAGCCCTTTCCGATATTCAAGCTCGGCGCTGTTGCTGTCGGGAGAGTCAGGTTGAGGATCGGCCACGCCAGATTTGAGGCGTCTGCGTTTGTAAATCCTTCTCTGCGGAGAATAAAGCGGATCAGCAGACTTGGGATCGCGGCTCAAATTATCCACAATGCCCTGGACCTCACAGATACGAGCGTGAGTGGCACATTCAATGCATTTCGTTGTCGATGCAATGGAACCAGTAGGCTCGGCCGCATCCGGTTGGAATATTTGTGTGCTCTCAGATTCAGGCTCTGGCGAAGATGGATAGTTACATTTGACTTTTCGGCGGCGGCCTTTAGCAACGTTGTTGTCAGCGGAGCCTGATATCAACCAAGATGAAACCCATCATATCCTGATCCCTCTCACACAGGTGAAGGAAAATGAGGGATGAGTTCAACAACAATGCAAAGAGGGTGTAAGAAGACATATATTGTGTCTCGCTCTTCGTTTGGACTGCATCACGTCCAACTCGCGGAGATATCAAGTAACTGGACCTACATTCTCGACACGACTTGGTCCCTTTCCGCATCTGTCTCAACTGAATATGGGCCTTTTGACTAGACCCGAGACTGCCATGACGCTTAGGATCGTGTGATGATGAGGCTGTCAAGGGCAGTGCGTGTGTTGATACCATTGTGGCTGCCATGCTGCCTGGACGTGCCTGCCTGCCAAAGCAAATGCTTGCAAGTCATCGGATGTGAGCATGAAAGACTCAAAGGACAAGTCGTCGCTGATAGGTTGTGGTGCCACTGGGTGTTCCAAGCCAGGATTCCAGTAGAAACGTAGAATTCCACCGGATAACGAGGCGTTGCTCCCAAACGATCAAATGTAAACGCAGAGAAGGTTGAAGACCAAAAGATGATCGAGTAGTTGAAAGCAGACATACTGGGGTACAGGCTTACTTAATACCTCGAGGTTGCAACCCAACCCAGTATTAATTACATCGTTACGATTACAAGTTAGTGTCGGATATGTAACTCGGCTTCAGGCAGGCACGCCTGGGTGGCGCGTGAAGTTTCGAGGGACTAGCGCCTTCTTTCCTGTCCCAAAATCTCGGCCGAAACGGACATCGACCACCTAAAGCCTTGCTTGAGATTTACCCAGTCCTGGTCCCCCAGCTTTGGTGCCCCAGCACGAGGTCGCCTCCGTCATCATCATCATTATTGGAGGGACCTGGCCTGCTTTCCAATCATGCCTAAACACTCAGCACAACGCCTAGGGACGAGGAATGTCTGATGCGCATCATTATTGCACCGTTCAAGCCAGATTTCATTTCCAAAATGCTTGACGTGCCAAGACTAATGTTGCGCTAGCGCCTTCCCTTGGTTCACTAGGCGATTGCTGGTAGAAATCTTTCCAAGTCTCCCCAAACCTCGCGTCGGGCATTGGTAGCTGTTCCTTTGTTCTGCAATTTACTTGATTGCCATTTCTTCTAAGTTCGGTCTCCTGGAGACATCCCGCATCCTAAAATGTCTGATACAAATTCTCGCAAGCGATCGAGATCAATCGACAGACCAGGATCTGATAGCGAGTCTTCCGATGATGATGATTTCGGCCCAGCCTTGCCTTCTTCAGTGCCGCCTAAAAAGAAGCGCAAGTTGCCGTATGAGTCCTTGTATGTTGATGCTTTGCCTAAAGGGCTGAGATACTCAAGGTCATTGATGCACAAGGATCAGCTGTCTACTGTGACCGTTGCCCCTCCCCCAGCCGACTTCATCATCACAACTTCTGTTGATGGAGTTGTCAAATTCTGGAAGAAGGTAGCCGTTGGAATCGAGTTTGCCAAGGAGTACCGAGCACATGAAAGTCGAGTAGTAAGCTCAAGCGTGAGCACGGACGGTGGCCTTTTCGCTACAGCAGGCGACAACGACGACAATACTATCAAGATCTTTGATGTAATCACCTTCGACCTTTTATCCATTCTCAATCTTGAGCAACCAGCATCTTGTATCTGCTGGGTGCACCGAAGGGGTGCAGTACCTATACTAGCAGCTGGAGTAGGAAAGGCGATACACCTGTACGACGGTCGAGGCAATTCACAAACTCCGATCCACGTGATCCCTGCTCTTCATCGTGCACCACTCGTGGCTATGGCTTATAATCCTAGCTTCGATTGTGCTATATCGGCTGATTCAACTGGTATGATCGAATACTGGCAACCACGAGACAACTACGAAAAGCCGGACAATGTCTTCAAATTGAAGTCAACTACAAACCTCTTTGACTTCAAGAAGGCCAAGTCGGCCCCGTCAAACATTACTGTATCACCTTCAGGCCACCAATTCGCAACTATTTCTTTTCCCGATAGGAAGGTACGCGTGTTTGACTTTGCTTCTGGCAAGTTATATCGCTCTTATGACGAGTCCATCGAAACAATTACTGCGATGCAACAGGCTGGTACCGCGCTTCAAAAGTTGGAGGAAGTGGAATTTGGGCGCAGGTTGGCAGTTGAGCGTGATCTCGACAATGCAGCTGTCCGGTCCAGAATCAACGTTGCCTTTGACGAGTCGGGCTATTTTATTGCGTACGGATCTCTACTCGGTGTGAAGGTCATCAACACTTTGACAAATCGCGTATTGAAAGCATATGGGAAAGATGAGCCTTTTCGCGCATTGAACGTGGCTATTTACCAAGGTGCGCCGCAGAAAAAGGAGGTGGTGACTATTTCCATGGCTGCAAGCTCCAATCCGCTCCTGAGTGAGGCTGAGGAAAGGGATCCAATGCTATTCGCCACTGGATATGGAAAGGTCCGATTTTATATGTTTACCAACGAAGAGGATATCAGCAAGTCGACACGAGATGTCCAAAACGAGAAGCCTCGAGTGATTGGCGGCAAGAAGAAGGAAGAGAAGCAGGCCCAGATTGGCACATCCGCGGTCCTGCACACCAATTATGGAGACATCCATATTAGGCTTTTCCCAGATAAAGCTCCCAAGGCAGTGGAAAACTTCGTTACACATTCAAGAAATGGATACTACAACAACACGATCTTTCATCGGATCATCCGCAAATTTATGATACAAGGTGGTGATCCACTGGGCGATGGGACTGGTGGTGAGAGTATCTGGGGAAAGGAATTTGAGGACGAGTTCTCGGATTTGAAGCACGATAGGCCTTACACAGTGAGCATGGCAAATGCAGGTCCCGGAACAAATGGGTCCCAGTTTTTCATCACGACTGAAAAGACACCTTGGCTGGACAATAAGCACACCATTTTTGGTCGGGCGTACCAGGGAATGGATGTCATCCATCAGATGGAGAATGCGAAGGTACGGAAAGAAAAGCCCGAGGAGGATATCAAGATAGTCAACATCTCTATAAATTGAAGACTGTTCAACGTCATGTCCACTTTGGTTAGAGCAGTCCTGTTCCCAAGCTGACCGTGCTTGTGGGAAAGGCTGCAGACAACCAGGCGAATGGACTAAGTGAAGTAGAGGTGAATGGTAGATATGGATTGTCCGCCAATTTCTTCCACGAACCCCATCAATCCTCTCTAATTAAAACACCATCTCGCACATACTCATCTTTTCCTCCATCAACTTGTTGGATAGTAATGACATTGTTCAGGTCAAGGTAATAAGAAACTGTCAGGCTTAAGCTCTTTCGGCAAGATGGTGATGCCACCCTATGCTCACCCTGGCTCACGTGAGCCGTGGGTCAGACCTCACAGTAACTCACACGTCGTGGGGGCCGAAGTACCTCGCCCAAAACCTCTATCGAATCGTCGGTTTGCTTTAGTCATGCTCATGTGACTGCCGCAATTCCCAGCAGCATACAACAACTAACTGATCTTCCAAGCCATTTTAGCCCCGGACTACTTGGACAAATAGCAACGGATACCTGTGTGAATCACCCTTTGAGGCAGCAGAGCCTCAGTATGCGCGATGTCTGGTCCTCTTGGTCGAGTTCGAGCCTGCTCTGAATGCAGGCTGCAAAGGTAAGAGCAAAGCATCATCTGCAGTTAGGAGTTGGTTTCGCTGATCAATGGGAGCGTCTAGCTGAAATATGATGCTCGCAAAGATCACAGTAGGCCATGTTCGCGATGTCGTAAGGTAGCTCTTCTGTGTGAGGTGTCGCAACATGAGAAAGAGCTAGAGGAAATGTACGAATGCTGGTCGCCCATAACAAGAGCAAAACTGGCATTCGAGTTAGCAAGGCTGAGTTGGCCCGCGAAAATGCGAGGCTCCAGGAGCAGCTACAAAGCCAGGCCCAGTCGAGAAGTCCTGTGATGCAGACCAAGCTCGTCGGGCTTCTGCGTACTCTGGCTAGAGCGCGGTCGATTCGGGGAAACCGGCCAATCCACAGAACCAGAAAGCGGAAACAATGAACGGATTCCACACGAAACACCCCCCCGAATTGACAATCGCCCAGATCGATCCACGCAACATAGATGCTTGCTTGAAACTGTAAGTCTTTTCAGAGCTCTCACACATGGTCTGATAGCGAAAGATTCTTTGAGCAATATGAACCCTTCATTCCTGGCTTGTTCGATGCTGCAACCAGCCCAGACCAATACTTCGAGCGGCCAGCCTTGCTTTTGTGGTCCATAGTCGCGATCGGAGCTCGCAGGTACGCCGGAGATCCTACATTTTTCGAACGAGTAGTGCGGCGAATTCTGCAAGTCGCCCTGGCACCGCTTTTTGCTTTGACTAACCGACCTCGAGCATTGAGGCGGTATTGATACTATGCCTGTGGCCAGTCCCAGTGAACAGAATGTTCAAGGACTCGTCCCACGCGTTAGCAGGCGTGGCAATGCAGCTTGCGGTGCCGAACGGCCTACACGTCTTTGGTCATGAGCAAGGCTTTGTTGTCCGTCACAACATCGAGAATATCAGCAGTGAAGTAGCTCTGCGATTCCGTCTTTGGACTCATTGTGGCATGATCTTCCAAAAGTGAGAAAACCTGCATGTTGAGGAAAATTTTGCTAATCCTAAGCTGCGCAATTCTGGTTGGAGGCTTCCCCTACTGGACGATTCCTAAATCGAGTAATCTCGATACTAACGAGGCTCTGGACGAAACCCTGCCAGTTCCTTTGCTTTACGGGTATCGCCTACACCAAACACAGATCGATGCCATTCAAGCAATCACTCAAACCATGCAACTGACCCAAAGAGACTGCGGCCCTCCACTAAACTCACTGATTGATCTCTTCGATGTCCAGATACAGGCAGTCGTCCCACTGCAAATTGTTAAAATGAGTGATCTTATGACTCTTGTTCTCTCCGACTAAAGTGAGACCGTTGGTGCTTCACAGAATAAGAATCTCCTGCCTTCAGTCAAGAGGATCGGAATTACCATCTACGATGTTGGGAATATATGCATATTCGCCAAAGCTATTGATTTCGGCATCACAGGGCATGAGCGTGCTGCGACTCTGACTGAGGACCAAAAGTTTATCGATCGTGTCGAGGAGCTCCGAGGGAAGGCGACTCAACCTAGAGGTATGATCCCGGTCGTTGTCGAGGTCGATAAGACAACAGCAGGAACTGCCTCACCAGCCTTCAAAAGCTTTTCGTTCGTGAGAACCTCACCGATTGATGGATGGACATGTGCATGTTCCAAAGACAGTATATGATATCTCTCGGCCCGCCTCGACCAATGGCACCTCCCATGCAAGGGAGGCCGGAGTATTTCAAACGTATAGCAATAAGGTGCATGTCAATGGAACAAGAAACGGAATAAGAGGCTGCATGCTGGCTTCGCGCTCACGATGCATTCGTCTGTACGGCTTTGGCAGAAGCGGGGGTAGATAGTGCGACGAAAGCGATCGAAGGCCAGTTCGGATTAGTCAAGGCCTATAGCCCCAAAGCAGATAAGGACCTTGAGCGCCTCACATCGAATCTGGGTCAGGAGTGGATCTGGTTAACTTCGGCGCTGAAGCCTTTCCCTGCGTACCGGATGACCCATTGTTCTATCGGAATGGCAGGTCAGATGGGCATAGCTGCGGGAAATAACAACAAAGTGAGGAAGATTCGACTGTACATGACGCCTGCAAATCACAGTATGGTTGGGGAGAGGAGCGTAAACAAGCTACATCCTGAGAACATCGTTGACGCTCAGTTCTCAGCATATTACCAGACGGTCATTGCGTGGCTGCATGGCTCTACCACGGGACTCGAGACTTATGATAGGTTAGGTCAGCCCGAACTGAACTCATTCTGCGAAAAGCTCGAATGCGTCATCTATCCTGACAAGAATTTCGGCAAATTTGCTTCAACAATCGAGACCGACTACGAGGATGGGTCGCATGACCCGAGAGACATGGATCGTCCCCTGGTGAGCTTAAGCACCCTTTCAAGCGCGACCAAGTGGAATTGAAGTTTTTCAGCCTCGTCGAGCGGATTTCTGGTGAAAAAAGAGCCACGGAGATCAGGGACGTAATTGATGGCATTCACCATGCTTCGATCGCAAAACTTCTGAGATTGGTTGAGTAACTTGTCGAGTACCTGATATCATGACAAGTGGTTGTCAGTCCAGACTCGGAATCTCATGGCGAAAATCAATAGTTTCAAGCTGGCCTTTCTTAACAAAGCATCTGGTTTTGAGAAGCAATTCAATAGAAAATCCGTATCTGAGAAACATTCATGCCGACGAACTTTTGTTGCCCATTGCTGGTGTTTCTCTAACCGTACTGCTCCTCTCCCTATTGATTGGGTCTTTCGCTTGTCGAGCACTTGATCGATATCGGTTGGGACGTCAAAATCTTCGACTTCAACGATGCCGGCGAAGAACTTCAGACTAGGTTTGGCTACCGAATTTTGGTTGCAACAGAGGACGTTACCGAGTACAAGGACTAAGCAAAATCATTTTAACAGCCTTTCGAACAGTGGAAGTGTCTCGATCTGAGCACGTCCCTCTGTCTACCTTGTCTCGCAGGCTTGTATGTTGGCATGGGCTTGGACCTTAGTTTTTGCAAACGCAGTAAGCGTAGACTGTTCTTTTTCACTACTCATGCTCGCAAGCTCAACGAAAACAGGGTATCGGAGACAGGATCAAATTTTGCCGACCAGTCGAAGAGTCTTCTGCAGGAGCACCGCTAGAGCTCGATATGCTAGTCGTCAAAATCTGCCTCGATGGGGTGACCTTCTCTTCCCACCTTGCCTTGCACTTTTCTTGGAGAAGCCCGTCAAGAATGGGCTGTTCGTTTCAACAGCGGGTCTTGTAGGCCCACAACCTGCAGCACCAGTGCCGGTATACGGTGCCGCAAAACACGGTGAAGTGTAACTAACCTTCAAATGAGATGTTCTTCAGGAGTTCGAGGATGGAAGGTGAGTCGCACGTGAGCTCGTGGCCGAAGGGGGGGGGGGGAAATTACTGTACTCATCTTTTGCTGCCAAGCTGTATCTTGATAGTTCCGAACCGCTTGAACACTGAATAGTCACTGCGAAGGCCGCCTCTCCGCGCCTTTTCCGCTTCTCCGCATTTCAAGCGCCTGTTCAACTTTTTTCCTCCCACCAGCGCCAACTGCGCCTTGATTGCACGCGTCTTGACTCGTGACCAGCTACATGCCTGGGACTCTCTCTCATCAGCTGTCGCCATGGTCAAGTTGAGAGTCGCAGCAAGGGTCATCCCCGAGGATGATTACTTGGCTGATCTCGCGCAGCCATCCCACAAATCTCTTACGAATGAGAAGCGTCTATTGGTCTTGGTCCGCGATCCGTATAAATGGCAGATCGGTACCCTTGCTCTTGAGATCCAAAGGGCCTACAAAAGTTGCTACTCACGGTAAGCCTCGACTTGAGTGGCAGTCTGTAAGATCTGACCCAGACTGCGCAGTGACCTCCCCACCATCAAATACCTCAAGGACAGTGAAGATGATTGCGACCTCGACCCCCAACTCTACGTTTCGGATCTACTGCTCGATGAGGGCAAAGCGGCAAGAGATGGTGGTGACCAACGAGTCACGATAAAAGTCATACTCGAACAGGGAAGAGCGGTACGAGAAGGCTCCGTTGCAGTTGGCGAAACACTATCCGATCCTCGTTTTCAACATCAGCTCCAGAAGACCTCACGACCGCCCGTCCCTAGATTCCCCAATGTTCTTTCTTCACTCGGCAAGCGAAATCAAGACCGAGAGGATACATCAGCGGGTGCTACGAAGAGACCGAGACAATTCGAGCTCCCTCAAACGCTCCGAGAGGAGAGTCTTGTTTCGTCCATCGAGCGAGACCAACCAGGAGTGTCGGCTGATCCAGTCGAAGCTCCAGACTCCTCAACGCGACATGAGGGCAATGGCGATGACTGGCAGCCCCCCGTCCGAAATGTCAAGGCTGAGTCTCCCGAGTATTGGAGAGCATGGCGAGATATACCCGCTGCGAGTATCGACGAGCTTGAGCAATTGCAGGAACAGCCTAGAGGGTTCATACAACGTCGGAGAACTAGCAATCAGGCCAGCAAGACGCAGATAGATCCAGAACTTAATGGTCTACACCCTCGCCCAATCCAGCGTACAAATCAACAACACCTCGAAGACTCTCAAGCCCCTATTACACCTCCCTCGGAGCCTTCTCACCGACATGCAAGCTCCATCATGCGCTCATTACCCCGGACGAAAAGCGCTACCAACTCTTCTCGACTGCAATCATCTGCATCCGCGAGTAAATTCAAGAAGCCGCTACGTAGAGATATCTACGACTTCCCCGAGTCTGATATCGATGACTCCCAAATGTCGCCTAGATCGAAAATGGCAACCCTTCGCCAGCAGAAATCTATTGATCATCTATCTCATATTGAGAACCAGAGATCACCCAACCTTGGAACGGATTCAGCTACCCGCTTCAGTGTCGCTGAAGCGATGAACTTCTTGGACAACGAGTCTGTCTTCGATGACAATGGACTTTCTGGAAATTTATTGCAGCCTAACAGTTCGTTGCTTAACGGGAGCGATCCTCATATTAATGGTCCTCCACGCAGTTTGGTTTATGAGGACGCAGACGACATTGACGAGAACGAGGATGCTAGAAATGGCCATCAATACGACGCCAATGTCAATTTTCTTTCCGACATTGCGGAAGATGAACAAGAAAAGGAGAATAAACCGATCCAGTCGCCCCCCATTGGAATCCTGCAAAACTCATTGAGTGGACACCGTACACCCCCAGTCGTATCTCTCGAGTCTGGACCTCAAGGGCAATCTTCCACCCCAGCCTCTGCAAAGAAAAGAACACGCCTGAGGAGAAACAGAGGCAATAGTACAAATACTGACGGAGACGATCACATGAATTCAGAGGAGGCAGGCTTAGGGAGCGCAATAACCTGGGGTAACAACAAATATATTCGCCGAGAATCAGGAAACGAGCAAGAGACACCAAGCCTTGACAGTCCTGGTGAACAACTGTCCCAATCATTACAAGAGTCTGCTTGCAAAGCATCATCTGCGCAAACCATCAAGGACAACCTTAAGACTCAAATAGGGTTGGCATCCTCACCCCTGACAAAAACCATCCATGACAAGGTCCGCGATAAGAGTGTTTCGAACGAGCCTCAACCATCAACCAAAAATCCCGGAAAAGATAAAGGGAATGGATCAAAGAAGCCAGCGAAACGACAACGAACGGCTAGACGGAGTGAGATTGACATCGAGGCTCCAACTATCAATGTTGAGCGAGTGGCACAAACACTGTTACCATCAGCACCTGCCCCCGAAAACCTTCCCAATTGGGGCTCCACAACAACTGCTGTTGAGAAGGCCAAAGCTCCAGTTAAGGAGCAGAGACAATCCTTGACTGTTGAAGATCATAGTGAATTGAGAAAGAGCCCTTCCATCGCGGTAGGACTCACGGAAGAAGAGATAAAGATCATGAAAAGTCGGGAAGGTATGACGAAGGAGCAATACGCAGCAGACAAGAAGAAAAAGCAGCTCGAAGCCAAGCAGTTCGCTGCAGAACAGAGGAAGAAGAAAGAGGCAACATCGAGGAGAGAAAGCTCAGGAAAAGCCTCTGCTACAAAACCAGAGCTGTCCAAAGTCGAAACACCTGTAGCCGTCGCCTCGTCAAGCAAAGCCAGTATTAGCAGGAAGAGCCCTTCAACGGACGAGGGCCCCGGATCGATCAAAGAGAAGAAGTCATCAGGCGATGCAGCTTCAACTACCGCAAGGTCAACCACCTCAACGAAAAAGTCTCCATCAGCAAAGCCAGGCACGGCAGCAGCCTTTGCTAAGACTCCTTCGAAAACCTCCACCAAAACCCCATCAGTCAAGTCAGCAGCCACAACGACCAAGAAAGCCGCGCCAACAAAGACAGAAAGCAAGAACCTCAACACTCCAGGTGCAAATCGAGCAGCAGAAGCAAAGTCTACATCGAATCCTGAGGCCGAACTCAACCCAACCAGTACTGCGACCAAAGCAAAGAAACCCCCTGTCCCAACAATCCGAGAGGCACAGAATCTCAAGAACCTGCACAAAGCGATCAAGAGCGCCCAGAATTCCATGATATCTGCGTTATCCACGACATCTCGGGCTTCCTCTACGCTGCCTAACCACAAGCGACCGGCTCTCAACTATGCTTCTTCTGACGACGCGGAAAGCAGCAGTAGCAGCGAAGAGGAAGAAAGTGAAACCGAGATGGAGAGGAACAAGAAAGTCCAAGAGCAGAAGAAAAAGGAGAAAGGAGACACCGCTCAGAAGAATTCCAACAGTGCTGCAGAAGCCAAATCCAAGCCAGCGCCAGCAAGGAAGGGACAAGCAGCAGCCGTTCCAGCACCAGCACTCTCCTCCTCCAGCTCCAGCAGCAACTCAGACTCAAGTTCCGAGGACGAGTACGAGCGCAAGCAAACGCAAGCAGCCCGAACGAAAAAGCAAGCTGCCGCCGAGGCGCGAGCGAAATCCGTGTCGCGACCTGCCACCGCGACATCTTCCATCGGGCGGCCGGACCCCAGCATCCGGGACCCCAGCGTTGATCCTTCATCCCTATCTTCGTCTTCGTCGTCTGACGACGACGGTGGCGACGAGGAGCTCTAGAGAAGCGGGGACGAGGACCTGAGAAAAGAAAAAGAAAAGAAATCAAAGGGACTAGAAGAACCGGACGAGACGAAGAAGAGACAGGAGAAGAAGACGAAGGGCAAGAAAAAGAAACCTCCGGGTCTGCACCCTGAGCGCTCCTCCCTTTCCTCGCCCACCAACACCAACACCAATAAGCGAGAAACGCAAAGACAACGACCCTCAAGACCTGCACAGTGGCGGCGGCGCAGTTCTACTGTGCTCGACCAGTCAAAGGGGATTTGGAGCCTGGGCTTTGGGATCTGGAAATGAAAAATGAAAATGAGTTTGGAGACTAGGAGGAAGGGGAGGTTCAACTTGGTCTTACACATCACGTTTTTCTCCTGACACAATTTCCTTTAAAGGCTCTTGGGGCTTGTATTTCCAAGTTTCCTCATAGGCGTCACATGTCTCGCTGAACGAGCGGGGCTTCGGATGGCACACTCAAGACCATTTCGAATTTCATCGAGTTCGCTCACGCAGTTGATTCGAAAGTGGTGGTTTCATTTCTTGTGGATGCTGGAGGTCTGTCTGTGAACAGGAGCTAGCTCTACGGAGAACCCATGTAGTACGTCGATGGCTGGCAGCCATGCAGTGACTGATTGCCGAACGCGACTCTTTTCTTCTCGCCTGTTCTAAAACGAGGAATACAATTCGGTAGTTCGCCTCTCACTGTAACCACCACTCACTGGGCTTTGATAATTCGCGATCGATCGCTCAGTATCTATACATCAGAGTCCATCTTCATCAATCCGTAGGTTGAACAGCCTCAGGCCTAGGCATAGCAGGGACCCAAGTGATACACACGGACCAAAATCATCACACAGGTGCAAGGAGCTTGCCCCGAGTTCTCTGTAGCCCACTCCACCCCCAAACCCCCTGCGCGTATGGAGTCCTGCCCCTCCTCTTTGTCGTTGAAGGTTGGAGGCACGTCCGCGGCTAATGTGGGCATCTGCACATAGGCGCTTGAGGCGTGGGGTCTTGCACCTCTGATTTCGTGGCCATGATAAAAGGCGGGAGGCCCCAAGTGCAGAACATGTTCTCACACTAGCTTTAACATCGTAAGTTGTAAGCCCCAAGGTCAATCCCCCAAAAGTTTGAGCTGAATTCCCTTGGGACATCCAACTTTTATCCAGTCACAAGCATGTGGTTGGACCCTCGACTTCCCAGTTATTTGCTAGGCCTCAGCAGTTCTTCCATGCCGTCGTGTTTTCGTATCCCTTATTTTGTTCATCTTCATTGTCGCTCTTCCTCATAGCATTCTCCCGTTCTCTTCCCCATAAGGAGTGGTGGCGTCGAGAGTCCTCCACTGCCTTTTTCTTTGAAGCCCTCTCTGGAGCTCTCAGGAGCTCTCGGGTTCGATTGTGTTTCCGGCGACGATGTTCGCCCAGCCGATCAATCGCCAATGTTTTTCAATACGTCTACTGAGAGCAATCTTTTCACCGATAGCCGTGCAGGCGGGGTTTGTGAGGGTCAATTTTGCGGCATCGGCCTTGACGCCCATCACCTTCGCGCCTGTTGCCGTGGAACCAATATTGACCATGAGAACCTCGTTCTTTGCGAGTTTGGCGACCTTGGCTTGCTTGCCGTCGGCAGTCTTGACACCCAACAACCGACGAAGAAGGAAGTAATTGACTTCTAGTTCCATATAGATTTCAGGGAGTTTCCCTCTGAGGCCGAGCACATGTCCCACTAGACGATCGGCTCGGCACAGTGTGGGATCGATGCGGGTTCCAACACCGATAAGACCACCGGGGACAGCGAACTTGAGATCGTTATGTTCTGCGTACAGCGAAACTACTCGTGACATAATGGGTTTGCAGATAGTCTGACCTTGTGCGTCCTTGGTGATGATGCCAGGCCGAATCTCGATTTCATCGCCCAACTTCAGCACGCCTGTCAGAATAGAGCCACCAGCAACACCACCTTTCAGGTCTTCGATCTCAGCACCAGGTTTATTGACATCAAATGATCGAATGACAATCATATGGGGAGTATCTTGGAAATTCCGAATGGGCACAGGGATCTTGGTGACGAGATACTCGTTAATGGCGTCGATGTTGTACTTGAGCTGCGCAGAAATAGGGATAATCGGTGATCCATCAGCGACTGTACCCTTGATAAATTTGAGGATCGACTCGAAGTGGGATTGTGCGCCTTCCTCCCGCATGAGATCGACTTTGTTTTGCAGGATAATGATGTGATTCAGCTTCATGATTTCAATGGCTGCCAAGTGCTCGGAAGTCTGTGGTTGCGGACAGCTTTCGTTGCCAGCGATGAGAAGGAGTGCAGCGTCCATGACGGCGGCGCCTGATAACATGGTGCTCATGAGAATATCGTGACCGGGGCAGTCCACAAATGAGACATGACGGAGGAGTCGATATGTCCCTCCACAGCCCTCACGCTCGCAGGGAGGATCAACTTCCTTCTCCGATTTATAGCTCTTGTAGCATGTAGGCCGAGGGCATGCCTCATTGGTACACTTGTAAATTTTTGCGTTGGCATAGCCCAGCTTGATGGTGATATTTCTCTCTAACTCGTTCTTGAATCTGACGGTCTGCACACCAGAAATAGCCTTCACCACAGTGGATTTGCCGTGAGCGACATGCCCGATGGTGCCAATATTGATAGTTGCTTGTCTTGAGATGATCTCAGGTGAAAGTGGAGTAAGAGTAGAGAGATTCAGGTCTTCGGGTTCAGGCTGTTCGGGCAGGACAGGACGAGGAGCCTGTGAATCTGCGATGGCTGCAGAACTCTTCTTTAAGGCGGATTTTGGCGGTTTGCTGGTTTCTTCCACTTCTTCAACGTCGTTCTCTTCTCCAGGAGGGGTTCCTGGCTGAGAAAACTCGTCATCGGACGGCCGGTCACCGTTGGCAGCCATGACTGCGGTTGAATAACTGGGCCGAAGTGGCGGTTGCGAAGGGATTGCGCGAGAAATTATGAAGTGGCCGGAAATGAGGATTCGGACGAGCGAGAATGAAGGTCGAGCTGGATCTGAATATGATGGTGAAAGGGTTGGCCTTGATGGAAAATGCGGAACCAGGTCTTTCTATATCTGTGAGTCTCTTGTAGAAGGTGGTGGAGGGGTTAACTTGTGCCCGTCCACTGTAGGAAATTTACTTCTCTCGCAAGTGCCAAGCACTTGACTCATTGTGGGGGCTTAAAGCGGCAACTTGACTCATCATTTGAGTGAGCACTGGCAGCCTGGTGTATCATCATAGCCTTGCCGTATCTCTCTATCCATCCATTCCTATATATGTAATTTCTAATGGAGCGCAAGGCTGTTGTTGCTGAAGAGAGCCCCTCAACAATTCGTGGTCAATGAGGGGCGAAATTATTTGAATGGAACTCGTCAAGTCGCTGGCTCCCTCCACTAAACTTCGTCATCAAGTTCCTCCCCTCCTCCTTCCACGATCTCATATCCATCGCTACCGTCAAAGTCATCTGATCCTTCCTTTTCATCGTCGTCGTCGTCGTCATCATCGTCGTCGTCATCGTTCTCGTCATCATCCCCGTTGACTGGCTTGAGGCCATAGTCATCCTGGAAATAGTTAAGATCGTGAATCTCAGGGGAAAAGCCTTCCCCTTTGAGCCCGTCCGAGATAGCCTAGGGAGACATCAGTTGGCACACACTACCCGACACTGGGATGGCACTTACCTCCTTCAGCGCTGGTGCACAAGTTACAAGAACATCGGCTTTCCCAGGACTGAATATGTCATATATCATCGTCTCAAGGACATGCCTGATATCTTCTACGGTGATGTCCCTGACCTTTTTGAGTAATTTTTCCATATGATCCTCCGGTAAGCTTTTCATGACACTTCGAATGAAATTTGATACTGCAGCCGATGCCAGTGTCTGTTGCTCGTTAGCGAATGCAACCACTATGCTGCTAATCGCTCCCTCGAGCATCAAAGGATCGAACTCAATCTCCCCCGTAATGTGTCCATTGACTACCCTCCGACTAGCATCGAATGCTTTATATGAATCTGGTGATCGATACACTTCCAAGGTAATGAAGCCTGATTCAATGTCATAGCTTACGCTGGTACCGTAAGCCAAACCTGTGCCTCTGACTGCAACCCATAACGGCCCTTCAACTGCATTAAGGTAAGCCATTGCGACCATCATGGCGGGTGTTCTGGGGTCTTCATATGATGTAGGTCCTCTTGCGATCGCAGTCGCAAAAGAGGAATCAATCGTCGGTAGTGGCACGACATATGCTAGTCTGCCAGGATTCTTGCCTGCATCGCTGAGGCGTTCGATTCGTTTGCCAATAGGTGCCAGTTTCTCGGTTGCCTCCAGATCTTTCATAAAGGGCTCCCAGGAGCTGGCAGGCCTTTCAAGCTTGTCCAAGTCACTAATGACCAAGATCCGAAAATTCTCAAATTTGAACAGAATGTCTCGAAGCTGTTCAAGTTGGCGTACCACCTGATCCGGATCAGCCTCGAAAAGCTGCTTGATGCGCTTCAAATACAAAGCTTTCACCAAAGTGCTCCTGGCACGACCTATCGCTTTTGGAGCGAGATGTGTCATGAGATGCACTGCCGTTAGCATATCGTCGCCACTGCGTTTGGCATCGGGCACATCAGCCATGAGCCTGGTATTGATTGCCTTTAATCTTTCTACATCGAAGACCGACTTGTATAGCAATTCACTCAGCCATCGGATAGCCACATTGTATTTTTCAAGCTCCACTTGAAAGCTTATACGGAGTCCTTCAGCATTGCCTAGATTAATGGCTGAATCGATGGCATAACCAACAGTATCCCTTTCAAGTTCTAGTACCACCTCTTCGAAACTGATGGTATCGTTCCCTCGTTTTACAGGTAAACCAAAAAATGACTCCATGTAAATTGAGAGCAATGGTCGTAACTCGTTTGGAAGGTTTTCTGTTGAGACAATGAGCTCGACACGAGCAAAATTCGAGGGGATGTGCTGAAAGTTCAAGAACAACGCGAGGTCTTTCGCGTCATCGTCAATGGCTTTCTGGTACTTGGATTCGGGTTTCCCTATCTCTAATGCCAATCCTGATCGAGCAGGCGAAGTGCTGACAAAATGGATCGTTTCAGTGGACGGGACCTTGAATTGGCCTAACAATTCTGGCGGGATCTCGCGGTCATTTTCTGCTTTCGCGGCATCGAGCTTTTCCTGCATCTTCTTTAATCCTTCAGGCCCAAGCTTCTCTTTTTGCTCCTCAACCCGCTTAGCTTCGTCGATTTTTAAATTTTCGGAAAGCTGGGCGGATGGCACACCAAGAATTGACACATGGTGAGCGTCTGAGATGTAGAATTTGATGAATTTCTTCCATGAATCCTCAGACCAACTCTCAAGTACGGCGCCATACTGTTTGAGAGACTGGAGTTTCTGTAGTGTTGTTCCATCACGATTTCCAAAGAGATAGTCGGAGATTATGAAGTCGGCGAATGAGGTTGGCGAGGATTCGGCGCTGTATTTGTAGGCTCTGAGTTGCCGGTCTATGCAGTCTTTCATGAATCTCATGTCTAGAGGCTTTTCCATTGCATCCCGCAAGATTTCAAAGAATCTCTTCTCAACCTCTTCAAGTCGTTCAGTTGCGACACTTGACAGAGTAAACGCAATCTCAGTACGTGGGCGGCTGTCGAGAGTATAGTATACCGCAGTTGCTAGTTGTTCCTTTTCTACAAGCGCATTGTCAAGTAGCGCAGCCGAGGATCCAGCGAGATAAAGCAGTGCCACATTGAGGGCTGCCATCGATATCACATCTGCGAAATCCGGTCCCAGGAAACGTATGTCGACCTCACCAAAAGATTCATCCTCCTCCGGAAACTCAACTTTTTCGATAGTGGAGCATTTCAATGGAGGGGCAGTTTTGGACTCGATCCATGGTCTACTGAATGGAGTATCAGGGCTCGGAATATCGCTCAAAATCGATGATTCAAAGCTGTCCATAATGTCCAACAACTCCTCATGATTGACTTCTCCGAAAAGAGTGACACAAAGGTTTTTGGGCTGGTACATGTCATGGTGAAATTGCCGAATTCTGTCAGCGGTGAGAACGCGAAGCTGGTCCATCATGCCACCAGTTTCATAACGGAAACCGACACCCTCAGGATATAGAATCCTTTTCGACCGTAGCTCGATTAATTCAGATGCAGTGTTTTGTACGCCTTGCATTTCTGAGTAAACAACACCAGCATCGTTGCCAGTGCCGTCGATATGATGGACTTCGGTTGTACAGCTAGCATCAGTCAGGGTCGGAAGGATCACATGCTCGAGGTAGACAGGTAAGATCTGAGCAAAGCCTGCCCAACCAGCTGTCTCCAAGGTGTATGCCGTGTGGTCAGTTGCTGTCCACGCATTTGTTCCGGAGTATGCTCTGGTGGCCAATTTGTCCAAGAAACCTTTGTATTTGTAACTCTTTGAGCCCATGAAGCATAGATGTTCCAAAGTATGAGGCGCGCCAGAGTCATCATGAATCTCGGTGGCGAGGACAAAGAAACCGAAAAGTTTGGGGCCTTGCTGATCAACAACCACGATCCTTAATCCCGTCCGTTCAGATTCATATTGAGTGATCTTGCTAGGGCAGTAGTCTGGTTCAATGGTTTGAAGTCGCCGGAAGCGAGGCGGTGCTCTGATTGACACCATCTTCGGGATCAACCGTGCAACTCGGGCAGAATTAAAGAGAGAAGCGATTGGCGCTCGCAAATTGAAAATGAAGGTTTGAAGATAGCCGCCAATCAACTCCCACAGTGGAGCTGCTCACTGTTATATAGAGCCGGGATAATCAGACTCAGCAGGCAAAAACTGATATGGAAACGGCAATGAAGGCCAATCTCATATGTGTATGGATGTCTCTGAATTCTGAATATATGTCTCGCTGCTGCGGGAGAGGAGCTTCAGCCGCAAACGAAAGGGGCCCAGGCAGAAGACAGGCCACGGCCAAAAGAACAACGAGCCTTGCGAACTCGACTACTGACTGCTCGAGATGACGTCCCTTGCAATGAGTTGGTTCTTCCTAGGTTCTGCTTTGACATCCAACGTCTCATTTATAATGAAAGGGCTCAAGGAGGGGATGAGAGTCAACAAAGTAATCCTGCAGAAATCCTGTAAGAATTGGGCGTTGAACGAGGACCACAGTGCAAAAAGATTCCTCCGAGCGGGTGATATTGGCAGGTCTATCATTCCCGATCTGAGCCAACCCCAAGACAGAGGAGTAGCCGAGTCAAAAGGCGAAGCATGGGCCGCGCGTGACCGCACAGCCTGATCCATTTCAGGATTAGCGCTCGGCTGGTCTTGGCATTCACCCAGGCTGGATGGCAAGCCGCATGAATCACCATCAGCCTGTGGGAGCCTGGCTGGCTCAAAGTTGTATTCGTGGGCGCCAGCCTGTGCTGGGGGCACATGATGAGGAATGCAAGGTGTATAGAAGTCTATCAGTCGAACCCGGTGCCAGAAAGAGATTTTGTTCTTACTTTACAACTGCCCTAATATGTATTCCCCGACATCCAGCCGAGGAGGCTGTCTTTCGACGATAACGTTGCAAAACGCTTCTGCTTGACGTTCATGTCGCTAGTCCAACAACTTTTCAAAACCTTGTCTATGCAGATATAAAACTAATGCGAGTTGTTTCAAGGTCTCAAATATACCGCTCATTAATCGCTCAAGTTCTTCCAATTTCCAAGCAATAGATAGCAGAATGCAAAGCGTGAATCGCTATCATGATGATGCACCGGTGTACAACTCTTGTAATCCATTATGCTCTTTTCGGAGAGCCCAGTTCTTTTGCTTTTTGTCTTTCTTCATCTTCATTTCTGCCCAACCCTGCTCGTCATCTTCATCGTCTTGTTGCTGAGTAAGTGGAGATCTCCGCCCAAGGGTATTGACAGAAGGCCTAGCAGCGTGTGATGGGCCTGGCAATCGGGTATTTGTTTGAGACCAAGGCTGATAGCTTGCACTTGTGAAAGTCGAAGCCCGTTTAGTTGAGGGTGGTTCCGGTTCAGGCATAGTCGAGACAGGTCGATAGCGCGATGCGAGACCTATGTTGCTACGTTCCGATGGAGCAATGGAAGGTGCGTAGTTGCCGTTTAGGTTGATTGACGGAAGGAAAGAGGGCGTCGAATTCCAGGGTGCCATACCGGGATTCAAAGTACTCATTGTCCTTTGGCTAACATGAGAAGGAACAACCGGGGGCTGCATCGAATGAGGTCGGGGTCCTTGTCCTCCATATATACTGGGGGCGGCAAGACTTGGTGGCCCCATCTGTGGCTGCCCCCCCGGGCCCATCATTGACTGCATCTGTTGCATCCACTGCATCTGCATCTGCATCATCTGTGTCATCTGTTGAGACATTTGAAGCTGAGCATGGTCCGCTGGAGTCATCATGGGAGGCATCCCCGGCATCCCCGTTGGCGGATAACCCATACCCGGCAGATATCCAGTGGTCTGTGATCTTGCCATTCCCGGGTGAGGTGGCAGCTGTGGCATCTCGTAGTTTCCTGCTGGGTTGGGGCTTCCTCTTCGGGCTGCGCGTGCCCTTTCTTCGCCTGCAATGACACCTACAAGGCCTGCTGGATGGATTGGATGTGCCGTGGAGGGTCCGGAGCCAAGAGCACTGGGACTGAGCGAATGTGCAGCTAGTGACTCACGAACAGGTTGATTGACCAAGCTGGCTCCATAGTAAGGATCCTGGGGCAATCCTCTCGCAAATACAGGTAGGTTCGTTCCTTTCGCAGTCTGGCCTGCCACCGATGGAGCAGTCTGAGGTGGAGGTTGGCTCACGCTCCGTAGGTTCGAATTCGAGGGAGAGTTTGCCAGTCGAGTCGGTGGTCGATTTCTATTGGGGAAGCCGTGCGCAGCAAGTATTCCAAGGGGGACGTCCTCGTCTTCATCCTCATCCTCTCCACTACTCTTACCTCCTGACTGTCTCGATGCTACGGTCAGATGTGAAAGCCGATTATCAAGATCACCAGAGCTGCCATTGGCATGTCTTAGTGCTCCTAAGCCACTTTCGGGGGGTGGTTGTGCTGCCTCGCCTGTGACCTTCATCATTTGCTGGCGGTAGACCGCGAGGTGGGCCTCTTGTTTCCGCCTCTGTTTTGTTGCTTGTCGGTCACGTTCAACTTCATCGTCATCTTCATAGTTGTCCCCAGCCTCGGATCCGCTGTCGTCGGACAGAGCACCTAACCTGCGGTCCATCTCTTTCTGCTGTTTGTAACGCTCCCATTGCTGAGGAGTCATGACCTTGTTTGATGAGGCTGGTTTGGGGGGTTGTGGCTTGGTTTCTTGATACATGTTGGCGAGTTCAGCATCGGCAGCGATTGAAGGATCAAAGGATGCACTATGCAGTGAAGCTGGTGACATTTCCCCCTTTTGTGTTATTGTAGGGCTGGTCGAAAGTAACTTGGTTTCTTCATTCGTTCGAGAGCGAGTCACAGACAATGGCCGGAGCGTCTCCATTGGAGGAGATTCTCTGGGAGCGGTAGGCCTTTTTTGAACCGGCCTAGGTGGTGGCAATGGATTCTGGCCTGAGCTTACCAGAGAGCCGTTGACTGCTCTGGCGGGACTGCCCTGTGTGACTGTTCTTGAAGGACTCGGTGATCGGATCAAACCATCATGAGAGTCGTGGGAAGTCCATGAATAGGGCGAGGATTCGACAATCTGATTCCGATCGGTGCTGATAGGTTGAGGAATAGGAGCTCTGCTGGAGCGAGCAAAGGTAGGGCCCGAGTAACTGGTGGGTGGATAACTTGTCGGAGGTGACGAGCGCTCCTGGGTGCACGAGGTTAGTATAAGGAAGAAAGGAGAGGACGGAGAGCTTTACCTCTGACTGTATAAGACGGATACCCTGAGACTGGGAGCTAGACTCAATGTGGTCAAACATGTTGCCGAAACCATCCATTTCGGAATTCTCTAGCGCTAGGTCCGAGTCGAACAACCGGGGAGGAGTGGCCGTACTGGCCGTGCTTGCGGTCACCGCCCGGTCTCTCTTATTATGAGCGAGCGGCGGAAGACCACCTGGGGAGGAAGCAGGGGACGACCTTTTCCCCATCCCAAAGGAAAAAGTACGCGAAGAATCGCGCAGGAAGCCAGGCCTTGCAGAAGACGGTGGAGGGACTGGAACATCGTTGTATGACCTTTGCCCATTGTTCTTGTCAGATCGCGTATCAATTGAAGAGGGATTGGTGGAAGAGGTGCTTAGACGAGCTGAAGAGGCTGCACTACCGTTGGGGACAGTCGAGTGAGCACTCCCGCTGCATGTTGTTAGTCTGTTGAGGTTGTAGAGAAGTCCAGGATGGATTACATGACATACCGGTTGTTTGCATCATGGCGTGCTTCCGTAAAGACGTCTTCCTCTTGATGATTGTGAAAATAATCCTTGGGGGGAGGCCTGGGGCTCTCCTGAGAACCCAACTTCATGGACAGGCCGCCATCAAAAGACTTGCCTTTGCTTGCAGGCCGCTCCAGGACTCTGAACGAAGAACTCGAGCCTCCGTCGCCGCCAGGAGGATTGCGCACCTCGTCTAAGGCATTGCCTGAAGATTTCCGTCTCTGAAAACCCTTGGGCAGTTTGATGGGCATGAAGGTCGCTTGCGTGGGGAAAGAGTTTCCCAGACAGGATGGAGGAGTAACCAAAAAAAGGCCGGGGATAGTAGGCTGTAATCGCGGGTGGTGATGTATGGATATGGAGGATTGGTGTTAGGTCGATGGCTTGAGAGGGAGTTCAAGACGGAACGGCAGGCTGCGTGTGGATGCGGTCAGCAAAAGGATTACAAGTCGAATCTGAGAATTTTCATACCGGATATCGATCCGTACAGTCGATAGAGAGCAGGTCAGAGCACCGAGTTGATGGCAGTGCAGACTGGACCAAGCTTGGTGTCAGAAAATATCGACAGATGTTATATTGGTGGAGTACTCGGAGGGAGAGGAGTTGAGGATGTTGAAAGTGGTGTGGGCGGTAGGTGGGTGCGTGCAGTGGAAGGACGAACAGCACAGGGGAAATTGGGAACTCCGTTGTAGAGGCGGCGAAGTGATTATGCGTATCGTATGTATGCTGCTAATATATTGTTATCAACGAATGTACTAGGTAGGTAGGCAGCGATCGAAAGGACACAGGTTTGGTATGTATCTGTATAGCGAGAGTAAGAAGGATTGATGGTGGAAAGGCTCTTGGATCATCGACGACAACGACGGATAATGATTGACAAGATGATGAGACATCAGAATGGGCAGGGCAGGGTCGAGAAAGCAGGGTCAAAGCGAAAAAGGCCAGGGCAGGATCCGCAATGCTCAAGCCTAAATGGATAGAGAGAGGGTGGAGGCGCTGGAAGGCCGCTCTAACTACGAGTAATAACCTCGTCGTTTTCCGAGAGCCCTAGGTCGCTTCTGAGCATCGTATGAGTGTTTTAGCTGCAGCTTCTGTGTGGGTAGGTGCTCGTCAGGGTTCATGGGCGTAGCTTTAGTGGCCAGCAGGTACCCAGGCTACGGAGTACTAGGCAAGTAGTCTTGGTGGTGCTGGGCCTCCCCCCCCCGCCCAGTCAGCAACCTGAGTGGTGTTGTGCGGCCTGTGCTTAAGAGTCTAAGACAAGCCGGAGACAATTGAGGGCACCAAGGCAAGCCACTCTGCTCATCACCATTTCAAGCCTCCTCCTTATTTAGCCCTTCCGTTCTGGGCGGCGATTGCCGAGACGCATGCTCCGCAACAACAACAAACACCAAAATTATGCGAAATAATGGGCACTGCGAAGAAAATTGATCATGACCTATCCTCTCGCTACCGACATTGTATCGAGGGTAACTTTGCATCTCTCGTCTCCATTTGTCGAAGGTGCCAATCATCAATTCCCTTTCAACATTGTTGTGTTGTGTTGTGTTGTGTTGTGTTGTGTGCCACCACATTCGCCTCGTCCCTGGGAGCCCGGGAAACCATGAATGCTGATGATGCTTGCTGGGCATGGTCGGTACCACCCAACGGAAATGTGCCTGGCTGGTTAGTCATGGCGATAGTCTTCAAATTCATTGCCACATTCGGCCTCCTTCATCTCCGCCCCGATCTGCCCCTGCAACTTCAACTCATCTGCTTGGTTACCTACTCGTATGAATCTGTTCCTGGCGCACGTGTTAACAGCTTGTCCAACCCTGGCCAAGTGTTCAATAATGATTAGATGTCTCTCCATCGAAGGTTTGCTCCGTACTCGTAGTTTGACTCCCTCCTACGAGTACGTAAATGCTGTTCCACTTCAGACATTATTGTCTCCAATGGTTGGACGTGTCCCAACTTAAGTCAAGCTTGACGCTGTGATAAACCCCTTGGGCTGCGTGCTCGCCTCTCGGGCCCAGGCTCGTGTTGTTGATCTTGGAAAAGCCAAAACCGGACAGTCTTCCGGCACGGCTAGAGGGAAGCCACTCGGATTTCGTGATGCCGCCTCTATGACTGACTATTGAACACAAGTGAAAAAGTCCGTCCCCAACAATGCTCCGATATCAGTGCTCCGTACATACGGACAATCGGTTAACAGCAGCCCGCGTCGTCCATGTGTACGTGTACTCCGGACAGTGCTTCAAGTTTTCTCGCCGCGATTGACCTGGACGACCTTGTCCTCACCGCCGGAAAGAATGCCCACGTCGCTGTGCCAGCAGACTCCAAAGACCTTTACCCCGTCACCTGCCCCAGGGCTTGGTCCGCCCTTCAGACTGGCTCTTGGCAGTGTGTACAGACTTTGACCAACCAATCCCTCTTTTTCTTGTTGGGTACTGCGGACATCCCATACTCTGCACGTGCCGTCGTGGCTGCCGCTGACGAGTGTGTATTCATTGCTCGGATCGCGTGCCAGGCTGACCACTGAATTCTTGTGGCCTTTTAATGTCATGGCCGCAACGGTGGTGGCCGAAGCTCGTGGATCCACCAATTTGATGACACGACTGACCGAGCCAGCTGCCAGAAGGTGGAGATTGGGCATGTGCTCAACACAAAACAGTGCACCGGATGTTGTTCTCGTATCCACCAAAGACGCAGTCACCAGATCCCATGTCCGCACTGTCTGATCCCAAGAACTGGAATAGCCGACTGTCGCATCATTGACATCAAAGATGGCCGCCGACACTGGACCTGTATGTTGTTGCATCATAGCCACTGGCCCTCGCTGTGGGAGCGACACATCCGGATTCAGCTTCCTCCTTTTGCCGTCTTTGCCTCTGCTCCGAGGAACAAGCTCCTCAGGCGCTGCTGGTGCGTCCGATTTGCGCGTCGACCAAAAACCAACCGAGTGATCGGAGGACGCAGACAAAATACGACCCGATCCCTCATGAGCGTTCACAAAATCCACAGATGACTTGTGCCCATAAAGCTCAAGTGAAGGTATCAAGCTAGCGGAAAATCCTTCTGCCTCTTCAGAATATTTCCATAGCCGCACTGTTCTATCAAACCCTCCTGACACAATCTGAGCTGGCGACACAAATTTGGCCGATTTTATGAGGGAGTTGTGGCCCCCAAAGCGAGTGCCGGGGGATGTAGCCAATACTTGCGCCGAAGTATTCCAAACTCTCAGGTGTCCATCGTAGCTCGCAGATAAGATCCTTGGAGATGAATTCAATGACACGGCGTCCACGTCACTGACCCAATCTTCATGTTCGTAAGAGGCAATATACTGAGGAGGAATTCGAGCTCGGACATATTCTACAGCTAACGTCGTCTCGGTGGAGAGGCCACTCGTGCTGAGGTACTCATCAAGGGTCGTTCGCAGATATGTACCATTGACAATGAATTCTAGCGGTATAGGCTTCTCCTTTTCAAGTAACCCGTTCACCAAAGAGGATAGAGGATATCGACGGAAGGAAGTAGGAACTAAGATCGGGGCAGTATCGTTGAGGGTTAGGTCTGCGTCCCTCGTTGTTAAGCGCACTCGAACTAGGGCATTCGAGGGGTCTTGTAACGTAGATGCCATTGTCGCGCAGTATATTTTCCGAGACCCCTGCTACTAATTGTGAGCGAGAGCGAGAGCGAGAATCGATGGTGGGCTGTTGTACTCCGTATCAGATTTGCAAAAACCAAGAAATTTTCTGGCGGAGCACAGAGACGGTAAGGTAGCCACCAGGAAACGAGGATACTATACAAATGACGGTCAGTCATTTGAGACTGCGTGGGAATGTGTACTGCCACCTCGCATAGTTCTCGTCATGACATTGTATTTTCTACACCCGCAACAATCAGACGCAACCTCCACGTTATCCTGTGTTGGTCCGATGCTCTGATGCTTGTCGAAGTCGACATTGCCTGTAGAGCATCACGGTTGTTGCTATTGCCGCAGATCCATAACAGCCAGCCTAGCAATGCCAGATGATTCCACTGCGGCCGCCTCGATATGCAACAGCATCATCCTGGGCACATACCCTCAATCGGAGGATATCTTGACCTCCGAACTCTCTGCGCAACTGATCCCGCCCCTCCTTACACACATATCCGAAACGCGACGCGCACTCAGCGATGAGATCCGAGCCACAAGTAAAGGAGAGGCTGGCGATGTTGACCAATGGATACTGCAGGCGAGAAGGGCCCAAGAAGACATCGCGAGATGTAAATTGGAATCACAAAGGATTGTCCAAGAGCACAATCAATTACGTGCCTTGAGAGATCAGGCCACAGATTATCAGTATAAGGTTGATCTCCTCGAGGCTGAAATCGACTTCACCGAGAGACTGAAGCAGGAGTTTGACCACATCGCACTCGTGAGCCAATCTTTGAAGGGCGTTGAGGACCTCATATTACAAGATGATCTCTTTGGTGCAGCGGAGAAATTACACCAATTGGAAAGCGACACCCCCCATATAGCCAGGTCAAAGGCTTCTATATTAGCCCGAGATCTAAAAGACGAGTTGCGACTCAAAACCCGTGTCAATCTTGAAGCCAAATTGAATTCCCAGATTCAGGTGCAGAGAGATGGTCAGACGGCATCCCTTGAAGTTCAAGCCTCCGAAATTGGCGACGCCTCCATTAACTCTGATTCCATCTTGTCCGCTCTGAGACAAGTCGGCGATCCCCAGGACGTCCTTGAAGCCCTAATAGAAAAGCTCAAGGCATTTATCCTTAATCCCTTGCGGCCTTCCTCCCGACTAAAGCTGGCAACTTATGAGGTCGGACCATATAGCATTATACTGCGGCTTAGCAAAGACAGCCCTTCCTTTGATGCAGTGTTCAATTTTGTTTCTGACCTGATTGAATTCCTCCAGTCTTCGATCTCTAAAACCGTCCGAGCATCAGCCGTCTCCTCGATTTTCCCAGACCTCATGGCACTACTTGTCACTCACTGGCTAACACCAACTCTACCTACCGACCTCACCATGCTGAGTAAGCTAGACGACATACGCCAGCAAATGCACCGCATTTTGGAACAATTAAAAACCCTTGGTTGGCAAGGGCAAGTTGAGCTGCAAGATTGGGAGGAATCCCTCAACCGAGTCTGGCTTAATAAGCGCAAAGCTACAATCTTGGATGCCGTGCGAAAAGGTCTTGCTGCATCTAAAGGAGTTCTTCGAAAGGTTGAGAGAGTAGAGAAGCAAGTCCTCTCCACAGAAATGCATGAACTCGAGGACTCAACCGATAATTGGGATGCTAGCTGGGATGACGAGAATAACGAGCATTCTGCATCGGCTGATATCTCCAAACCTACGGATGACGACGATGCGAGCGGTTGGGGTTTTGACGATGAAGATGACGCTGGGGAAAAGGCTACAGAAGACAAGGATATGCGAGAAAAGAAAGATGAAGACGACGGCGAGGATGCGTGGGGTTGGGATGAAGACCGCCCTGTTCAGATCAAATCAGAACCGACGAGCAATTCTCTTGAAGCTCGACCGAATGGTGGCAAGAAGGTTAAGGTTACCGACAAAGAACATATCCTGAGTGAATGGTACAGTATCAGCGAAGTGCCAGACCAAATGATCGATATAATTTCTCAAGAACTCTCTGACGCCCAGACGCTACAAGAAGCTCACCACACTTCCTTGAACACAACCCTGCTTTCCCGAGGCCTCTTAGCCTTGCCCACCCTGGCGCTCGCAATGTTTCGCGCAACTGCACCCAGCTACTACGGCGCTTCACCCTCACTGACCGATATTCACCGCTACAACGATTCCCTGTACATTGCCGAACAACTCCGCATCATTTGCAGCCCCACAACGAACAATACCACCAGTATCATCTCAGCGCCCAATCTCGACGCAGACATCCAAGCTATGGAGAAATTTGCGCGCCTGGCGTATTCCAAGGAAATGGAGACCCAGCGCCTGATCGTCTGGGATCTGCTTGAAGGAGCACAAGGCTTCACCTCATGCACGCAGTTCCCGTACTCCCAGGAGATAGAGAACGCGGTGCTGAGCGTCATTGACCGGGTACGAGTGCTCCACGCCGAGTGGGAGCCGATCCTAAGCAAATCACACCTAATGCAGAGCACGGGGGCGATCCTTGAGATGGTAGTCGGCAAAGTCATCTACGCAATTGAGGACATGGACGACATCTCGGAGCCCGAGTCGCAGCGTCTGACGACTTTCTGCCAGCAGATCGCCGCTCTCGACGACCTCTTCCCCCACGACGACACCCTCACCGGCCACCCCGTTTCCACCACACCCGTCTACGTCCCCATCTGGTTCCGCTTCCAGTACCTCATCCAGATCCTCGAGAGCTCCTTGGTAGACATCAAATACCTCTGGACCGAGGGCGAGCTGAGCCTCGAGTTTAGCCAGAAAGAGGTCGTCAGTCTCATCCAGGCCTTGTTCGCAGAGAGTCGCCATCGCAGAGAGGCTATAAATTCCATCCTTGCGAAGAAAGGTCCCTGGGATCTGTGATTGACGTGTCAGTCAGTCGTCGCTCTTAAAATTACTGAGGAACGAATGAGTGACTGGATAGTCGGATGTACTCACACAATGACATATATATCAAACATTCAAGTATTACCACCAGATCGAAGAATTCTTACAATCAAATTGTTGGCTGCAACAGGAACGACTTCCAACAGCTGATGATTTGTGACAAGATTTTGTCCGTACTAGAAGCTACAAGACTGCTGTGAAGCCCGCTATATAATCTTGCTTGAGCGCTCCTTCTTCGCTTGACACAAAAGGGTCCAAAAGCAAGAGCCTCGCTGTGGCAGTCGTAAAACCTGACGACCTGTTATCCAACCACGTCCGAGGTCCGTGTCCATATCGCTTCCCAAATAATATCATACCCGTAGTATCATAGCAATCAGGTTGTGTTTCCCAAGATATCCACACGTAGCTGCTTCCTGTCGAGAGGGAATTACCTAAGAAAGTAAATATGTGCATGCTAGAATGGCCACAAATCATCAAAAGCCGATGCTCGAAAAAAGGCTCACGGAACAGAACCTAGAAATCCCAAGAAAATTGGGGGAGAACAGAAAAGGCAAATCAGCAGAAGAACTTATACCACTTCTTCCAAGCCGGCCAGTTTTGACGATCAGCCTTCTCCTCCGCGACCAACGACTTCACATTAAACTCGCGCTTCCCGGTAAACAGGTCCATGTCCCTCGGCGACAGGACCTTCGTCTTATTCCAGAGCCTGTAGCCGATATACATAAGTATGACGACGGGGGCTGCCAGATACGCCTGAAAGAAATTAACCACGAGTTCGGTGGACGACATGTCCCTCCAGCCGACGGGGCTGAAGCCGGTCCAGAACTGCGCGCAGAGCACGAGCCCATTAAAAGTCAGTCCGACCCAGGACCCGATCGTGCCGACGGGGGAGCGGAACGCGAGCTCATCGAGACCGTGGCCCTGTAGCGCCCACGCGTGCCGGAAGCGGATGTGCGCGAGGCAGATGCTCGACCAGGTGAAGATGGAGGAGAGGCCGGACAGGGCGAGCATCCAATTGAAGGCGTCTTGTTGCTTGTGGGTTGCGGCGAGGAAGGCTAGGAGGCCGAGCACCGAGGCGAGGATGATGGCGTAGAGGGGGCGGCCTTTGCGGTCGATGTACGCGAGGAAGGCAGGGGCTTGTCGTTGCTCGGCGAGGGCGGCGAGTGTGCGTGACGAGCCGTAGATCGCAGAGTTGCCGACGCTGAGAACGGAGATCATGATAACGACGTTCATCACGGATGGAAGGACGTCAATGCCGGCGTTCTGGATCGAGATCACGAATGGGGAGGCTCTGTTAGTTGGGTAAGAGGGTACATATCAGCAAACTGAGACAATCGAGAGACTGGGTCGATGAGAAGGCAGCGGCGGGTAACGTATGGCTTACTTTGCATCAGCTGAATTGCGCCCATTCAGGAGTCGGGGGTCGTCATAAGAGACAAGAGTTCCCACGAGGAGCAAGCTGACAATGTAAAACAGCGTGATACGCCAGAAAACCTGCTTGATCGCAGAGGGCAGTGCTTTTCTAGGGTTTTCGGTTTCTGCCGCTGCAAGGCCAACCAATTCGGTCCCGGCGAATGCAAATGCAGCGGTGACAAAGGTACTGCACAGTCCCTTGAAGCCATTGTTGAATGCACCAGGAGAGTGCCACTTTTCGAAGCCGATATAACTTCCGTCGGGTCGGCCGTTGGCGTCTTGACCTCCCATGATATTGATAAGAATCCCCAGTAGGCTTGTCCTAATGTTAGCCTCGAAGATTTCCTTGGAGTAAATCAGAAGGACATCTCACATGTATCCGATAACAGCGGTGACTTTTACCACGGAGAAGACAAATTCAGCTTCGCCGTAGCCTTTCACACCAAAGAAATTGATGACGATGATCAAGATAAGGAATATCGTGACCCACGCGGCATTGAGTGTGATGTTTTGCACCTGGAGATTGGTCCTGCATCAGCCAAAAATGTCTCCATCCATTGTCCCATTGTCCCATTGTGTTCTAAAACTCAACACTTACCCAATAATCCACCGTGATTGAAGCTGACACAATTTCCAAAGGTAACACCACCAACCATTGCATTGCATAATTCCAGCCCATTGCGAAGCCCCATGCTGGGTCTAAGAACCGTGTCGAGTATGCGGCGAAGGATCCTGCGACTGGAAATAGCACGGCAAGCTCGCCCAGCGCTTGCACTGTACAGTACATCATGACTCCAGTAAGTGTGAAGGCAAGTAGAAGCGATGCCGGTCCACCTAGACGACGCAGGCCGTATGTTAACACAAAGGAGACTTCTAATGCATTCATCCAGGCTCCGAAACTAACCATGTGCCAATGCTTTTCCACTGCCCACGAAGAGGCCAGTGCCAATGCTGCCACCGATGGCAATCATCTGTAGATGTCGACCTTTGAGTCGACGAAGAAGAGGCGACATCGCCGTCGCCTGGACGGCGGCTTCAGCATCGTAGCCGGATTTATGATCGCTTGCGCTGAACGAAGCCGACCTCGTGACGCTCGCATGGGGATCGCGCTTGAAGCTCTCTTTGAGCCGGCCTGCGAAGGATCTCTTGAAAGTGCCCATGTCACCCTCGTAGGCCGATGGGCCAGACGATGACTCAGGACTCCAACTCTTTTTATCGTCCATCGATCACGATCACGATCGTACGGACGGGACGGGAGGTATGGTCTTGCTCGGGGTTGATAAATAAGCCAAATGTTATCGGGTGGCTAGGCTCTAACTCGGCGCGGGGGGGGGGGTTGCACTTGCCGGGTTACCGTGTTGCGGCGGGAGAGGCACTCAGCATGGTTTCATCGGACGTTGATTGTATAAATATGGATGTTTGTATATTGTCGTCAAGGATAGGGAGTGACGAGCGAGGTTGACTGGATCATGCGCTACAAGAAGACTGGTCCCTGGAGAGGGATACTGGCGCAAGTCACATGTCAGTGAAGCCACAGATAGGCCGTCTCCACTAAAGACCCTGCCACTGATAACACTGCAGCCCAGGCATCTTTAGCCTCGTGCAGCGGTTCAAGGCCAAGGGTTCAATGGTGGCGACTTTGGCAGCCTCGGCTGCCCCCAGAAATCTAGTGACGAGGACTCCGTACTATGGGCCTCTGGGTGATTGGGATTTCACGTGGAACCTGTTTTTGTACAGACCTTCGCAGATGCGCCCTCTAGTCTATCAGTCAACGAACGAGAGGGCTGTCATGGAGGTCTTGATTTCTTCTGTGCACATATTATTACATAGCTATATGAGATAACTCTGGTTGGATCTTGAGCTATACAAACCCAAGAATCTCAAATCGATGCTGCTTTCACTTCGTTAAGTCATTAGGGGCCTTGAGGCAACAAAAATCAAGTACACCACCCATCATGTGTTCCACCATGGCTGTATTACAAAACAGTCGCCGCATGACTAGCTAGAATCACTTGGGGATACCGTTCTGGGGCGAAACAATTTGCTTTGATCACTGCCTATGACTGCCGACAATGCAACTAGGTTGGATCCTTCCCATCAATTGGTCCAGAGTTGCCGGAAGCCTCTGGGACAGACTGGTCTGGTAGCAGCTCAGGAAACTGTGCAGTCTCCAGCTCGAATGTAGGGCTCCGTAGAGCTGTGCTGGCGGTGCTGTCTTCCGAGGCTGAAGGATCAGACTTAGCTTCTGTCGAACTAAGGCCCCTCTCGAGCGCAAGTCGATGCGCTGCATCTCTCTTCTGTTTGATTTCTAACTCCTCTTGCCTCTCTATCTCCTCTTCTTGTTGTTTCAGGTCGAGTAATGTAGGGCCAGTCGGAGGCTCGCTTTCGGGCAGAGGCGAGATAGGTGCCAGACTCTTCTGCGAAAGTGATCTCTCGCTTTTACTGGCAGGGCTTCTGATTGACTTGGACGAAATTGTGCGATTCGACCGGAGGGAATCCCTTGGTCGTTTACCATTTGAGTTTCTCGACTTTCCAGCTGCTTGGTCTTCACTGCTACCTTGGTTCGTCATACGCCGACTCAAAGCAACAGCAAATTCATCGTCAAGAGGGACGGCGTCGTCTTCTTCATCACTCATTATCAGATCACCTCTTGAGCTTAGAGAATTCGTGGTAGAACGGGAATTGGTGGTATCGCTCCGCTGTCTACCATGTCCCTTTCTCCAAACCTGGTCATCCTCTTCGCTTTCTTCCAGTAAAGGCTCAGTAGTACCATCTTTTCCTTTTGTTCCGCCCGGGTTCTCCTGCAAATCAGCAGCGGATGGTCGATATCTAAGCTTCCTACTACCAAGTTTCCACGGCAATCGCTCTAAGAAACCTAGGTATGAGGACCCGGGAATAATTGTAGGGTCTTGGTCAGAGTTTGGTTGAGTATTTGTCGGTTTCCTTCGTCCTCGGGAGCCATAGCTCATTGCACGCTGTCTCTTTGGTTGGTCGGACGGCGCCCCTCGTCCTGCTAATAGGCTGTCTAATTCATCGTCGCCCCATCGCAAGGAAGTTTCATTCGCCGCTTCTTCGTCCTCCCAAGCATTATAAAAATCGAAACTGTACTCCGCGCGACCGCGCGACCGGCCCCTTCGGCGGCGCAAATTGTCTTCACGATTGGGGAAACATGGTGCAGTACAATCGTACAGGCAGGACTTGACTCCTGTCAAACAAGGATCGATATATAGTTGGGTAAAGGTGTAGATATTCTCCTGAGCTGCCTGGTTCGCGCTCTCGAGATTGTGAGAGAGGTTGTGCAGAGTCTGCCGGAATTCAGGATTGTTCATCTTGAGGGGTTTAATGGGGAGCTCGCGAGTATGATGGTGGGCGCGAGCACGCAAAAGCTGGGATTCTTTGAAGGCGCGACTCCTGTGCGCTTCAAGCTCACAATGGCCATACTTGACTGTCTTCGCACAGATCAGTCCATTGGTCTGCGGTTGCTAGGAGCTGATTCAGGCATCTCAACATCTGGCTTGAGAGGATTGAAGATGACATCGAGGCCGTCATCACGTGGGCACTATCGACGGATAAAATATGGTTCCGATCCGGATTCTACGGCAGAGCATCTGCTCTCTGAAACGCTCGTCATTCCTTGTTCACCGGAAACCTCTTCCTGATCGGTCCTTATGATGACAACGTGAATGAACTTCCAATTTGTATAGGCGGACTCGGCCTTTGCCTGCCCGCAAGACTAATCAACAACTCGGAAACCGTCTGACAAATATCATGGCCCCAATTATGGAGGCGTCAGCCAGATAGTGTCAGGCCTAACTCAGCCCAAAAGGGGGTCGCTCCGCCGACAGAATAATAGTAACGATTACGGCTATTCACAAAGCTGCTCTGTCGAATATAACATAGTAGCAGCACGAATAAGCACCATAAGTGGAAACAGCACTCCTAAAAATTGCTCTCGCTGCTTAAGGTGGCTATTGATCAACATCCTGCTCCACAAGGGCCAGATCAAGGTTTGGTATATACCTCCTCCTGTGCCCTAGTTGATTCGCATTGCAGCTCTATAGATTCTGTTCATGAATGCACTTTCGCAATAATATACTGACCACACTTCTCATTCCTCCTCATAAATATGCATGGGCCATCTGGTGGACAATTTGGAGGTCCAGGAGGTCCAGAAGGTCACCATGGGCTGGGTGGACCAGGCTTCGGACGTCACGGGTTCGAACACCCAGGGATGCAGGAAAATAATCACGATTCTCTTGAGAATGGAGCAGAGCAAGGCCATGGTAAGGGGCAAAAGTAACGCGGTAATGCGGTTCTCAGGCTAATTGAATCGCAGCCCAGGAATCACATGAGACAAACGTCATCAAGCTCGAGATCACTTTGAGCAAGCAAAGATTAGAGGGAGAGTGTCATGATGACCCAGAAAAGGACGACCACCATGGCCAACAACATCCAGGACAGGATCATCACCAGCAACATCCGGGACAAGATCACGACCAGCAACACCCAGGACAAGACCACGATCAACACCATCCAAGCCAGGATCATGACCAGAGAGGTCACAACCATAGTCGCCAGAGCACCCACGACCACGATCATGGCCACCAGGATCAGGACTCCGATCATCAGAACGATCGCGACATGGGGCAACACCATCAAAACCATAGCAATCATCATGACCGTGGCAACCAGCATCAAAATGAAAATGATCAATACGATTATAACAACAGTGAAGAATACGGTGAATATAACAATCCCTGCCAATGCGGGGAGGGCTGTCACTGCGCAGCTAATGGGGTAAGTCACCTGCTCCTTGATCATATTCGTGCATTACTAGACCATGAAACTTCTCGCACCCCCTCCCCACTGGAGTATTTTATCTGTAGAGTTCGGCCCTTTTATTATTGCTCCAGCAGATGTAAAGCTAACTTGTCTTGAAACTTGTAGGGCACTTGTCACTGCCATGACGAACAGGATAACGGGAACTATGATGAGGAGCAATATGACCATGATGACTATGAAGGCGGCGAGTACTATGAGGGCAACTATGACGAGGATCGGCACGGACATGGGCAGAATGGGCAGCATGGGCATGGAGACGGCCACGGACACGGCCATGGACATGATCATGGACATGATCATGGACATGATCAGGGCGATTATTACTAGATTGAAACCCTGCTAAGTTGAATTCTGACAAATAGCGTTGTATTTGATATCTTATTACTCCATGAAATCTGTGCTAAGCTTTCTATGAATATACTACTAAGGAGGTTTACATATGACATGAGAAGCATGGCTATAGAACGAAAAAGGACAATAATAATTCTATGACCTAACTGATTCTCTAAACTCCCAGCACCGAGTTACACAAATCTACACTTGAAAGACCAAATCATCTAAACATGTGCCGCAGCACCATAGGACGCCTGGGCCATCGAACCCGCTATGCCCGGGGTTTCATAGTTATACTGCTGGTCAGCATGATGTTCTATTGCTCCTTGTTGCTGCTCGCCATTTCCGCCATCGTAGCCGTCATGGTAACCATACCCGCCATCATCCTCCGGACCATAAGGGTCCAAGCCTCCATGAGCCCCAGAATTGGCGAATTGAGAGTCGCCGAACTGCTCGTGGGTTCCTTCGCCGCCGGCCTCGTAATCATACACACCGCCGGCCTCATGGTCGAGTCCTTCGTCTTCAGGATACTGTGGGTATGGGTCTTGTTCAGCATATTGTTCTTGTCCGGTATGTTGGTCTTGTTCGCCATAATGCTCTTGAGCGCTGTAGGTTCCTTGACCAGGATAAGCTTCTTCTTCTTCTTCTTCAGGATATGCATCTTGAGGATAAGGATCCGAGGGATACGTCTCTTGCGGGTAAGACTCTTGCGGATAAGTCTCTTGGTCGTATGGCGCTTGTGCCGGATACTCGCTGTGAGGCTGCTGCTGCTGCGTCGGATAAGGCTGGGAGTATCCGGCCTGGCCATTAGCGGCTTTGTTATACGCAATCTGGCTCAAGTGTTGTCCAGCGATGTCGATCCCTTGATATGCTGCTTGCTCCGCGATATTTCGTGCTGTTAGTCCAAAACCTCCACCGTCATTGGATCCACTATTGTAGCTTCCCCCGTATCCTCCACCATATCCAGGTGTTTGGTCATAGTGATTGACACCGCCATGTTCTGGTGGGGGCATTGTATGTATTCTGTCATTCCATGGTGCTTCAGTCTCATCTTGGTGCTTAGGGCCACCAGGAATGCTTTGGTTGGGCGTCGGTGGAAGAGTCGGCGTATTGACCCTTTCGGGTTGCTCTGTCTTACCTGGTAGTGGTGAAGGAGGCTCAGTCTTGACTAGTGGCTCTGGAAGATGTTCATTGCTCGGGGGTAAAGATGGAGGGGGCTCAACCTTGGTCGGTGGAGGAGGTTCAGCCTTGGTCGGTGGAGG